CCTGGGCTGTGGCTGGAGTCTTGGCTGGGCCGCATAATGTGGATCTGGCGTCGGGGACTGTGCGTACGTGTATGGACAGATGAATCGTAGAGTCGTCGTAGAATTAAGCCTGCAGACACCAATTAGCGCCGGCTCACACGCGCTGGTTTGGGGCGTCTAGCTGATGCGCAAGCTCGGCCTGAAATCGAATCGAGCTGACGTGCCCAGCTCTGGCTGAGATCAGTCTCGGACTGACAGACAGCGACATGGATTTCCACGTGTCTCCTGTTCACAAAGCAGCGAATGACGGCTTGGGGCGAACCTGTCAAGCGCACCCGTACAGAGACACCGCGTGGTGCGTGAGTCGTAGATGTTTCACCAGCCCCGCCTTGAACCGAAGATTGAAAAGTGCGTTCTTGACACTGCAGAGTCTACTTCCTCGGCCTCTCACAAAAAGGTTGTCAGGTACTTAAGTCAATGAACCGCTGGTGCCCAGGTGCACCTGGTCCATAGCGTCGACAAGTACCGACGTGTGGGCTGTATCGGCATACAGGAGAAACGCCTGCACAACAACTGCAGACCAAACAATGGAAAGTACTGCGTACGTAGAGGACTGAGATTGGCGCGGTATTACCGAGCTGTCTCGGTAGGTTTCAATGTAGGTAGGTAAATCCGTCGTCATTGCAAATACGATAGAATTTATTGCTTTTCAAAATGACACCTCTGAAGCGCCCTGAGAGCCGTATATTAACATCATTGGACAATGTCTTACGTACGTGGGTTTGATCATGATTCAGAACACAGATACATTGACATGTTCCTATGTGATACGTTGCGCTGCGTAAATCTGCCCATCCTGAGGACGGATGCTCTTGAGAGGCGGGAGTACAGCTGGCCACAAGACCTGTGCCCGATCTTCTGGGTCAGTTTTGAATGCCGGTGATCCAGGTGTTTGAAGATCCAGGGCGTCCAGGTCAACCCTGTCTGTACTTGTGGTGCCGCTGCTGTTCGTCGCGGAGATACAGTGCAGACTCAGTGTTTACGTGCTCGCCGCGCGCATTGTGAGCGACGATTTTGCCGCGAGGCACAGTGTGAATTGGTTCCAGGATCATGGCTAAGGTACCAAAGACATTTTGGTGGAGCTGAACCCAAACGCCAAGGAGCGTGCTTCATGCGGATGTTGCCAGGCTTGCCCCGGCCGCAGCTCTGACACGAGACAGTAGGTTATGAGAAGCTAGATTTCAAAGGGCATTTTTATGTCTCGGCTGATGAAGTTCGACGTAACTCGACGTTCTAATACTCTTCGCCTCGAAAAATTCGGCACCTTCCTCAGCTGGTGTTATGGTGGGGTCACGGTTGCAGCAAGCGTCCAGTCTGCCCTGCCCCACGCGAGCAGGGCGCAACAATGAGGTGACACTACTCCAGTCGCTTGCCCTGAAGCGCATCACACTAAAAGCTCGCTAGGCTACGTAGCGCTAGACAGTCCACGGGTTTGATTGTATCAAATGATTCAAATCTGCTACTAGTTGGCGATCATTAAAAATGATCAAGGCTTTATGTTTTTTTTTTTCTTTCTCCGTTAACAGGGATGGAGAAGAGTATTAGCCGTTGGGCAGGCTAGTAGCGTAGATCTGTCCCCTACGATGCGTAAAGTGGTCAATGCTCGAATGAATCTACGCAGTACAGTCAACACCTTAATGAGAACTTACAGGCAGGTGTGAAATGCACGACATGGCAACTCGTCACTGATAGTTGGGTTAGCCAGAGGTACAGCGGCAGTAAAGCCGTTGTGCGTGCGTCGTGATTAGAGGACCTTTTCGCACCTTCCTAATCATTCACTGCAAACCAACAAATACTGCTCCGTACTATACTAGCTACCATCCTCAAAACTGATAAGATGGACCCATCGCTCACCATGTCCACTCCCCTTCCCGCCCATGATACCTTGCTTTTGGACAGCGACCTGTGCTGCACATTATGTCGGCAGATTCTTGGGGAAAGTGCCGAACCCATTAGGGTCAAACAAATAGGTTGGCTTCTGCAGCACGGGACAGATTGGCGAATAGTACCACAGGTCAGTACCAACAGCTGTCAAACGAACTGGGTCGACTGACAGGTGGTCCTCTCGCGGTAACATGTTTAGGACCTGCCGAGGTATTATACCGCCGCAGAGCTACTCCTCTGTTGAGCCTTTGACATTTGCCGTACGTGCTGATATTTCACACATTGAACGTAAGGTTTGTTCTGCTCTTGCTTGGCACTGATCTTGTACTTTGGCGAGAGCCGCACATCGATCATCAACTCGCAGCGCATCGAGCTTGAAGCGTCCGCCACGAGAAATCACTTTGTATGCTGTGTTCCATAGTATTGGTTGATTACGCTGCTTGGTTGACGTTCCAGCCAAATCACGTTTATCTCGTAACTCGACCCCTGGTAAAGTCCCGGCAGGGAATATTATCTCACGCCTTTCCAATAGACTTCCAGAAGGCCAAGGCATGCACGACGTAAGTGCCAAGTACACTTGAAGGACTAATATCCGGGCATATTATCAATCTCGACGAATTGTTTCGTATCTGTCGCCCTTCAGCGCTCAATCACAATACGCAGACACTTGCGAGCATCTTTGACATTGAACCGAACCAGCAGTCAACTTAGCGACGGGAAGGAAGCCTCTGCGTCACCTGCGCATATGCATGCGCTCCTCTAGAGCGACCATTGTGACGTTCCCTTCCTTAAAAGGAAAGCGGTGCGCAAATGCGGATGGAGGAGAACAGACGGCAAGGCAATTGCTAACAAATGGACGTTGGGTTAACTATTTGTGAAGATATTAAGGGATATTCAGGGGCGACTCGCAAACTCTCTTGTTGGATTCTGTAAGACTTTGGGACGCTGGTGATCTAATGCATGCCAAGTATCCGTAAAAGTTACCTACCTTAGTTAGCACACTATAATGACTATCCACGCCGTCTTGCCATACTCCAGTCCGCAAGCTTCCGTCCCCCTTCAGGCTTCAACCCCATCAGGCAGCGACTCAGGGTAACCTCAGCATGCCATGACACGCCACGCCCGCTGGGACCGGTCGTCTCATGATGGTGCAACACTGCATGGTCTGGAGGAACGGCTGGACTCAACTGCCACACTTGAGCGGTCGAATTTGCCGTGTGGGGAAAGCCCGTCGCGACACCACTGCACCGCCAACCATCAATAAGGCGCTGAGCTGAGTCCAAACTCCCAAGCAATCCTCCCTACCAACTCGTCTCTAGTGCCGGTAGCTCAAAAGGATGGTGCACTTGGCGACAAAAGCCATATGCAGCCTGACGCGAACATCCACCCAAAAAGCAACTGTTACCCACCGCTAGCGACTCAGTCTGTCACTCTTGACAGCATCACGAGTTCACCACGTGGCTAGTCTCGCATGACGGGGATAACAGCACTGGCGCCGATGCAGAATGACGGGCACTCGTGAGTCGTGATGAACTTTGCTTACTACGTACACGCAACGTACAATAGAGTAATTTATTACTCCGTATGTACTCCGTACAGACAGACGTATGAACCAGAGCAGTAGTACTCGTGGCCCAGCACTCCGATTACCCTGTAGTTGAAGTTGGATGGCGTCAACAAAGGCACGCGGGAGTATCCCGGCTCTTGGCGGACAAGGATATGGGCTTCGGGGTCCCTGCAGGCCCACCCCAAAGAAGATGTCTCACCGGCGTCGCCAGGCGATAGTCACCGTCCAAAGACAGACACCCTTGTGAATGGTGTGCTGTGCTCGAGTCAAGTCGCCCGGGTCTGCGCCGTGCGGGTAGTTGTTGCGGAAGCTGATCACGGTCCTGTATCCGTACGCAGATCCAAGCTGATCGTCTCGCTTCCCTTGGCAGGCCCCGAGTCCTGACTCGCCGCGTCACACGGCGTTAAGTGTTACTAATTGGCAGTAGACTGGTGCACAAGTATCAGCGCACAGTCGGACATTTCGAAATTGCTACCCGGTGGATTCCTAATAAAACAGCACGTACAGGTGGAAATCTTACGATATGAACCAGTATCAGTCTCCTATACCCAAGGGCTGGTAACAAGTCCCACCGAACGCCCACCTGTACATGTACGGTTGTACCTGGCGTTTCACCAGCCTCTTCCCCGGACTAATTAGATCCCTGTCGGGGGGTCGTTCTGGTCCAGACGACTTGGCTTCCCAGATGTTCGACCCTCAGGACGAACAGGTTTGCAGCTTTTGCAGGTGTCACCGTGCGGTCGGCCGGGGGAAACCCCGGGAGCACGAGTGCGTCGTCAAGGTCGCACCATCTCGACCCGGGCCTTGGGCTCGAATTAACTACTACATTATGTGCGTGGTTGTTGCCGCTGCAGACTGTGGACATGGTGATTGTTTCATGCGAGGGGTGCAGTCGAACGTCGATGACAGTACAGGCAGGGGACTTGGAACTTTCAACGGCACGTGGTGTATTAGCAATACTAGCATGCTGCTCGTCGACACTTTGTCCGAGCATGCTAAAGGCACTTTTAAGGACAGCACGTGAGGCATCTTGAGGCCTACATAATATTCTCGTCTCTCGTCTCTAACAACATGAAGCGCCCAAACATGCTCTAGCAGCAGCAAGATCATACCCCAAGCTCGGTTGCTCGTTCGCCGCGATCCCGCATCAACAACATGTCGCATGGACACAGAGCACCGTATGTATGTACAGTAGCAAGGGCTTGCGTGCTTCAATTTGATCGCGGGACGAAGCTCTCCAGCTTCGCACAGGTACCCAGTGTACCGGACGGGCTTGCGTATTGCGAGTGCAGGCTCACCCTCTCCTACCAGGTCAGGCACGGAGTCCATCTTGCTGGGACGACGCAGTGTCTGGTGCTTGCTCGGATTGTGAAGCAACAAGGCCAGCCGCCAAGCTCTGGCTATGTTGGCAGCCTCAAACCATGGCTTGTTTCTTAGAATGCCCTATCGACACTTCGAGCGTGACCCATACTGTCCAGCATCTGTGCGAGACCATACTCCAAATCGCAGCTCATTTCTTGAAGAATTTGCCCTTTGGCTGGACCGCCACCCGCTTCCTCTGTAACAATGCATCTTTCCGGTGCTTCGCGTTCTTGTTCATCTTGGGGGGCAACCGCGGATCCGTCTTTGTCTTGGCCACGCTGAACATTGTTGATCCCACCCTCTCATCCGCTGGCCCTCGATCCAGCCTCGTCAAGGTACGCTCCACGTGGGCGACCCGTCTCCTCTTGGGCCGGTCGTCCATATCGCCAAAGGACTCGGCGTCAGAATCAGCCTCCGACTCGTCTGTGAGGAACTCTTCCGGCAGCAGAGCGGGTATCTTGGGCTTTGGCGATTCTTCCGAGTCAGAGTCCTCGGCTTTTGCGAGCGTGGGTTTTGACTTGCGGCTGGTTGCCTGTTGCTTGAAGAGCGCATCTCGTTCCTGTCGCTTGCGCTTCTGTGTAGCGGCCAGTCTGTAAATGTCAGTATATGCAGTGAGCAAAAGACGTCTGACAAGAGTACTCACTCCTCTGCCGCTTTGCTGGCTGCGGCGGCTAGTTGCTCTGCATTGGATGCAATGTTTTGTGTCGATGTCGCCTCGGGGGCCTCGTCGTCGTCACTGTCCTCGTCCTCTTCGCTGTCGGGAATCGTTGCCCGCAAAACAGGCTTTTCAATCGATGACAGTTTCGTCGACACTACCTGATCTCCTTCGTCATCGTCGTCGTCGAAAACCATCATTGTGCCTTTGGCCGCTTCTGGTTGTGCTGGCTCGTTGTTCCTTGCGCGGACAGGGAGTTTGGCTGCCTTGTTGGCGGCCGTGGCCTTGCGTTTCACACCTTTGGCGCCCATTGTATCTTGTTTTTGGGTTATCGATATGCTATCTGTCGGTTCCTGGGCTTGTCACCGTAGCAGTCGTCGGTTGGGAGGCTTCAATGTCGAATGGAACTTGAACTATGGCTAGAAAAATTCTGGTGGGGTTCGGGATTCGGTGAACGGTGAGCATGTCGCGCGTACTTTGACCTCACGCCAGACACCTGATTTGCCAATGGCGCGCCTCGCAAGCTCCAGTCATTTCACATCACTCAACTTAATTATCGCGTTCATCATCAGTAGGCCACTCATGCAGCATGCCCACTCGATGGCAGCAGTGGCACCCGTTGGTGGGCGTGCTCAGGTCATCCAACAGCAGCGCTCGACTCGCTGGCACTCGCGCTCCCACCACAGTCCCCGGAGCAAAGCCTCGTGTACCACACAACCATGGCGAGTGTCGCAGATGCTACGCAGCCGCTCCGAGCAAATACAGTTCTGCCAGCAGACAACGGCCAGACTCAAGACCAGCCAGGAGTGGCAAACTGGAAATGAGGATTGGGAGCAGAACCTGGTCTCAAGAGCATGACTTTACACGCATCACCAGAAGCTTCCTTGTGAAGCTCAAAAAGGGGGAGAAGGCGCAGGTCGCAGCCGGTCAGCCGCCGCGACTGCGCTCCGAGCCAGAAGAATACGTCCATGTGCTGAACCTCTGGGTGCGGATTCGCAAGGACGCCGGTCCATCTTGGCCTTTGCAGCTGGCCCCTGGTACGTGAACATGATCCCCTCAACATCAAATACAACTGGCCGCACGCTCTCCTCTAACGCAGGTCAGAATCACGCCCCTCCAAGGAGATCCTGCATGATTTGGGGGTCCTGCTCGCCGACCTGGCCGAGTCCAACCACCCTGCAGCGTCCCCCGGAGAGGCTCACCTCGCGATGCTCGCAGGAGCCTCGGCGCTCGGATGCGACGCGTCGACCATCAGCCTGACGCGCTGGTGGAATTCGAGGTTTCCGCAGACGGACATGGCCCTCTCGAACCTGTTCAGACCCGCCGCAGCCCGGTTCCGAGAGATTCTGAACAAGGGCAACCATCCGTACGCCCTCACTGTGGAGGCTCTTCGGCTCGTCAACACGGGCAAGCCGCAGGCTGCCCTAAGATTCGTTAATCGTGTGGCCCAAGTCACGGATGTGGAGTCTTTCCCTTGGAGGGATCTGTTGGAGTCATGCCAATCAAAGTCGCAGCTGCAACGCGAAGACAAGAGCGCAGCGTTGGAGGCGGCTCGCGATCCTAGTCAGCAGAGGTCCCAGGCTGCCATGGAGACTCTCATGAGGCATAGCCCGCTTGCGGCGGAGAGACGCCGCGCAGCAGAGAGGCACTTTATGATTGAACCGAATCTCGTGTCTCTGCGGTTCCTCGCTGAAGACGACGTTGCTAGCGAGCCAGTAGTGGGTGATGCTCAACAAGCCGAGGATATTATCCAGAAGGAGTGGAAACTTTTGTACAAGACCATGACGGAGGAGTCCAAGGAGGCAGAGCGATAACGCCCTGCGGGAACTATGTAGGGCCATATGTGGATTTCTGTCACAGCAGGCCGGGATGTACATACTCATATGTGAAAATTACTGTACTACTTATTCCTAAAATTAAGCGTCTGCTGCCTCTTTGACTGCTTCTTTGGCGGCGCTTCCGGCACGCTCTCATTCCTGGCACGTTTCTTTCCTACTTGCTGAGCCCCTTTATCATGGGTCCGCTGATCAGCACGGTCGGCATGCTCTCCGCCGTCGCTGTCATACTCATTCATGACTTCTGCCTCGTCAGGCGAAGGGAACAAATCCCTCCATGTGCCGTTGAGCACCCGTTCATCGTTCCCGTGCAAGCCGACTGCGTACGCCTTCTTCAACCCGCTGATGCAGACGTTCCTCCTCTCCGGAAAGTCAAACATGGGCTTCGGGTATGTTCCTTTCTCCCGATCTCCGAGACCGTCGCCTTGCACGCGGACGCCGGCCTTCTTCTGGTCCGCGATGGGGGCCTTCCACGGCTCGTAGATGTACTTCTTGTCCAGGTCCTTCAGCTCGGGGACGTACTTTCTGACCAGCGCACCCTCCTTGTCCCACTTCTGGCCAAAGCTAATGGGACTGTAACAGCGGTAGTATTGTGCAAAGAACGCCGTGCAGCTGAGCCACTGCCAGTTGCCGGCGTTGCAGGCTGGCTCGTGGTCCAGGAGCCACTCCTCGAATACCTCGGCGCCGCGCTCCCAGTCCACGTAGCAACCTCCTCTTGTGAGGAAGCAGGCTACGCTGTGTCGTCCTAGATGGTGTATCCAGCCCTCCTGCTTAAGCTGGCGCATGAGCGCGTCGATCCAGGGGAAGCCTGTCACGCCGTTCCTCCAGCGCTTGAACCAGATCTCTGCTTCTTCGGAGTCCACGTGATACTCCCCCGTGACCATGCCCGACGTGATATCCCGCTTCGACGGTAGATGCCAGGGTACGAAGCGAATATACGGGTTCGTCGCAGTCTGATGGAAGGGCGCCCCCAGGGCGGCCTGCGCCGCAAAGTACATGTCCCTGAAATACAGCTGCCCTGTCAGGCTCATGGGCGGCGACGATGCTCCTTTTCCGTACTCGGTCACGACGTCTTGCACGCGCCAGAAGAACTCGCGGACAGACAGAGCGCCAAAGTGCAGAAACGGGGAGAGGAGAGTCGTGGCCTGTGGCTCAAACTGCGCAGGGCTCGTCTTGGGCTTCTCAAAGGTCGCCGTGTACTTCTTATCCTCGATGATCTTCCCCAGTGCCTTGAGTGCGAGACTCTCGCCTCCCCTGATCGACGTCGTGGCGGACGGGAAGCCTAGCTCCTCCATGGTCTCAGTGGCGAAATCGCCATTCGGGCCCGCAATGTCCTTGTATGCCGTATCCTTGCCCTCTCGGCTCGGCTCGTTAAAGTCAGGCTGTGTGTCTGGCTCGTCCTGCTCGAAATCCACTGGCATCTGCCCCGGGTCCGGTAGGCTCTTGGGCGCGGCGATAGGGCGCGGTATGTCACCGACACGTTCGCCCGCGTGCTGCAGCTGCGCGATCGACATGGTGGGCTTGCCATTGTTCTTTTTGACGACCTCATCGCTGTCCCACAGCGTGCGCCCGGAGCGGACAACCACCTCGACACCCGCCTCCTCGGCAGCCTTGACGACCACCGCGTCACGCTCGCGGCCATAGACGTCCGTGTCCTTCTCAAACACGAGATGGGTCACCCTCCATGCCTTGAAGAGCTTTTTGAACAGAGTCTGGGGCCCCTCGCGCAAGACGAACAACTTGGATTTGGGGTTGAGTTCAGTGATGGACTTTGACAGATCATTCTGGCAGTCCAGGCTCGGATGAATTTAGCTATGAGACTCAACTGACCATAGATGAGTGAAACCTACAGGAATTGCCATCGGTTCAGTCCGCCCCGTGACCGATAGACATAGTGAGGGTCCCACGTGAAAACAGGCCACAGCACGGCCGGGTCGAGGTCAAGGGCGGCCTGCAGCGCTGGAGAGTCGTGCAGGCGCAGGTCGGTTCGGAACCAGTAGATGACTCTTGGCTTTGTCATACTGTCAATTGTGAGATGTGGTGTTTAGCGACAACATGACCAAAAGAAGCGCCCTTGTTTAGCTATAGTGATAGTCTAGCGCAAGTAGTAGTATCGTGTTAGTTCACGGGAGGCTGGAGCTGGAATCGATGATGTCAAGACCAGGGAGCCGTCACAGACACCACGAAAAAGCAACGACACGGCAATTGCGCAGAGAATCGAGGTCTTGTTGAAGAAATACGATGTACTGTCATCGCAATAAACAGATACATTCGTGTGAGTACCAATATGTATTGTCGATCAGCGAAAATCGTCGACGCCCAGATCATCCTCTGATCAGACGCGTATCAAATGTAGAATGATAGGGTGATCCACATGATATCTCCTCCCATGTTGGTCATAACAAGCAACGAGACGGCCCTCAACGCCATACACCACGCAGTCCATCCATTCCGACGTCCTCATTCCCCAATCCTCTTCAGATAGGTTTCGCCTGGCCCTCCACAAACTCGAGAGCCTCGTCTGTTGGCACGCAGCCAATGGAACTCGTCTTGTTCCGGAACGTCACGCCGTAGCACTTCTCGGCTACGTGCACAATCTCCGGTCGGAAAGTGGTGCAGATGAACTGAGTCTGTGCCTCGCCATTTGAGATCTCCACCAGGAGGCTGGCCACGGCCGTTCGGTACTGCGCATCGAGGTTGGCGTCCACCTCGTCGAAGATGACCATTGGGCTGCTCTCGGCCTTCTGCAGAGCGAAGATCAGGCAAAGAGCACACAGACTCTTCTGTCCACCACTCAGTTGCTGTATCCTCTGCTGTTCGTCGTGACTCTTGGAGTTGAAAGACACTCGGATCCCTACGCCAATGTAGTTCTCCACGCTGCGTCCGTCTCTGTTCTCGTCCTCGGACTCGTCTGCTGGCTCTGCGCGTTTGTCCGTGCGCCGTTGGATGACCAGCCTGCCTTGCCCCGCTGGCACAAGCTTCTCGAAGATCTCGGCAAAGTCGGAGGACACTTGCTTGAACGTACGTTCAATCGCTTCGTCCTTTTTGCGGTCCAGATGCTCCATGAGCTCCTCGATCGAGTTTTGCGAGTCGCTGAGCTCCTGCCGGCGGTTCATGAGCTGTGTCTGCTGCGTGGTGAAGCTGTTGTACTGTTCGAAAGCCTTCTTGTTCACATGCTTGTACTGGTCGAGCGCGTTCTTCACTTTGCCCAATCTGGAGGCGACCTGGGGAAATGTTAGCGCGTTGTTCAGAACGTCGGGGCAAACTATGACTGACCTGCTTGAGTCCCATCTGCTCATACTTTCCAAATGCCTCCTCCGGAAGAGCCCCGAGATCGCGAATGTTTTTCGCGGATTCTGCCAGCTTGGCGAGCACAATACCCTTGCCTGCGAGGGCTTTCTCAGCTGCCTTCTGCGTGTGTTTGATGCGCGCGATGATCGCAGCTTGCGTCTGCTCGAGCTCATCTTTTTGAGCAGTAAGCTCCTCTAGGTGGGTTGCCAATTGATCATACTTGGCCTCGGTTGCGCGAAGGTCGGCTTCCACAGTCTGCACAGCCTTTTGCGCCCTCTTCAGTTCCTTCTCGGCCGCTTTGAGACCATGGGCTGAGCCTCCCGAGGTTGAGTCCTCGAAAGCTTGGCTGTTGAGCCGATCGAGTCTCAGCTGCAGGTTTTGCCGCAAGTCAGTTTCAAGGATCTGCTTGCGACCGCCCAGTTCGCTCCGCGCTTTGGCAAGCTCGGTCCATTGCTTCTGGAGCTCTTGAACCGTCGTGCTCAAAGACTCCAGTTGTTGCTCTTCGGCGGCCGTCAAGTTCTTCTTGAACTCGCTTTGAAGTTCAGCTTCGCACGACTCCCGCTCGTCCATGAACGCATTCATATTGCGCTCGATGGTCTCTCGACGAAGCGTAGCCTCGTCGAGGGCTGTCCTTTGATTCTCCAAGTTATCCAACAGACTCCGTAGCTGGCGTTGCGCAGGCTCGTGGCCGCTAGCCACCTGGTCTAACCTATGCTGCGCTTTTGTCGCTTCAGACATAGCCGCCGTAATCTCCTGGTCTTTGGCTTCAATCTGGGCTACCAGATCTCTGCTCTGCTCCTCAAGACGGGTGAACTCATCGCGTGCTTCATTAGCTGCGCGGGAGGCTTTGATACGCGACTTGCCAGGGTCAACGTAACCGCCACTTAGTGCACCACGCTTGTTGGTTGTGTCTCCTTGGAGGGTGATGCTGTCCACGCCATGACTTCGGGAGTACTGAGCGCCAATGGCCAGGTTAGGGCAAATGATTGTGTTGCCAAAGATTCGCTGGAAGGCTGGCTCGAACTTGGGATCGTAAGTGAGCTTGCTGAGAACAGGTATCGCGTCTCGCGACCTCGGCATATTGACATTGCGCGGGCGGACGCGGTCAAGAGGTATGCAGGTAATTCGCCCACCACGTGTCTTGTTGAGGTGGTTCAGTAATCCTGAAGCTGTCACGTCGTTGTCCACCACATAGTTAAACAAGCGGCCGCCGGCGATCTGCTCCACCGCAACCCTGTAAGTTTCGGGTACTTCGAATAACTCAGCGACGGTGCCGTATACCCCTGGTATATCTCGCTCCTGTCTCAGCTGACGAAGAGTGTTCAGACCGCGTGACGCATCACGGTCCATGGTGTGCCGCAGCTCTTCTTCGGCCTGCCTTTTGACGTGGTCGGCATTGGCGACGTGCGACTGCAGTCTCTCATTCTCACGTCGAAGCATCTTTCGTTCCTCGTTCAGCTTGTCAACGCGGTCCCTGGCCTGACTAGCTTCTTCGGCAAGGTGGGTGCTGTCTCCGTCCCAGTTGCTCAGGCGTTCTCTGAGGTTCGCCGCCTCTTGCTCGCCTTGCTTGATTGCCTGTCGAAGTCGGACCAGCTCCTCGTCCACATCCATATTGTTTGCTTTCTGCTCCGCGACTTTGTTGTTCAGATCCTCGATAGTTTCTTGCAAGTATTCATCACGCTGTCGCTTGTTCTTGTACTGCGCACCGCGGTGTTGTTTGTTGAACAGCCGGGCCCTCTGCGCCTCACTAGTGTCCAGGTTCTTGCGTACCACGTCTTCCTTCGCCTTGGTCTTGTTGAAATTTGGGACTAGCTTGGCCAGCTCTTGCTCCTTGGCCGCAATCTCGGCCTTGACGGACTGTAATTCTGCGGCGTGCTGAGCGCGTGTTTGTTCTCGTGACGACTGGCTATCTTTGATATCCTTGGCTGTCATCTCGGCATTGGCGAGGGCCTTGGCATTGTCGCGTCGGTCTTCTTCCAACTGTGCCCTCTCGATCCGCAACAACTCCATCTCGCGCTGGAGCTTCTGCATATCTTGATCCAACTCTGCTAAAGCCGCCTTGTTGTCGTTGAGCTCGGCGCGGCCCTCGTCGGCGTCAATATTGTTTTTTTCTCTGGACTCGATTTCTTCGAGTCGTTCTTGCTGCAGCGCCTGCTCGCGGAAGTGATAAGCATACTCGAGGCAGCGCCTCTCGCGATCCTTATCTTGGAAGCCTCGTAGCTCTTCCTTCTCTTCTTCGAGCTCAGAGAGACGCTCTTCGATGTATTTGAGGAGCTCGTCGATTTTCTCGCGCTTGTTGTTCGTCTCGTTCATGATCTTTAGAGACTCGGCTCGGCGGTTTTCGTAGACTCGTGTACCCGCGACTTCTTTCAGCAAGTTGAGACGCTCTGACTCCTTCATGTTGGTGAGTGCCGTGACACGGCCCTGCGGAACGATATAGTATGGGTTGGACCGCGAGAAACCAGCGGACTCGAGCATGTTCATGACCTCTTGCTTCGGTACGACTTTTCGGTTGACAGAGTACTCGTCCTTCTTGAGACCAATGGTACGTCGCAAGACCACCTCTTCCGGCTCGTGGACAAACCGGCCATCGCTATTGTCGAATATGATCTCGACGTACGCGGACATGACTGCAGAGCCAGAGCCTTCGTGCAGCAGACCTTGGCGCTCCTCGCGACTCATGTTCGTGTAGGCATCGCTCAACACGAACCGAATCGCGGCGAAGAAGTTGCTTTTTCCCGATCCATTGCGCCCGACAATAACATTCGTTTTGGACGAGAAAGGCTCAATGACGGTCTGTTCCTTGTAGCTGCGGGCGGATGTCAGTGGTGCGCCTGTGGCCGCCGTCGCGGACGAAATCGGCATACCTTTTGAAGCCCTGAATGATGATCTGCTTGATGAACATGGTGGGCTTAGTAGGCGCTGACGCGCAACATGCGTGGACGTGTGGTTTGCGCTCGGCAGAGCTACGAGGTATCAGGTCGTTAAATTGGTCAAGACGCGTCTGCCCGCGATCAGAAGTGTCAATCAAGGTGGGCTGCAAGCGCGTTTACGGCCTTGGGCACGTGCAGCGGACAGCATGCTTTCGGTTACCCTACACCCTCTGCATTGAGACGGACCAACAACAGTCTATGACCACGGCAACAGTGTGAGTTCGACTCGCTGAGCCTCTTGAGTAGAGTCCTGGTGTTTTCAGGCTCACGCCTTCTATAGATTAGAGTCGCATGTTGAATAACCTAGCAACATCAGCAAGGGTGCTCGGCAAACATCATACATTGGTAGACGTTTAGAATTTGTCTCCATCAATTTGCACTTGCGATGATACCTATCAGACATTGAACACTTTATTATTGACCAAAATAAATAGCATTTTGGGCTCGACTATGAAATACACCAATAAAGCAAAGGATCTACGAGGCAAACGGAATAATCGTGCAGTAGTGCAAGTATAAGGTATCAGTAATACTCATTGCCTTGGTTGAAGGATGAGAAACAACAGATCGATCAGTGATCCCACGCAAGGTACGCTGTCCTTCTGCATGGCGCTAAGAACTCTAGCTCATTGCAGGCTTGGCAACAGGTATGATCACATCCACGACCATGTGCGCCTTTCTTGCGCAAGGCCAATCCTGGTGTAGGCCGAGACAAGAAAGAGTGCGGGGATAGTTGGCTATATCAGCTTATTGCGCATTTAGAGTTGTGAAGTAACTACTACCTTTGCGCTGCTCCAGAGCTTGAATTGTGAACGAGTGGCTGCGACGATCACCTGAAATTTCAAAATGAGCTGTGGGTTGGCGGTCGATCATCGTTTATTATACGTCTGAGGTGCCGACCCGATTGATAACCCATCCAAAAGAAGCGGCGGTGCGCTTTGTAAATATACGAAGAATGAACTAATTATTCGTCTGATGCCCGTTTTTGAAGGACCCCTATTTGAAGACTTCGAAGTTGCAATGGAATGGGTGATGTTGCACGTCATTCCGTTCCTCAAGCCTCCTCGCAATAGTGAATATTAATTTTTACACCGGATGCTTCCAAACAATCGCGTCGTTGTTAGTAAAAGCTTACTTGTTTCAGTTATAAAGCACTCATGCTATTAGGGATTCAACTTCAGCTCCCTAAACGGGCACATATTGCTATTGGTGCCACTGTGACTTGTTGACATTTCCGGATCCTCGGGCTGTGTACGACTGCGAGAGAAGACTTGTGACAGAAGTCGCGATGATGGAATTTCGATGTGAAGGGCAGATAGCGGGGACACTAATAGCTCCAGACACCAATAAAAGCCGGCGCAAGGGCTGAATTCCGTCTAAAGTAGGCACACTAGCCCGATGGGGCACAGGTCTGCACACCCTGTGCACTTGCAAGCTACTGCTGTGTGCACCTGCCAGTGCGGCCCAGCGGGACCAGCAGGGGCATAGCGGCCCCAGCCTGAAAAAATGACACTAAACAAAGGCAAAGAGGAAATTAGGCGAATGAGAGGACGACGGTCGCACGCTGTCACAGCGCGCGCCGCGTGTATAAAAATACATGCCTTCATCGTATACAAGGCCCGGCCTGCCCTCCACCCGATTTCCTCCAGTCCTGCTCCAGTTGAGCCTCCGACCCGTTGCACCTGCCACCTGCCGCACCACACCTGCGACGCGCTTGCTCCAGCAGTGTGCACCAGCCACACCCGAATCAGGTCGACGCACCGAGGCTCACCTTGAGCAATCGCAGCTCGGAGGACCTTCACATTTGAAGCCATCACCAATTTTCGACAGGCCATCTGTTTTTTGCGGAACAACATCATTTCCTTGCCCACTGCACCACATTTCATTGGTGCCAGAGAGCTTCCTTTCGGTCACTCTATCGATCGACGTGGTCATGCAGGGTTGATAAGGTCTTTGATACCTTTCTACTTCCTCTTGCATGCGTTGTTGTGGAGCACTGCTATAGGAGTGCGTGCATTGTGATTACGCAGCTCCTGCATTGAAGCCATCCCATCCGCACATTCTACTTCAAAGTAAGCCATTAGTATTTTGATATCATCCCCAGGGTCTTATCCTCGTCCGCGACGTATCCTTCCAGGCACCATCAAGCGTAGAAGCCACCTACATAGTTTAGGCAAACGCTTTCGCATGCCACACCTAGGCACCCTACGCAATCTTCAGTCACACAATGCATAGAATCACGTCAGGAATATTAGTCTAACTTCGGATAGCAGCAGCCTGGGCTATGAAGTCTCTCTCCAGAGCTTGGACTCCCATACAAAGATCATGGCTTCAAGACTTGATAGACTCGTCACGTAAGTCAATCAGGCTCAAGGGCGAGCGACACAAGATTGTGAAATGTATCAAGTGCTGACATTTCCATGTCAGGATTCTCGAGACGGGCAGTACTCGCCTCATTCGCGAGACTGCCGTGAATCAGCTGGCAGACTGGCAAAAGCAGCATCCAGATGAACTCTTCAATCTACTCTCTCGGGTAGTTCCCTATCTGCGGCATAGAGACTGGGAAACGCGAAGCACTGCAGCCAAAGCTATTGGTAAAATCGTCGAGCATGCGCCTTTGTACGAGCCCAATGCAGAAGACGGCACACACCCCAAGAAGGACGAAGCCAAGTCTGAAGAGGATCCCAAAAGAGAGAAAGATGTGGACCACGGCACCGTCAAAAAGGAGGAAGACGACAGCGCCAAAGATGACCTACCGGAAGAGAACACGTTCAAATTGGAGACTTTGGATGTCAACAGCATTCTTCAATTTGGCCGGGCACTTCTGCGTGGAGGTAATCCCGTCTGTGGGCTAGCGTCTTTGGACCCGTCGGAGCGACTCGCGCATCAAAAGAAAACGCTTTATGGGCGACTAGGTCTACTTGGTAGGAACTTTGAGGACGAAGAAATACCCGTTGACCTTGAACGTCTTGTGACGCCAACGCCGGCTGCGGAGCAAGCAGGTAACGGCAAAATGAAGGAAGAAAGCGCAACACCTGGGCATCAAGTGAGCGAAGCAGGTCTGAGTTCTCGACAACTCAACGTGCTCAAGCGCAAGCGCAAGCGAGAGGCCATGAAGGCGTCACAGGGAAAGAGTGGCTTTGGCGATCTCTCACTCCGCCGCTCAACCACGACGGGCTCTGAAGGACTCGGTGCAGAGGATACGCCGATGCCAGACTCTGATGCGAAGAAGAATGGCAAGATGGAAGAATACTTCAACCTTGACCGGCCTGGGGATGTCGACGAGGAGTCGAAAGTCGTCAGCGAGTACAAAGGCCCAGTCATCCCCATCAAATCCGAGTTAGAAACCGATAGTGTCCTGGAGGGCGCTGAATGGCCATACGAAAGACTGTGCGACTTCTTGAAGGTCGACCTATTCGATCATGCTTGGGAGACTCGTCACGGTGCTGCGATGGGTTTGCGCGAGCTCATCCGAGTCCACGGCGGAGGCGCTGGCAGAGCGTGGGGGAAATCGCAATCGGAAAACGACGCAGCCAATTGTGCTTGGCTTGATGACCTGGCTAGTCGGTTGTGCTGTGTGCTCATGCTTGATCGCTTCACAGACTACAGCTCCGATACGTCCGTGGCCCCTATCAGAGAAACTGTTGGTCAAACCTTGGGTTCAGTGCTCAAGCACCTGTCCCCCGAGTCCGTTCACAAAGTTTATTGCATTCTTTATCGCATGGTCATGCAGGACGACCTTACGCTAGAACGGCCTATCTGGGCTGTCGGACACGGCGGAATGGTGGGCATGAGATACGTGGTTGCCGTGCGGAAAGACCTTCTGCTTGAAGATAGCGACATGATTGATGGCGTTGCCCGTGCAGTCATGAAGGGACTCGGCGATATGGACGACGATGTCCGCGCCGTAAGTGCAGCTACATTGATCCCCATGGCCAAGGAGTACGTTGCCATGCGACCAGATGCCTTGTCTGAACTCATCGACATTGTCTGGGCAAGTCTTTCCAATCTTGGCGACGACCTCAGCGCCAGCACTGGACGCATCATGGACCTCCTGGCCACCCTTTGCAGTTTCCCCGAAGTCTTGGAATCCATGAAGGCCAGTGCAGCCGCGGATGAGGAAAGGTCTTTCACTCTCCTCGTACCACGACTGTACCCGTTCCTCCGACACACAATCACATCTGTACGCCTAGCCGTGTTAAAGGCGTTGTCAACCTTTGCGAAACTCGAAGGTAGCACCTCACAGGGCTGGCTTAACGGTCGTACTCTTCGACTCATATTCCAAAACATTCTCGTGGAGCGGGATCGCGAGACACTGAACATGTCTCTCGAGCTTTGGAGTGACCTTGTGAACAGCTTCGCTGACACACCAGCTGTTCTCGCTGAAGAGTTCAGCGCGCACTTGGAGCCCATGATGCAGCTTACACTGCATCCAATCGGCATCTCGCGCAACCCGGTGCCAATGAATGCCTCTCTGTTCCAGAAACCCTCCGGTGGTACTTACTCCGTACCTGGGGCGCCCCAACCCACACCCAGAAAGGCATCGTCCCCGGATGTGTCTGATCAACGGGCGACCAAGAGGCGTCGCAAATCGAACAAGATGGATGAGACACCAACGGCTAGCCTTACACATGATGTTGACGGGCAAATGATGCAAGGCGACGTGGACCTGGTTGGTATGGACGTGCTGATCCGATCTCGTGTGGCTGCGGCCAAGGCTATGGGCTTGATCATGGCACGCGTGCCTGCAGGCATGGTGAAAGACTTTGACGCCCACATCATCCCCCATTTCGCCTCCGGCTACTCTTCAACACAGCTCACAGCCTGTGCCGTGGTTGACGAATACGCCAAGAGGAGCCAGGTGCCAGGAAACGCGTCGCGCTACCTCGAGCAATTCGAGACAATAATCACAGGCGATCGGCCCCCGGCGTACCGCGATCTGCTCAGTTACATGCAGCGAGTACGTACTCAATGCGTGCAGCTCATGCACTTCTTTCGTGATCACGGCAAGGTCCCTCAGCAAAAATTACCCCTTCTGCCCGTGGTCGTCCAGGGCGATGCTGAGGCCGGGCCGAGTGCCTTTTCTCTGACCACCGCCGAGAAATGCGTCAATGAGGATTTCGAAAGGCTCAAGAAAGCTATGCCCCCAGGACAGCGTTTGATTGCAAGCCAGCAGTTGGCCGAACAGCGTGCGCTGGCTCGGTCCGTGATCGAGGAGGCCAGGTTGATCAAGGAAGCGCGCGATGTCCGCGTCAAAGCTGGCGCGGCCTGCGCCATTGTGGCCATCCAACAGCTACCGAAGAAACCAAGCCCTCTTATCAAGAGCATCATGGACTCGATCAAGACGGAAGAGAATCATGAACTGCAAAGTCGCTCATCGGATACCATTGCGAAGCTGGTGCAATTGTTTGCCGAAAGCGGCCGCCGTGGTCCAGCTGACAAGGTTGTCGCTAATCTGGTCAAATTCTCTTGCGTCGAAGTCGCGGAGACGCCCGAATTCCCGAACCACGCGTCTAGAACAGACGTCGTCCTCTCTATGCTTAAGGAGGAAGACAGGGTTGACCATGCAGATGCAGCGAAATTTGCTCGAGAGTCCAAGGCCGCCAGGATCATGCGTCGTGGTTCGAAAGAGGCGCTCGAAATACTATCCCGCACATACGGAGCAAAGCTGCTCGAGACCGTACCCAAGTTGCAGTCGTTCATGGAAGAGCCCTTGGAGAAGGCCTTCAGTGGCGAATTGCCTGCCGAGGCTAAGGACCCTGAACAGTCGTTTGGCCAGGAAATTGTCGATGCAATGTCCGTCATCCGTATGATGACGCCGACATTTGACGTTGCGCTGCATCCATTCGTGATGCGGATGATGCCGCTGGTCATCAAGGCTCTGCACTCCGAGCTCTCTGTGTTCCGGTACATGGCCGCCAAGTGTCTTGCCACGATATGCAGTGTCATCACGATCGAAGGCATGACGGCCTTGGTGGAGAAGGTTCTGCCATCGATCAGCAACCCAACTGACCTGCACTTCCGACAGGGAGTGACAGAAGCAATCTACCACCTGATCTCGGTCATGGGTGATGCCATCCTGCCATATGTCATTTTCCTCATCGTGCCCGTCCTTGGACGAATGAGCGACTCTGACAACGACATCCGACTCCTCGCTACGACTTCTTTCGCTACCTTGGTCAAATTGGTACCGTTGGAAGCCGGCATCCCGGACCCCCCAGGTCTCTCGGAGGAGCTTCTCAAGGGGCGAGATCGCGAACGAACCTTTATCAGCCAGTTGCTGGACCCAAAGAAGATTGAGCCCTTCACCATCCCAGTTGCTATCAAGGCGGAGCTTCGCTCGTACCAGCAAGAAGGTGTCAACTGGCTCCACTTCCTGAACAAGTACCACCTGCATGGCATTCTCTGCGATGACATGGGTCTCGGCAAGACCTTGCAGACTTTGTGTATTGTGGCCAGCGATCATCATGAGCGCGCCGAGAGATTCGCCAAGACACAGGCGCCAGACTCACGGCGATTGGCATCCTTGATTGTGTGCCCCCCTACACTCTCCGGTCATTGGCAGCAAGAAATCAAGACCTATGCGCCATTCCTCAGCGTGACGGCTTATGTTGGGTCACCGACGGAGCGCAAGTCCATGCGGGATCAGCTTGGCCAGACCGATATCGTGATCACGTCGTACGATGTCTGCCGCAACGAAGTTGATGTTCTCGCAGAGCACAACTGGAACTACATCATCCTGGACGAGGGTCACTTGATCAAGAATGCCAAGGCCAAAATCTCTCAGGCCGTCAAGAGATTCGCATCAAATCATCGCCTCATCTTGACTGGAACCCCGATCCAGAACAATGTCGTGGAGCTTTGGTCGCTGTTTGACTTCCTCATGCCTGGCTTCCTGGGCACCGAGAAGGTGTTCCTCGATCGTTTCGCCAAGCCCATTGCCGCCAGTCGGTTTAGCAAAGCGTCTACCAAGGAGCAAGAGGCCGGCGCAATCGCCATTGAAGCGCTGCACAAGCAGGTCCTTCCCTTCCTGCTTCGGCGTCTCAAGGAAGAGGTCCTCAATGACTTGCCACCCAAGATTCTACAAAATTACTATTGCGATCTCAGTGATCTGCAGCGGAAGCTGTTCGAAGACTTCAATAAGAAGCAGGGCAAGGCAATCGCCGCTGACGCGGGTCGCGAGGACAAGGAAGCCAAGCAGCACATCTTCCAAGCCCTGCAGTACATGCGTAAGCTCTGCAACTCCCCTTCACTGGTGATGAAGCCCGACAACACCATGTACAATGAGACGCAGCGCATCTTGCAGAAGTCCGGTACGTCGATCGAGGACGTGGTCCACGCACCCAAGCTTAGCGCTCTTCGGGACCTGTTGGTGGACTGTGGCATCGGCGTTGAGGGTAACGAGTCCAACGATCCTCTATACCAGCCCATCAAGCCTCATAGAGCGCTCATTTTCTGCCAGATGAAGGAGATGCTGGACATGGTGCAAAACACTGTGTTCAAGCAGCTGCTCCCATCAGTGTCACATCTCCGCCTCGACGGCTCCGTCGACCCCAGCAAGCGGCAGGATATCGTCAACAAATTCAACAGCGATCCTTCATACGATGCCCTGCTTCTCACCACCAGTGTTGGAGGCCTTGGTCTTAACCTAACGGGCGCAGACACTGTCATCTTTGTGGAGCATGACTGGAATCCTCAGAAAGATTTGCAGGCCATGGATCGCGCGCATCGCATCGGTCAGAAGAAGGTCGTCAACGTGTATCGCCTGATCACACGAGGTACTTTGGAGGAGAAGATCTTGAACCTGCAGCGCTTCAAGATTGACGTGGCCTCGACCGTCGTCAATCAGCAGAACGCCGGGCTCCAGACCATGGACACCGACCAGATTCTGGATCTCTTCAATCTTGGTGACAGCGGGCCTAATCTCATCAACGACAAGAAGAAAGATGACAGCTTTGAGGGTCGCGAAGAGGACATGGTGGATTTGGAAACCGGCGAGGTCAACAAGCAGCCTGGAAAGAAGGCTTGGCTGGAGGACCTTGGCGACTTATGGGACAAGGAGCAGTACGAGGAAAGTTTCGACCTCGACGAATTCATGAAGAAGATATAGGACGCTCTGAAGGGCTCCCGTAAGGTGTACTTATATAAATATGTACAGTATTGGTTGGCATAGGTGGGGTACAAAAGCGACGGAAAGCTTGCGGCGTTCCGGAGGCACATGGGTTGGGGTGAGCTCGGGCTTTTCCACGGAGCTTGAGTCAACGGAGACATCAACATGCATTTTTTTTTTAATCCAACACAGATAGCCGCTTCAAATATCATTGCATTCTTAGCCATTCCTAGACGGACGTTCCATTTGTGAAGGCACTGACTGTTTGGTGATGGTGGGGTACAGCGCAGCATATCATTACCCCGCCAGCGTCACAATTCGCAGCTGTCTGGCCCTGCGAGGTCCAGCGTCCAACACTCATCCAGAATCTTCCACGACCTGGGATATAATTCAGGACCCTCGACCCCCCATCGCCTTGGACTGACATTGAACACGCACTCGGACTCACAATCCTAGTGACAGCAAGACTTCCACACGCCAAGATGCCCGTCGACTACAGCAAATGGGTAGGCGCCACCTTTTGAGCTCCCATGTCTCGTCGTGATCCCCTCTGACATTTCCCCAGGACAGCCTCGAGCTCAGTGACGATTCGGACATTGAGGTCCACCCCAATGTCGACAAGCGCTCCTTTATCCGCGCCAAGCAGAACCAGATCCACCAAGAGCGCCAGCAGCGACGCTTCGACATTGAACGTCTCAAGTACGAACGAATCATCAACGATGGCCTTCTCAAGCGCATATCGTCCCTCGTCGCGGCGCTCAAAGCCCACGCCCACGAAGCGACGAGCCGTAACCCCGGCGAGGTGGCCTTCCAGGCCGTGATGGAAAGTGCGGGGAAACCGGAGGAGGACCAGCCGCCCAAGAGGCCCGAGGGTCTCCAGGCTGCCGAGGGCGAGGAGAACCCGACGTACTCCAAGATGATGGTGGCGTTGCTGGACCAGGTGAACAAGGCCCTGGACGAGAAGAAGCCCGAAGATCGATACACGGCCATGACCGAGGAAGTGCAGATGCACGAGAACAAGGTGCTGGACCTGCAAAGGCAGCTGGAGGAAAAGCTCGCGGAGCTGGAGAAGGAGGAGAAGAGGAAGATTACAAGCGATGCGTACCACACGGGGTTTGACAGCTCGCACGTGTCCAAGTCGACGCTGGAGGACAAGGCAAAAGAGGAAGCCGCGCAGAGTGGACAGCAAAAGAAGCAACCGGAGCTGTTGAACCCAAAATTCAAGCCTGCAGACACGCAAAGCAAGTCGACACCGGACGATGGAGAGGAGGAGGAAATGGAAGCGTCACCGGACGCCAAGAAGTTTGCTCAGTTCAAGACGAATGACTTTAGGGGCAGCGCGCAGTTCATCAGTGAGCATCCTCACATACTGAAGGAGAGCGAGACGGACGGTCTCATGGTGCTGGCATTCGACGCCGCTCTGGAGATGAAGGACGAGTATGCGCGGCAGTGCGTGCACCAGGCCCTGCTCCTCCAGTACTGCCGGCAACTTGGCCGTGACGGCGTGCCGCTCTTCTTCAAGCGCATCACCACAAAGGACCATCAGGCGCAGCAGATGTTCTACAAGGACGTGCAAGACACATATATGCGCATCCGCAACCGTGCCAGAGAGATTGTGCGGGAGCGGACAATGGAGGAGCAGCAAGGTGGCGTCGAGCAGATCCAGCTACACGCCATGGAGGAGGGCACGGTGATCAACATTCGCATCCCCGAGAAGGGCAGCCAGGACGAGGAGGAGCAACGCGCGAGGAAAATCTTTGAAGGGTTCTCGGCGGAGATGCGCAAAGCGCTCGAGTCGGAGAGCCTGGATGAGGTGAACAAGGTTCTGGGCGAGATGAAGGTCCCCGAGGCGGAGGCCATGGTGGAGGCGTTCGGCGAGGTAAGCACACTGTGTCGCGAGTATGGAGAGGGCAATGCTAACGTGGATGAACAGGCCAACATTCTCAGTCTCGAGGAGAAGATTATTGACGCAACAACGGAGGAGGGTCAGAAAAAGCTCAAGGAGCTGGAGAAGGCCGCTGCCGCTGAGGAGAAGTATGATGATCCCGAATGAGGCACACAATAGCGTGATACCGGAATGCTGTATACCACAGAGATGCTCTCAGTCAATGAAGATACGTAGTGCTACAGAAGAGATAGCAAAGTGTCGATATTACGAGGTCGAGAGCTTCACCGTGGGACGGAGAGGATAAAATGGATAAAAATAGGTTATGCAAGCCACCGATCTTCACTGCCTGCCTGCATTGAAGATCAAGTCTAGACTAGTCCCCAGGAGGATAAGCGCCCCAGGGGCACTTCAGAGCACGAAGCTTGGCCTGGCCTGGACATTGAGACCAGATCCAACCTCCTCGCCACGATGCATAAAGAATATTCATTCTTGCTAAAGACCGTGACTTGTAATTAGAGTGGCCGTCGAAACGCAATCTGCGTCGCTACGTATTTGAGCCCTCGTCCACCAACTGCCGATCGCCATCGCCTCCACTCCTAATTAGACCTCTTTGTGAGCGCCAACAGCTTCCACCCGGCACTGGTCCACGGCCAGCAGTGCCCCAGCATGAATGGTATCATGATGCGCCCAACGCTTCAATGATCGGGTTCGATGCTTCGAGGCAGCAAGCCGCGCGGTTTCAGGGTCTTTCCGCTGCCCAGACCTGGCACACAGGAGGCGGTGGGCGACTCCACTGGCTGACGTTTGAGGAGGCGCAGCATTTCACCGTTTGATCTTCCTTCATTCATTCGCACACAATGAACAACGCCAATGTTGCTTCGCCCAAGTCTGATGTTTGTGTGTTTTATGCGCAGAGTCTGTACAAGAGCAAGGGACATCTTCTGATTACAGTACTCTCCTTATTCTATTCCATCCCTATTGCCAACCTCACTTCCTCACCTACTCCGTATCTTACATTTCCTTCTCGACTGTCGCTTATCCTATTTCCTGACTTCCATTCACTACGCCGTGCATATCATTTCTAGAAGCATTGCTAGCACATATTTCCAAACGCAGAGACAGCATGTGGTTCTCAGCACGGTCCTGTCTCGTCGCCGCAGCTCTCTTCTATGCATCCAACGCTCTTCCACAGGCCACAAGTGCTGATGATTCGACATCAGACGGCGCCAGCGCCCCCGTCGCCTGCAACAATTCGCCTTCACTCTGCTCCCGCCGCTACAACGAGGTCACACATCTCGGTGCCCACAATTCGTATGCCCTCCGCGATGCCTCAACGGACAACTCGATATCAGGGAACCAGTACTTGAATGCCACCCGGGCGTTAGACGCTGGCCTGCGGTTGCTGCAGGTTCAGACGCATCAAGGCGACACCACGCTCCAGCTGTGCCATTCGTCGTGCAGTTTGTTGGACGCAGGACCGCTAGAGGATTGGCTGAAGCTGATCAACACGTGGATGAATGAGAACCCCAACGAGGTTGTGACGCTCCTTGTCGTCAACGCCGACAACGCCGTCCCCGCTGACTTTCAGTCGGCTCTGGTCCAGTCCGGCCTGAGCGAGAGGTCGTACGTGCCGACCACAGCAGGCGCAACGGCCGATTGGCCGACGTTGCAGACCATGATCGACAGCAACACCCGCTTCGTCTCCTTTGTCACCAACCTCGACTATGACGCCACCGCCGCGCCCGCGGTGCTGCCAGAGTTCGACTACGTCTTTGAGACGCCCTTTGACGTCCAGGAGCTAGACGGGTTCAACTGCACGCTTGATCGGCCCTCGGGTCTGGACTCGGCCACGAATGCGTTGAGCCAGAACTACCTGTCCCTCGCGAATCATTTCAAGTACAGTTCCCTGGGCACGCTGGGCATCAGCGTGCCAGACGAGGACAACATCGAGACCGTGAACAGCAAGTCTATCTCCGAGGTGGGCGCGTTGGGCACGCACCTCGACGCTTGTCGCCAGGAGTGGGGCGGGGTTCCAAACTTTGTCCTGGTCGACTTCTTCAACGCAGGCGAAACGATTGTGGCGCTCGACTCGATCAACGACGTCTCTGATGCCGAGGGCAGGACCCAGCCAGAGGACGGCGGCAGTGGTGCCGGACTGAATGCCGCGGGCAGGCTGCACAGCACGTCTTTTGGTGCTTTGGTGGCCTTTGGGGCGGCGGTCTTCTTGCTTTGAGTACTTTGCACGAGCCTGCGGGCCGTTTTGATTTGTTTGAGTTAGGGGCATAGCGTGGCGTTCCTTTTTAGAGTACATAGTAATGGATGCCGATCATCCCCCGCTAGATTGTCTGGGGGTTTATCAGTCGAAGTCATCGCGTCCGTAAATAGCCCGGCAGGTTAGCTCTGCGGGCTTCTGAGCGGACATCTATGTGCCATGGTACTTGCAATGGCAAACTTGGACAGTGCCATCGGCGGCGATGACATATCGTGGGTGCTTGTTGGCCCAGGTCTCTGAGGATGCATAAGAACTGAGAAGAACGAAATCTACGAATCGACATGGAATTTGTTCACTGGCCACGCTATATGTGAGGTCTTGCCTACCCGGTATGCTTCAAGTTGCGCGCTACACATCGACTCCTCCTACCGGCATGTGCACTCACGATCTCAACGATAGCACCCATGGCCAGCTTTCGTACGCCGATCCGCATTGCATTGAATCGTTGCACTGTCTCGCGACCAGCTCGCAGTCTGCCATCACTATCTCACAAGTTTCCATCATTGAAAATGGACTACAGCTCCATCAACACCCCGCCAGCTTGTTATGCCGACTTTTGCCTGGTGCCGGTGGGTTTGACATCAGTGTCACTCGATGAGCTTCAATGCTGATGGAGAACAGGTCGGCACGGGTACTACTTCGGTCGCAGCGGAGGTCGCTGAAGTACAGAAAGTCATAAAAGCCAGCGGACTCAAGTACACGATGCACTCAGCCGGCACTACCCTCGGTACGTATGATTCTCCCCTGGATGGAGATGGCCGTGGAATATAAGAAATCGCCGCTAACTAGCAGTGAAGAAGGCCCATGGGACGAGGTCATGACAGTCATTGGCAAAGCTCACACCGTCGTCCACCAAACCGGCGCTGTCCGTGTCCAGACGAGCATGAGGGTTGGCACGCGGACTGACAAGAAGCAGACGGCGGAAGACAAGGTCAAGAGGGTTAAAGATCTTCTCGAGAAGTCGGAATAGGGGTGGTTTGTCTAGCGCAATACATCCACAGCCGCTATTCCAACAGTATTGTGTGGTATAGATCTATGTATACCTTGACTCTAAGTTTCTTGTCTGACAAACGGAGTGATGGCACAAGAGGCGGAAAACACTATGAATAATAAGACTACTAGTCAGGTATTATCTTGGAACTTCTTGATTAGAACACTTGGTTGTGGCTTGCAAGCACAAGTAGTTTGAAGGTACCTCACGATACGCTGTCTGCTCTTAACAGATCTCCACCCACACATGGCGATTGATTGATAGTGCATCTGATAGTACCCACGGCGCAAGCCACCTTCGATGACATGTGCTCGTCATTGATCACGCCAACCGCACATCACGCCCCAGTTAACAGCACGCTGTCGCAGGTGATCGCTGCATCGAGCTGCCATCCCGCCCGACTCTCCGAACGCGGGCAGATCATCAGGAACTAAGCCTTCGACAGACGGCGTCACTCGACCCGGCACGAACGACCATTACCCCTCGACAAGTCCGTCGATGTAGCCGACCTGTTTCCCATAGCATCCCCGAGTTGGTTCGACCTCCAGTAAAGCGACAACCTGCGACGGAACCAAGACGTTCAAGACGCGATGCTGGGTCCATCTAGCAAACCATACGGGACGCAGGCCTCGTCCAGCAATGGCGCCGAGTACGAGCCACTGAACGCGAGCGACGACGTGACCATTGCCGACTCCGACGATGTAGAGCAACAATCACGACGCTCGAGCCTCGAGGGCTCAACCATGCACAGCCGCGCCGACGAGGTGCCCTTCTCCCGGCTCGAGTACGCCATCTTCCTCCTCCTCGGCGTCGCCATGCTCTGGGCGTGGAACATGTTCCTCGCCGCCGCGCCGTACTTTGCCGCGCGCCTGGCCGCCTCACCCTCCATACAGGCAACTTTCCAGCCGTCGATCCTCGCCGTGTCGACCGTGACGAACCTGGTGGTCATGCTAGTCTTGTCCAACATGCAGAGCAAGGCCTCCTACCCACTGCGCATCAACCTGGCCCTGTCCGTCAACATGCTCGTGTTTGTGTTCCTCACGGGATCGACCGTGCTTCTGGCCCACGCCACGCCCAAGGTGTACCTGGGCTTCGTGCTCGTCATGGTCTGTCTGAGTTCCTGGGCGACAGGCCTGATCCAGAACGGCGCCTTTGCCTTTGCGGCGAGCTTTGGACGGAGCGAGTACATGCAGGCACTCATGGCCGGACAGGGCATCGCGGGCGTGCTCCCGCCCTTGACGCAGATCTTCTCGGTCCTCGCGTACCCTCCTTCTACCAAGGAATCCGATGGCGGAGAAGACCAGGCCTCAGCGTTTCTCTACTTTATCACCGCCGTGATCCTCTCGCTCGGCACCCTCATTGCCTTCATCCCTCTCTCGAAGCGACACGCACAGATCGTTGAGAGGCGCCTAACGGCCGAGATGGCCGGGTCCGTAGCCTCTGTCGAGGAAGCTGAGCAGGCCGCGCGCAAGCCCGTCTCGTTGCTGCGCCTCTTCTCCAAACTACGCTGGCTAGCGCTGGGTCTGATTCTGACATTCACGGAGACCATGTTCTTCCCGGTATTCACATCCAAGATCTTGTCTGTCAACGACGGACCCAACGCAGGCGCCCTGTTCCACCCGGCAGCCTTCATCGCTTTTGCCTTCTTGTTCTGGAACATTGGTGACCTCAGCGGTCGACTGGCCACGTCTCTGCCGTTCTCCTTGGGAGACAGACCGTTCCTACTCTTCCTACTGTCGGTAGCACGGGCGGCGTATATACTGCTGTACCTCCTCTGCAACATTGGCGGGCGTGGCGCCATCGTGCCGTCCGACGCATTCTACCTCGTCGTTGTGCAGCTCATATTTGGCCTGACAAATGGCTGGCTCGGCGCGAGTTGCATGATGGCAGCGGGCGACTACGTGGAAGACGAAGAGCGGGAGGCCGCTGGCGGTTTCATGGGATTGTGTCTAGTTATTGGACTGGCAGCGGGAAGTTTCCTCAGCTTCACGGTAGCTGGCGTGTAAGCAAGCAACACAGACATTGTATACGAATGTCTTTTTGCCACGACTCATGAAATTACAAAGTATACGACATGCTTCAACATGAAACTCTTGCACTGGGCGCTCAACTCGTGATTTTGAATACCTCCCGCCTATTAATTTGAAGATACTGTTGCCTCTGAAATCTCACTTGCCCATCCAATGCTCCCACTCATGCAATCCATATGCCGTGATATACCAAACCCACCCTGCAACAAATGCCGGCAATAACTCCAGAAACATGCTCACCAAGAACGTCCTGTCCCTTGTGGTCTATTTCACATTCAAAGGAAAGCTCAATCGCTTTGACTGCTCTTCAGTCGGTCTGGGAGCCTCCTTCCGATGGGCTTCGAGCCCAATGTGCACCTGTTTTGCACGTGTGTAGACTGTATATATCTTGGTTTCGTCCAGCGAGCAGTGTGCATCTTTATCGACGTACGGCGTCACATTCCTTGCGGCGGCCCGAACATGGATGACCTCTGGCACTTGTCGCTTGGGCTGCGACAATTCGAGTACACAACTCGTTGGCGGACGATAGAACGAGCCCTCGCATAACAGCCAGTCGGCAGTATAGAATCCACCGTCGATGAGATTCTGCTCTGTGCTTCGCCAATAGCTCAGCCTATGTTCAGAACTCTTCATGTCAAAGTCTCCGAACTTGATCTTGAGAGGACCAACAGTGCACCGACCGTTGGTCGCTCTCCGAGTCACCTGGGCGAAGCAAGTGCAGTCCCGAAGGGTCATGGCAAGCGCAAATCCTTGGTCGTTACTGGCAGCGCCCAAGGGACCGACCCGGTCCAGTTTTTCTTGCGCATCCCTGAGCTGTGTGAAGGCCTGCTGGTCACGGAGTACATTGAGCTCAGCGTGGAGATGCTCACTGTTACCGAGCTCCCCAAGCAGTGGCAGTAGCCGATGGGCGCTCTCTGCACGGACGTGATTGCCTTCAGCTCTCCCAAGAGCCAGCGGGCATGGCTTGGACATGGTTGGGATGGGTCTGTCCACGTCCGCTTCCATGACATAGCCCCAGAGTTCCTTGGCACATTGTCGGCAACGTGTAGCGTCCTTTGGCGCGCTGGGCGACTGAGACAGCCATTTAGGTTTGAACTCGACGATGAGATGGTCCGTACCTGCGATTGTTAGTTGACCGCGGCAACACGTGTTGAAGAAGAAGGCGGGAACTCACTGTCTGGCCGCATGTCCTCCACGAGGAAGCCCCAGTCGCTTTGGCCGACAAATGTACCCCTGAACTTGCCTTTGCGCGTATGGTCGATGCGCCGCAGGTGTGCATTGATAATATCAATGATGTCTGAATTTTGCAAATCCACCAGCTCTTGGTGTAGTACGTAGCTCCCTAAGATAGGCTGTATACGGTCACGATAATACTGCGCCTGCTCGATGTAATCAAATTTTGGCCGATCATCTTCAACGAATTCCTTCGCAAGCCGAATCAAAAGGCCTGATGTAGGTCAGTAATGCAATCGGCGCTGATCATCGAGCAATCTGGTGCGCCTGTAGCGGCAGAGGTAGTGGGATGAAGCTGGGTGACGACGTACGTATACCATCGTGGGTGAGAAAGCTTCCGTCTGGCAGGCAAAACTCGAAGACAGCATTGGCTGCACCTTCGCCCACCATTTTCCCCAAAGTGCAGCCCTTTGGCAGAGCTTTGAAGGGCACTCCGCCCTGGCGGGTCGCCCAAGATGCATTGCTTGAGGCGCTGAAGGCCCCAGATGTCGAGGGCGGGGGGACTGGGCCTAGTTGCCGTGGTCTGTTACAGTCGCGGGTACTCGCCGGGAACCCCAGGCTCGGTGAGCGGATGTCGAGGGTGACACCGGCAAAGGCAGAAGGCGAACTCAGTTTCGGAGGTGATTCCCCCAGCGTCATGATTGGAGCGCGGCGAGTGCCTTGCATCAAGCTGCAAGGCACAGCGGGGGAAGCCTGCAAGGTTTTAGTTGACCGGTGTAGAATATTAGGTAGCAAGGAGCAACGCTGCTGTGGCAGCTAATCGCAGCGCTACTTTAGTCCGGGGCCATGTGAATTGGTGAGAAACCTGGCGGTAATTAAGGTGACTGCTGCGGTTTGTTGGAAAAGGGTTACAGATGTTGTCAGGTTACAAATTGGCGGCGTTGACGCGATGGTGATGAGGGGAAGAGCCGAAAGACAGAAGAAGAAGGGCCTTTGCTCGAGTCAAGTCGCGACCAGCGGCAAGCCCGATTGAGGGACGTCCTTGCCTTTTATTAATGCCATTGGTACGCGACAATTGGAAGAGGAGATGGAGTCATCGCAGGTGCGACCAAGGCGCTGAACAGGCAGCGCAACCAACTCGAATGCCAATAAAAAGTAATTACGAGTACCCAGATTGTGATGACGCCTGGGCCTGACTGGAGGTAATAACCACGCACGTACGTTATTATTAGCGAGGCGCGACTGCGTGCCTCCTGGACCGTGGACGCGGCTCACCACCATATTGGCAGACGCCGGCCATCCGCAGACATCGCCCAGCTCCGGATTACGATCACCTGCAGACGATTGCTCCCACGCGGTCCATTACGGGTGGTTGTAGAGAAGCTATTGTTGGCATTACCCAAGGGATCAAGGGACAGAACCTGAGTATGTCACGCGCAGCAAGGTGACACATTCGACAGTCTTTTTGGTATGTCAGACTGGATGATAGCCATACGCTAGCTATAATCACCACCTGCCTCGACCGCCGGACCAGCTTGTGGCATCCGTACAGCGTCGTTATATCACTCGTGCATCTCATCGTTTTTGGACTTTGGGAAAGCTTCGCCATGCCCAATGGCCGACGTCAATTCAGCATTCCATGATATAATAATCATGCAAAAATGGCCAGCATAGGGCCGGTCGGCCCGGTCCTGCGAATTGTACTTCGTAGCAATGTGATTATCCGTCGAGTGGAGGTGTAAATGCAGCCACAGATGCAGATGCACGTCTTCGTTCTGGTAGCACTGTGATTCGCTAGTCGCGCTGAACCAAGAGATTTGCTCACTGGCACCCGTCATGCGCCCACCTTGCTGCATGGTACCTATTAGTGAGGATGATCAGGCTTCACTGAAGCGTTTGGTCAACTGATAGAAAGTGCTGCTGGTCTATTATTCAGATCCGAATTGATGTAAACAGTTGACGCGGATGGTATCAGCACACGCCTCTGGTCGATTGGACGAAGTAATACCCACAAACGTCGGCGCCAGTGGTTGGTAGGTATACGGCTCAGCTGCCACCAAGGGGAGTCACCAGACAACGACGTAATACGTGTATTGTACCGTGATAACATACTATATACTAGTAGATGCCTGGCAATGCATTGCTTTCATGCAAATGACTATCATGAAGATGCTAAACACGACTAGCTAGACCAGTATTGTGCAAAGGAGTCGCGTCGCACTACATTTTGAGGAACAATCTTGGATGCCTTCGTGAAGGACCGGATTGATCTCATGGTGCATGAGACTCCGCCTCTAGCACGGGTGCGAAAGTGCTCATTTTCGAAAATGGTACCAGCTCGGGGCCCGAAATCCGGCTTGCCCCGTGTGAATTTCCGTAGTAAAACACTTGACGGGTTTGCACAACGTAGTGCGGGCTGACAGTGCACGCGACAGGGCGTCCCTCCAGCGTCATCCCCACGCTGCGACCCTGCAAATTCTGTGTGAAGCGCGGCACCCATTCCATAGCTTCTTGGAATTGCCCTCTCCTAATCACACTTCTGCCCTCCTTCTCCAAGGCATTATCAGTATTAACTCGACCACTGCCAGCGTGTATCACCTCAATCTTTCTCAAATCAGAAGCTTGCGGCACGGCGACTTGTCAATAATCTTCCTGGCCAGTCAAGCAACTCTCGAAACTCGATCCTTGATTCTCCGAGCCTCATATCGCACTGCATCAACAGCATCACAAACATCGGACCCTGATGGTCGCGCGACAGGCGACGCCATACAAACATGGCCTTCAACTTTAACTGGTCGCCTCTCACGGCCGATGCGGACTTCTACGCCCGAGCTCGCGATCTTTTGACAAATGCTCTCAATAAATCGCCCAAACCGCCCATCATTGTCGATGACATCCTCGTCTCGGAACTCAACCTGGGCACTGTGCCCCCGGATCTCGAGATCCTGGAGATCGGCGACTTGGCAGAGGATAGGTTCCGTGGAATCTTCAAGATGTGCTACACAGGCGATGCCTTCTTGACACTCAAGACCCGAGTGCAGGTACGTCGACGCTCGATGCCTCCGATTTGTGCCCTCCCTTCGTCGCATCGCCAGACCTCGGGGTTGCGTGACGGCCTCCCGACAACGCCCGATCTCACGTTCTCATGCACCACAAACAACAAGATCCTTTCTGCATTTCACACGATACCCGATTCCCTTCGCTCAAAATTCTCTTCAATCATCATTCCACAAGCTGCGAACGAGTGTTTGCGGCATCTGGCAGAATTGCGTCACAACTGATGTTATGATTGCGCTCCAAATGAACGGCGTGAGGAACCACCAACCTTGAGACACCAATGTGACTGGTCTCAACACGACGTGATTGCAAGACTGTCTGCAATACACTTGCAGCCAAATCTTGTGGCGCGACGCGTCGACGGTCTTGCGATTGCTTGAAACAGCACCCCCCTGTCTGAACCAAATTGCAGCTATAACAGGCGCTGATATACAAATAATAGGCAAATCCACTCAACACCTACCTGGACTCGAAGCCAAGCTTCACATCCCCGAAGCCTCTTGCTGCCGCGTCTGGTCTAACGATTCCATTGTCAATCACATTGTCGGAGATCAAGCTCTCGGCCTTCATTATTCTTGTGTTCTCCAAGCAAAAAGGCCTTACCATTGTCTTTCGAAATGACCCTCTCGAGTCACTCAAGGTCTCATCGACCTTTGACTCGATACAGTTCGTCCGTGACTATTTGCAACGCACAATTGAGCAACAGCTGAGAAACCTGATGATGGACGAGCTACCGGCGATCATTCACAAATTATCATTGCAACTTTGGTGCCCTGATCAGGTCAACAAGGCTGCTGACGTACCGAAACCGGGCGAGGCCGACGAAGCAGGCATAGATCCTTTCTCAAGCCCTCCAGAAGACCCGGTGGACTCAAATGGGAACCCAGTGGATCTCAACACCTTGTCCGAGCTCTCTGCCAACGGAGCCGGCGAAATGCAAGGCCTTTTCTCTCAGAAGAACCTTTTGCGACTGGGCGCCTTGACCGATTCACACCGCACACTGTCACTTTTCACGCCGGGTATCAGTGACGTCGTGTTCCGCGCGTGGTCCGGCCCTGGGAAGGGTTCTGATCAGCTCACGCCTGCTATCGGTACACCAAGCTTGTCGAGAACGCACTCGGCCATTGTTGGCAACAGCACGACCTACACATTCTCCGATACAGGAAGTCATGCACACGGCCACCTGCCGAGCAGGCCTTCTCTAGTCAGTCTACAGTCCGCCTCCGCCGGCATGGCACTCGGTGCTGGTGGGCGTGCGCGAAGCGGCCGCAAGAAGAAGACCCGCGTAGTGAATCTGAGACGGAAGAGAACCGAGGCGGACAATTCGGATGCAATGACCGAGACCAGCGCCTCAGACACGGGTTCTATCAATGTTCCTCTCTCGGAGCCTCTCCCGGCGAATTCTATCCCTGAGCATCCTGAGGCTGAGACTATGTCGGATGTTGGGTTCGACACCAAGGCACGATCTGTCCGCGAAGAGAAGAAAGTCGGTCACCAACCGAGCCAACTGACTACCGAAGTCAAGTTCGAACCTGAAAAACCTGCGGAAGCAGCGTCAGAGCCCGTCTCCGAGACAGAACCCGCTCTGCGTAGCACTTTGGACGATGCCAAGCCTCGCATGTTCAAACGGGCCAACTTGGGCCATGAACGCGCCAGCGCGAGCTCCGACACATCGTCTGTCATCCTGGAACAAGCTTGGATCAAGAAGATGGCTGGCGAGATTGCCACCCGCATCTATGACGAGAAGAAGCGAGGGGACGGTCCGGCTTTCCCCGGCCAGCCGTGGACTGAGCATGAAGACGCCCCTCCTGCGTACGAAGCCGCCGCCCACTAAACATCCAACAAGTCTTAGCATCAGACCGAGACACCCTGTACACGCTAACACGCTAGCACACTCCTTCCAACTTTTATTTGCATCTGCTTCTGAGCCACGTACAGGCGTTTGTTGGTTTGGCACCGAAGCATCGAGGCTGCGCCTCGTTTTTTTGATAATGTTTACACACTGAGCGTTCGAAAGTATTTGAGAGTTTTGACGAGCATCAGACGAGCCGTCCCGGGGATCACAAGAGTCAACCATCAACATGGATGGTTCTCGACTTGTGAGAGATGATTCACGTCTTTTGCGAGAGGGGAAAAATGGATTTTGAGGTGTTTCCTGCTTGAGATTGCCAGTCCCGGGAGGATACTTTAGGCACAAGAAAGAGGAGTCGGGAATCGGGACTGGCGTTTGGGATTTTGGCTGCGAGTACGTTTGTGTAGATCAGTGTACGACATGGTAAAGCAAGGGGACGAGAGTCCTAGGAACATACTCCAATCTATAACGTTGGACAGAGGTCGTGCAACTTTGGTGCTGTGTTTGACAGTGTACGTCTGTTTTAAATTGACTCTGGTCAACGCCGACCTACTCTGCCCATGGAGAGCCTCTCTTCCTAAACCCGCGTCTCCCTCAAACTACGAAGGAACGTACCTCTCTCTAAGAGGCAGCTTTCCCTGTCGCTGTCGCCGCCGAGCCATTCTCGCTCTTGAGACGTGCCAACTCCTCCTCCTTGGCCTTGAGCTCGGCCAGTGTTTTCTGCGTCCACTCCTCCGCCACCGCCTGGGCCTCCTTCAGCTTCTTGACCTCGGCGGCTTCTGTCTCACGGCTAAACGGCTGCCCGGGCCTGTTGCTGGCGGGGATCATGGCCGTCCGATCCCAGACCTCGCCGCTCTCGGGGTCGGGCAGGGGCGGCGGTTGCGCGGCCGCCCGCCCCTTGCCCTTGCCCTTGCCGCCCGCCGGTTTCCAGCCTTTGGGGACGGCGCCGGCCGTGAGAATGCGATAGAAGGCGTCAAAGGGTTCGTTGAACAGCTGTTCCTCGTAGGCCCACGAGCGCACCTCGCCGTGCTCTGTGATCATGGCCTGCTTCTCCTCCTCGGTCCTACCGTACGGATGGAGGCGCAGGTAGTGGTACGTCGTCTGTGGTTTCTCGCCGCTCTCGTTGACGTAGTAGAGCTTGACGTTGACGTCGAATTCGCCCCATCCCGTGTCCGTCACGAGAAATGGTTTCCCCGGCTCCCCGTCGACCATGCGGACGTGGTTCGGCACGGACTCGTGGAGTTTGAACTGCACCCGGCGCAGCCAGTAGGTGATGTCTGTGTCCTCAACACCCTTGACAAAGACCTGCCAGGAGTGTGTGTGGTTTTCGGCGACCCCCGGGGGCTTGGGGTTCGCGTCGGAGAAGGGGACGGCGGTGCTGCCGATGATGAAGGGACGGCGGACCTGTGTGAGCTTGACGCGTTTGCCCAGTTGGTTGGGTGGCGCCATGGCGGCGCTTCAATGGTGTGGCGCAGTCAATGAATGGTTTCCGCAAAGCGCGATGCTTCGTAAATGTGTCGCGGGTATTGTCGCTGCGAGTGGACAGTTTGAATGGAAATGTCGAGTTGTTGATGGAAGGGTAGGAAAACTGAAGGTGGGATGCGACAGTTGCGAAATCCGATGCCGCCTACAATTCGTAGCGCCGCATGTGATGTTGGCAAGGGTCCAGTGACTCCGGTCTCTCTCTCCCCTTGCCCAGCGATCAGCAAAGACCAAGTTTAGCAGCAAATGTGAGCGAACCAAGTAACGAAATCCCAAGTACTTTATTGTGATGATCGGACGGCTGGCTACCCGTCGTCTATGTGGTATATATGCTCGAGTCCTATCTAAGCCCTACCCAACCGTCCTGATGTTTGATCCAAGCCCCAACGCCATCCCATGCGAAAAGAAACGCTGCTGACAATTGCCCTTGCGATGCGCCCTCAAAGCTGCACCGCATTGTTCAAAATGGTCACCTCCTCACCCGGCTGGAACGGCGGCAGGCCAATGTATGGACAGCCGTCACAGCGGAAGGCATCGCCCAGCGAGCAGTTGCCGCACGATCCTGTCTTGCCCTGGACGGTGAAGTCGAGTTCGTCGTATAGCTCGTCGGGCTTGAGCTTCATCGATTGGAGGTTCGCATCAGCGGCGTCGCGACGCGCCTGGTCCTCGACGTTGAGGCGCTCGGCGAGCCCGCAGGTGCAGTCTTTGCATGCGCGACGTCGTTTGCCCGGCTTGGGGGCGCACTCGGCAGCTAGAGAGTGTCAGCGAGATGAATTCGTCTGGTTCCGCGTAGGAGGCACGTACGCTGAACAATGGGTCGGGTGAAGTCTTCCGCGGTCATCAGATCATTCTCGTCCATAATCTCATCATCGTCGTCAAGATCGTCGTCCAAGTTGATCTGCACTGACTGAACAGGCACAGGTGCGGGCGCAACCTTGGGCGCACCGTTGGTCTTCTTCTTGCCCAAGCGAAGTGGCACGACAACTTCCTCCTCGACAACCTTCTCGAACGCGCCACCCTTCTCGGCCAGACCAGCCAGGATTGCCTCGCGGGCATCCTCGGATGCCAAGGGGCCGTCCTGCATGGTAAACTTGCCACCTTCTCTCATCGAATCGACCAGAGCTGTGAACACTTTCCGGCTCAACAGCTTGAGCGCCTCTGCTCTTCGTTCGCCGGTCGTGTCTGTCAGAACAAGGACAAGGTCGTATGTCGCGGCTGGCAATTTGATCAGCCCGGCGCTGAGGCGGTCGAGCATCTGGAGATCCGACGTCGAGCGATCGTAGGTGGTGAAAACATTGCGTAGCTTCTCCTCGTGGGCGGCAAGCGATGGAGGCGCAAGCAGAAGGGTTCGCTGGGCGGATGGGTTGAGGGCCGTCTTGACGGCAGGTGCTGGGACGAAATCGTCGGACGTGTCCATGATGATGGGGGCAGGCGCCATTTTCACTGAGGGTGAAAGGGCGACGGACAAACACGAGAAAAGTGTAGCGGGCGATCAAGAGGAAGTTACAACGTTCAAGTTCAATGATCTGGACAAAAGTGTTGCGGGGGAAATAAAGCCATGTATTACCAACCCTTGCTGATAAAGGTTGATAAGCCGACGTCGGCGGGGTACTAATTTTCCTCCCAGGGGGCCCTGCATGCAGCCTCCAGTCTCCGATGTCAGTCCGACCGCGCACAATTGGCGCATCGTCGCCGTCAGCATTTGCTAATGATTCGTTTCCTGCCATTACTGGTTCTCGGATTGGCTGTTTCTGATCAGCCTCATGTGCTCGTCGTGGGGGACCATTCCCCTCGGAGAAGCACTTTTCCAAGGCGCACCATGAACCAGCCACAGCATGTTCCAGCACGAACACAGCACTGAGAGTACCTGAGCCATCTCGCTAAGGTGCCAAGCGGAAATGCCAATGACATGGGCCTTGGACTCTCTTTTCCAAGGTGAGCAAATGGTGCATCGTTTTGGCCTTCTCAACACCATACCTGAGTGGTCGCCTAGATTGATGCATGAAAGACAATACGTGCAGTGTTTGTCACATGCTGAACCGTTATTGTGATGCTAACCTAGAGAACATCACGGTAAAGACTGGCCAAGCATAACAAGGTATTCCGCGCTTTCAGGCACTTCGCACCCGAGACAGTCAGTCTGATGAGTTGTAATGTATCTTATCAGCATGGACGACAGAGAAAACGTTAGGTTAATAAGTAGACACGATAATGAAAGACGCCCATCTCAGACCCGGACCCACCTCGACGCTCGCCGAATTGGTTCCTGGAGCTAAGACCCTGCATGGCACAGAAAAATGCATGATCTCATCGAGACAGCTCAAGCTCTCAGCTCATCTCATTCACATTTTCCACGCGTGGCGAGCTCTCTTTACGCGTTATTCCGGAGCGACGTATAGCTGAAGTCATTTCCGTCTGTTTCTTCCACGCAGCTCATCCGTCTATTGATCTCTACTTACTCCGGCAAGAGACATTGTTTCTCAAGCAGCTTCCAGTTATCATCACGCCATGTCAACCATCGCGAAAAAGCTCGTCGTATGCGGCGGCAACGGCTTTCTCGGGTCACGCATCTGTAAACACGCCGTCTCTCGCGGATGGACCGTCACCTCCATCTCGCGATCCGGCGAGCCTCACTGGGACGCCATCACTGCGTCCAAGACTCCCCCCTCCTGGTCCCAGTCTGTTGTGTGGGAGCGCGGTGACATACTCCGCCCGGCAACCTACGCTGCCCTTCTGAAGGGCGCCGACTACGTGGTGCACAGCATGGGTATCTTGATGGAGGCCGACTACAAAGGATTGGTATCTGGCAAGGAGTCGCCTGTCGCCGGTATCCAAAAGGTTTTCGCCGCGCAACGAGACAGGGGCATCAACCCCTTGGACAGGAAGCAAGGGCAGGATATCGTGCCCGAGAGCACGAACGATCAGCTCTCCTACGAGGTGATGAACCGCGACAGCGCAATCACACTGGCGAAGCACGCGGCTGAGGAGAAGGCCACCGCGTTCTGCTACATCTCGGCCGCTGGTGGCGCACCCGTCCTCCCGGCGCGATACATCAAGACAAAGAGGGAGGCGGAGAACACAATTACCACAGCATTTCCCGGCATGAGGGGTGTTTTCCCTCGGCCACCTGTCATGTACGATTCATCGCGACCAATCACTGTAGCCATGGCCGCGATGGTGGGTGGAGGTTCCATCTTTAATACCTTGACTGGAGGCTATCTCAACAGCTTCATGGGCGCAGCGGGGGCGAAGCCTCTCAAGGTCGACACCGTTGCCGAGGCGGTCATCGAGGCGTTGAGCGATGAGAGCATCGTGGGTCCGGTCGAGATACCACAGCTGGAGGAGCTGGCCTCGAAGGCGTGGAGGAAGACCATGCTGTGAGCATCTGACACATTGGAAAAAAAGCAACGCTGGACTGTACATTAAGCTATGATCTTTTGTTTGGTATGCCAAGGCATCTTTCATATCCTCGTCCCACGCTCAAAGTTGTCCCTGATGTCTTCCGTGTACTTGTTGTAGAACCTCGACAGTTTCTGGTTGAACTGCTTGTTCTTCTCGTTGATGTATGTGACGTCCTCGTCCTGGTCACCCTGTGCCATCCTGTCCCTCCTCTTCTTCATGCGCTGGTCATCGGCGCGTTGCAGATCACCCACCAGCCGATCAATCGCAGCCTTGTCGGGTTTGTTCGATGCAAACGACGTCGAGTCGGCCGTTGAATAAAAGCTTCCGTCCTTGTCGATGGCGATCAGCTCGCCAGTCTCCGTCTCCACAATGTCCAGACCTCCTGACGCGGCCGCCTTTTCGATCAAGGCCATCTTGTCCTTTTCGTATTGACCCATATCGGGGGCGATATTCCTCAGTTGCCGCTTGTACACCTTGTGGCTCTCAGCTGCGTAGTCCTGGAAGGCGTTGTTGTCGCGCGCAGCCGCCTTCTTCTTCACCCGCTTGTCCCATTGTTCGCTCTCGTCCACGGTCCAGTCCCATGCACGCTTTCGCTCAAAGTCGCCGCCCGCGTCCTCGATGTCCGCCTTTAGAAGTTTGTGGGCGGCCACATCTCGTTTGCGGTTGACGGCCTTCAGCTCGTTGGGGTCGGACGCCAGTCGCTGGTTTTCGCGGGACGCCTCTTTGAGATTGGTCTTTGCGCTGTCTTTTGCGCGAGCTTGGAGGGCTTTGAAGCGGGCAAGTCGCTCAGCTGCCGCGGAGGCCTTTGGTGTTTGTCCTTCGGTCTCGGGTTGTGATGGTGGCTTTTCAGATGGCCTGGAGTTTTCTTCCTGTGCCGCTGGTTGCCCGTCGTCAGGCTCCATTCTGCGCCTTTTACTCGGTGACGATGACATTGTGTTGACGTGTGCGATGTGGCCGAATCTTTGTGCAGACCGGCTCGAGGAGGTAATGGCTTCGAATTGTGTTTCAAATTGTGTGATTGTCGCAGAGCGAGCGTCCAGCCTCTCTCGGATGTAAGAAAGTTGAAGTGACGTGGGGCGACTGGCGGCGATAAGTCAGCACTCCGGAGTGGCTGGTGCAGCGAGATCATCAGCCACACTCTCCTGCCACGTCCCCTGGCAAACCATGTCTCGGCAAGCCCACTTCCCCAGACGCTCGCTTCAGCGGCCTCGGGCCCCGAGGCGCTAATGTTCAGGGCATCTGGGGGAAGCGGGCCCTTCTGAAAGATCAGCCCCTCCCCTGAAGAGATTGAATGCCGGCTTGGTTGCACTGGCAGCACTGAGTTCCAAGGTTGTAATGGCCAGGCAGCCCTGCCGCTCACATTATTATTAAGATGGCACAGCCGTCCGTTCACTGTCGCGTGCATGGAGAGTCCAGTCTTCCGGGCGCGATCCTCAACACACCCTCTCACCCAACCCATTCTGCCGCCAGGGGCGCCAATGAGTCAAACCAGCCCTTGACCAATGAACTAATTCAAGTTCAGCGCATCACTATCAGATGTCATGCTCGTCAGAAGGTTTCGCGCCACTCCATCGAGTCCCCCTCTCTCGAGATTGATCTCATGCACGCGTCGTGTTCAGAATCGCTTCGAGGAGGAGGACTCGAGGCAACAAGAAAGGGCCGCGCACAGATCTCAGTCAATACAGGAGCAAGTGAACTTGGACGGGTCATTCTTTCAGCAGCACCTCGCAGCACTAGATCAAGATTCGCACGCCGGATCGCAAGCTGACGAATCTTCAACCAAACAAGCGGAGTGGCGCAATTCGCAAAAGGCGTCTCGCGCTCACCGACGAAAGCTGCGCGCCGCCCTTCTCAGTAGCAAACATGGCGATGCAAGAGCGCCCCATGGCCTGGAAGAGAATGCCCTCGAGGATTCATGGTCTGCGAGTCAAGCCATGTTCGGGAGCCAGCAACTTGACCGGTCTGAAGATGAGTTCTCATCTCCAGAACAACGTGCCCTCTGGAAAGCCAAACTGAGGGAGATTCAGAGTGGAAAGAACAAAATGTTCCTTCGTAGGAGGAACCCAAACGGCGGGGTGTATTATGTCCTCAACAACGGCCGAGAGAAGAACATCATGCCGAAGCATGACGATGCTGATTTATTCAACATTTCTGGCCTCTTGCTGAATCTTGACGCTCTAGATCAGCACGGGGTGAGAGACTATAGCGAGGAGGATGAACAAGCTCTGGCGCAGACGTGGTCCGACACTCAGAGGCGCAGAGATGTCAGACAGACCATACGATCTATGCAGCATCATGTCGAGCTATCGAGAACTGCTTCACGGAAGCTTCTCAACCAGGCAACACACCCGATGCGCGTTATGAATCATGACCTGTTGTCGGTTGCCCTTAGGGGTCCGGGCGGGGAATCCGGGATGAGACTGTACGAGGACTCCAAGGTGAAGGATGAGAACGGCCGATTCATTGTCCGAGGCTTGACGCAGTCACGACTCGTTCAGCATCATGGTCTACCGGCGGCGGCTATACGCAGCACCCTTGAAGTCACTCAGACAGACGCTCGAAGCACGGAAATTCGCCAGCTGATCAACATGGGTGATCCTAGGAAAGCCTCCGACTACATGATTGATTTGCGATATAGACTCGGCCTGCCAGAGCATACGACCAGAGACGATGAACGTTTCCTTCGCTGGCTGTCGTTGCATCAGAGCAACATTGCCTTTGCGCAAAAAGACAAGAAGGCAATGCAGAAGCTTGAAGTCTGCAAGGCTTTGAGAGGCCAGATGCTCGACGATACGGGCTTGAAAAGGAGAAATCTCGTCAACATACGGCGCATGATTTTCCAGATCACGGACCCAGGCCTGTTTACTACAAATCTGAAGGGCAACGTCGCAACTGAAGGGGACCATGAATTGTTGCCTACGACTGGGGGGACAGATGACATGCAAAACGTCCCGCTTATGCTACGCAATGCTGTGGCCAGTGTCCTTGACGCTTGTGGCGATCGTGCGCTTCACTATGAGGTTTTGACGTTTGTCAACAACCTTCACATCCGCTTCCCGGACAAACCTGCCATGGCCATGTGCAAGTATGGCCTCCGGCTACGGGCGTTGGCTGGCGTCGGACTGCTAGACCTTGCTCGCCAGCAACTTCAAAGGTACCCGAAAGGCATTCCTTCTATCGTCTGGGCACACGGGAGGGTCGTAGAAGATGTCGGCGCTGCTATTGGTCTGTGGAATGCGCACATTGTCAAGAACAGCATTGTCCGGACCCCAGCGAGCAGAACAGCACTGCTTACAATCGCCACGGGCTGTAATGCGGATGGCAAGACCATCTACGAGGCATACCATGATTTGATGCTGCGCAAGAGCCACAGGGTGGAAGTTGAGGGCCGGCTTGACGCCTACATGAACTTTGTGGAGCTACTGGGACATTTGGGCGCTGTGAGGACACTGTGGTACTCTTGGAGGGTGGCTCAGGAATTACAAGATCGCCTCAACGAGCAGTACCGAGCGACAGGCCAACCCGCCGAGTCGATCACCGACGAATATCAGATAGCCCTGGCCAACGCATTGCAACAAGGGGAGCCTGGGGCAGGCGATGTTCTGGACAGCACTCTCGAGGCCTGCACGAGGGCCGACCTCATCTCGATGGGAGGTCGATCAGATGTGTCATCAGATGGGCACAGCACGCTCAGAGCCGTCTGGATCAAGGAGATGAGCTTGAGCGAATTCGAGGAGTGGATGGCACTGCCGCTGGCTCAATGGCTGCAGAACCTCAACAAGGGCGCTTTTCACGAGGCTCGATAGGCAATCAATGTATTACATGTAGTCCAGAAGGCTGGTTGAATCAAAAGTGATGATGTCCCTACCAATCGTCATTCCCATGAGGACCTTGCTCCTAGACACAAGTGACGGACGGGCACCATAATCGATACACAGGGTACTCCAGCCCTCTGGATTGATCGCCATGCAAATCTCTCAATCAGCGAACGTGCCCAAAGAAAATATTCTCCGTGGCCAAGGGCGCGGCTTCGGCCCGCAGCTATCCACATGGCCACCCATCGCGCGCATGCTAACGGAGGGGGTAAAAGAATCAGACAATGGCAAGACATGAGTGAAATCTCGAGTGACATGCCATGGTCAAATAGATGGGGTTACTGATACTGGTGGAGTAGCTTTCTCTCCCTGACTCGATTTTGGAAAAGACGGTGAAGCGAAACAGAGTCTGGAGGCATCGAGAGTTCGAGACGTCTTCTGTCGTTCCATGGCAGTCCGTGTGTAGAATAGTGATAGTAATAATTACCGGCCCAAGGAGAAGCAGCACTCCCTTGCATCCGCGGCCAATGCATGCAGTCCGCCAGTCCCCGGATATTCATCCTATTCGCTTGCAAGTTGTTGTTATTGTTGTTGTTGTTGTGCAACAAGACGACACACCCGTTCCCCGCTCGGGTGACTTGCCTGCAATGCGGCATGCCGGTACAGGACAACCCAAAGGCCAACGGATCAGGCACAAGGTTGTCTGTGGTGCGAGTGTGGCAAGGTCTTTTGTTTCTGCTACGACCCTCGACCAGTCTATTTGAAGACTCTCACTTGGCACACTCCCACTACGTACCTGGCTGGTGTTCATAGTTGGTCCACGATGAACAGGCTGGGGAATGTTCATCAGGGTTCCTGGATACAGTAATCCGTGACTTGGGCATGGTGAGATGGAGTCAAGGCCTCATTGCATGAGATGCCACGGCCCACGGAGCAATGGACGGGGCTGGATGTCGTTTGTTGTCTCATGAGCCCCTCCCTGGCGAGTCAATGCCATGTGTCTCAAATCTTCAAGAGGGGACTCTTCGTTCGGTGGACATAGCGGCATGTAGTGTTGACCGAAAAGGGTAAGCCGAATGAGGGGCCCCCCTTGGGTCCCTCTGGTTCGGCGTTAGAGGCTTATCCGTAGAGCATCACGTTATCGCGGTTGTCGCCCCGAGGGGCTCTGACTCTGAGTGCGGCTGGAGCGGGTAAACTTGCTGCAGTGCGGTCCGGAGGCATCGACCATGATATGGACCATGGTCATAAAAAGCAACCCCCACGTCGCGATAAGCCCGACGATAATCTACCAGGCGTGTCGGGTGGTGACACGACGTCTCGTGATAATTGGATTGTGTCCACGAAGAACTGCCCCGCATGAGGTCCAGTGCTTGGGGCACGAAGTTGGCCGTTCACGCGACACGCAAGCCACCACCTAGAACTGCGGTACAGTCGACTGATTGTGAGCAGGGCATATCACGCGTCCCTGAAACATTGCGTTGCTGCGGCGGACATGTCGCGGTGGAGGAGGGTTGTTGTAACTTGGAGGCTGTGTGGAAGTTCCACACCCAGTGGCATGGCTGGCTGCTGGCAGTGACTGGGTGGGGCCTGATCGCGACAGCGCACTACACGTACGTACACCGAAACGATTGCGGCATTCAGCGTGCGCGTTTCCGGACATGCACGTAGAAAGGGACCCTTTTAGCGTATTCGTGCGCTACTAGTCTGGCGGAGCAGCAAGGTGACGGGACATGAAGAATAGTGTGCGTGCCTGGGATGGTAGGTAGGTACGTAGCGAGAATGAACGACTGAATGTCAATTATTATTATGGACCTGGTATCCGTGCCGAAACATGCTCACCGGAGGCCGCAAGTGACATCGGACCCTCAGGGTCACAATCCAGTCGGCGCTGCTGCATGTCACTGGATTGATTGACCCTTGGGTGCCGACAGGCACCGATAGTACACCTTGAGGACACCTGGACAAGGCCATCCACCCGCGACCAAGTACTACCTGGAACGTACCGTGACCTGACAATTGTGGACAAGGCATGGACAGCCCCCCTGTATCCAGGCAGGTCCGGTCTGTGGGCAGTCGCGATGGATAGTCAGATTGGTGACAGCGACGGGTGTCCCTGGGGACCGAATGGTCAGATTGCGTGCGACACAGTAGCAATTACTATTCATCGTGCCTTCCACTGTTACGTACGCAGAACAGGCCATTGGACTATAAGTAAGGCAAGTGGCACTTGTTCTTGATGAATGATGGTTCTCTCACCAACTTCAAGTATCAGTCACGTCCTCAAGGTTTGAAGCTCTAGAAGCCTTCTTCTTGTACCCCACAATCGTGAACCACGCCCTCGACGCCGCATCCTCGATTGGCTCGCAGGGCTGCCAGCTTGGCGACGACGGCCACGCCACGGGTCCAGTCCCCGCTCTCGCGCTTGTTCTCAATCAATCACGGCACCGAAAAGAGTCACACGTTGCCTGCCTACGGATCAACTTACAGTGGATGTGCTCACCATAGATCACGGTCCAGGAATCAGGCAGAATCACAGAATCGTGCTCGGTGGAAAATTTTTGCATTCGCAGGCTCCTTAAACAGGGTCTCGGCCTCATTATTCCATCATCTTCACAGACCGAACAGCCTGCTCCGCTCCGTATACTTTACGACTACCATTGTCGCCAAATAAAGCACAGCTCAAGATCGACATTGACGCCATCCCGCCCGGCTTGAGCTCTGCCCTGGCCCTGGACATCCGGAAGCGTCACAGACTCACAGGCTACAGCAGCAATTTGTCTTTGGTATTGCCCTGCTCCGACCCACGCCTTCTTCTTTAATTTATTCCCCTGGAGGCTCGATCGGGCATTAATTACGTACGCCAACTCGATTTCCAGTCCCTGTCGATCCAAGGACAAAGTCACATATTCCTCGGTCCCCGGCGGCACGCACATTTGCCAATAATAGGCAGTGCCCTCCCACCGACTTCACCACCCCAACTTCCGCTTTCAGTCACTCTCGCTTCAGCTCGACTTGCATTCTCCTCCCAGTCATCAACTCACTCACTTGTCCACTGGCCCTGCCACGCTTCCTGGGAATTTCAAAGTCACATCCAGGCCACTCCCACACACTAGATCCATTGCCGGATCGGAATTCCACCCCTCCACCAGTAGCGCCCGCAACCTGACACTGTCGGGGCCGGTCTCGGTCTCCGTATCAGTGCGACTCACTGCCTGGCTGATATCGGCATATCAGCTTTCTGGAAGCACATGGCTTGATAAGACTGGCAAGCCCACTTCGATCTCGCCCTCGAGACCATCCCCCATATACACACCCACATTATCACAACATGCCTCACCAACGACGGAGGTCAGGGCATCTGTCCACAACCGCCTCTGCAACAGACGTGCGCAGTAAAGTCACTCTGTCCGACATGTCCAAACCACGACGACCGGCCATGTCGCGGAAGCATACACCAGTCAGCGCCCACAAACTTGGACGAAGTCAACGGGAACGGGAACGAGAGGTTCAAGACTCTTGGGACGGTGAACGAGAGAGCTTTCCGCAATTCTGCATGACCTGCGAGAAGCAGTTCACGCCCCATGATGGCACTGGCGTCTACTGCTCGGAGACGTGCCGCATACAGGATCAGTCGGCCGGTATCTCATCACAGTCCGCCATGCCTCGGTCCTTCTCCGTGGAAAGCAACTACCCGCGATACCTCGACATGTCTCCGGATCTGAAACCCCGAGACATTGTACCCCAGGCTTCGCCATCGCGCCCGACCTCGCTCTACCTCTCTGCATCACCCCCTGCGACTCCTGGCACATCAGCCTATCACTCTTCTGCCATCTCCGCCCTGCGATCGCTCAACCTCAACACACGGCCTCCAAGCCCGCCCAGTCCTACGGAAAGCAGCTCTGGGCAATTCTGGCCCTTCTCGGGACGGAGCGCCGCTACGAGCCCCAGCACTAGCTACACACGTCCCTCGGCGACCTATCTCTCGTCAACATACGACGGCGGCCTCAATGGCTACTATGGCTTGAGTGCCATGGACCGCCCCCTTCCAAGCCGGATGCCCACCTCCCACTCGCGACCCAAGAGCATCGACCTTCTCACCCCTCTGAGTGGGCGGTGAAAAAGGTGTGGCTGTCACTATACGTGAGCGAGCACCTACCATGTCTCTAGGAGGTCTTTCTTGGCTGTCTTACACGTGGGGGTGCTCGCTCCCCTGCTGATGGCTTTTTGCGGGGTTGCACTCACGACATGCCGGCCCTCCATTCAAGCCTCAAGATGATCATGATGGCACCCTCACTCTCACCGACACTCACATCACACCACAAGCTCCATTCCGAGCCTTTCCAAAAAATTCTCGAATTTCATTTCATTGGGGCGGCGTTTCTCTGCATCATCGTTCCGGCATCTCATGACACCCCCTCACAGGAGGCCGTGTCGGCGAGTCTCAACTTGTTTCCGCAAACTCATCCTGGGCAGTATACACAGGCTTCCCACATAATACATTGTTGGCATTTTCAAGACTCAGAAACTCTTACGTACGGTTCACGGCATTTATGAATAGCGCGGCGGATACACAGGCTGGAGAGAGACACGAATATCATTAGCATTTGCATTTACATCATACATGTAGGAGTATACATAGAGTACGAGATTCAGGCAGAAGATATATACATGGTTGGATGGCAATATATTTGTTGGGGAAATCAGGCAATCTATTACCATAGACACCTGCAGCAACTTGTCGATCCCTTCCTAATCAATCCAGATTTATTGCCTGGAATGATCCAGCTGAATGCTGTGCAACAATTGTGTTGGTCATGTCCGTGAACCAGCGTGGGCCATTGCTTCTTCTCTCCTAGCGCAGCTGCGCGAGACGATCCCCCCCCTCCATCTTCCCCACGTTTTGTCCCTCCCACCATCCTTCCACAAAGCTTGGCAGCGACGTGCACAGGGGTGGTCATGTGAGCGGAGTTGCGTAGCCGTGGCTTATCTAGCACTTGTCGAGCCTTGGCGGGATGCGTCGCGGTCGTAGACTGAACCCAGTATCGTGGGCTCCCCCGGCTTATCATGGGGCGCGATGAGGTCAGTGTCAGGTTCCTGCTACTTTGGGATAACCCGAGCGAGGGGGAGGGGGTATCGCCGGCCGTCCTCGCACGCGAGTTTGGTCACTTGCATGGAAACGCAAGATAAGGAAATGTGTGCGTGTGCAGCTTGTGTTGCGAGTTGTGGCCGATTACGACGTAGGCCACCCGTCCGACGTCCAGCAGTCGGACGTCAGATCAGGCCAATACAGCCCTTGCGAGTACTGATCATACACGGACCCCTCCAGGAACTGCAGATCCAGCGACGGCTGAGCGAGCAGCTGTTGCAACGAGGGCTCGGTTAATGCCATGCCGGCCGTTGTGGGCGCAGCCTCGGGGGCAAAGTAGGGCGCTGGTGTCATGCCGCCCTGACTAGTAGCCCCTTCGCCGATGCCTGCCCCTGCCGTCTGAGCAAGGGAGTGGCCTGTCTCCGTTGCGCTGCGCTTGCTGTGCATGGCATCGAGCACGGCCTTGGTCGCGTCCACGTGGTGCCAAAACTCGTGCGCTGCAAAGTTGCCTGCCTCCTTGAGTTGTTCAAGGAAACTAGCCGCGTCCTCAAAGGCATCCCGATCGCAGGCACTTTCTTTTGTGCCCAGCAGGCTGGACACGGCGAGGACGAGGAGCGCCGAGAAGAGATACTGCGTGTAGAAAAAATCAAAGGTGGCAAAGGTGCCGTCGACCCATGCCTCAGTGAGGAGACGAATGGAATGTCGTGCACAGCGGATGCACGTCTCAGCCAAGGTGACGGCACTGGCAGGCAGTCGAGCGTCGCTTGCGGCGGAAACAGGCGATGATTCGATGTACGTGCGGAGTACGTGAAGCAGGACAGGCCGCGTTGTCAATATGGCGCACTGGGAGAAGGTTCGTAGCTGGTTCGACGAGCGGGACGCAAAGCGGCTTACCTGGTTGAATGACAGATGGAGAGAAACTGGCTTGGGGACGGAATCCGCAAACCCCTGAGCGTCAACATGAAGGTGACTAGGTAGCTCCTCTACCCAGACACGCAGATCAGTCAGAGCCTGCTGCACCCTGGCGGTGAATGTCTTGCCGGTATTCCTCCTCCCGTAGATTGATCGGATGGTTCTCGTGACAACGCTTGCAAGCCGCAGACTGGCGATGTAGTACGCAGCATCGGCAAAGTCACCAGCGAGTTCCGGGGCAACGACGACATCCGACGGGAGTCCAACGTCGATATCCTCATCCTGCACTGCAGGAGGGTGGCCAAGCATGGACGCCCACATCCTGTCAATGATATACGCGGACCAGAACACGCGTTTCCTGTGCTCGCAGACGGCTGCGTCCCCTATCTGCGAGGGCGGAATGTGTAGATGCAGGCCTATGACGATGGCCATGCGCATAGAGGTGCCCGAGATCCAGTAGGCGCTGTACCGGCGGTTCAGGGCGAGCGAAAAGAAGGCCAAGATGAGGCGGGTTTCGATTGCCTCCACGTTGGGCCGTTCGTGGGAGCGGCCTATGACCCTGAGGGCTTTTGCAAAGTATGCCATACCTGGAAAGGCCTTGTCGGAGGCCGACCTCGCTGAGTAGAGCTCACCGACGGCAAACAGCGCCCACAGCTTGCCCCTCTGAAAGGAGTCGCCCCAGGACAGGTCTTGGATACTCCTCTCGAGGTTGTCCAGGACGATGCTACGACGGACAATGTGATAGGAACGGCTCAGAGGTTTGAGCGCGACATCGACGAGGAAGCGGCTGCGTGAGGGACCGGGCCACTTGATGTCAGCATCACCAAGCGCTATGAGCTGACGATCTGGGGCGTAGTTGACGCGTGGAAGATGCTTGTGCTGAGGCATCTGAGCGTCGGAGATGACCTGCCGAAAGCGGGTTGCAAAGGCGGAATCGGCCACCGCGGCCATCAAGATGGGCGTGTCCGTGACGCTGGTGTTGATGAACCATGGGCGCACATCCATATTGTCCGTCCTCGCTGGGTCGGCGACCGTCTCCAGGCTCTGTTGGCCAGCGATTCTGCTGGGGGGCTGGCCATTGTCGTCTTCTGTGGCACCGAGGGTACCGCCTGTCTCTGGAGGCGTGAGCTGGTGCTTGAGCCTTTTGTTTTCCTCGAGAATCTTGTCGATGTAACTGTTGGCGGTGGTGAGATGCGTGTTCCACTTGAGTGCGAGGCTTCTGGTGAGAGCGTCCTCACCTTTGAGTCACCTTGACGAGGCGTGAACGTTGGGGGAAGGTGCATTCATCGGCCTTGCCTAGTTGACGGCATGTCTCGCATGGATGGCCTCCAGTGCATTTCACTTTTCGTGCATGACATAGTCGGCATCTGTTTGTTCGTTCGACCCAGTTAGTCAATGAGGCATTGCAGGATCTGGACGCGAAGGCCACCTTACGCAGTTGACTTGGCTTTTGGCAGCTTCCCTAACCGTGAACTTGGCGAGGAGCCGCGCTTCTCACTGAGTGCCTCGATCTCGGACGGCATGAGGTCTTCTTCATGTTTTGCCAGGTGGTCCATGTCTCCGAGTCCATGACTGTGGGGTCTCTGGCGCCTTTTCACGAACCGGACTTTGTCATTCCAAAGATCCAATGGCTGTTATTGTCACGAATCTACGGATACCAGGAATCGGGACAATCCGCAAGGCTGTACCGTATTAAATTGCAATACCCGAAGTCGGCAGCCGCTCCAAAGCGTTTAGCGGGTGCGACAGTGACATGCCGAATCCGCCCGCTGATTGGGCCAAGCAAGCTCCAGCCCCAGTCCTCAATGGCCTGTAGCTCGGGGAAAGCCGCTGGTTTTTAGGGCATTCACTCGTGGCCAGGCGCCTTGATCATTCGCTCCTATTGTCAATCTATCATCACCACTCCTCCGTATTAGTACTTGCCATCCCTTCTTTTTCGAGGACAATTAATCTTCTTCCGGCACCATGTAGGCTGTTGTGGCTTCAAAATTACGACCACCACTCCTGCTCGCCAAATCCCAGCTCTCGCCCAACAACCTCTAGACTCTGTCTCTGCGCCTGCGCATACCAGTCCTCCATATCCATAGGTTTCACCCCCAATGCTTCCACCAGCCCGTCAAAGTCCGATATGGGTGGCTTGAGATCCAGCCCTCTTTGCGCCTGCAGATTTGACTGAAAGATACCGGCCGCCGAGAAGGGCAGAAAGTCCTCGTACGTGACGGGTCTGAACGTCACGATACCTTCATCCATGAGCTGCTCCAGCAGTGACGTCTTCTCATCCCTTTTTGACACTGGGGTCTCTGCGGGCATCCTGGCTAGACTGAACTCGCCGTAGATGAGCCCCTGCTGCCTCAACTCTGACCAGTCGTCCGGGAATCTTCTGAATATCTCTCGTGACACCGCCTCCGCTGCCTGCACAGAAAGTCCAGCTGTCCTGCTCATGCTCTCAGTCAACAACTCGTCGTACAGCTGCCGTCCCTTGGCCGTCACCGCCGCGCCACGCTCCTCAATCTCGCCAAAACGAGCCTTGTGCGTGGCCTGGAAGAGCTCCCTCTCGTCGGGCGAGGGCGAGTCCCTGGCGTTCCCGTCCTTGAGGAATTGCACGCTTTCTTCGAGAGCCAGAAAACTCGTCTGCCGCAGGAGTATGGGGCATTTCCGGGCAGGCGGCCCTTCGATACGTGACTTGACATCCATACCTGCCTATTTCATGGCGATTTGCATGGCGGCAATATTCAGTGTCCGGGGTGTGAGGTGATTGATGTGAGCGGTCCTAAAGCATGCAATGTCCGCGAGGATTGGGTGCTCCGCCCGCAGTATCTGGTATTCTTTGTGCGTTGACGCAGCGAGACGCTGCCAGCTGAAGGTCTGCAGAGCTTGTGAAATAAAGAAGGCTGCCTGGTCCTCATCGAGTCGTCCCTGCTGTGCATCGGCAACATCTAGCAATGCGAGCAGGGCGTCGGTAAAGATCTTTCGATTCTGGAGCATTTTCCACGCCAGAGTCCTTGCCTCATCGCGCTGGATGAGGTCGGGACGGAGGAGTGTCGTGAAGACGCGAAAGGGATTGACGTCTAGGCTCTGGACCTGCGTTGGTCGGAAGCATGTTGCATGCATGGGCAGGCCGGCGACGGAAAGATCATAGTATCCGACAGGATACATGCCCAGCACGGAGAATATCCTTCGGACAGTCTGCAGTTCAAATGGAGTACCCAGACGAATCGCACCATGACGCTCGGCCGCCAGGGACTCTGGGCTCGATCTTGTGTTGGTTTGGCCGGTCCCTCGATCGAGGGTGTCGCTGTTGACGTCTGTTACGAGGCTCATCAGGTCCCCATATAGAGGCACCTCTTCGCGATACATGGCGGACATGGCCGCGGCGAAGCGGCCTCGTAGAGCATCAGGGTCGGCCCAGGTGCGGTCCACACTGAGTGTCCTGATCTGGGTTTCTGTCTGTATGGTCGTAGAAGACATGGTGGTATATTGAGATGACAAAAGGAGGACTAATGGTCCATCAGTGGTCTCGTTGCTCTCCTTGATATACTAATGCCTAACCCCCTAGCCGAGCTCGAATACGAGCGTCGCGTATGCATCATCCATGCCTATCACTAATAATCGGCCGCTTATCGCTAAGCTGCTACCAACAGTGGCAAGATGTGATGAGGAGAGGCTGTTTGATGCGATAAAAGATATGAAGACCGCCACCTTATCGACGCTCATGACACCAAGGCGCATCCAGAACAGGCATTGGCGTCGGTCATACTCCGTAGATCCACAAGATTGACATAACGTCGGATAACAGGTTGCCTATTCGGCGGGGATCTCGTGGTCGACGCTGGATCCTTTGGTGGTGCCCGACTTCGGCCAAGATTACAATTGCCCGAGCACAGGTGTCGGCGAATGCTACACGCGCCGAACGTGACGGAGACGCCTCCTTATCGGGGGATGATATCAGCTTGCGGAGACGACCTCAAGCTGATGACGGACAATTGCGATTGATTCTGCTGACATTTGCAATGGGTCCTACACTACCGTACATGGGACACCACTGTGGGCGACCGTGGAATCGGATAATCTGACCGTCTAGGTCTAGATCGAGTCTCCATTGAAGCCGTGATGGAAACATGCCTCGGTTTCCTGTCGCTAGACGAACCATCAAGAACACCATCCTTCCCTTGCGCTTCCAGATAGTAATCACACAATATGCCCCCGTCGGCGAGGCTCTAGAGAATCGAAGAACGTGTCGTGCCGTAGATAATGATTGGTTTCAACTCCTTGCCCTGTACTGAACCCCCGCCGTAAATCTTGCCTTGCCCTTTTATTTGAATCTTCAGTCCATGCAATACTCCAGAAATAGCAAAACACACGAGGCACGTCACGTGGGCGACTGCTACCGCCCTCCTGGCCGGGAACTCGCCATCTCACCGTAGCGACCACGGTGTTTGGTCGTGTCGTATGCCTGAAGTACGCGCGTCTGACTTTCATCGGCCTGCGAGAAGGCGTAGCCGCGCTGCTTGCGCATGCGCTGGACTTGGCGGACTTTGCGGATGGCCTTTTGGAATTGTTCCATTCTGTGAGTCGCGTTAGTCAATTTTCCTGGAGTTTTTCAAATGCAGGACATGTCCTTACCTTGGCCTGTAATCCTGAATGTTGTATTTTTGGATTTCCTGGATGTGATGGTATGTCTTTGGGAAGTACATCCTCTTGACATATTTCCACGTAAAGTCTCGCAGAAGACACAGCACCGCGAGCACAAAGGTCTGGAGCCAGAAGACGGGGCTCGAGTACATGTGGGGGATGATACCGTACAGCTCGTTCGAGACGTTGACCATGGGCGCAACGTATGCAAAGGCCACGACGAAAACCCACCATATGAGCATACTGCCGGGGATGGCCATCACATGGTACTTTGTCCAGTTGCTGGTGACAAGGGCCGCCTTGCCGAGGACTGTAAAGAGACAGACGTTGTACATGGCAGTGCCCCAGACCCAATGACCAGCAATCTTGCCGTCGCCCATGATGAGATCGCCATACCAGAACAACTGGCAGAAGATGTACAGTACGATGGAGTGGTAGATGGCATTGATGCCCCACTCGCAAGAAACCTTGAGGCTGAAGAACTCGTTCTTTTGACCCGACATGTAGAGTTGCGGGTAGCGATCTAGGAGTCGAGCTGAGATGAACTGGTCCAGAATGCCTAGCGCCAGCGGTGGCAAGACCGTGAACAGGACGTTGTAAATGGACAGTAGCCAAGACTCGAAGATGATCTGACCGGAGAACACATTCTGAAATGTATACTAAAAGGCGTTAGTCACAATGTCAAGCCGGGGCAAGAAGATGCAACGTACCCAGAATTGCGTCATGTAAAGAGCAATGTTCTTGTAGAAGGAGAATAGTATCGTTTTGCTGACACGCTGGTAGCTCCATGCACCATGAACGAGTAGGAGCTTGCGAAGGAAGCGGAACTGCGCGATGGCAACGTCGGCGCTGCGCGCGGCCTGAAGACCCTCGACACCGCTGATACCAACACCAATGTGGGCAGCCTGAATCATGGAGACATCATTCGCTCCATCGCCAATAGCGAGAGATATCGCCTCCTTCTTGTATTTCTTGACCAGCTTGACCACCAAGGCCTTTTGCAGCGGTGAGACACGGCAGCAGATGACGGCCTTGCACATGACGGCGAGATCAAGAAATTGCTTCTCGAGGTCCTTCTCCAGGGCGTAGGTGAGGGATTTTCCATCAATGATCAGTGCCAGCGTCTCGCTCTCAATGGTCCCATCCCCCTGTGTCCGGATGGCGTCCAGCTTCTTATGAATGTTATCCCTCGTGGCCGCGGCTGATTCTTCGTTGACGATGAGAAGCATCATGTCCTCACTAAGAAGCTTGCAGCTCATACCAATGTTTATGGCCGTCTCTTGGCGATCGCCAGTGAGGACCCAGACCTTGATGTTCGCCTGCTGCAGAGTGTGGATCGTCTCGGGCACGCCATCCTGCAAACGATCCTCAATCGCGGTGGCACCAAGGAGGAAGAAGTCACGCTCAATAATCTCAGCTGCCTTGTCAAGCTCCTCCGCACGATTCCCGCCCACCGTTGTCGAGGCTGCATCGAACAGGCGGTACCATTCCTCGAATTCCTGCTCGGGGATCTCGCGAACCGCCAGACAGAGTGTGCGCAGACCCTCCGTAGCGTACTCTTCGAGGTGACGCAAGGTTGCTTCCACATGAGGATTCTGATCGTTCAGGCGCTCGAGAATCACGGTATCGGCACCCTTGCAGTAGCAGCGAATCTTGCCGTCGGGACAGCGGTAGATTGTTGACATGCGCTTACGCGTCGAGTTGAATTCGCAAACGGCCAGCAGCTCGTACTCGAGCTCCTGGCCATGAGCTTCGATGATGATGGCTTTGGGCTTGCGGGCGACGAACTTGTAGCCGAACTTTGCAGCACCTTCGACCAACGCACCCTCATCTGGCGACGCCGCCTGGTATTTGACCGCGCCCTTTTCGTTCATCTCGGGAATGACCGTATGGCAGGTCGCAAGTAGCGAGAGGAAATGATCGATGAGTTCCCCAGTGGAGTGTCCCTCTTCGTAGTTTCTTCGCATCTTGTCGAACACATAGATGCCCACCTCCGGTGGGTCATTGTCGCTCGCCCTACGGTCTTCAGGCACGTCGTCTGCATACTGAATACCCCCGATCGAGCATTGCTTGTACTCCATCATGTTGCAGGTCAAGGTGCCAGTCTTGTCGGAGAAGACGTATTCCACCATGCCCAGCTCCTCGACTAGACTCGACGTGCGGCACGTCGCCGGAGTATCGGTCTTATCATAGTAAATGTCGAGATCATCATTGATGAGGACACCATGCCAGTACTTGACCAGCTCCACAGTGACAAAGAGTGAGATGGGCACCAAAGACGAGTACAACACCCAATACGTGACCATGTCCTTGGCGAACTGTCGAGCGACGGGCCCGGCGCCGTTAATCGCCTCCAGGTCCAGGTACTCGAGCGAGCCGCTGTTGACGCTCCGCATGATCAGGTCTCCTATGGTGCTGATGATGCTGAGGACAAGAAGGACGGCAACCAAAAGCAAGACCAACGTATTTAGCTTGCGCTCAACCTTGGTACGCTTGATAGGTGTCGCCGTGGCGTTGCGCATCAGCTTGGTCTCGTGACCCGTAAACACCACCATGCCGTGGACCCATGGTGTATTCCGCAGCGTGGCGCCGCGCAGAAGAAGCTGCTCGGGATTCAGGGGAAGCTCTTTCTCGCCACCTCCAGTTTGCATCGTCAAGGTCGCCTCGAACGTGTACAGGCTGCTGTTGGGCTGCTCAGATTTGACCCTACCACCAAGCCGGCTCAGCTCGCTCGGAGACACCATGGTCGACGTCTCTGGCAACGCTTGCTTGATCTTCAGATTCGTTTCGCCGTCGAGATTTGCTGTTTCGATATAACAGAGGCCTTCGGGCTCAGAGCTCGCGAGAAGGACCAGGTCGGCCGGGAACGGGCTTTCTGACTCCACCCTAATGATGTCCCCCACAGCCACGTTGATCCATTTCTCTTCGGCAAAGCTCGATCCTCGTAGGACTAGAGCTTTTGATGTGTTGAGGGCACTGTCTGCCTGTTTCCTTCGATAGTCTTCCACCATTTCTTTGCCTGCCGATATAGCCAACACGACGGCCAGAGGCGCGATTGTCGTGTAGGGATTCGTAGGCGACAGACCAGGGATCTGCTGCAGTAACGCGGTGAACAAGAAGAAAACGTTGGCGAACTTGGAGAATTGCTCGAAGAGGAACTTTGGCAGGAAGGTGAGCGTGTTGTATTTTGCCGTCGAGATGTGGTTGTCGACAAACTTGTTCGCGGCATTGGCGGGAGGGTTGTTGAGGTGGATGGTTCGAGGGCCGAGCGTTGACGGATCAGGCTTGCCGCGCCCAAAGCCAAACTTGAAGTTGCCCAGGTCAAACTTCTTCTTTTGCTGCGCTTGCGATTGTGTGTCCGTTGGGCTTGTCCGCTCATGTCCAGGCTCCGTTAGAGGAAGATCCATCTCTGAGTAGCCTTGTCCCAAACCCAGCCTGTTCTTCATGCGCCCGAACAAGCCTCCTCCCATGGTCAAGACGCTGTTCCTATTCCGCGCATTGTTCCTGGCGGTCGAACCGTCCCCGTTCATCGCGCCTCCTTGGTGGTAGTAGCCGTCAGCGTCTGAGGGCTCGTCGTCGAAATCATCGGCGTAGCGCTGGTAGCTGTTCAGTTCCGAGGACTGGCTGAATTGGCGGTTCAGACGTGGCGCTGGTCGCAAGCTGGCACCAGGCTCTTGTTGCTGCTCTTGTCCGCGGTAGGGACTCGAGTCTGCGCCGACAAAGTCGTCGTAGGACACTGACGGGCGGCTGGGATCCTGGTCGATCTCGTAGTTGCGCATCATGTCTTCGTCGTTGATGGGTGGCCGCTGGCCGTCGTTGTAAACGGGCTGGTCATTGTCGATATCCAACAGCAGGTCATCGCGATTATCGTTATTATATGGGCTGCTATCGTAGCCACCGGGCTGACGTCCAGCCATGCCGATGGGCTAGCAAGGTGAAGCAGCAGGTTCGAGACACCTGGGACGGACCCATGCAGGATTGAAAAGCGGGCGACACGTTGACTTGGTCGTGAGAAGGTCGATCGAGTGGTCGTGATTGTTTGTGCTCGTCTGGGAGAGAACTTTGATGGGCAATTTGCGGTTTCAGGTTGTGCCACCTCTGCTCCAAATGCTCAGCCTCCTTTCGACGCGAAGCTCCGGCCCGTAGCGAGGCAGGGCCAACTAGCTCAGGTGTTGAGAGCTGCAGAAAGCATAAAGTCGCTGGCTAATGGCTGCTTGGGGTGTCTATCGCATTTCCCTGTTCACGACGAGGAACGCGACAATTGCGTAAATACCGCAGGACGATGATGAAAGTATGGATTGGAGATATTGCAGGTGGTGACAGACGGGCCGGGTGGTATTAGCTGGCAGGACGTCAGTTGTCAGCACGGCGGACTGGACTGGGCTGGAGCCACATTTGACAGGAGGGACCTGCAGCGCACGCCTTCAGTCGCACAGAGCACCCACGTTGCAATGCCTTGTTTCTGACTGCACAAGCTGCTACTGGCTACCTACCCCAAGAGTCCAAGGTAATGCGAATATAGCACGTTAGGTATTATCCACCGTATATCATCACCACAAATGCATCGCGGTCCCTCCCTCGTGATACCAAGCTCGTATTCGACTTGAGGGCAAGCATGTGCGGCAAAGCATGCGCCACAGCACCAGCCACTTGTGGAGACCCCTGCTTCAAGCATTCATGTTTCCACGTCCTCTTCAATCATCTGCACTCGCACTACAAAGATGACTTGACCAACTCCAGCTTATTGAGCCAGTCCCCTATCTGTCTGTTCACATCGTCGCCAGTCTGAGTGAGCGCCCAGTGCGATGCGTCCACCTCGCCCCTCGTCAGCTGCGGGCAGTACTGCTCCATGCCCTCGGACATGCGTGGCGGCAGCGCGCTATCTCTCAAGGCAGTGATGAACAGCGCAGGCATATCAATCTTGACACCCTTCTCTGCCAGCACCCGATCGTCATCATAGTTAGGCTTCCGCGTCCGGTAGTAGTTGAGGGGCGCGTGCAGCTCAGGCGCAGGGTGTAGGCAGTACTGGTCTGCGTAGTGATCAAGCTCCTCCTCCGATAGCAGGGCGCTTCTGTTCAGCTTGGGCAGGTTCTCAAAGATGATACCTTGTTCGGTGCGGAAGCCAACCTCGCGCTGGGGACCAAACCCGCCGTGCATGCTGTTGAGGAACTGCTTGACCTTCTCCCTGCCCTGGCAGCGCGTCTCGACCTCGGGGCCCTCGAACTGAAGTTGATACGCAAAGTTGCGCAAATGTCCAGCGTCAATGATGGTCTGAAGGGAATGGTACTCGCCCTGCGTCGGGGCGTGGTACGGTGTGCACACGCTGAACACAGCCTTGATGAGTTCGGGGTACCACATGGCAGTCCTCCAAACGACGGCGCCTCCCCAGTCATGTCCTCCCAGGATGATCTGGCCCTCTGGTCCCACAAACTTGCGCGCCAGCTCGTTGATGTCCCCAGACAGCTTCTTGAACGTGTACTCCTCCAGGGCCGCGGGCGCATCTGATCGTCCGTAGCCAAGCATGTCGGGCACGATCACGCGATAGCCTCGAGACATAAGAAAGGGTATCTGGTGGCGCCAGCCAAAGGATAAGTCCGGAAAGCCATGGACAAGAACAATGGTCCCCTTGGGAGCAGCATCTGTCGTCGGCTCACCGCGAATGTAGGCGTACTTGTAGCCCCGGATAGAGGTAGACTCGTATTGGACCCTCGGGTCATTAGGCGCAAGCCTCTCCATCATGCTTTGCCCGTGTGCAGTGTGTCGAATTACTGTAGCTCGTCGGCGATGAATCCGTCGAAGAGATGAATTGCCAGGATTGAGTCCAAGCTACAAGTACAGAGTAGCCTGAAGCTCTTTAAATTGTTCCTTTCGTTTCGGCGTTGCGTCACCCATCCCCCCCCCCCATCGCGTCGCGATACACTGAGGGTGGGGATCCACGCCGACCGAGGTCCTTACTTGGGTGTTCTGATGGGCCCAGGGCCGCATCCGCCTGCAGAACGTCCACCTCAGTGCAGGTCAACAAGTCGGTGAATTTGTCTATTCGTGCACGCCCATGGGTTCTATGCGGCCGTCTCCATACGAGAGGTGAACTTTCATGTAATGAAAAAGAATACCAACCACTGGCAACCAGGGTTCCCAGACGTCTCGCAGGTCCAGCTGTGCTTCTTAGCAGACTATGACTCTCTCGCCAGTTTTCACGGTAGGCAGTGTGGTTTTCGATGATACCATCCACGCAACATGAACAGCACTTGCTACAGGTTGTGCTTGTGTGATCAGTACTACGTAAAAACTCAACAATAAGTTGAACTTGCGTCCCTATACTTCAGTCAGGCTGAAGTGTCCCTAGCACGTACAGCATCCTCGTTGGCCCCCGGATCTCGGCTCCACTTATCACTTGCGCAGACTGCCAATCTGCCAAGCACAAGGCTGAGAAATCAATCGAATCACAAGCCAAGGGACGTACGTGCCTTGGAAAAGTCGATTAATGTCAACAGTCCAAGCCACCCACCACTCTCGACCTCGACAACCTCACTTCACAGTCGCCCCGTTGCCATGTCTCGCCATCATCCGTACGTTGTCCCTCCCACAAAAGACTAGGTACCTGCTCCTAACACGCTGCAGCGATCTCGTTATGTGCCGCAAGCAGGCCGGCATCGCCATCGGCCGCCTCTGCGACAAGTGCGACGGCAAATGCCCCGTCTGCGACTCCTACGTCCGACCGACGACCCTCGCCCGTATCTGCGACGAGTGCAGCTTCGGCAACTACCAGAACAAGTGCGTCGTCTGCGGCGGGGAGGGTATCTCGGACGCGTTCTACTGCTTTGAATGCACGCGCTTGGAGAAGGACAGAGATGGGTGCCCCAAGATTATAAATCTGGGCAGTTCAAGAACAGACGTAAGTTTCCCACTGCGTCAACACGCCGTGCAGGGTGCTGACAATGGCAACAGTTGTTCTATCAGAAAAAAACGAACCGAAATGCGAATTATTAACACCGAGGTGGCCTGGGTTGGGCTATCACTTCATGTTGGTCAAGCTTTATGGGGCGCGACAGCCATGTGCCTCACGTTGATCAAAGACGATCTAGCATATACACACAAGGCGTTGTTGGCGTTTTACACAGGATGATATTGAGAGCCTATTCTTTGTAGACTACAGCAGTTGGGAGATATCCAAAGTGATTACTACACCTACAATGTGTATTTCAGTCGTGATAGCGTGATACTCAATACTCGCAAGACTCCAATGCCAGAAAAATGACAAATGAAAACAAAACAAAAAAACGTGAATACACAGGTCCAGCTTATATGTAGCTGACCTTTGTGCCCATGCCGGCTGTCGCCAGCACCTTGGCCCACGATGCACCGAGCACCCTCTGCAACCTTTGCCGGACGGCTTTGTTGCCGAACATGATGAGCATGCTCATGATGAAGATCAGGAGTCTCATCACCAGCGTCGGGTTGCTGTTCAGGGACGCCCCCAGCTGTGCGATGATGCCTTGCAACCGGCCGATAAACATGCTCGCCCGCGCCGTGATAGTCAGAGGGGCCACGGCCTTGCCATTCGACTTGGCCATGGAGGATCGTGGAGGCCTCGCCGGTTTCGGCGCAGCCTCCGACGTCGACCGGTTCGGGCGCGCTCTGCTCGACGACGCTATACTAGGCGTGTCCTCGACGCCATAGTCCGTCTCGCTTGCTGCTCGTTTCGCCCTTTCTTCTTCTAACCGTGCCTTCTCTCTCTCCTCGACCCTTTCTCGCTGTCGCCTCGCCTCCTCAATCTCACGTTGCAGCTGCTCTTCTTGCCGTTGCCTCTCCTCCCGCTCCTGCTGTTCTTGGGCCTCTTGGTCTTCTCGCAGGCTCTGAAGCGCTTGGAGGAAGGCTTCTCTCCGCTCTTCGTCGAGCACGGCGCTCATGGTGATGAACTCGCGCGCATAGTCCCATTCGTCGTTGCGTAGCAGGACATGGAGGGTGTACAGTTCGAGGATTTTGACTCTAGCATTCAGGTCGCGCGGCGTACTGGCGCCGCTGGCTCGCTTTGCTGGTGATCGGAAGCGCGAGTGGGAGCGCGCGGGCGATGGGGACATGAGCCGCGAGTTGACGTCCAGATTTGGTAGTGTAGACGACGCGAGGTAGGCCTCCAAGCGTTTCTGGTTCAGGATCTGATCTCGCGCATGGGCTAGGAGTAGTGTCGCCCTATCGTTGTTAGCCGGTGTCAGCTTCACAGAGGCATTGATCCAACCCACAGATTGATGACCACGTCAGCATCCACATCCCCCTCGACGCCATGGTATCCGTTCCTGACAACCTCTTCCCAGACTTCGCCATCGCGCACCTTGTTGCTCAGAGCCCTCCACTCCTGCCCGCCAAATGCATCCTTTCCTTCCTCCGGCTCCAGCTCGACAATCGCATTGAGGATGGTCAGGTATAGGCTCCATATCTTGATGCGCGTTGTGCGTGACGCTTGTGCGACAGGCGTCGGCTCGCCATGTTCGGCTGCCGGTTCAGGCGGTGTGATGAGCGGGAGGAGAGTAGACAGAGCCTCGGGCAGCCGACGCGTCAGGAAGAGCGTGGAGGCTTGTCGATAGGTTTTGGAGATGTGAGAGGTGTGTCGGGTTGAAGTCGAGGAGATGGACGATACAGAAGATGAGAGGATGTTGCTGGAGAAGGGATTTGACGGGTCGCCCCCCGAGGTCATCGTAGCAAAGGGGCCGTTGAGAGACATGGTGCGTGCCGGTCGGTGTGAAAGGAAGCGAGGCCAATTGATAGGTGCTTAAAAGATATATCATGGAAGCGCAAAAGTGTCCAGACAATGGTAGTACCCGAGCGAGACACGTTCACAAGCAACGGCGCGCCATGGTCATGGGCAGTGACAGACAGGCGTGCGTAGTTGAGCCGGTGGAGCTGCTGCAGCTTGAAGATGCTGGCGGACGTTGAAGAAGTGGATTCGACGTTCTCGGCTGCGCTGCGTTTAGCCTCGGTTCACCTGCCAGTGCGTTTCTGGGGAACACCGAGGTCGCCGGACGGACGTGGGGTCTGTTAGCACCATCACCAAGATTCGGTGTCTTTCCTAACAAAATTCAGCGGCGCGTGATCTGGTCAACATTCGGAGATGAGGCACACTTCGAGCAAGTCCATCACTGTCACAACACGCGGGGAGGCGTTGCTCATTTCCGTCTGCATCATGCACCAGCTGCCATCAATAACGGCTCAAGCCTCAAGGTCAGATGCGCCTACGTAAACTCAACGCTACCAAAGTCCATCAACGGGTATCTCATATGTATCAACGCCAAAAATCATGCAAAATGGAAGCTCACGGTTCCCGCGTCCTCGTGCGTCTCCTGGGCGATTGTCTCGTCGATAGATCGGCATCCGCAGCGACATCCGCAGCGGTATCCTCCCTCGATAGAATGATGCTGGTGTCTTCTCTCCCGACAACAGAAGTACCCTCTAGGATCTGGTCCTCGCTCATCCAGCCAGCTTCAACAGCGTAGCACACAATGTCGGCGGCGCTGCCGAACATGGGCATGGCGGGCTTTGCTCTAGGATTCAGATAGATCCAAAACTCCCTGGTAGCCCTTCGGAAGGCGAGGACCTCGGCTCTCTCGCCCTTGAAGTTCTTAATCAAGTACTCGTACAGATAGGCCAGCCACAGCACATTGGTGTACGGCGCGTATACTTCCCAGGACAGCGGGCCATCCACGCCCTTTGCATACGGAACGCAGTGCTCCTCGGGTGGCAGACAAGTGCGGTCGGCTTTCAGTAGGAACGAACGCATTTGGCGATACACCTTGCACTGCGGCGCATGGGTACTGGTGAACAGACTCAAGTCTCGTTCCAGGTCAGACGCCACTGGCTTGGCAAAGTCCACTGACATGTCTTCGGCTCGCGAGAGGCCGTAGTCGAGGATGGTGATATCAAGACCAGAGTACCCAAAGGGCTGTGGCGCGTATGCTGGTTTCGCCCGGGGAGAGGAAACCTGCCGGATACATAGATTGCCCTCGTGTAGGTCGCGATGCTGTACTTGTAAGTGTTGTGTGAGGCTCAGCCCTAATGATGCACATACCTCGAACATGGCGTGATCTTCCGCCCGCGCCAGCGCAATGGCCTGCAGCAGGAAAACATCCCAAAGCTGGCTTTCAGTCGTGAGCTCGAAATCCTCGAGGGCTTTGCCCGCGTCACCCAGCTCCACCACCAAAAACTTGGTGCCATCCAGGTAACGACTCGGGGAAGGGTAAAACTGGGCCCGTCCAGGATCCTCTCTCTTCATCTTCTTCTGGAAAGCTCGATGCGTCTCCAGCAACCCTTTTGTCGTCTTCCCCCGTACAATGTAGCGCTCCTTGTACACCACGAAGCCTGGTATGTCCACCAAAAGCTCCGAGATTTGCAGCTCACCCGCCACGTCGACAGCGGAACGAGGCTCTTCATCGACCAAGCCTGACTTGACCTGTGCCTTTGTCTGTGCTTTGATAGGAGACTCGAGACGGATGACCTTGATGATGCTTGTTCCGCGCTCATTGATGACGCGATAGACTTCTGCGTACGACGCTTCGGCAATCTTCTGGATGGAGTCGCTGGGCGGGCAGACCTCGTCCCATGTGAGAGACCTCAAGTTGTCTTCGTCGATCCCGTGTACTTGACTCCCATGGTCGGCTATGTTTGTGCGCGCGTGGGACTTGTGGGAGGGACTTTGCTGCAACTTCTCCTCCGCATCTTCGTCCTGCGTGAGGTCGATGACTGCGATTGATTTCCGCGGCGACTTCCTCAAAGGCTTTGCATCGCCAATTCTCGTGTCCTTCAATTTTGATGTCAGGTCGTCCACTGGATCATGCACCAATGCAGCCTGTTGGCGCAGCGGGCTTTGGGGCAAGTCTGCCAGCTGGCGTGCGGATCTTGTCCGCGTCGACCTTGTGCCATACTGCCCCGTCGTCGTCGCTTTTGTGGGCATTGCGTGAGAGGAGCTTGAACATTTGAACTGCACTGATCGTATGTAATGGGAAAGTATGAGATGTGATTTACTTACGGTGATGAGCGATGTTGACCAATTGAACTTCATGCGTTGTCCAGGGGTGTGGAGCGTTGACAGGGCAACAGCTTGCTTACCCTGTACGTCCTACCCGATGATATGGAGGTCGTCGATATCCAATTAGAAAATAAAGTTTTCGACCTACTATACACTCTAAACATACTTAGTAAATGGGTTTTCTTATGCTTTTTCCTTTTTTATTCTCTTTTGTTTTTTTCTTACTGTTTCCCCTTGAATGTGTGATTGTGATATACCAGGCGAGTACTAGCAAGTAGTGCACGTGTAATTACTAGTAGTTGGGAAGAAGTGCAGGCGCGAAATCAGTAAGAAAATGAACTTATTAATTGTCTATAAAACTGCGCTCAACACAGATATGATCTAGGGACGACTGGTTAACGAGTTACAGGGGACTTCTTGTCACGTCTCCCATAACCAATCCAAGGTAGTCTCTCATGGCGTCCAGGATACCATAGCCTAAGTCATTTTGATAGATTCCGTGTCCCTTACGACTTGCTCATAAATTCACGACCTTTTCTCGCTGAGCTCATCCCGCAACCACTGAATCACCCTATCAAATTCCCCAGGCGCATCGGCCGGACTCATCTGAGCACAAGACCTGGAAGGCCCGTGAGACGCACGTTGCTTCGGGGCTTGCGGGTTGGTCCTGACGGTGAGACGGTATGGCCTCTTTGTACCTATCGGGGTATCCGCCGTAATATCAAATTGGACGCTAGCACGGGCGCCATGGTCCACTAGGGGGGAACTGTCCTGGGTACGGACCCGGGTGAGTGACGGACTTGGGGGATAGGCACTAGGACAAAATCGAGGAGGTGCAGGCTCCGGCATAGCGCCAGACCAACGCGGTGCTCTCCGTGGCGGATTGTACCATTCTGGAGAAGAAGACGAGACATAGGAAGGTGACGGACCCTCAAAGGGGCTCGGGAAATCGAGACAGAGCGATACGTTGTCGAAAAGCTCCTCGTTATCACCGCTCGCTATTTGCCAGATCCTACACGAGATCTGGTCAAAGTACCAAAGCGCGTAATGGAGTCGCAATCGGTGGAACAAAAAGATCAAGGGCATGATCCTGCGAATACTGGACCAATCGTAGGTGATAAAGGTCCGTATGAACATGCTGGTGAACAGTGTCAGGCCACCTGCACGAAAATGGCCCGCGATGGTCGTCCTCGTCATACAAGTGTCTAGCACCAAAATAACGAACATGGTCAGGATAACTGCATGTGCATGACTGACAGTGGACAGAGCGGCGAAGAGGCCAGAAAGGAAGGGCCAGATAAGCAAGGGCATCTCGCTGAAACAAGCCAAAAAGGGCATGACAATGTGCTCTGAGATGATGATGAAGGTAGTGGAGAACAGAATGAGGAGAAACCAGGGCACCATACGAATGAAGGGCAAGCGGAAAAAGACATTGCCTTCTGGCGTATCGGTGGCCTGGTCGATGGGGACGTGACTCGCGCGGTAGAGCTCGCGAGTCTTTCGGATGAGAAGAGCATAGGAGTGTCGGGCAATATGACCACTGTACTGGAAATTCCGCCAGTGCAGGGTCAGGACCGCGTCAATTTGGGGAACGTCATATGGAAGATCTTCCTCCATGCTGTGTGATTGGGAGTGCCTGGTCTGGTTGTCTGTAAGAAATCAAGTTGCTGATTGTGGAGTGAGGGATTGTCAACTATGTGCACTTGTAATCGCTTGGTACCAAGAATGACTCGGATGTTCGCCATGGAACATAAGCTGTTTTTCTCATGATTGCGATGCCAGAACAAGGCGCCGATTGTTGTGCGTCCCTTTGTTGTGTGAATGGGAACACTCGACTAGCTCGTCGTGCAAGGCTTTGTTGAATCGACACGTGGGACCTACCTTCCACAAATGCTAGGCTCTTGTCATTATGCCAAGTCTAGAGTTCTCTCAGAACTCATCCAAACATCTTTTGTACACCGAGATACAGTTGAGGAGAATGACCCAGAAGAGGATCCGAAGGCCGATGGAACTTGTGCTGTACAGCTCGAGCAGCTTGTTCCGAATGTCGAGCAAGGCGTCGACGACGCACTCGAGGAAAAGCTCCACGACACAGACACACCTGACTGCATAGTATATTCCTGTCAATATTTCGGTGCTGACCTTGGCGGCTTCCGTGTCCAAGTCAAGGGGAAAACTGGTAGAGATGCTTACGAGGAGATAGCCCCAGATCACAGTGAAAAATACCCAAGCAAGGTGCAAGGCACTCGCGATGAGCAGGTCAACGGGAAGCAGAAATAGGTAAACGTACGAGTATCCAATGTGGACTGCCCTGTGGATGAGGACATGGTGGGCAAGGTCGTGGGTCTTGACGATGACTGTGAGGACGAGCGCCATGAGGGTGCGCACGAAGCGCTCGCGCGTGGAGATTGCCATTGCGTCTTGTTCGCGTGCTTCGTGTTTTTGTAGGTCGGAGGATTTATAGAATCAATTCCGAGCATCTAAGGTGTCGCTTCTATATGTATTTATCTGAAGAAAAAGGAAAGAATACATGTTGGGGTGGTCGCTGATCTCTCTCATGCCTGGTGAAGGACGTGACGGACGCGCCGAGATAACAGCATAGAACGTAGACCAACATTAATGAAACGATTGTGAATGATTGAGAACATGCCTGTACCAGACAGCTGTGGGCGACATTGTTGATGTCTATCATTGCGCCAAGTCGTTCGCGCACGCCATGAGTGAATGCAGGGCGACCGACGTCATCCCTGAATCGGACACGCTGGAGCTGGCTGGCTGGAGGGAAATGCCTCAGGCTCCGGGCGGCGGCGCGCGAAATGCGAGAAGAGAACGAGCACTTATTGGCCAGGCCTTTCGAATGAGATATTTGAACCATCTCAGATAAAGCAATGATACATTGTGACGCTCTTTTCTCACCATACCTGTATCACTCGTGTTGTGTGGTTCAGACCAAGACAGGTGCCCCTCAGATTCCAGGTGCTGGCTGCCCCTCCCTCTGTGCTGAGCTGAGCTGAGCTGAACCCCACCATCTCAACTTTCTCACCTTGAAACCCAAACATCTCACTGTTGACATCAGGCCCTACTATCAAAATGAGCAAGACCGAGCAAAAGGCGTGCCTCATCGTCATTGACGGATGGGGCGTGCCCACCGATGCGTCGCCCAAGGACGGCGACGCCATCACCAACGCCGAGTGCCCCGTCATGGACGGGTTCGCCCAGCAGAAGGACTGCTACACCAAGCTCGAGGCGTCGTCGACGTCTGTCGGCCTGCCTGAGGGCCTCATGGGCAACTCCGAGGTCGGCCACTTGAACATTGGCGCCGGACGTGTGGTGTACCAGGACGTCGTCAGGATTGGTGGGTGTTTCTCGCGGTGGTGTCTTTGCACCTGCTGACCGTCCGCAGACCAGACCATCAAGGAGGGCAAGCTTGGACAGAACCAGGTGCTCGTCGACTGCTTCAAACGCGCCAAGAATGGCAACGGCCGCCTGCACCTCTGCGTGAGTAACAGAGACCGGCCACATTGGCCTCGAGACTGACGCGACGATAGGGTCTCGTTTCCCATGGAGGCGTCCACTCCAAGCAGACGCACCTGTACGCGCTTCTGAAGCTCGCCAAGGAGATGGAGATCCCCAAGGTCTTCATCCACTTCTTTGGTGACGGCCGCGACACCGACCCCCGCAGCGGTGCCGGCTACATGCAGGAGCTCCTCGACACGGCCAAGGAGATTGGCACTGGCGAGATTGCCACCGTGGTCGGTCGGTACTACGCCATGGACCGTGATAAGCGCTGGGAGCGCGTTGAGATGTGGGTGCCCTTCTTGTTCCCCTCCTTGGGAGATTCTGGTCTGACAATGGCAGCGCTCTCAAGGGCATGGTCCTCGGCGAGGGAACCACCTCTGACGACCCCGTCCAGACGGTCAAGGAAAGCTACGCCAAGGGTGGAGGCAAAGACGGTGACGAGTTCCTGAAGCCCATCATTGTCGGCGGCGACGAGAGGCGTATCAAGGGTCAGTATACCGCTCGCTGCATTATCTGGGCCATCTGGCTAACCCCGTGCCAGACGAAGACACCATGCTGTTCTTCAACTACCGATCTGACCGCGTGCGCCAGATCACCCAGGTGCTCGGCGACGTGGACCGCTCGGTGCTGCCCGACTTCCCCTACCCCAACATCCACCTCACCACCATGACGCAGTACAAGGTGGACTTTCCCTTCCCCGTGGTGTCCAAGCCGCAGGTGATGGACAATGTGCTCGCCGAGTGGCTCGGCAAGCAGAACGTCGAGCAGGTGCACGTTGCCGAGACGGAGAAGTACGCGCACGTGACCTTTTTCTTCAACGGCGGTGTCGAGAAGGTCTTTGCGCTCGAGACACGCGACATGGACCAGGATCTGGTGCCGTCGAACAAGAGCGTGGCGACCTACGACCAGGCACCCGAGATGTCCCAGGACGGGGTGGCCGAGCAGGTCAACAAGCGGATGAAGGAGCAAAAGTTCCCCTTTGTCATGTGTGTAAGTAGACGTGGTGCTCCTGTGGCGGGGAGGGAGATGCTGACTTTTTTCTTCTCTCTAGAACCTCGCGGCCCCCGACATGGTCGGCCACACGGGCGTGTACGAGTCGGCGCTGACGGCGGTCGAGTCGTGCGACAAGGCGATTGCCAAGATCTACGAGGGCTGCAAGGAGGCTGGCTACATCCTGTTCATCACGGCGGACCACGGCAACGCGGAGGAGATGAAGTTTGCGGACGGCAAGCCCAAGACGAGCCACACGACGAACAAGGTGCCCCTGATCATGGCCAACGCGCCCGAGGGCTGGGCCCTCAAGGACACCACTGAGGGCGTGCTGGGTGACGTCGCGCCCACGGTGCTGGCAGCTCTTGGCCTGCCCCAGCCCGAGGAGATGACCGGCACCAGCCTGTTGGAGAAGGACCTCAAGCGCGCGGCGCAGGAGTAGACTACACGTACTCTGGAGGCTGTACAAGAAAAAGGATAGAGGGCGTTGATGGGTGTGATAGAGGGCGTTCGCGATAGAGGGCATTGTGTCATGGAGCGTGCGAATAGATGATTCGTCTGTGAGTGTGAGTGTGAGTGGTCGACCAGGCAACGCTGCTGAGGCGAGACACTGATGCCGAGACAGCGGGGTGCCACGTGTCTACTTACATCACGTCAATGTGGTCTTCTTGAATAACGCAGTTGGATCACCTTGAGACTCTGTTCAGACGTGTGTTCGTGGCTGTACGGTACGTAGTACACGTACGTGCACTGTCGAGTCCGCCCATGCCCTGAAAGGTGATGTGGCCCCACTGGCTCCAGGCGTCTGCCGGGGGCTCAGCTCACCACCAGGTAGGGTGCCTACCTATAATCCAGCTCCCGTTCAGCTCCCGGTCAGGGCCTGTAGGCGACAATGTCAATTGCGACCCAATCGCGTCGCGTCGCGCATCAGGCCTCAGGCGCATTGACCGTCGCCTCATGTCACCCACACCTTCCTTGGTCCAGTCCTCACCTTGACCACGCCTTCTCACCCGCCCTCCTCGTGTCCAACTGCCCAGCGGCACGATTCGCGTCTGCAGACAGACAGCGCCCAACTCGAGCGCTGCCATCTCCATCCATGCCCGACCTGGGCTTCAACCGGTCGTCGCCGCGCCGCGACGCCAGCGCGAGCTCCAAGCGCAACAGCATCACCGACCGCGTGCGCAACTCGTTCCTCAAGGCGCGCCAGGACACACAGGCGTCGATCCAGCGACGGACCTCGACGGCGTCCGGCAAGCCCACGCAGTCGCCCATTGCCCGCATCCGTGACTGGCTGGACACGTGCAACCGCGAGCACGATCACCACTGCAGCCCGCCCAGCGCGTCCAAGACGGACGACGAGGTCGACACTTTCCGCCCCGCCTGGCTCATTGACTCGACGGACCGCTGCCTCGTCCGCAGCAGACCAGGCGACCGCTATGTGGCGCTGAGCTACGTCTGGGGCGGCGGCGCGCGCACCGAGACGGGCGACATTCGCCTCGCCAAGGCCAACGTCGACGTGTACGAGGACGCCCTGCCCGAGGCGGATCTGCCGCAGACCATCCTCGACGCCATGTGGACGGCGCGCAAGCTGGGACTACGGTATCTCTGGGTGGACCAGCTGTGCATCACGCAGGACGACAAGGACGAGATGGAGAGTCACACGCAGCACATGGCCTACGTATTCGCCAACGCCTACCTGACGCTCGTGGCCGCCCATGGCGACGTGCACACCGGCCTCATCCCGCTGAATCCGCGCCGGCAAGGGCCGCGAGGACTGGGGTCCGGGACGGAGAACCACGCCGATCTGGTGCGGCAGTCCAAGTGGAGCACGCGAGGCTGGACGCTGGAGGAGGCATACTATTCACGGCGCAAGGTCTTCTTCTTTGAGGACGCCATCACCTGGGAGTGTCATTGCGAGCTGTGGCAGGGCGCTCCGGCGGCGGCGGCTGCGCGGGGACGCAGGACCGCGTGCGCGCATCCCCTGTCCGAGGCGGCGTTTGCGTGGCGGCACGCGCCGTGGCCAGACCTGGACGAATACGCACGCATCGCGGCGGACTACAGCGCGCGCCGCGTGACGAGGGTGGACGACACGCTCAAGGCGTTTGCCGGCATCACGCATGTGCTGTCGAGGGTGTTTCCGGGGGGGTTTCTATACGGCATGCCGCTCATGTTCCTGGACATTGCGCTGCTGTGGCGGCCGCAGGCGTCGATGCGGCGGCGCGCGGTCATCCAGCCGCCATTCCTTCCGTCTTGGTCGTGGATGGGGTGGTGGTTCGACGGGGTGCCGGTCGACCTCGTGCTGTGGCGCGCGGCGGCGGACTACGTGGTGGACAAGACGGGGGACGGCACATCGCCGCGGCTGCAGTCGCCGCACGCCTTCAAGATCAAGCCGACGGTGACGTGGGCGCTCACGGACCGGACGGCCAGCGCGCCCGTGACGAACAATGGGCTGCACTTTCGCGACCTGCGCTCGCGGCGGAGCTCGGTGTCGTCGTACCCGCCCGGCTGGACGCGCGTGGGACCACACTTTCAGCACGACAGCGACGACCTCACGCTCTTCAAGTACCCGATCCCCGTGGAGGAGCCGCCCGAGGACGGGGTGGCCTACCCAGCGCCGGCGGGGGAGCTGGCGTTCCCAGGCCCCTACCTGTCGTTCCGGACGACGAGCGCGCTGTTCGAGGTGGACTACGACGCGACGCTGTCGACGCGCGAGGCGGCCATGAACCCGCCGGTGGCGGTGGGCAACCTGTGGTCGCGGACGACGCAGCGGTGGGCGGGCAGCTTCCGGGCGCACGACGGGTGGCTGGGGATCCAGTCGTCCAACTACGAGGGGGACGAGGTGCTCGAGTTTGTGGCGATTTCGACGGCGACGGAGCGGCGGGGCTCGCACGTCTTCAGCGCGGCGCAGTTTGCGGCCAACAAGGACGCCGATGACTTTGTCGACATTGTCAACGTGCTCTGGATCGAGCGCATCGGCGGCGTCGCCTACCGCCGGGGGCTGGGGCACGTCCTGCGCAAGGCGTGGGAGGGCGCCGAGCCGGAGGAGGTGGACGTCCTGTTGGGGTGATCTTTGGAGGGGGGGGAGGGAGGACTGTCCTGTCCTTGTTTCATCATGAGCCATGTTTACGGTTTCGATGCTACCACGCATGGCTTCACGGCACACCGTTCTGGCACGTTATTTGGCGCATTCCGCTGGCACATTACTCTGCTACGCACTAATTTACTACCGAGCCCAGGCCTCCATGCATAACCCAGGCTGATCCGATCCTTTGCTACGACGCTGTGCCAAGCAGGGATCGTCGCCCTAGATGCATCGGGCAACCTTGTCTGTCCGCGACGACTTGTTTATTAATAACTCCATATTACAAATCAGCAAGCTTCTAAGCGCCCGGGCGAGAGCATCACCTCCTCGTCACACAGGGACGAGTGGAGAGAAGGTCCTCGATACCAAGGACGATGGCAGCATAATCAGCTGATGCCATCTGCACGCAGCCATGTGGGCGTCTATGAATAGACCTTGCTTTGCGTTCTGGATCTGCAGTCGCGATGCAATGCAATGCAGTACAGCTTGATGGACGTCTACTGCCCATTGATTCTTGTGCCTGGCCTAGTCTCCAACACGACATGATACATCTGCCGATCCTCCTCCCGAGCGCCACACCCGCCTACCAGTCTTTTTGTTTCGTTGGACGGCAGTTGGACGGCCCCCTAGGCAACTGTCGGTCTTTATCCGTAAACTGGCTCGAGACAATGATTGGTTAGGCCCGTTAGAGTTTGATTTAAGGTGGCTGGGCGTGCGGAGGGCAATGTCGATGCATAGTCCTCTGTAGTCCGTCTCTCCGTCTCTCTCGACTCTCGAGCCCCCATGCATGAGCCCTCGGCAATCGCACTCGATTGAGCCACTGGCCGGACGAATACTACAGTACGTACGTACGTACCTGCATTGCCCGCAGACCGACAACCAAACGTGCAGACACTCACTCTATCGGCGGAGATGAAGGTGGCCCACGCATCCACCGTTGACGTCCACGTCCTCGTCCACCAGTGACAATGGGCGCATTGCTGCTTGACGGGTGGTGAGTGCTACGTAATGCCACAGCAGCATGGACCGATGCCTCCAGAGCAAGGATGTGACGCCGGGGTGAGGTGATCCCTGAGATGTATATCAGGTCGTCCCTCTCGGCCTCCCCAGACAAAGTGTGCTCTCTGTCGCTTGGTGCACACTCCCCAGCATCCCTCACCTCGCAATGCTTCTTCACGTCCACTCTGCCCTCCTGGCAACGGCATTCGCCAGCCTCGCCCACGCACAATGCCCCTTTGCCGACGTGGGCAACCTCGCGGCCCGCGCCGAGGGCCTGGGCTCCCGCAGCCACCTGGCCGACTTTGAGGTTGACGACTCGGAGGGCTACATGACCTCTGACGTTGGCGGCCCCATTGAGGACCAGGAGGTGCTGACGGCGGGCGAGCGCGGTCCGACGCTGCTCGAGGACTTTATCTTCCGCCAGAAGATCACGCACTTTGACCACGAGCGCGTCCCCGAGCGAGCCGTCCACGCGCGCGGCGCCGGTGCCCACGGGACCTTCACCAGCTACGGCGACTACTCCAACATCACGGCGGCCTCGTTCCTCGGCGAGGCGGGCAAGGAGACGCCCATCTTTGTCCGCTTCTCGACCGTCGCCGGCTCGCGAGGCAGCGCGGACACGGCGCGCGACGTCCACGGCTTCGCCACGCGCTTCTACACGGACGAGGGCAACTTTGACATTGTCGGCAACAACATCCCCGTCTTCTTCATCCAGTCGGCCATCCAGTTCCCCGACCTCATCCACGCCGTCAAGCCCAGCCCGGACAGCGAGGTGCCCCAGGCCGCCACCGCCCACGACTCGGCCTGGGATTTCTTCAGCCAGCAGTCCACCACCCTCCACACCCTCCTCTGGGCCATGGCCGGCTACGGCCTCCCCCGGAGCTACCGCCACATGGACGGCTTTGGCGTCCACACCTACCGCCTCGTCACCGACGACGGCACCTCCCGCCTCGTCAAGTGGCACTTCAAGTCCAAGCAGGGCCGCGCCTCGCTCGTCTGGGACGAGGCCCAGCACCTGGCCGGCAAGAACCCAGACTTTCACCGCAGGGACCTCTGGGACGCCATCGCCGCCGGCCACGCCCCCGAGTGGGAGCTCGCCGTCCAGGTCGTCGACGAGGAGGCCGCGGCCGCTTGGGACTTTGACCTCCTCGACCCGACCAAGATCATCCCCGAGGAGCTCGCCCCCCTCCAGCCCCTCGGCCTCCTCCGCCTCGACGCCAACCCGGCCAACTACTTTGCCGAGACGGAGCAGGTCATGTTCCAGCCGGGTCACATTGTCCGCGGCGTCGACTTCTCCGACGACCCCCTGCTCCAGGGCCGCATCTTCTCCTACCTCGACACCCAGCTCAACCGCCACGGCGGGCCCAACTTTGAGCAGCTCCCCATCAACAGGCCCGTCACCCCCGTCCGCAACAACAACCGCGACGGCGCCGCCCAGAACCTCATCCACACCAACACCGCCCCCTACTCCCCCAACACCCTCAACAAGGGCTATCCCCGCCAGGCCGGCCGCGACGAGGGCCGCGGCTTCTTCACCGATCCCAACCGCAAAGTCGCCGCCTCCGGTTCTGGCTCCGGCTCCGGCGGCGCCTCGCTCGTCCGCCGCCGCCCCCAGTCCTTTGCCGACCACTGGTCCCAGCCCCGCCTCTTCTACAACTCCCTGACCTCCGTCGAGCAGCAGCTGCTCATCGACGCCATGCGCTTCGAGGTCTCCCAGGTCAGCCCGGCCATCCAGGAGAACGTCCTCGTCCAGCTCAACAAGATCAGCCACGACGTCGCCGTCCGCGTCGCCACCACCCTCGGCCTCGACGCCCCCGCCGCCGATCCCACCTACTACCACGACAACACCACCGCCGGCCTCAGCATCATGGGCGAGCCCCTGCCCTCCATCGCCACCCTCCACGTCGGCCTCCTCGCCTCGCACAGGGTGAACGGGTCCCTCGCCCAGGCCGCCGCCCTCAAGGAGGCCTTTGCCGCCCTCGACGTGACCGCCGCCGTCGTGGCCGAGACCTTGGCCGACGGCGTCGACAGCACCTATGCCACCTCGGACGCCGTCGCCTTTGACGGCATCATCGCCACCAACGGCCTCGACGTCCTGCTGGCATCCAAGGCCAAGTCGCCCCTGTACCCGACGCGTCGCCCTGCGCAGATTGTCGAGGATGGCTACCACTGGGGCAAGCCGATCGGGTACATGGGCTCGTCCGCTGCCGCACGCGTGGCCGAGGACGACGGTGTGTACGCGGTGGACAGCGTGGGCGCGCTGGTGGACGCCTTCAAGCAAGGTCTCGCCACGTTCAAGTTCACGGACCGCTTTGCGCTGGATGACCAATCCTAGATGTGATATATCGATTACAAACAGTAGATTATTCATTTTGAGAACCCCCCGCCACTACGGTGATGTTACACGATCCCTAAACCCCTACGCACGCGTGACCTGCTTCTTCTGCGCCTTGCGCATCTCCTTGGTCTGCTCCTTCTCGAGGTACTTCTTCTGCGCCTTGGCGTCGAGGGCCGCGAGCTCGGCGTCGCGCTTGGCCTTTTTGGCCTTTTCCCGCTCCAGGATGCGCTCCTCATTCTTCTCCTCCTCGGCGGCCTTGCGCAGCTCCTTGCTAATATTGTCGCGCGTGGCGCGGACCTTGCGCAGCACCTCGGGCCGGAAGCTGCCGTGCTGGACGAGGAAGTCGGGCAGGTGCAGGGTGTAGTTGAAGAGCGTGCTGAGGGCGTTGTAGTCGTTGCTGGCAGGCAGGCGGTACTTGAGAAGGATGCGCTTGCTCGGCTTGGTCTCGTCGAGCGTCTTGGGCTTGTCGGTCGGCTGGTCGGTGATGAGGAGGAACTCGAAGCTGTCCTCGCCGGCCGCGGTGATGGCGGCGATGAGCTCGGGCGTCAGCAGGGCGTCGGTGATCTCGGCGCTCTCGCTCATGACCGTCAGCCAGTTGGGCAGCTTGGGGCTCTCCTTGGTGGCCGTCAGCGAGACGTCGTAGCGCGCCTCGCGCACCTTTTGCATCACGTCCTTGTTGACGACGGCCCAGACGAAGGAGTCGTAGCTGCTCTTGGCGTCCTTGGCCGTGGCGGCCGGGTACCCGGGCACCGTCCGGGCCTCCTGCCCGTCAAAGGGGTAGATGTAGACCTCGGCCACGTCGTAGGGCATGTCAAACGTCGTCTCCCAAAAGTAGGCCGCCACCGTCTCGAAGCCGAGCACGAGCGGGTTGAACTTTTTCGTCAGCGTCAGCTTGACGTCGGCAAAGGCAATGTTCTGGCGGCCGGTCGCGTACGTCGCAAACTCAAAGAGCGACTTCTCCTTGAGCAGCGACTCGGGCTCGACGTCGCCCGACAGCGTGTTGGGTCGGCCCTCAAAGCCCACGCAGGCAAACTCGCCTACGAGCGCGGGCGCGTGGGCGCGGATGAAGGCGCGGGCCTTGTTGCGGTTCAGACGCGCGCCAAACAGGTGCAGCACCAGGATGAGGCCGCCCACGAGCAGCACGACGCCCTCAAACTTGAACTCGGACAGCGCGTGCCGCTCGTGCACGTTGTACCAAGCGGTCCAGGGCACCGTCGTCGAGGACGCGGTCGCCGCGAGCGTGCCTGAGGCGGGCGCAGGCTCGGGAACCGGGTCGGGGGCACCAGCAAAGTCGGCAAAATCTGTGAGGCGCGCGCTTTATTAGCAATTGGACGAGACGCTGGGCACGCGGGCGGCGGCTTGCTTACCAGAGTCGACCTTGGCGGCTGGCACGTCCTTGACGCCGCCAAAGGCATTCTTGAGAAAGTCCGCCATGGCAATTGAGGATGGCGAGGGTGAGATGTGGTAGAGGGATAAGTTGGAGGACGGATGGACGTTGTTGGCCCCAGTCGCAACAGGAACGCAGGCAAGCACGCTCCCTGTGAGGGGACCGGGCTGGGGTCCAGAGCGTGGGGCAGGTGCGATCGTGGCTATTGGCCAATTGCCTGGAGCTCATTTCTGGCGCGAGCCTCGAGGGCTCGGCGGGGCCAGAGGCGCGACGCCTGCCTAACCTGCAGTATCGCAGAATGTCTCGTTCGGGGGGTTAATCATTGCGACTACAATGGTCGTTTGGGGAGAATAATTGACAATCGAATGGCCGTGATTGAATGATGTCTTTGAGAGTGATCTCACAGTGAGCAGGCCTGGCTAAATTGCCAGCTGCCAGCTGCTTGCTGGCTACTAACAAGGAACATCAAATCATTATTGGACGACTGCACCTGCACCCAAAAGAGACTTTAGACTTCAGATGACGGGAAACCATGCGATGCGGGGTTTCATCTCTTTATTCTGAGTGGCTGGCTTGTCACAGATTTCCAGTCCATCTGACGTTGTCGCTCCGACTGCGTCCCAGCATTGTCCAACACAACATAATAGACAATGTGTGCTTCCGTTTCACCAACGAGTCTTCGGATCTCACATAAGCATAAGGTCGACTGGTCTAGTGGTCAGGATGTTCGCTTCACACGCGAAAGGTCGCGGGTTCGAACCCCGCGTTGACCTTCACTTTTTGTGCTTTTCTCCACCATGTCGGTGGCTCGGAGCGACAGCCAAAAAGTTGGATCACCGCTCCGAATGCTGGGGACAGGTAGGCAGGGCATGCCAGGACGAGACTCGCTTAGACGTCCCGCAAGCACAAGCCTATTTGAGAATGAGTCCAAACAGAGGTGAGCAACACACTGCTGCATACTTGGCAGAAGAAGGCACTCGTCAGCACGACGACTATCTTGCATCAGCACGGAAAGGACATGCTTGAACATGGCAGAGCTGAATAAGGCAGCCCGTCTCCGGGCTGGGAAATGCACGCACAGAAACGAAGCAGTGAAGTCCTGTCTTGCATTATGCGACGTGAAGCCAACGAGCACCTCGAGGCCTTCCCTGCATCGGGATTTTGTCTCAAAATAGGTTCTCACACAAGTCAGGGTACGACAAGAAAAGCGAGAGTCGCCATTCTCAACATCACAACGAATCGCTGCGAATCCTCACTCCAAGTTAGACGATAGTCAACGGCGGTATCGTTCGTCACGCAATATTCACCGATACTGTGAAGTTGGAGCACAAGTCAAGTCATACGTGTGGGGAAGCGCATTGGGCTTCCGGGGTTCTCGAATGAGTTTCGTCAAGCTTTCTTGGAGATGACGCTCAAGTACTTGGACACCTTCTGTTGCAAGATACAGTCAGTTTCAGGTTGCGAAGATCAATCACGAACTTGCACGTCGGTCTCGCTTTGTGCCAGTTCAACGACCATGAGATATACACAGGCCCTCTGCTACACATCTCAACGAGTGCAATACCTTGGTTTGGTTTCGTCAGGTTGTATTCACAGAGCTCAATTTGATCACCGCCCCATCAGAAAGTGTCTCCTTGAATTTCTGTCGCTTGCTTGTCGTTGACTTCTCCGCAGACCCTTACATGAAGCGTTCCGACAGCAATGCATTCTGCTTCATCTCGCATGTAGTGCGATCACATACATTGATGTACACCTGCAAAAGCACAAGGATATTCGTTTGTCGCTGTGCGAGATCCAGATAACTTATTCTCTGGACTACCTGTTTGACGCCACACATGGCCATAAAGCATCATGAACACAAGGTCCAATACATTGATTCAATCGCTGAGACCAGGACAAAGAGTCTGACGGTTATGCACATATTACACATTGGGACTCTCGATTATTCAGTGCCAGTGAACGTCATACGAAACGACTGCTATTGAGATTTCAAGACAACACTCGTGACAACTCCAAACACTATCGAAAAGCCAGCGAGACGTGCGCTTGAACCAATACAGCAACCGTACGTCGTCGTCGATTCGAGCCACGAATGCACAATATCCGATAGTTCAGAGCCAAGGGATTGAGTCGTTGTGAGACTACCATGCCACCACGAACAGAACAGAGACGATGGACAAACGAATCTGGTATGCGGTAGGGTAGCATGAGCTCATGTAAAGCTGACTGACCACATAGGATCATCGAATTGACCCAGCTCGAGCCATAGAATCGCGGCAGATCTCGAGAGACGAAATACGAGCCTTTTTGAACCATTGCGCTCCTGGCTGCAAAGAGGAATGACATCGGCCGATATGGATCGTAATGAGTGAGGGTGGATTATGCAGACTGGCGAACGTGATATGCCACTACACCAGTCGACCGACTATGCCACGTCATTGTATCGAGGCTGGGAGCGGGGCCCTTGTTGTGAAAATTTGTCGGTTTTTAGATATACATTTTCTCAAAAAATCGAGATAGGGTTCCTGATTATTAGTTCTTCTAATGGAGGGGAACTTGAGATTGGTCTAGCAATGCAAGACTGCTAGCTGAATCTCTGCATATCCCTACCTCCGTCAATGACCATCTGCTGCTAATGTGTTGTCCTGGCAGGATCGTCTGATGGATTGATCATCTGGTCATCTGATGCTATGAAGCAGGATTATGACTGCATAGTCGGGATAACGGCTGGCCCAGGCCTTGCTCCATCCGATGGTATACTACGCTTTCAATTTCCAATACTCGATCATTGCGCCAATTCAACACCCCAGAGCCGAAATTGATATTCGATAGGTATGATCCGTCAACGCTCCAAATGTCATACGGTTGTCGGTACCGAGCGCAATCGCTGTGTTGGTGTTTCAGAGGCAGAGCGCCAGTTTTTAGGGACTGTCATCTGGCCATTTCATTGTTTCTCCTTACGCTAAATGCTACTCGTAGCCAAGATGCAAATTGCAGTACGCGTGTCAAGCACTCGGAGCGATAGTCCCTCCGTGGACTCCGAAGTCTCAACTTGCATAAAGCCAGAATCACGAACAATATCTTGATGCGACGAGCGAGACTTCCGTGGTGTAGTGCCGCCACTAGCGAAAGGTGGGGTTGTCTCAAGTTTGTTGAACGGAGGTCATGGCGCCTGGCTGCATATCAGAGTCATAATTAGTAAACCAGCACCAGCATTTCCACCAACGCCGAATGTTACTTGGCGACCAAGACCTCATCGCCAACAATCTAGATTCACAAGATGACGAGGTTCCGTCCGTGCATCGATCTCCATGCCGGAGAGGTCAAGCAAATTGTCGGTGGTACGCTCGACAGCACATCGGAGGCTTTGAAAACCAACTATGTGTCGAAACTCCCAGCTTCGCACTATGCATGCATGTACAAAGAGAATGCACTCACCGGCGGCCATGTCATCATGCTAGGCCCCGGGAACAGCGCGGCTGCGACAGACGCTCTACAAGCATGGCCGGGTGGTCTTCAGTTGGGGGGAGGTATTTCAGACACGAATGCGCAGAGCTGGATAGACGCCGGCGCAGAAAAGGTTTGTGGATGGTACGCTGGCGGAACACATGTTAACAAGAAGAAAAAGGTCATCATCACCTCGTTTCTCTTTCCTGAGGGCAAGTTCAGCCAAGAACGCCTTGATGCTGTTCTCGAGGCCCTGGGTGGCGACAGGACAAAGCTCGTCATTGACATCAGCTGTCGTCGACAAGGCGATGATCGCTGGTTCGTGGCCATGAACAAGTGGCAGACCATAACCGACATGGAAGTCACGCAAGAGTCCATCAAGTCGCTCGAGCCGTACTGCTCAGAATTCCTCATCCACGCTGCTGACAATGAGGGCTTGCAAAGAGGAGTCGATGAGAAACTCATCGAGCGGCTAGCTCAGTGGTGCTCGATACCCGTCACGTATGCTGGCGGTGGTCGAAGCCTGGACGATCTGGAGGCGGTCAAGCGTCTGAGCCACGGCAAGGTCGACCTCACCATTGGCAGCGCCCTCGATTGTTTTGGTGGCCAGGGCGTCAAGTTTGATGACTGTGTGGAGTGGAACAAGAAGCAAGGTGCGTGATGGCCTTTGCCGGAAAACGGGATACGTATAGGCTTCTTCAATCAAAGGCGCATCAATTGTCCATTTGTCCACTGTCTGGAGTCTGGGCCCAACCAGTTCGTGACGAGGTGCATCCATCGTGTCTATCATTCGGTCGAAAAGTCTGCCACTCACAAGATTCCCGACTGGTCAATGCATAAGATGCAGGCTGCATCTTCCAAGGTTTTCTGGTTTGTATCCATCTATAGCCGATGCCACTATTACGAGCTGCGGCGCTATGGCACCAGTTTCGCATGCGGGGATCCTTGCAATGGGACACGGTTGCTGTGGTGACAGCAGATCGAGGGGCCGATTCACTGTTGTTGTCACGCCGGCCAATCGCGCCTGCCGCCCCTGGGAGTCTAAAACACCACAAACCACCTACAATCGCTCTTTCCTCCGCAGTCTTTCATCTCACCGCCAAATTCCAAATTCATCGTTGCTCTCCAGGCTTCACGCTATTCTTTCGCGTGGGATTGCCTCTGGTCATTTTCCTCTCGCTGCTTGTGTAGCATTTGTTTCGCTTCTACCTTCGCTTTCTCGTAGCATTCTGATACATCTTGGTCGACATTGGCGCTTGTGACATTCCAGTCCCGGCCGATGATCGCAACACAAGAGGCCTAGAGTCAAATGGAATCTGAAAGGCAGGTTCACCCTCTGCGCATCAACAAGTCATCGTCACCCGTCAAGATGGCAAGCGCAGTGCCTCGTCCATTGTCGGAGCTGTCTCCCATGGAGAAGCGTCGCAACTCGCCTAGCTGGCACCAGCCCAACAACACGTCCCCAAAGGTTTGCACTCCGATCATGTCTGCTCTAGCTCAAAGGCGCTGACGCAGCATGTCTCAGAAAGCAGCACTCAATAGCGATTCATCACCATTCCAGTCCTCGCCTCTCGAGACGGCCACGTCCCCTCGCCTGTTTTGGCAGAACCAGAACAGCGAAAACATGTACTTTGGAACTCGCACAGGATCACCGTCACCAACTCGACGATCCTCCATTGAGCGCCTCCAAAGGGCCTCGAGGGTCAAGAACAGCAACATCCTTGCACTTGAACAGAAGCAAGAATATGATCCTACCCGCCTGCCACAGATTGAGAGACCCCTTTCCAAGGTGCAAGGGACCTCATTTCGCACATCCACGTCGAGCGGCGTGCAGTCTCCCGACCCTTTCGAATTTGACCGAAGCACCTCCAGCACCACAGTCATGAGCCCAGGCAGGGAGCAAGCATCCCCCACAAAATCGTCTCTCTCGCCATCCAAGTTCAAGAGCAGCTTCGATCGCGAGTTTGACGAAGGTGCCTCCATGACCGACATCGATCTGCCCGGCAGCCGCTCGCTGCACCGACACACAAAGAGCGTGACTTTTGACGCCGCCCCGCCCCAGATCAATGAGTACGAAATGGCAACGCCAGATCTGTCATCCATTGGAACAAATTCAAGGGAAGGGAGCTACGAGTCGATGGGCGATGAGTACGACGACGACGTGCTCTACAACCCGACCCACATGGACCATCATGAGGATAGCTTCGATGCTTCCCTCGAGGACACCGACAAGACACCTGTGGTCGGACCGGATGACTGGCGCGGCGATAGCCCGATGGTCCAAGGAAGACCCCCATTTCAGTGGGAAGGAAGCCCTATGCCTGACGCTGCTCCGTCGCTACCCGAGCTGGATCGTCCCCAGTCTAAGCGCTCTGACTCTGCCAACTCTGAGCACCGTCCTCTGCCTCCGCTCCCGGGTGCTGGTCATACCAGGAGCCAATCCGCGGGATCTGCTCCAGACTCGCCTGCTTTGTCTGCCACTGCGGAGAGGATGCTTGGTGCGCATAGAAGTCTGCCAACACCACCTGCGGCTTTGGCCAGCAAATCGGATATCCAGAACATTGGCAATGGCAAAATGACGCTTGAAGAGCGCTTGAAGCTCATGATGCTGTCTGATGATAGCGGCGCCAAGTCTGCCGCTGAACAACAACGGGAACGCCGCCTCAGGCGAGCAAACGGCCGCGATAGGTTCGGCAGCCCACTTTCAGATTCCACGATTGACATCCACGAGGATCATGAGGCGGACGACACTATTGGAGAGATTTCGCTCCTTGAAGATTACGAGATGCCGTCGCGCATCTCGCGCGAGTCCATCATGCGCCGCGTCAATGGCAACAAGGCTTTCGACCGGGAGTCTGATTACAATTTCTCGTCGCCAGCTCCAGGTTCGAGCCCACAGCGCAGCCCAACCCGCAGCCCTGAGAGACAGTTGCCTCACGACCCAGACGTCCCTATCCCGTCCACTGAAGACTCCATGCTGGATGATATTGACGAGGAAGAGGAGAGCAGCGTCATCATCCATCGACCTGCTGCGGATGAGTATGACGATGACTCGGAAATGTTCGAGTCATCGATGGCGTCGGAGCTCGAGACGCCAGAGCCTGACGCCCACCAGGACAATGACTATGAAAGCAATTACTCGGATCAGAATGATCCAGTTGTGCAGGAGGTTGAAGCCAAGCAGCCCGAGCGAGAGGAGGTCACCACACCAAGAGCGACGACTTCCATGCAAGCCACGGTCTTCGGTTCCACAATCCCTGACCTCGGTCCTGACACAAGCCATGCGGCGTTCTCTCGGGACTTTGAGTCGTACATGATCTCTGAGCCCGAAAAGACTGAGCCCACAGAAGAGAAGAAGCCAGAGGCCCAGGTTGAGATCGTGGAAGCGGAAAAGACTGAAACAGAAGAAGTCCGCCCCAGGACACCCGACCGCCGTCTGTCGAAGCCAGAGTACGACGGCAGCGGCTGGGGTGAACCTGAGAGCGACGGAGAGCCTGCCACGCCCGAGTCCGTGATTCACCGCCCTGTGACTGACGAGGAGGAGGAAGTGCCACCTCCCCCTGAAGAGCCCAAAGAGTCTGTTTCTATTCCCGAGCGTGTGGCCACCGTCAAAGCGTCTGGCTCAAAGCTCAAGACACGCGTCTCAAACACACCCTCAGACTTGGCAGCTATGCGAGAGGCCCGGCGACAAGTTAGTCACGAAATCCCAGGTGTCCCTCCCATCCCGGCAAAGCACCAAAGCAGGCTATCCCGCGACGCACCTGCGGAGGTGCCAGAGACGCAAGGCGATGGCTACCTTGACCGCCACCCAAGCTTCAAGAACCGAAGCTTGACACTTGATCTTGACCTCGGACTCAGCCTCGACCAAGACTTTGAGCGGGTAATTGAAGGACAAAAGGTGCAGAACTACCCAAAACAACACTTGCACAATACCACCCTTACTCAACAGCCACATGGACAAGCGTCCAACTCATCGTCATTTCAAGTACATTCTGCTAACACGTCTTCTCCACGACAGCGAGGGTATCTCATGCGCCAGAACACCAAATTGGTGACGGCCACTGACAAGGATGGAGATGACGCACGCCTAGCCCGTTCAGTTGGCAATTCGCCGGTTAAAGAGCAGCGCCCTCAATCTTGGGTCGTCGAACCTTGGAATGGCAAGCGTAAGAGCAGCGCTCGTGTGCGTCCTAGCGTCCCTACCGGTCCCGTGCCACCCATGCCAGGCCAGCAAAGCAATGCTACAGGTCTGGATCAGGTCAATGAGGAGGAGCAGGCCGAAGCTGCCGCTCCCGAGACTGGGGAAAGGGGCCGTCTCTTCGTCAAGGTCATGGGCGTGAAGGATCTGGACCTTCCCATTCCGAAGAACGAGAGAAGCTGGTTTAGTCTGACCCTCGACAACGGCGTCCACTGTGTCACCACTGCATGGCTGGAGCTTGCTCGCAATGCCCCTATTGGCCAAGAGTTTGAACTTGTCGTTCCCAACGACCTCGAGTTCCAGCTCACCCTCAACGTCAAACTCGACAAGCCTGCGCCCATCAAGCTCGACAACCCCAGCGTCAAGACGGCCAAGCCCAAGACATCGACATTCAGTCGCGTCTTCGCGTCCCCCAAGAAGCGCAAGGAGATGGAGATTCGCCAGCGTGAGGAGGAAGAGCGCAACGCACGGCAGTATCGTGACTCGCAAGCCCGCCAGCGCAACGCAGTTCCCACTGCTTACGAGCTTCTCTCTCCCTTGGCCGCTGAGGATGGCAGCTTTGGTCGCTCCTATGTCTGCCTTAAGGATCACGAGAGCCGCTGCTTTGGCCGTCCATACATGGCGGAAGTCGCCTGCTTCAACGAGTGGGCGGTCGAGGAGGCTAGCTTTGCCTCAAGCGTCAAGAGCAAGCGCGGAAACGCAACGGTGGTGCGTCGCGCGCCTTACCCCATTGGCAAGCTTGAGCTCCAGCTGCTCTTTGTTCCCCGACCCAAGAACACCACAGAGGAAGACATGCCGAAGAGCATGAACTCGTGCATTCGCGAACTCAAGGCCACTGAGGAGAGGTTGTCCCGCAGCTGGGAGGGCCCGTTGAGTCAACAAGGCGGAGACTGCCCCGTAAGCAACGCCCTAATATAGTGTCCAGCTCATCACTAACATTGCTAGTACTGGCGCCGTCGTTATTTCAAGCTTGTGGGCACCAAACTGACAGCTTACCATGAGACCACACGCCAGCCTCGAGCGAGCATCAATCTCTCGAATGCGAAGCGCCTCATTGACGACCGTCGCGCTCTGACGGAAAAGGACACGCTCGTGAAGGGTGGGAAGCGTCGCCGATCCGCATTTGCCGAGGAAGAAGAAGGCTACATGTTTGTTGAGGAGGGTTTCCGCATCCGCTTCAACAACGGCGAGGTCATTGACTTCTACGCCGATACGTCAGAAGACAAGGAAGGCTGGATGAAGGTCCTCTCCGACGTCATTGGCCGGGATGACGGTGCCGCCGAGGACGAGACAAACGGCCCCAGGTCTCGGGCCAAATGGTGCGAGCTCGTCCTCAAGCGGGAAGAGCAGCTGCGACGTCGATCTGAGGCTCGCAGAGTATCCTCAGGACGCCGTGTACCCTCGGGCCGCCGTGTGCATTCACGAACCAAAAGCGCGTACGTTTGAGGCCCGTTGGGTCTACGGCGAGCATGAAAAGATAGACAGACGACCGGTACGACCTTGACGAAATCGCCCCCGAAGCTGGCATTTGGGGCAATGCTGGTCGTATGTTGGCGGATGAAATGACGAGCAATGTCTGGACGCGTTCTCGCCTTGGTACTTCTCTTCGTGTTTATGATATACAGTAGCCATCCACATGGCAAAGGGGCGTTGAGGAGGGCGAACACTGGACCGGTGCGTCGGCGTTTGAGGGTTGCTTTTCGATGTGATCACTGGCCTTACGAACTGAATTTTTGTATTACAACACATTAGTTACAATGAATGTGACAACCTCTCATGAATTGTGTCGCATAGTGGTGATAATGGCACGAAGTAGACTGTCTAGATGAAACTGCCTTGGCGTCAGAAGTGTCACGTGCACGGCAATCGTCATGAAGAAAGGAGAGCGAGGGGATTCGAGATGGATGTGGCGCAGTCGCTGTCGAGTGAGGCAGATAGGCGGCAGCACCATGGAGCTACCAGCCTCCAATACCTGCCACCAACGCCTCAATTGTCTGCGTCCACATCCACGTCACTTTCCGTTTCGCACCATACCTATTCCTTGCGATCTTGACTCGGCGGGCGTTTCTCTTGTTTGTGCGCTTTCTTGCAGCCTGCTTCGCAGTCCCCTGTCCCAACAATGGCTGGCCGATTCGTTCGATCGTCCAAGTATCGTGGGTTGTCCCTAATGACGGGGTCTGGGAGCTGCGCGCGTTGCTAATTTACCACGTCCAGGCCACGTCTTTGGCAAATCGACGCGCAAGGACTCCTGCTACGACAACCTGCGCATCAGCCGAAATGCCTGGGACACCAATTTGGTCAAGGTACGCCCCCAATCTTCCCGCAGATAATCGAGACCACTGTGGCTGATGTGTTGCGCAGGTCAACCCCGAGTACCTCTCCGTCAATTGGGACGCCTCTGGTGGCGGCGCTTTTGCAGTCATACCACTGAGCGAGCGCGGCAAGCTCCCCGACCAGATCCCCTTGTTCCGTGGGCATACCGCCGTCGTCCTCGACACCGACTGGTACTACATAACCGAACCCCTCGTACGATAAGCGCATGGTGGCTAACGTGGCATGGAGGAACCCCTTCAACGATCGGATCGTGGCCTCTGCTTCGGAAGATGGCAAGGTCTTTATCTGGGAAGTGCCGCAGGACTTTACGTTATATACAGATGCGGAGGAAATCACGGATGTGTCCCCCGTCAGCAAGCTTGCCGGTCACTCGAGGTGCGCAAGCCGCCATGTTTGCAAAGGCAGGCTACGGAGTTGCTAATGCGCGAGTGCAGGAAAGTCGGACAGGTCCTGTTCAACCCCGCCGCCGAGAACATTTTGGCCTCCGCGTCCGGCGATTTCAACATCAAGATCTGGGACATTGCCACTGGTCAAACACCTCTGGCCCTTAAGCATACCGATATTGTGCAGAGCTTGACATGGAACGCCAGCGGTAACCTCCTGGCTACGACCTCGCGTGACAAGAAGCTCCGCGTGTGGGACGTCCGTCAGGAGAAGCCGATCCACGAGGCGCCCGGCCATGCCGGCGCCAAGAACAGCAGGGCTGTCTGGATGGGCGAGCACAACCGTTTCGCAACCACAGGTTTCTCGCGAATGAGCGAGAGACAGATCGCGCTGTGGGAGCCTGGCAGGGCTGAGCCCATCGGTGGATTCACAATGGTTGACTCCATCTCAGGCGTCTGCATGCCGTTCTGGGGTAAGTCGTGCTGCCGATGGCTCTCACAATGAAAGCTCACGATCTTTAGATGATGGGTCCAACTGTCTTTACCTTGCCGGCAAAGGGTGGGTGACATCTATCAAATGACTGTCTATGAGGCTGACCGATCCAGTGACGGCAACATTCGATACTACGAATATGAGAACGACAAGTTTGAGTACTTGAGCGAGTATAAGTCTCTAGAGCCTCAGCGCGGTCTGGCTTTTATGCCTCGCCGTGGCATCAACGTATGCGGACATAATCTGTGTCTCTTGAAGACGGTCACTGACGGCCCCAGGTCCACGAGAACGAGGTCATGAAGGCTTACAAGACCGTCAACGACGCCTACATTGAGCCCATATCCTTCACCGTGCCCCGCCGAGCCGAGACTTTCCAGGCCGACATCTTCCCTCCCGCCCTCGGCAACAAGCCTGCCATGTCGGCCCAGGAATGGCTCGATGGCAAGACCGATGTCCCTGCCAAGATCGACCTGGAGAGCGTGTACGAGGGTGTCGCACCCAAGGAAGTGGCGTCTGACTTCAAGGCGCCGACCAAGGTCGAGTCAGTGCCCGTGTCGAAGCCTGCGCCAAAGCCTGAGCAGCCCAAGCAGGAGGTGCCGCCGCCCGCTGCCGCAGCGCGTTCGCCCCCGCCTACCATGAAGGAGCAGAAGGGCTCCATTGCTGCGATGGCCAACAAGTTTGCCGACAACGAGCCTGAGGAGGAGGAAGAGGACGCCGACTCTAGCTTTGAGGAGATCTCCAAGCCTACTCGTGCTCCGACCCAGCCCACGCCAAAGGCTGAGCCTAAACCTGCTGTGGCTCCAGCTCCGGCCAAGGTACAAACTAGCGCGCCGGCTCCCGCGCCCGCGCCCGTCAAGGCTTCGTCGCCCCTCAGATCACCCGTGCAGGCCACCACGGCTTCTTCCTCGGCGCCGACCTCTACCAATGGCACCGAGACCTCCCTGGATCAGATCAAGCAGCTCATCGAAAGCCAGACCAAGTTGATCAACTCGCAGAACGATACCATCAGCAAGCTCTCGCAGGAGGTTCAGAACCTCAAAATGGCGGTGGGTTCCGCTGGTTCCTCGGGATCACAGGACCAGAGTGAGAGGATTCGGCAGCTAGAGCTCGAGCTCGAGGAGGCGCGCTCCTGAAGCGGTCATTGTCTCTTAAATAGTGTGCATACTAGTGTCGATTGATGTCTAACAAGTGTACATGTGGTGAAGGATTAGAGTGTTCGAAGTTGGTGGTGGGAGGTTGCAGTTGTGGCCCGTGGGATGTACAAAAGGGGTTGAGAGGACGGGCACCGGAGGCTAGAGGGTCTTTTTAGAGCGAAAGCCTTGAAATATACACGAGCGTTTGTGCTTGCCTTCTGACCATGTAGACTAATGAGTACAAAGGGATACTCTCAGCTCAAGGTCCTTCGTCCACGCATAGTTTGCAGAAGTGCGAGCAGGATCTCGTTGCAGTCCGGACCTACCCTGTATCGCGAATTCAATCACCTTTCCGGTCGGCTTCTTCTCAATATTGCATTTCAAAGTCTTGATAATTCAATTGCACGATAAGTTAGGCTTTTCTTATACCTAGAGAGCTTGGTTCGGTGTCTACCGCAGTTTATGGGTCATGTTCTCGGCTATCGATGATTGTTTGCGTTTTGTTTGATTTACCACATTAAAGGGGGCCAAGGAACGTATGACCACAGGAGAGTCATTACAATAGCTGTACGGAGTAGATAACCGGCATCGAACCATGACAGGCAGCGTCGAATTCTCCAACGCTGTGGAACACAGGGTAACGGATAATTCTGCGTTGCCACGAGTGTCGATGCTGTACTCCCTTGCCAGCCAGACGGTCTGTCGAGTTGTGTGTCCTGACCCGAGCCCAACTATGATAGTTCACACAGAAAAAGCCATGGAATATTCATGCACTAAATAGGGGGGTCCCAGTAACGAGATGCTGGGCTGAAGTCTACGCAGGGCAGCTCACAGCCTCGCGAACACGCGGAACCAGGCGGATATGCCATTGGAGACGCAGGTATTCGTCCAGGCTCGGAGAAGAGCCGCAAGGCACTGAAGTGACTCATGCGCATAGTCTGTAAAGCCCGGTCGAGCAAAGATGGTCGTCGTGCCGCCCGAAGGTTATGTGGACAGTGGGACAGCGGTCCCGTTGTGTAGCCATCAAAGATCCAGCTCAAATCCGACGACCGACCGACCCCCTGGGCTTTCCGATTCAGAAGCAAGCTGAAGACATCATAACTCGCCCAGAGACGGACGTGATTTGTCGGCCCGTCATGCGAGATTCCTCGTAAAGGTACGACAGCGGCTAAGACTGGCCGCTCCTCTGAGTCCTTCACCAAGCTGTCGTGGGTGAGGTATGTTTCAGCGACGCCAAGACCATTCTGCCTCTGCCTGGACCCTTTGAATAGGTTCCTTTTCGAGTTTCAACTCGTCGTAAAGGGGTCCAGACGGGTTTCGGTGTTTGCGATCACCTCAGCCAGCTTGCTCTCGCCGCTCGAGCTTTTCAGCCTACGTCGTAACTGACCCTCTTTCACGACTGCCGGCGCACGAAAGCGACCGATTGCAGACATCTGAAACGTGCGACTGAGGAGCGCACTCCAAGAGCGGACTGCGTACGGAGTAGTGCTGTGGGTATTAGGTGTTGCGGTAGGTCCCGAGGCGATCAAGCAAGGGCTGCCTCATGGTCAGGCACACCAATGAGGAAGGCGCAAATAGGAGCGACGGCGTCACTTGGGGCACAGTAGCTGCATCGACCAAGCCCATCTTGGACCCAAGTTAGGTTAGGGACGCTGACGATGGCCGTACGTGCAGATGCAAGTCCGCTGGTGTGGTGTTTCAGGTTGCCAGGCTGGGTAGCACAGCTAGAGAAAAAAGCTACGTGCGTACGTTAGTAGCCCCTGATCTGTGGGTGCACCTGGGAGGCTGGAAGAAAGGCTGCAGGTACGTAAACCCACCAGCAACCAAAAATTGCAGAGTGCAGTCTGCTTTGGAGTAGCTGCATGACGATAATAGCGCGCTGCCCACATTGTCGAGAGCGACAACCTTACGGACGATAAAGTGCGAGTGACCATCGGCAGTTGCTTCTGCGTTAGTAACATTAACATAGGTGAGCCGGTGATAAGGCCGAGGAGGATGCGAGCGAACTATAATGTTATCCGCATGCCTATAATAGCACCGGCCACATCTGCATGAACAGCTTGATGGCCGAAATTGCCGGCCAAAGCTTTTAAGACCTGTCACGCAGACATGCTGTCATTATGGCGGTGTACTAGAATCAATATTGGAATCATTTGATGATTGCAACGTCGAGGCGTCTGGTGGTCGTCGAAGCAAGTGGTCGGTGGGCGTAGCGCAGACCATCTGAGGAGACCAATCAGGCCGAGGTTGCTTTATGCCTCGCGTATCGCCTGCATAAAGCTGCTGTCTCAGCCGCTGATTGGCGGCTTCAGATCTAGCGCATACGTAGCCTAAATTTAGCACTCAAGTTAACCTACCAGGTAAGCAAACCCACCATTCTCCTGTCCGCATGCAGCAACTTGAACTCAGTAGGACGACGAAGAGTGTCGCGACTTTTCGAGTGCATGGAGACCCAAAGAGCTATAGACTGCATGGCTTCGCAGATTGGACAGCTTAACGCCCACAGCGGCGGTTGCAAGGCCAAGGGCCGGGCGACGTGTCATGCGACTTTGAGTCAGCAGTTTGTCTCCCCCTACAGCAGTCAGTCAGGCACAACTTTCTTTTCGTGGTCTTGCAAGAGTAGCAATAATTGGCTGATCGTGGTGGTGACACATTGTCAGGATCCGAAAAAAGGGCACGAGCGCCTTCCCACGCGTGCAGAATGTCTAGTACATGTTGGGAATCTTTAAGATTGCAAAGGGGCATCGCATGCCTAACCCTGGTCACTTAGCCGTGGCACCAAACATGGGGAAGACAAGCCATCTCGCCCGAGCCACGGCCTGACCTTGACGGCTCGATCTTAGCAGCATCGATGACTGATTATCCCCATCAGACTGCAGAGCAGCACGGACTGTCGGGCTGATGGGTCGACGTCGGGGACTTCTTGCAGCATTCCCAGAATACCTCATGTTTCCTTCAAGTCCATCAGAATGCCCTACGGATATTAGGTACTACTATTATAACTTACTATCTGTAAGTTGGAAGATGATTAGACATCCGAGATGGGTGTACGTAGATACGTGCTGCAGGTCTCAAGCCTCCAACCCTCCGATTGTGTGGCGGATGGCCACATGAGGCAGCGAAAGCCTTTCTTTGACTGTGATAATAAAGATTATTCAGTCCGCGTTCGCAAGGCACAGACAGAACAGGCACGAAAATGGCCGCGTGATCTCAATTGAGCAGCCAGTTCGGCTAGCTGCCAAGGAGCTACTCGGTCGTGGGCTTTGACGCTTTGTTGACTGCTCGTGGAGCGCGCATGGTCTTTCAGGTCGGTGGCTGGACGTTGAATGCTCAGCTGTCACAAAGTTACCACTTGGTGTTGTTGTTCAACTCTGAAGCATTGCAGCAGGCGTGTTTCATTGTGGCAGGGACTTCTTCACATCCCGCCTTGGCTGCGCTAAAATGAGCCACATGGGAGGCGGGGTCACCAGGCTCTCAGCGACGCGGCCAGTCCAATGTTATTAGTCTAATTCGGTTTTTATCTTGACGATCGGCTGCTCTTGAAGGAGCTCTCAATGCTGTGCGGGCGAGGGCGTGTGTTGCTGTGCAGTGATGAACGCTCGACAAGTAAAAAGAAATAGATGCACTTTGTGAGAGTGTCTGTTTTTGTGCGACTCAAAAGACACCAGCAAGACTTTCCAAAGGGTCCAAGGCTCGAGTTTGCGCTGAGGGCTAAAAGCTCATGGTCGTGATATGGTACTGAGTCAAGGCACGCTATCTCTGCGCCTCCAAAGTATCATCGGATTATTGTAGAATTATACGTACGTATCTGCGTATAAACCGATCGCATGAATGGCAAACGTAGTAGCTTGGCGCGCGCGGACGAGTGTCCCAAAGTGAACAACGCGCCGAACGCGCAGTACGAAGATACTGAATTTGTCGGTCATCACGGTGGACCTGCTACCTGTCGGCATCTCAACCTAGTTCTTGTCAGCCAGGCACTCGGAGCGGGATCCCACGTCAATCATCATCCCTGACACCTTGACCTTCTGTCCATCCGTCATGGCGCTGATGGCAGCGTTCCTGGTGCTGGCACTCTTGGCGCCCACGCTGGTGGACAGGGGACGTCCTTCCCCGGCGGTTCGGGTGTGGCCATGACGCGGAAATCCTGTGTACAACTGAACTAGTCTTTGACTACATTTTCATGTCAAGTCGCCCGCTCAAGGCGAATTAATGGGCATCGCGGAGAGACGAACAGGGACTTGATATCTGGCGGGATGAGAAGCCTGGCCCTGCCAGCAAGATCGTCGGCGGGGCATGAGATTAGCGTTGAGGTCTTCTTGGTTCTGGAAGAGAAGAGCTGCAGGAAAGGGAAGCTGTCTCCGGTTGTGCAACCCTTGTCGCCGTTGCGGCGTTGCCCAGGCAGTCGACCTGCCCCGAGAGAAGGCTTTCCTCAGGTGCGGATCGGGCGTGGGCCTAGGAGACGAGCCTCCATGTCTTTCTTTCTTTGCACATGTTGTAATCGTGTGGCTTGCCAGACTATTAGTCCTCTCCCAATGTGACATGTCGTTCTCACCAAGCTCCGATGAATGATCTTCCTTTTTCTGACCCGCGCGCATTCTGGCTGTGTGTGGGCAGTTGCCAGTGTACGAGCGGATACACTCTGTGCGACAAGCGAAATCGACGCATCGCTCGGTCCAACCAGCCAGCAGAGGTCAACGGGAGCTCCTGCAAGCCACGCCAAAGGCACGTCGCGTTGTTGTTGTGACGGAACGACTGGCACGCGGGCGTCTCTGCCTTCAGTAGATGGCTGCCACTGTACACCCCTCCCTGCCGCCGCTGGCGGGCTTCCAAGTTCTCCGTTGACGCTCCCATGTCCAATCCACTTGCACTTAGCGGATCCCTGAACGCAAGAGAACGGAGCCCGGCTCTCTGTGTGGTCATGGTGCCTTCTGGTCGGTGTAAATTGGAAAGATGGGCGCTATTTGCGATCGCGGGTTCGTTAAGTGAGCGCATCAAGGTCCGCGGGCGAGCGCGTGGCTCTGAAGTTGAGGAGGGAGAGGGCGCCTGTAGTGTTGTCGGAGCATCAGCAGAATCTCCCTCGAGTGTTCACTAAACGGATTCAAGCTCATCAGTCGTTCAGACAACGTGGGCCACATCTCGGGAGCTAATATTATAATCTAAAAGAAAGCCACAACGGACGACTGGAGCAAAGGGCAAGTTCCCAACTTGCCATGGACTGACTAGACTTGCGCTGCAGCTGTCTGAGTCGCCAGCGGCCGGCAGCGCTTGCCCTCAGCTCCAGCGCCAGGCCCGCTGGAGGGGATGACAGTGACTTTGAGATACCTTTTTGATCCACTCTAGACGCTGAGAAAAGGTCTTGTGGGAGGTAGCCAGTAAGTCCCGCGTAGTGGGCACCGGAACGCTTCCACCTCATTAAACTGTTCTCAGAAGGTACAGTACTGGCTAGTAGCCTGGCCTAGCAGCCTCCAGTCCTTCGTTCGTTCGCCCGAGCTTCTTCACCTGCTGTTTCGCTCTTGCCCTCTCGAAATCTCCTTCCCCCTTCCTCTAGTTCTTGATTCTCTCGTTCAACTTCATTTCTGCTCGGTCGCCTCCATCGTCCCCTCGCACCTCTCTTCCTTCCCACGTCCTTTTTGGAAGAGAGTCGTTGACGCCCTTTTTTTCCGTTTTATTTATTTCTATTTCACGAGGCCCAGTCCCCGTCCGTTCTGTTTCCACGGCGAAACCCTCATTACGCCAGACCAGCGACCCCCTCACCCACGCAAGGTACCAAGACGGTTCTCGTCGCATACCGTACCACACGGCCATCTTCATTCCAACATCATTGGGAAATCGACAACGCGGGCCTGTCGATTACTCTGGTCTCGACACGTTCATTTCGTTTCCTCGTGTGTTTCCATTCACCACGGAACGACGGATTCAGCAGCATCAACCTGCGCCTCTTCATATTCTGTACCGACTCAACAAGAAGTCGCAACATCAGCAGCACCTTGACGGTTGTCGCTGATCTCGGTCACTCTTCATTACACCAAATTCCGGGCTGGACTCGAATTACACTCGTCACACCAACACATCTCATCGTTAAGAAGGAAGGCAGCGCCTCCACTCGTTCCACCTCACTCGAATCTCTGTCGCGCGCTAGCTACAAGACAATTTAGAGAACAAGTGTGTCTATATGCCGAATGCGCATACACTGTTTACACACCATTGAAAGTCGACCCCGTATTGTCGAATCCGACATCTCCTACGCTTGCCACGCGCTCAAACCATTGACCCGAGACCACGGAGATTAGCGCGGGATGTACTCTCAAAATGCGGCCATGGCATCCCAAAAGCCTGAGACCTTTATGCTGAGCACGGAGGCCCAGCAGGCTCTGCCTCACGATGCCCAGGTTGCACTCAACCAAGTCGACAACTGTAAGTGATTTTGCCTCCCTGCACCATCATGGTGGTCTTGGCGCAGGATCGGGCTCGCATTGTGACGTCGGCTGACATTCCCTCCCACAGTGAAGTACTTTCTCATCTCAGCGCCTGTCGACTGGACGCCTGAACAGTACATTCGACGATTTCTGCTGCCGACGGGCGAATATGTCTCTTGCGTTTTGTGGAATAACCTCTTTCACATTTCGGGAACCGACATTGTGCGATGTCTCTCCTTCCGATTTCAAGCTTTTGGCCGCCCGGTCAAGAACTCCAAGAAGTTCGAGGAGGGCATCTTCTCAGACCTTCGCAACCTCAAGTCCGGAACCGATGCCTCTCTAGAGGAGCCAAAGAGCCCATTCCTGGATTTCCTGTACAAGAACAACTGCATCCGCACGCAGAAGAAGCAAAAGGTGTTTTACTGGTATAGTGTGCCGCACGACAGGCTTTTTCTCGACGCTTTGGAAAGGGATCTTAAGCGCGAGAAAATGGGCCAGGAGGCCACGACCATGGCAGTCAGCGAGCCTGCCCTGTCCTTCCAGTACGACTCATCGCAGTCCCTGTATGAACAGCTCACCAAGGCACAGCAAGCCAACTCATCGTCCTTCAACGCGCAGCAGGCTGGGTTTCCTCAGAGCCAGGGGAACTCGCCAGTCATGCGGTCCATGGACTCCATGCCACCTCCAATGATCCCTCAGCAATCGATGCCGCAGTCCATGCAACACTCGATGGCCCACACCATGCCCCAGTCGATGCCCCCTTTAGCGGAGGGGATGGACGCAATCGCACCTTACGGAATGACAATGGCGCCGCAAATGACACACCACGTCCCCTCTGTGAAGAGGGAGGCTGAGTTCTCTCGTGTCCACTACAACCAGCACGGCGTGCCCATCACACAAGGCCACCAGCGTCACTCCTCTATGCCGTCGTATGGTCTAGAATACTCGCCCGCCCCCTCGTTTGTTTCTTCTCAGTACGAGGATTACAGCAACCGAGGTCTTTCCTTTGAGCCCATTACGCCTCCTCAGCATGCTCTCGGCCTGTCCGCCGAGCCTGCGTACATTGCCAATGAGGAGACAGGACTGTACTCGGCTATTCCTGATCATGTCCCTGGCATGAACGGTATGAATGGTATGATGCACCTGCCCCCTTCCAACATGGCAGGCACCCATTTCAACCGCAACAACTACGGTGCAAACAACGTCTACTCTGTGATCGAAGGTTCGCCGACATATAAGCAGAGAAGGCGGCGTTCATCCATCCCCACATCTATGTCGGCAGTCTCAAACGGTACCGTTATACCAGGCAGCGCTGCTCACAGGCCATCCGATCTTAGGCGGTCCATCTCCGCATCGATCGGTCTTGTTGCCGAAGGCGACGAGTCGGCAGGCAATTCTCCCCCTGGCCTGTCTTTCAGCACTGGAGCTTCCATGGTGCACCAGCACCACAAGGATGCTGTTGAGATGTCAAGGCACGGCACACCCCTTTCTACAGTGGAGGGTAGCCCTTCACTGAACCCCATGGCCCTCCAACAAGGGTATGCCCATGGCGACCTATCTCCCGAAGGGAGTCATGAGCATTCTCAACGCCCTGGCCCCGGCGTCAATGGTGCTGCCCGTCGTGCGCGCTCCGCCACTGTGATGGAGCTGGGACCGTATCCCCACAAGTCCCACTCGTGCCCGATTCCCAGCTGCGGTCGTCTCTTCAAGCGTTTAGAACATCTCAAGCGTCATGTGCGGACACATACTCAAGAACGTCCCTACATCTGCCCCTCTTGCAACAAGGCCTTTTCTCGATCAGACAACCTAGCCCAGTATGTGACTTGTGGCAGTGTCTGATATGTAGACGGCTAACAGTTTTCAGGCACAAACGTACCCATGAGCGCGAGGATGGTGGCGAGGGTCCCTTCGCGTTGTCGGGCGAGGAAGATGAAGACTTTTCGGGCGAGGATCAGCTCGGAGCCCTTGAAGAGGCCTCGCCGTCGTCCGAGCATGCCTATATGACTGGCTCGCTTAACTCGCTCGGTCAATCTCATGGTGGCCTGGCAGCCCCTGCAACGATCACGCCAAATCAGTCATACACCTCGAGCATGCAGGCTCTCAGCATGCCCATGACCATGAGCCATACGGGTTCCGTCAATGCTGGCGGTATTTGATGACTGTCGATCCTTTTGAAATCATGTGGCCGTGGTGTCACATTATCCCCATCTGCGCAATTTCGCATAACTCACGTCGAGCTCTCCATTTCTCACGTGTCAAACGCACCAGCTTTTCTCATTATTATGTCTTTTATTTACGGGTTTCTTTATGAATGGAGCGTCTGTTGGAGGTTAGTAGACATTTTGCCCGGGTACAAGGCGAATTTGTCGCGGGCTTTGGGAATCGGAACGAGGTGCGGATTTGAGCTCTTGAGGCTTAGAGGTCTCAAAGAGGAAGTATATCACCGTGTATATATCACTGTACTTACCGCAAGATGGCTGATGCAGAAGTCTGTCACCGGGGCAGGTGGCGTGATAGACGAAAAACAAAAGCGAAAAAAACTTGATGCTCATGCTCGTCCATATCCCCTTGCATTCCACGTGATATCTATCGAGGACGTCAACGACGTTTGCCCCCGGCCTTGCCGCTGCGACCAAAGACATCCCGCGAGCCTTCGACTCGTTGAATATCCCTATCCGAGATTGTCAATTGCGCACCCTTCATCCTGCCAACGCCAGGCCGGTCCACGCCACCACCAAAGTCTCGCTTGCGCTCCTTTTGCTTGCCGTTCTGGGGTCGCTCCAAGATGATCCCATTCTCCTTGGCCTCTCTCCTCCGCTTGGACTCCCGTTCCTCGCGCGCACTGTTCATACCCTTCCGGATCGCCATGGGCACATTGTCTTGCGTGAGGATGCTGGACTTGGAGCCCAGCGCCTGCACGCGCATGTCGGTCGCCTTTTTGCGCACCTTGCCGCTAGTAAAAGGTTTTGGTTCGGCAAAGGAGGACGATTTGGGGGCGGCGAGGAGGTGTGACTCGGAGAGAAGGCGTCGAAGTTCGAGGTCATTGGCGAGAAGCGAGGGGGCGTCTTCTGGTAACGTCTTTGATTTGGTCAAGGGTGGGGGTTGTTGTTTCTTGGGTTCGGAGGACGGTGCTTTTGAGGACTGGGCGAGTCAATTATGAAAATCTTCTCTCTGCAAGTGCGCTGCTCACCATGAATGCGCGAAGCTCGTGCTTGGACATGGTCTGTGGTTTTGATGGTTGTGATGTCGAGTGGTCGACAACTTCCACAGCTTCCTCGAAATCATCTTCCTCGTCCTCATCCGAATCGCCAATGGCATCATCGGAAAGACCGCCCCATTCATCCTCGGCGTTGTCATCTTCGTCCTGCTCTGCATCATCGTCGCTCTCATCCACCTCGTTAGTGGTGCGCTCGTCGGTATCTGCGACCGCGGGCGCGGTGGGAGTCTCCAACGGCGCGAATCGGGCTTCGAAATGTCGGCGCAGAATCTCTTCCGCATCGATCTCCTCCTCTTTGCTAGGCGCAAGCGCCTTTCGCTTGCCGAGGACCGCCATGATGGTGTTTGTGTGTTATGTTTGTGTAATGGTGGACTGCAGGTGGCGGTGGCCTGAAATTTCATGGACGGGATTCGAGTCGTGAGAATAAATGGCATGTGCAAGGTTGACCCCACCAAGATCGCCAAAAGTCACACGACGGAGCAGATCGACCTTTTGGGCGTTCTGTTCTGCATTATAGAGATCCAATTCGAATGCTTAATGCTGGTATCATAACTTCCTCAAGTTCGCCCCGCCATTCTGACCCTCCGCGCATCCTCGTCTCGCTTCGCCTCACTCCGTGCCAGGAATTCCGTTCGGGCATTGTACGACTCTTTGGATTTGGCAGCCATTTCTAGTTCGTCCTGGATGCCCTCCTTATCCACAAAGCCAGCCCAGTCCATCCTGCTCTTCTCGACCGTGTTGAGTTTCTTGGCCGCGGCCTCGCGGCGCGCAGTGACGCCCAAGTTGAGATCGGCGCGCTGGGCAAAACCCTCGGCCGGTGGGGGCTCGAAGCGACTTCGAAAGGCCTTCCGTGTGGCCCTTTTCGGGGGCGCGTCTGGTGTCTCGTTGTCTGGCTGCGGGTTCGAGGCAAAGTAGAGTTTTGCTTCGGCCGATTCTTTGCGAACCAGTTTCTCTTCGGTATGTACCTTTCCCGCAAAGTTGTACGTCCGTTTTATACGGATCATTTCCTCTTCTGGTATTGGGTCCGGTTTGGGTGCCTCTTCCATGATAATGTCTTCGACTGGCTGGCTTGCTGGTACGGTTGCTTTGCCTGAGATCATGTCTGCCCAGAGGGCGTCGACGTCGACGGTGACGGGGCCGGTGCTGACGGCCATCTGACGCTCTTCCTTTCTACGCACGTCAACTACATCCCAGTTCTGTGTGTATAGATACCGTTGTTACATACTCTGCAGCGCGCTGGCGCCTTGTCTTGATCAATCCGCCATCGCCACCTTCGTCCTCGTCCTCTGCATCCTTCCCTTTCCTTCGTTTACTCTTTCTCTCCCCCTTTTTGATGATAGCCTCGTCACCTGAATTATCATACCCTTCATCATCTGCTGTCTTTTTGTTGGCCTTGGCCTTTGCGCGCTTGCTGGATTGATCGGCGTCCGCAACTTCTTCGGGTTCGGAGTCGGACACGTCAGAGTCGGCTGTCGCTGGAACCGCATCGGGCGCAAAGTCCGAGTCCTCAGAGGAGGCATATTGCTCGTCTTCGAGCTCTTCTATTAATGGAGGTGGCATGGCTGTGTGCTCAGTGTGATTGCTGCACCAGGTGTGAGAGAGTAAGGCACGAAAAAAGAGGTCCGGCGCATGGTGGGGAGCCGTCGCCGTTTGTCGCGACGCGGCGGCACGTGCCAAATCATTCGTCTCCCATCCCTGACCTCATCTCACTTTTTTTTAGCCACTCAAAGTTCAACATGTCTTCACGAAGCAACTCAATTCAGGTCTACGGCACTGTCTCAGCGAGATCTGGTCCAAAAACTAGTCCCTTTTCGTCCGCCGCTCAGCAGACTGACGTTTCGTTAGTATGCCTCACACCAAGAGATGCGATAGAACTCACTTCCGATAACACCATTCACTGGGATGTCGATGGACGTGGTATAGCTTGCCGCGTCGCTCAACAAGTATACATACGCGCCACCTAGTTCTCGAATCTGCGCAAGACGGGGCATACCGCCATAGTACTTCAACTGCTGCTCCCAGTCCGGCTGCTGAGGCACCCAGTAGGTCATGGCGGTCTCGACGAGACCGGGCGACACCGAGTTGACACGGATGCCGTGCTTGGCCCACTCCATGGCGAGAGTGTGTGTCATGTTGCGGATGCCAGCCTTGGTAGCGCCATAAGGCGCGGACGGGACGCGCTTGTTCGGACGGTACGAGGCCATGGAGGCTGTGAAGACAATGGCACCCTTGATGCCGAGCTTGATGAAGGCGCGCGCAGCAGCACGAGCCGAGTAAAAGGCGCCAAACAAGTTGATGTTGAACAACGACAGAATTTCCTCCTCGGTAAAGTCCAGGGCGGCCTTATGGTTGGTTTTGCCAGCGTTCACCACCATCCCGTGGATGGCGCCCTGCTCCTCGATAATCTTGTCGACGGCAGCGGTGACTGTTGCTTCTTTGGTTGTGTCAGCCGAGATGGCGCGCAACTTCTTGCCCCATTTCTTCTGGGCGGTAGCAAAGTCATCGCCAGGAGAAGCGATGTCTATCGAGTAAACAGCGGCGGCGCCATTTTCAAGACAGGACTCTGCAACTCCCAGTCCAATACCACGGTTGGCACCAGTTACTGTACGTATGTGAGCAGAGAAACCCCCATATCGACGCAGGGCATACCGGCGATGACCTTGCCAGCGAGCTGAACCTTGGTGTCGTGTTGTTGTGCCTCAGTTGTCACTGGAGCTGTGGATTCCGACGCAGGAGCAGAGGGACTCATTGTGAATCGTAGGAATAAGAATGGCTCAGTCAAGATAGGCATTCAGTGTACATGGACTAAGCATAGAATCGTTCGTTAAGAGAACAGCAGCTACCCCTTGCACTTAAATATGAAGTCCCCCTCAGACTTGCCGCCCCCTGCCCCTCAACAGCTTGTCTCTCCCCAAGAGACTGAATCCTTCATTCGTGGGGCACTCGCTACGCGACTCGGGGAGGACCGACCTACTGGAGAGGCCATGATTCCAGACGAACGAGAAAACATACTGGTAGTCACTCCTCGCCCGCGAGACGCGCAACAACTAGACAGGCAATCTACGAGGCGCAGGTGGAGAAGTGCGGAGCCCCAGATCGGAACATGTGGATCACCCTCGAGACGAGGGACCATTACAGTACGACCACGGGCATACAAATCCATACAGCGGCCATAGACACTGATCATCGCCTGTAGATGTTCGTCTCTTCTTATTGAGCCGGCGTGGGGGCCTGCAGGACAATATGCTTAAGACACTACTTGCATACATGGAATCTCTCCAAGCCTCCTGCCGCAACAGCCCCGACGAATTTAGAAGTAACTAGTATATGGACCAAAGAGCGGGTTCTTTGTTCTACTGGCTTTCGGCATGTTGCGGGAGTATTATATCTCCCTGAACGGACTGAGTCCCTTTGTGTGATGTGTGATGGGTTCATGGCCATTGTTGCCGATGCAGGTTACATGCAGGCACAAGTAGCACTGCAAGTTTGTTGATGTGACTGACCATTGTCTTCGGCCTGACTCATTCTACTTGTTGATGCTGAGAGTACGGACAGAGGTGACTACGCCAGACAAAGAAACGGACTCCTCACACAGGTAAGTTACGAGTGCCCAACTCGCAACGCAAGCATGGCGCTTGAAGCATACCTGAGGGAGATAGAGATGCATGCATTGGGCCATGTTCAGACGGCAACCCGGTACATATCGAAATGTGTGCCGATCCCGGGGACAGGTGACCCTGTGGAAGCTATTTCCTCAGACAAATCCTCCGCACTGAGGCCGATGTGCATCTTACTTGAGTGAGGAGGGCGGGGCTGACGCATATATCCGGCAATTCAGCCAAAGGTTCAACGCAGCGAGAAGCGGCTTAAATGACCGGCTCGACAAGTCAGAGAGATAATGGTACCATCTGCTGTTTTTCGCCAGGCCCCTGATGAACTAGGCGGGCCAGCAGAACCATAACCAGACCATCGACCCGTCACGGCCCCCAAAGTCCAGCGCCATTAGCCTACGTTCATGATGGCCTCGCCTGACGCGTCCTTGACAGAGGAGGAGAAGGAGCACTTTCGTCAACGCGGTTTCCTTCATCTCGAGAAATGCTTCACTCCAGAGCAAGCGGCGAGCATTACCAAAGATGTCTGGGTGCGACTAGGAGTCGACCCGTCCGACAAATCAACGTGGACGAAGCCCAAAGTCAACATGCCAAACCATAATGCGTTCCTTGCCAAAGACTTTGCGCCAAAAGCTTGGTCAGCCATCGCAGAGCTTTGCGGAGGAGATAAACGTATCAACGACAAGAGCCGGTATTGGCGCGATGGCCTCATCGTGAACCTCGGGAGCGACCAGAACGAGGGCAAAGAGTTCCACCCGCACGACCTCGATAATTGGCATGTCGATGGCGATTTTTTCGTCCACTACCTCGACAGCCCGGAACAAGCCCTGTTGGTCGTTGTTCTCTTCTCGGACATTGCTCCCGGCGGTGGTGGCACCATGATCTGCCCAGAAGCTATCCCTAAGGTCGCGAGATATTTATATGACCACCCACAAGGCGTTTCGCCGAGGATGAAGCCGCGAGGGCATGACGAGTTCAAACGAGAGAAGGATTTGGACTGGTTCATCGACGTTGCCAAGTCGTGTACCGATTTCGTCGAGGTGACTGGCGAGATTGGCGATGTTTATCTCTTGCATCCCCTGATGCTTCACAGCGCAACGTTTAATCCAAAGCGGCAGATACGAATCATAACGAATCCGCCCGTGTCGCTCAAAGAGCCCTTTGTGTTCAACAGAGCCGATGGTGCGTATAGTCTCGTCGAACAGACGACGTTGAGGGCTCTGCGTCTGGATCACCTCGGAGAGTGGAGGATCACGGCGGATCGAGAGCTCGTTGTGCCGGAGAGGATGAAGGACGCAAATAAAATGAAACAGGAAGAGTTGGAGAGGCTGGCACAAGCCAAGACAGCTGCTGCCGCATAGGCTTTGCCATAGCCTGAGCGATGCATCGAGCCACAAATGAACAACAGTTGTGGTTAGTGACCTCAGTCTTGCAGGCGCGCCGATGCAATTTGCGAGAATCCTATTAACAGCAAGTCCATGCTTTGATGATGAGAACGTACCGATTAATAACGATGTGAGCTTGGGGCGAATGGAACTCGATAAGAAAAGGAATCTTGACCGCCACCAAATGTGTGTGTTCTCAAGTGGTTTCCAGGATCCACCGCCAACAGCTGCCCACTGTGCCCAGTGCCAGTGCCAGTGCCAGTGCCAGTGCCAGTGCCAGTGCCATGCCAGCACATCACAACGGCCCGGCAAGCCCGACGAAGAACCTCTTCGACACCCCCTCTCCTGCTTCCTCCATAAATCCCTCTTACCTGACACACCGTTCCCTGTGCTCTCTCTTCTGCGCCAGGACGCAGTCCCATAGCCCGTTGGACACGATGAGCGCCGACGATGATTACGAAATCGAGGTGCCGCAGCTGGCCGACGACGACCCGATGAAGGCTTTTTTGCCTACGGCATTTGGCAAGAAGTCGGGGGGCCCGGACATTGCAGCTCAGATTGAGCGCAGCCGGAGAGTCGTACCTACCGAGGACAAGAAGCCCAAGGACGACAAGGCCAGCGATGATTCCGACTCGGACTCGGACTCCGACTCGGGCGACGAGTACCCCGTGACCCACGAGCTGATTCTGAAAACCCACGAGCGAGCCGTCACAACGATATCTCTTGATCCTGCAGGTGGGCGGCTGGTGACCGGGTCACTAGATGGCAAGACGAACTTGCACGACTTTGCGTCCATGACGCCCACCACTCTGCGAGCGTTTCGCTCGGTAGACCCCTTTGCTGGGAAGCCGTCTGATGTGGCCGAATCGCATGCGATACACCAGGTGCAGTTCAATCCCCTAGGGGGCAGCGTATTCCTGTGTATATCAGCACACCCGCAGGCCAAGATCATATCGAGAGACGGCGATATCGTAACAGAGTTTGTCAAGGGCGACATGTACCTGCGAGACATGCACAACACCAAGGGTCATATCTCAGAGGTTACATCGGGCACGTGGCATCCTACGAACAAGAACATATGTGTTACCGCGGGCACAGACAGCACGCTGCGTATATGGGACATCAACAATAAGCGCTCCCAGAAGGAGGTTGTGGTATTCAAGTCAAAAGCCGCCGGTTCGGCCGGGAGAACGAAAATGACTGCCGTTGCGTGGAGCGGAGCGGGCCAGGCAGGTAACATGCTCGTCGCCGCAGCCTTGGACGGATCACTCGTGATGTACGGGGGTAATGGGCCATTCAACCGCCCAGCTGGTGAGATTCGCGACGCGCACAAACCTCAGGACTGGACTGGTGGGCTTGACATTTCTTCTGATGGCCGTATGGTAGTCACACGCGGAGGCGACGACACGATCAAGCTGTGGGACACGCGAAAGTTCAAGCAACCGCTCGTATCCGTCGCGCACACGTCAACGTCAGACCACTACCCGACCAGCAACATCCGCTACGCCCCCGACTCGACGAGCATTTTGACGGGGTCAGAGACAGGACACCTGCACATCCTGAACCCGGGCAACCTCCGCCCAGAACTAGTCACGCCTGTCACTCCAGGCTCTCCCCTTATTGCTGTGGACTGGCATCCCAAGATTAACCAGATTCTGACAGGGTCGGCGAACGGCGAGACACGAGTGCTCTACAGCCCCAAAAGGTCAAGTCGCGGTGCTTACGAGGTGATTACGCGTGCGCCCAAGAAAAGGCATGTCGACGACAATCCCGACTTCACCATGGATCAAACTCTCGGTATCTCTGGTGATGCCATCATCACTCCTGGCGCGATGCCCGGTATGAAGAACAGGGCAGCAGGGAAGGGCAAAGACCCTATGCGACCAGAACAGCCACTCCAGACTCCGTTTCAGAAGAGCCAGCCCGATGAGAGGCACATTGCGGAGAACATTCCTCTCGCACGCATGCTGCATGAGGATCCGCGCGAAGCTTTGTTGAAGTATGCTGACAAGGCTCAGAGTGATCCGCTGTTCACAAAAGCTTACAACAAAACCCAACCTCAAACGCAGTTTGCGGACTTTAGTGATGAAGAGGAGGGTCCAGAGAAGAAAAAGGCCAGGAGGTGATCTCTTGATGGCCTACCTGGTAATATCGAGACGCGACGCGACTAGATTCGCGTGGACACCATTTGAGTCACGTGTAGGAGTAGCTAGCCTTATGTAATCACCGCAAGCGGGAAACCGAGATCCGCCTTAGTACTCGATGCCGCATGCTGGCTGGTCACAGCCGTGCTGAAAACTACGCGCGGCGGGTCCATGGTAGCTGCACGAGCCGTCACAGCGAAACTTGTCCACCTGTGAGCCTGTCTTCACCACTCGCCATCATCAAGTGCAAGCCCGGTGAAGCGCGCGCGCATCCGAAAAATCGCCTGGTCTCCCCTCTAACCATCGGCAGTCATCTCCAAGCCTCGCCAACTTGGTGTTGCACGCGACTGATAAGCCTTCCATCCGTTCGGCACCAACCCCATCGCGTCCAAACGCCAAATTCGCACTTTTTGCCCGGGCCTCCGCTCCCTCTTCGACGTGCGCCCTCACTCATCCCTTCCACAGGGACTTTCCTCCCCCACGCCATTGCGAGGCAACCTTTCTGCTCCCCTTGGCCATCGCGAACCTTCGCGACTAGACGCCACGAAGTCTTGCCAATACAGACTTCGACGCGCCCCGGCGACGTGTTGACTTGATTGACAACGGCGATTCTAGTTGTTTGTCTCCCCGAATCGCGCGCTTCGAACGCGACTAGGGCGCATTTGCCAACGTCGGAGCTTTCATCTGGTCCACTCGACACTCCACCCGCGCATTATCAAAGTCAAACATCGCGTTTCTACCACCGCATACCTCATTGCTTCCGCCGCTCGATATGCGCCTGTCGATACATAGTACGATTTAATATACTGATTGGGTGTTAGCCGGTCGAGGGCCATCTAGGATCACCACCATGGCTTCAGTTCAGGGAGCTCCCGGGGTTCAGCACCCCGGTGCGCCGATGGTCATGCACGCAACCAAGCAGCAAGCTGAGGAAGTCTTCAAGGTATGTCGTCGTCGGTATGACAGTTGCCGGTGCACATGAGCTAACTGGTTGCTCAGAAACTGAAGCAGATGAGGGACAATGGCGTGGCCAACACTGATCCAGATTTTATCAAGGCTCAGCAATGGTTGCAGCAGTTCCAGCAGCAGCACCAAATGCGCAAAAACAAGCAGCAGCTCATGCAACAGCAACAGCAGCAGCAGCAGGCGGCGGCTGCCGCCGCCTCCAATGCCAACGGCAACCTGAACGGTGCGCCAAATGCGGCAACTCAGCAACACAACCAGAACTCGACTTCGAACGCTGCCGGTGCGACGCCATCAAGTGGCACGAACGCGTCCGCCCCCGTGAATGGGCCATCGAACTCGTCCAACAGTCACTTTTCGCAGGAACAGCTTGGCTTGCTCCGAACCCAAATTTCAGCGTTTAAGATGCTGGGAAAGAATGCCGGACTTCCTGTTGGTCTGCAACGATCCATTTTCCACCAACGTCAAAAACGCCAGGCCGCTTCGACTGCTGCGTCGAGCACCGTGCCGAAATCCGAGCCCAGCGAACAGGACGATAAGGACAAGGATGTAGCAGGTCGTGGGGAGGCTGCACCAGACGCCGATGAGTCGGCGCCTCCCAAGCCTCACAAATACAAGACTGTCAAATCGCCCACGAGCATGCTTCAACCGACCATCAAACACTTTGAACACTCGCAACGCAAGAATCGCTGGTTCATTCCAGGGGCTTTCCCCACGGGCATCGACTTTGATCACTTGCGATACGAGAGGGAGGTCGTCGTGTTCAACAGGATGAGCCAAAGATACAACGATCTGAAGAACCTTCCAGGGAATATGGCTCACTGGGATACGACGAAGAACGAGGTTGAATCTGACGATGCTTTGAAAAGAAAGGCGATCATCGAGATGAAGGCTCTAGCTCTATACGCAAAGCAACGAGCCCTGCGCGAGAAGATTGGGCGGCAGATGATGCACTACGACAACTTGGCTATGACCACAAATCGTTCGCACTACCGTCGCATGAAAAAGCAGAACGTTAGAGAGGCTCGCATCACTGAGAAGCTTGAGAAGCAGCAGCGGGACGCCCGGGAGAACCGCGAGAAGAAGAAGCACATTGACTTCCTTCACGCCATTACTCACCACAGACAAGAAATCATCGACTCGAATCAGAGCCAGAAGACCAAATTCCACAAGCTCAGCCGCCTCATGTTTTCTCAGCACTTCAACATTGAGAAAGAAGAGCAGAAGCGCGTCGAGAGGACCGCGAAGCAGCGTCTGCAAGCGCTCAAGGCCAACGACGAAGAGGCGTACCTCAAGCTGCTTGACCAGGCCAAGGACACCCGTATCACACACTTGCTCAAGCAAACCGACGGTTTCTTGCATCAACTTGCGTCATCCGTCAAGTCGCAGCAGCGCGCAGCAGCCGAGCGGTACGGAAACGACATGGAAGACTTCAAGGACGACGACGAGCTGGAGGATGAGGAGGGCAACAGTAAAAAGATTGACTACTATGCTGTGGCCCATCGCGTCCGTGAAGAGGTCACTGGGCAGGCTAGCATCCTGGTCGGCGGCACTCTGAAGGAGTACCAGATCAAGGGTCTTCAGTGGATGATTTCGCTTTACAACAACAATCTCAACGGTATCCTTGCCGACGAGATGGGTCTTGGAAAGACGATTCAGACCATCAGTCTCATCACCTACCTGATTGAGAGGAAACAGCAGGCCGGACCATACCTGGTCATCGTGCCGCTGAGTACCTTGACCAACTGGAATCTCGAGTTTGAGAAATGGGCGCCATCCGTCAGCCGCATCGTCTACAAGGGTCCGCCTAATGCTCGAAAGACCCAACAAGAGAAGATCCGCCAGGGGCGCTTCCAGGTCCTGCTCACGACTTACGAGTACATTATCAAAGACCGTCCTATCTTGAGCAAGATCAAATGGTTCCACATGATCATTGACGAAGGTCATCGCATGAAGAACAGCAACTCGAAGCTGAGCGCCACCATCTCCCAGTACTACCACACCCGCTTCCGTCTCATCCTCACGGGTACCCCCCTCCAGAACAACCTTTCCGAGCTGTGGGCCATGCTCAACTTTGTGCTGCCCAACATCTTCAAGTCGGTCAAGACATTTGATGAATGGTTCAACACTCCATTTGCCAACACCGGCGGGCAAGACAAGATGGAGCTCACGGAAGAAGAGCAGATTCTCGTCATTCGCCGTCTCCACAAGGTCCTTCGACCCTTCTTGTTGCGTCGTCTCAAGAAGGATGTCGAGAAGGATTTGCCCGACAAGACCGAGAAGGTGGTCAAATGCAAGTTTTCTGCTCTCCAGGCCAAGCTCCACAAGCAAATGTCAACACACAACCGCCTTATTGTTAGTGACGGCAAGGGTGGCAAGACAAATGCTCGTGGTCTCAGCAACATGATTATGCAGTTGCGTAAGCTCTGCAACCATCCGTTTGTCTTTGATGAGGTGGAAAACATCATGAACCCCCTCAATATCAGTAACGACATGCTGTGGCGGACGTCTGGCAAGTTCGAGCTTCTGGACAGGATTCTCCCCAAGTACCAAGCGAGTGGGCATCGCGTTCTCATGTTCTTCCAGATGACTGCCATTATGGATATTATGGAGGACTACTTGCGATACCGGAGTTTCGAGTACCTGCGTCTGGATGGTACGACCAAATCAGACGAGCGATCGGACCTCCTTCGCGAGTTCAACGCACCCGACTCTAAGTACTTCATGTTCTTGCTGTCCACCCGTGCTGGTGGTCTCGGTCTCAATCTGCAGACCGCCGACACGGTCATCATCTACGACTCTGACTGGAATCCTCATCAAGATTTACAGGCGCAAGATCGTGCTCATCGCATCGGTCAGAAGAACGAGGTGCGCATCCTGCGTCTGATCACTTCTGGGTCGGTAGAAGAGAAGATCTTAGAACGTGCTCGGTTCAAGCTTGACATGGATGGGAAGGTCATTCAAGCTGGTCGTTTCGATAACAAATCATCGGAGACGGACCGTGACGCCATGCTCCGGACGTTGCTTGAGACGGCGGACATGGCAGAAGGTGGTGGCGAGGAGGATATGGAGGATGAGGAGCTCAACATGATGCTCGCGCGTAACGACGGGGAGCTCGCTCTTTTCCAAAAGATGGACGAAGAACGCGCCCTTGACCCCATCTACGGCCGCAAAGGAGGCAAGGGCAAACCTCGCCTTATCCAAGAAGAAGAGCTTCCGGACATCTACCTCAATGAGGACAATGGCGAAGAGGAGCCGACGGAAGAGGTCATCTTGGGCCGTGGCGCTCGTGAACGCACCAAGGTCAAATACGACGACGGTCTCACCGAAGAGCAATGGGTCATGGCAGTTGACGATGACGAGGACTCGCCTGAAGCCGCGGCTGCACGCAAGGCTGACAAGAAGGACCGGCGAGAACAGAATAGGCTTAAGAAGAGTGCCATTTTCAACTCGATGGACGAGTCGCCTGTCCCTAGTAGGGCTAGCACCGAAGAGGTCGAGACGCCCAAAAAGCGTGGGCGCAAGCCGGGCAGCAAGAACGAGAAACGCAAGGCGGAAGAGGGCGAAGACGAGCCGCCAGCGAAGAAGCGGCGCGGACCGCAGGGGCGGCCGAGCAAGGCCAACCTCCAGGCGTCCGCCAACGCATCGAAGCTGGCCCCCGAGGTGCGCGCGACCCTGCAAGACAGCCTCAAGAGACTCTACGATCAGCTCATGGAGATGGAGGTAGACGACTTTGAGCCTCTCGAGGGCGAAGATGACGAGTCCGAGCCTGGCAAACGCCTCATCATTGCTCCGTTTGTGAAGCTGCCGTCGAAACGCGACTTCCCCCACTACTTTGTGGTGATCCAGCAGCCCATCTGCATGGATCACATCAAGGCACGCATAAAGAAGGAGCAGTATGGTTCTCTGGGCGACATGCGCCGGGATGTCGAGCTCCTCATCAACAACTGCAAGACTTTCAACGAGGATGGCAGCGTCTTGCATGAAGATGCCAAGACCATTGAGGTGAGTGATCTTTTGTCGGTTGGACCTGTGATTGCAGCAGCGGCTAACTCGGACACAGGCATTCTTCAAAAGCAAATTCGAGGAAGAACTGGACGCGCATGCAGAGCTCCGGGAACTGGAAGACGGCGGCAAGGCAGGGTCTGCGGCGCCATCCGGCAACGGGGACAGCACACCGCAGCACAGCGGCACACGCATCAAGCTCATCTCGAACAGCTCCAGAGTCGGGACGGGCACGAGCACGGCGCCACAGAGTGACGAGGACTGAGTGCTCAGTTCTGGATGCTCAAGAAGCTCTATCAATGACTTGTGATGGTGTGTGATGGTGCCTTGTTCACCGCGTGAGAAACCTACACGCCCACGCAGTATTGCGGCGCAGAACGGCGGCCAAGTCGCGCGCGCGCATAGGGACATTACACGAGACGGATATGATGCACTTTGGGAATGTTCTTGGATGGGCGTCTGCTGCGCCCGGCGTTTTCGGCGAAGGGCATGGGGTGGGCGTTTTATTGACATAAAGTGCTGTACTCTTCGGGGATCGGGAGGAGTGTGAATGGATGATGGATGAAAGGGATATTCAGACATCAGTCGTCACATTACAAGCAAAGCCGCGCGGGTGAGCCGCTGAGATCCACGCTGTATGTACAATGTATTCTAATAGATGCTCTTGCAGCAGCTAGCTAGCTGGCTGGGGTTCAAGGAGACGTGTGTCCAGACTGTGATGCGATAGATACATGTACCGGGTACTAAGCTTAGTGCGTGGTACGAATGCTCGCCATCGACGTGGAATGCGGTCGTCCTAACGTTGAGGAAGGTTTCGACGGCGGTTGCTGATGCTGTTGCCGTTACTGCCTGCTGCCCTGCCCCTCCATGTCGTGTCCTCCATGTGATCTCATCAACGTCACATCCACCTGAATCCTCCCACTACATTACATGCATGTTAGTCGCGTGGCAGCACCATGAAGAAGACGCTGCTGCTCTGTTTCATCCACGGATTCAAGGTACGGCGCGTCCTGCATTATCTGTAATGCATGCATCAAGCAAGCTAACCTTTCTCGCCAGGGTGGGGAGCACACCTTTGGGAACAAGTACCAGTTCGCAGAGCATCTTCGCGCGCTCGTAGCCAAGGACCTGCCCAAGACCAATGTCAAAGTCCTAGTGTACCCTCCCTATGAGACGCGCGGCGATCTCGGCGATGCCGTCAGCCGTTTCCGTGGATGGTAGTGAATGCAACTTCCCACCCCACAAAGACCCCAGCTGACTGAACGAACCAGGCTGGAGGAAAAGGTCATCGACATTGAGGTGGACGCGCAGACGCCGTCGCCGACCGTCGACCCGTCCGTCCGGACCATCCTGATCGGACACTCCATGGGCGGCATCGTGGCGGCCGAGACGGTGATTGCGCTCGCGTCGGAGAAGCCCATCTACTCCGAGGACGGCATCCAGAAGGACGACAAGGCGACGACGACGTTCAACGCGCTCATGTTCCCCTACATACAGGGCGTCGTGGCCTTTGATACGCCGTACCTGGGCATCTCACCTGGCGTTGTCGCGCACGGCGCAGAGGGTCACTATCAGAATGCGGCGGCGGCCATGCAGCAGCTGGGCGGTCTCGGTTCGCTCTGGGGCGCAACGCAGTCCGGGAAGGAGGGCGCCACCAGCAGAGCAGCAGCGCCTCCCAAGACCGCAGGCGCCCTCCCGGCCCCCGAGTCGGGCGCGAACAAGAACGACGGCGGCGGCTGGGGCGCGTGGGGCAAGGTGGCCATGTTTGCGGGGGCCGGCGCAGCAGTCGCGGCAGGAAGCGCTGCCGCGTGGGTGAACCGCGACCAGATCACCTCGGGCTGGACCTGGGTGTCCTCCCACCTGGAGTTTGTGGGGTGTCTGGCGCGGGCGGAGGAACTGAAGAAGCGGGTGCGCTGCATGGTGCGGCTCGGGGAGGAGGTCGACGTTGGGTTTGCGAACCTGTACACGCGCCTGGGTAAAGCGGCGCCGAGCAAGCAGGTGAGCATGGTCGGGACCGTGCTGGGGCGGGAGAGGACGTTTTGCAACCTGCCGAGCAAAATGGCCGCTGGCACGTGGAAGGAGGCTGTCAATGACAAGGCCAAGGACGAGACGGAGGCGCATATGGGTGAGTACTGCCTTGCGATGCGTGCCATGGGCACGGACTAACAGGACATAGGCATGTTCGAGCCAAATGAGAACCCAGGGTACGAGCGTCTAACACAGGACGCAAGAGATCTGATTGTCGAATGGCTCCAGAACGATTGGTACCAGACGAGCGCAGAGCCGCGGCCGATGCTGGAAGAGTCAAGTGATAGGATTGATCTTTAACAATCAAGTATAACTAGCTGTTTCCTCTACCAAAAACGCCGATACTCCCTCCTTTTTTTTTTTTTTCTTCTTCTTCTTCTTTTTTCAGTTCTTTCCTTTTTTTTTAAAAAAAAAATAAAAAATTTAAAACTAAATGTTACTGCGTCGCCTTGCCGTCCTTCTGCTTCAGACTGCGCATGACCTTGCTCCTCTGCTTCATCATGTACGTGAACAGGATGTACGAGCCAGGCACGTAGACGGCCAGGACGCCGGCGAGCGCGTAGTACGCGCCGGGGCCGTAGGCCTTGGTCGCGGGCTCCATGGCCTTGTAGATGAGCATACACTCGCTGGTGATGCCGACGGGGTAGAGGACGAAGAAGGTGTTGTAGCGCAGCCAGGTGATGGGGTAGAAGGCGTCGCTGCCGACCGAGAGGGTGACGGCGAAGAAGGAGTAGCGGATGACCTCGGTGAGGGACCAGGCGAGGAGCATGGAGGCGTAGAACGGGTCGAGGGCGACGTGGGGGAAGGGTTGGACGATGCCCCAGACGAGGAGGAGGCGGGAGGAGACCTGCATAATGGTGGTGAAGACGGGGGCGCGCACGATGCCGAGCAGAGAGTGCAGGATCTCGAGGGCGGCGGCCGTCTGCGTCCACTTTGTCCACTCGCCCACCTCGGCCAGGACGTGGGTCGGCCCGCGCGTGGTGACGGCCTTGACGGTGCTCGAGAGGACGACGGACCAGGCAAAGGCGGAGACGACGTTGTAGAGGACGAGGTAGTTTGTCTTGAGGGCCGACGCGGGCTTGCGCTGGGGGTTGGAGGGTCGTGCCATTGTGTCGTGGGACGGCAGTCGAGGAGCGTGGTGGACGGATTGGCTTGTCTTGGTTGCGCGGAGGAGAGAAAAGGAAAGGATAGGAGTTGGTGGATGCCGAGGTGAGGTGGGTTGGATTTGATGGTGAGAGCTTGTCTCGACGCGACAGACAGACGTACGTTCAACAAATTTGGCGTGCGGGTGACGGTGACCCACCGACGTGCACCCAACATGTCGGTACGTAAGGATTCAAGGAAGCTACTGGACTCGGCACTTTGCAGCGAAATACTGCCCAAGAGGACTCTGTATTATTTTGGATATCATATGAGCCTGCGCAGGCACTTTTGCATTTCAAAGGGCATTCATGTTCTGCGGAGAGCAATTGGGTGGCAGTGCACTTGTATAGGTACGCTGATGTTGCCCACGAACAACAATCCCCCAGGCACTGCATGAGGTTCGTAGATATAAACGGTCTCTCCAGTGCGTGCCCATCTGAGTCGAGGCCGCATCACCCATGGCCTCCTTCGAAGTCCCGGGGTGCAGTGCGCCCGTGTCGCTCCCAGCTCTCGCTGGTCAAGAGCTGCCAGATTCCCAGACGAATGCGGATGAAGCGATCACTGCTGATGCTGAGGGGGCCGCATGTGGGCTGCCTGTAGCTCCCGACCTTGAGCTCTGACGCTGCGGCAAGCTGGATTGAAAGATGGCTCCTTGCTCAATGACCATGGTCATATTTGCTCTCCCGTCATCCTTCGTGCTCTTCTCGCGACCAGAGGCTGTTTCGCGAGTCAACGGACAAGAAGGCAGAGGAAGGTTCCTTGAAGAGGGGGACAAAGCAATGACGGAAAATGCCTCTCGCCCTCGACAGTCATAGCCTGGTGAAGCTCAATGGACACGTGCCGTGAAGTCGAGTATTGATGACGCTGAACGGATGCCCTTGTCCCAGTCGAGGCAGAGTGACCATCTGGAGAGCTGGGCTATGGCACACACCACGGTGCAGGTTTGACCATGCCTTCAACTGATCAATCACACCGCCGTCTCCTGTCGATACCTGTTCTCAGCCTCGGCAATCAACCGACGCGTTTCCTGCACCTTGCGCTCCGCGTCTTGGACCTCATCCACGGGCGCATCCTCCATCTTGGCAACATTCCGCGCATTCTGCACCGCCCTGAGCTTGTCGCACACCAGCTGCCAGTACGGCTTCTGCCCCGCACCGACGTTGACCACGTAGCTCCCCGGCACCAGGACGACCCCATTGACCGGGCCCGACGGCCGGCCAGCCGCCTTCATGGACTCCTTGGCCTGTCTGCGCCGGTTCTTCTCCTCCTTCTTCTCCTTGAGCCGCCTCTTGGCCTCGACAAGGTCCTTCATCTCCTGGTCCGCAGCGGCCTGCCGCCTTGTCTCCTCCTCCCGCATGCGCTGCGCTTCGGCGAGCCTCGCGCGTTCCTTCTCGAGCGCCTCGCGGTCACGCTGCGTCTTCTCCTGCTGCGCGACCCGGGCCGCCAGCTCCGCCGCCTCGAGGTCGTCGGCGTACTTTCGTCGCTCGCGGTCAAAGGCCTCGCGCTCCTGCTTGCGCAGCAGCTTCGCCTTCATGGCGCGCTCGTAGGTGGCGCGCGCCCCATCGTCGGCGAGAATGTCGCGCGCGCGCTCGAGGAGCTCCCATTTCTCCGCGTCAAAGTTGTCTCTGGCCTTGTCGGGGTGGTACTTGACGGATGCTTTGCGCCATGCGCGCTGAATGTCCTCCTTGGCCGTGAGGGCGTCTATAGAGAGCAGGTCGAAGAGATCAATGTTTCTGTCGGCGTACTCGCTCGCCAGGCGGAGCAGATCCGCCTTGTTGTCGTCGCTCATCGTCTTGGGCGGTAGTGGAGAGTTCGGAGACGGGTATTGGCGATGCCAGCTTCCCTCTGTAGCGGCGAAGTCGAGCTTTGGCTGATGTGTCTTGACTCTTGGTGAGCTTGAAGTGAGTCTACTTGATGCACGTGACGTTGGCTAAAAAGCGGGCCTCCTAAGTACGTAGTACCTTTAGGTACTCCGTACCTCAGGCCCTTTTACTCTGTCGCAAGGTCAACCTGTCGCGTTCAACTTCCATGACGCTGACCAAGTATCCAGGCTTTCATCGTTACTCAATCTCTGCTGAGTCTCCTCATAAACCGAACGCTGCATCATGCACATCGTCAGCCACCTCGGTGACCCACAAAAGCCTGTTCCCCATGAAGACAAAGGGCACTACAAGATCAGCCTGGGCAGTAAATCACAGACATTATATTCAAGGCGGGTATCTCTTCTAGCAACATCACCGCTATCGGCCAATCCTCTTATTCAGCCTCCGCGGCCCTCGGCGTCCGGCAAAGTCATACACATTCGGATACCCCCCCGACAGCTTCAAGACATATCTCTCAAACGGACCCAACGGCTCCTCCACCATGATCCTCTCACGCCGACTCGGCGGCCCCTCCCTATCGCTGCCCACGTACTCCCACACCCAGCGGCCGCGCTCCCTTGGCTGCCAGTCCGGATGCCCTGGTATCGGGTCAAAAAAGGTCTGCTTGGTGAGCCTCAGCCGCCACCTGCGCAGGGCGGCGCACGTCCAGATGCCGTTGTCGTTGAGGCCCAGACCCTGGCATGCCAGACGCACCCGCACCGAGCTGTGGACGCGCTCGTTGGTGTCGCGGAGGAAATGGCGTGTCGGCCGCTGCGTCTTGGGGTTGGTCTGCTTGTACATGCCCGGCGTCCTGGGTGTCTCGCCGGCCAGCTTGTACAAGATACTGGCGTCAGCCGCAATCTTGCCCAGCGCCCAAGGGCGCAGCGGCTCATTGTTCTCGTAGATGGGTTCCATGGCCCAGATGGGGCCCGGACCGCGCAATGTCTCTGCCAGCGTCTCGTAGTACTCGCTTGTTCTTCTGATCACGCGGTCCAGGGAGTTGTGGTCAAACTCAACACCTACAGACGCCATCTGGTCCATCATCCCTGGTAAGCTGTCAGCTAGCGCCCATTGTACTGTCCGAGCGCAGTCCGGGTCAAGAACTCACAGGCCAGTGTGCAGTTGGCCATGCCCTGGTCGGGCCAGCCGCCGCCGCAGTTCGCGTGATTGCCTGGGAACCAGACCTGGCGCAGGTCGGTGGGATCCCTCTCGTCGTTGGCGCGCTCCCACACGGCGGGCCTGAACGGGCTGCGCGTCTCGTCCAGCGCCAGTGCTTGGAACGCATGCTCGATACGGTTGTTGAGTGAGGTGTCGTGCCATCGAAACGTGCTGTGCCTGTCAGCGAAATGCCAGGGATCCCCGGGTGGGAGGGATGCGGAGGAACTTATTCGTCGTTGGACGGCCTTATGCCAAGTCTTTCCAGCCAGGTGATGTTGGGTATCCCGAGACTGCCCACAGTGTCCCACACGCAGACGCCCTTGATCTTTATGAGCCTGCCATCAGCCTGGCACACCCTGGTGTAGCCCATCTGCTCGAGCCGCGCCCGATATTCCCGGGCGGCGTGTGGGCCCTTGGGTTTGTTCGGGAACGGCACCGTGGGATACGGGTCGTCGTAGTCGTCGTCCTGCCAGTGTTGCATGTCGGTGAAGATGATGTAAAAGCGCTCGACGCCTTCGCGGGTGAGGAGTCCCAGGTTGCTCACCATGCCGGCGACGGACCTCGCCGTGAAGGCGCCTCGCGAGAACCCGACGAGGAAGATCTCGTCGCCGTCCATGTAATTGGCGCACAGGTACGAGTAGGCCTCACGCACGCGCTGTGAATCTGTCAGGACCATTCTGTGGTAGCACAGCGAGCCGCGTCGCGTCGCGTCTCACCTCGGACAGCCCCAGCCCAAAGGCGCCACCGGTGATCGTGTCAAAGGTGCTGCTCCCGGTGCCGACGCCCGACTCGTAGGAGATGATCTGGAGTCGGCCATCCGAGCAGCGCCGCTTGAAGCAGCGGGAGATGCGCGTCACGTTGGACGGCACCTGCAGCGTCCCGTGCGAGGAGAAGAGACCGGACTTTTGGTAGCCATTGTCAGAGTCCATCCAGGTGCCATCGAGGCACAGGATCATCCTCTTGCCCAGTGAAGCTTGGCACGCCATGGGATGATGGGTATTCTCTCAGATCAGTTAGATGGAGGGGAGCTCAAGTCCAGGTTTTTATCATGAGGGCGATGCCCAGCCTCACAACAACAAGCGTATACGCAATTTGGGCACTTTCGCCTCGGAATGGCAACGACGTGGCGCAAATCGTACGCTACGCACTATGTCGGTGATCACCAATAAGTTGACGAGATTATACAGTTTGGGAGACACGGAACCATCCGATCGCGTTGTTTTCTGACGACACCAGTACGTGTAAGCGACAGCCTGGTGGGATGCAGCGCAAGCTGACACGCCTCACACACAACCGTGCCTCCAAGTAGTAGTAATCGCCCGTCATTGTGAGTCTGGCGTACAATGCTGTCTATACACTATTTATACAGTACGCCTCGCGTCTTCACCTGGACGCCGCATGCGCGTCCAAGCCTTGCTGTATCCATTCAGGGACAAAAGCTTTGACCTTGACGCCCGTCTTCTCGCCTTCCTGTCCCCATTCCAGCACAAACTCATCCTGGGGGGTGAACGTCGCCGCCGCCGTCTCGCCCGGCAGCGTCGTCCCCGTCATGATCTCGAGCCGGCAGAGGCCCAGCCCAACGTTGCCGACGCCCCGCAACCACTTGCCCGCGCTGCGCCCGCGCCTCTCGAAACGACCTATGCTGGTCTCGGCGGGGACGTCCTGCGCGGCGGTGCTCGAGGGGTCGTAGGCGAGTGCCTCGGGCGCGGGCGCGTTCTTGTCGTACACGATGCAGGGCAGTATACGCTTGCGCACGATACCGCGGTGCTTGGTGCGGATAGTGAGCTCCTGTCCGACGTAGCAGCCCTTGTGCCACTCAATGCCGTTCATAAAGTCCATATTGCTCTCCTGCGGCAGGGCCTGCTCGCGCAGAATCTCGGATGGGCCCTCGGGGACGCCTCGCAGGTATCGCCGGATCGTGTACGCATCCTCCGTCGCTTGCTCGAGATCGGCCTCGGGGGGGTTATCGCCTAGTTGTATGATTCGACATCCCATGTCTGCCGTTCGTGGATCTGCCAGACGTATCGAGGTGGCTGTCGGGTTGGTGTCGAGCGACGAGTCCGTCCAGGCGTGCCAGACGGAGACCTCTGCGGGATCGATTTTGCGTACATTGACCTTGGCACGTAGCTTGTACCGCTTGATCAGCTTGGCCAGCTTGTCAATCTCCCGCGCGTCTGCCTCGATGATGTATGAGCTGCCCTCTTCTGTGCCTGCGAACCCGTTCCGGCCAGGGTAGATGAAGACGTCGTGCATCACTCGGCCGGTCGCGTTGAGAAAACCAGCATAGCTCCCGCTGTCCACCGTGCGGTCGTCCTTTGTCGACACGTTGGCCGTGACGATACCTTGCAGGAACTTGGCGGTGTCGGGGCCAGAGACGGAGAGGAGCTGGCGGGAGGGTAGCCTCGCGAGACCACAGGCTGGGGGCGCTGCCGGTGCCGCTGCCGGTGCCGGTGCGCTGGCAAATGCACGGCGGTGCGACTGGCAGAAAAGACAGGACGACCGTCTCGGCACCGCCTGAGCGAGTGCGCGTTTCGTCAAGGGTCGCATAGTGAATGCCAGTAGATGACCGACTTCAAAGCTGCTGGGTCAAGTCTTCTTTCTGCACGAGAAGCGATGTCATCCTTCGATGTGGTCTGTGCATTTCCATGTGGGGCGGTCTCGGCTGTAGGGGTCCGACTTCACTTGTGACTTGATGTGACATTTGAGCGGGCAGCATTGATCCCATTGACGTTGACAGAGAATGAAGTTTTCATGATTGCCTGCACCTGTGAGATGCTTCGCGTGCATTTGTGTCGCGCCCAGCGGCCCGGGGAAGACGTGCTGGCTCATCGCCAGAGTCAGTCAGGTGACGTCGTCAGTCGGGCACGCCCACGCGGACGTCATTGCAATTGAAGTAACCTTGATCTTACACAAGTAAGTACTTGCAAGCACATGACACAACAGACCCAAGTGCGCAGGCACCGCCGAGAAGCTCAAGGCTTTTCGGGACCCGGCAAAGGTGATCCTCGCTCGCCACGCTGCAAAGCGTCTGCACGCTCTTCGATACAGTGACCGACCCACTGACACCTGAGGCAGCATCAACATGGCCACTCAGCATCACCCCATCTACGACGTCTTTGCACGTGTCGAGGACAACTTTGGCAAGACAGACCTGGGCTCTTCGCGGTGGTACATTGCCACCATTGCCGCCCTTGTAGGCGGCAACGACCCGGACCTGTGCGCCAATCTCTACACCTACCTCCTCACCAAGCCCGAGTTCTCGACCCCGCCGCAGCGCCAGGTCCTCGTCCGTCGTCTGCGCGAGGCCCTCGTCAAGTCCATCAGCATCATCGGCGTGTGCAAGCCCCTCGAGGCCATCATGGCCATCAACAGGTGCGAGAGAGACGAGGACAAGGACAGGAGCGCCACTCGCGAGGGCTGGCAGTGCGACGAGGCGAACCGCCAGCGCGGCCAGGACTGGCTGGGCACGCTCTACACGCGCGACGCGAGCCAGACGCTGGGCCTGTTCGACGATCACAGGGACTTTCAGTGGGTTACCGAGAGGATCACGTACGGCCTGTACCTGAGTGATCGACAGGTGCTGGATGATGTGGAGACGGAGATGGTCGTGCTGCCTGGCATCATGATCCAGAACTTGAGGACGGAGACGCACTGGCATATCCGGGGGACGCGGCGCCTGGGTGTCTCGGCGCACGACGTGAAGCTCGTGTGGGACTCGGTGCAGTTGGTTGCGGAGTATCTGGGGCTGATGTTGAACCGGGTGCCTACCGTGGAGCAGGTCGAGGGCGATGTCTAGACAGGGCCTCTGCTGGTGGTTAGGACACCTATAGCACCTATACCAAAATGGGAGCCAACAACCGAAACGACTTGGGAAACGTCCGTGAATGATACTCTGCCGTTTCAAGGCTCCTGCAACCGGCTGCACATCATCTCCGCAATCTGGCTGTCGCGGTACAAAGACGGGCTAAAGGGCGCACAGTCCTTGACAAGCTCCAGGATGGCGAGGGTCCATTGCTGATAGCCGTCTGGGAGGACGACGGCAAGAGCACCGTCATCGATAAACCGAAGACAGTACACAAGGACAATCTGGCCAAAGAGCCTGCTCCCGTTAGCTTCCAGTCGGCTTATTCGACCAAAGGTGCATACTGCGAGCAGAAGGGGTATCTGATTGGCATGCAGCTCTTCATGAGCCATAGTTCGCGCACGACGTGAAGCCATTTCATGGCGGTCAGGAGCGCGTCTTTGCATCGTTCAATGTCTCTCGTCGTCCTTTTCTCAGGGAAGGAGAGCATGCGATGGCTAGCGACCATTAGTACTTGGTCATGACTACCTTTATCAGTGAAGAGCTCTCACATGACGGGTCTACAGAGGTGCCACCGCAAAACAAGGTAGCGGGCCCGAATCAGGGGCGACACGAGAACGTCGCGCGGGCAGCTCGGGGGGCTGGAAGCAAACTCTACGTCCGCGTTCAATGTGCAGGGCAAATGCTCCCTCCAGCGTTCGAGCTGCTGCGACAGCTCGGCGTCAAGACCGGGACTGGGATAGTTTCCGGAGAGATCTGTGGATGGGATCAGCGACAGGTCAAGCTCACTTAAACGAGGACCAACAAACGTGAGCAGTAGAGTGCTTCCTTGATGCGCGTGGTCAGGTTCCGGACGGCGACCTGGGAGAGAAAGTGGTAGTACACATCAGGCGCCTGTTGCTTCGCGTCCGAGCCTGCATGCTGGTACTGGTTGCTGCTGCCCGCCGTCATTAGGTCGGCGCGCGGCAGCTCAATGAACCTAGGCAGGGGGACACGGTCGCGGAACGTATCGAGACGGCTGTGTGGCAGGGCCAGCTCCTCCGTCACGACAGACTCGAGCATGATTGTGATCCAGAATAGACGGCCTTGCATGTCCGACGTCCAGGAAGCGTCTCTGGAGGTTTCGCTCGCGTCGCTGGTCTGGTTGTTTCCGTAGTAGAGCATGCAGCAATTGGCGGCGCGCGACATACTCTCCCACCAATCGACCGGTCTCAGGAGCGAGGAATAGTAGATTCTGCGAAGCATCAAATGTCAGCATCAGCGCCTGGTGTAGCAAAGTATGTAGTGTGACGGAGCGTGGCGGGGCAATCCTACCCAGACAACAGATGAAACTGGCAGTTCTGCAGCCCATGATCGTTCGATAAGAGCCCGATCCTTCGTCTCGCCTCGTTGAAGAAGACGAGCCCCTCGATGCCATCCTGCATATACTGCGCCGTGCTCAACGTGCCCATGCGCACACTCCCGTCGTGAAAGCCAGCCTCCTCCAAGGCTCTGATGCCCCAGCAGCCCAGGGCCATCACGACCAGGACGACGCAGCTCTCCATGTCGTACCCGAAGCCGCCCGTGACGGCCTTGGCGAGCGAGCGAGCCTCGAAAAAGTCCCGGTCCAGGACGGGGTACGCGAGATTGAATGAGCAAAAGTAGGCCTCGCACAGGTTCCGGACCGTCGAAATGCTCAAGGTGCTGAGCGGATCAATGTGGCTCGTAGGGGTGCGAAGGCCCGGTATGGGGTCCCGCTCCTTCTCGAGGGCTGTGGCATAGTCTGGCCACCCGTGCCGATGGCAGAGATTCATAATCTCCTGCGGTAGAAATGCTCGCACGGGTTCCCACTCGAGCATGGCATGGGCGCTGAATGGAAAGGGCGTCTTGTCCGGGCCGTCGTCCAGGTAGACGCTGCCCCCCGAGACAGTCGGCGTACGCAGGTCAATGTTGGGTGTCCCGGCTTGGCCATCCTGACGCTGGGAACCTGGCGTGTTGCCCAAGGGATCTCTGCTGCTGCTGTCCAGGGAGTTTTGAGATTCCGCAGGCGGTGCATGAGGTGGTGGTGCGGGTGGCAGTTTGGGGTCCTGCGCCGCCGCGAGGTTCTCGACTTTTGTCTCGATCCGCTTCAAGAATCCCAGAACTGTCCCAAACGACTCTTCCTTTCTGGCTGGTGGTGAGTAGAGGTTCTTTCTAGTTGATGCTTGAGGTGGAAACTACCTGGTGGCCTTTCTGTCACGATATGTGCACTCTATGCCTTGAGAGCGGCACGGCGCACAGGGGACGTCTTCATCGCACCGGGTTTTCTTGGCGCGACAGCTCTCGCAGGCCTGCGAGTAATGTGGTCAGAAGGCTATGTACAGTGCGGTTTGTTACGTTGCCAGCGGGCATGCACACCTGCCGAGCTAGAAAGACCCTTGGCTTTTTGGATGGCCGCTCCGAGCCAGGCTGATCGAGGTCGTGGTCTGTCGAGATGTCACGTGCAGGAGACGGCCTTGCGTTATCTGCCATGTCACAAGACGCAGGCGCCTACGTGTACGCGCAAATCGGAGTTGGAGGAAAGACACTGGATCCTTGATGAGAGGTGAATCGTTTCGGGCTTTGGGAGTTGATCCTCCGACCTGCCGATTTGCGGGGCAATCCGAGGGCTCTCATTCGCCCACGGTGGTCGACATTCGCCATCTCAGCACTCAGTTGCTGTGGTGATGTGCAACAAGCATATCGCGAGTTAATACTTCTTCCAGCCGATGTCGAAGCCTGCCCTGTCACTGTAAATATCCCTGTGCAAGCAATCATCCATCAACAAATGCCGACCCTCCGCACACCGCTTGCGCCCGTCGCTCAAGGCGTCAAGCTTGTTAGCAGAATGTCTTGCCATTAGCTTAGCAGTGCGGCACAGAACAGGGTCTCAGTCAACCCGACACTAGCACCCGTACACCGCCTCCACGTATCCGTACTTATGCAACAGCTGGAAACGCAAGGGTCCAGACCGGTGAAATACTACTGAAAATGTCAGGGACAGGATCCATTCATCAAACGAGCAATTCAGCCACTGTCAAAAGTCAGTCCCCAGTGTGAACACAGTCCGAAGGTATGGATCCAGAAGAGATGGTGATCTATCTGTCCATGACTCCATGATCTACGATGATCAATATTCACCTTGATTATCATGTCTTAGCTATGTCTGATAGTCGCCCAAAAACGCAAGAGGCGTGCCGATCGCCGGCGCAGGGCTGCTCTCGCCAGGCTCCATCACAGTCCGATCCCGATACCGACCGGGGCGGAGATCCGGCCATTCAGGAGACTCCGCGTACGCACATTGACTGCGTCCGCCCGCCCGTGCGTACCTGGATTTGACCGCCTATGCAGCTACACTGGGCTGTTATCAGTATCGGATCTGTCAGTGGTGTTGTTGGTGCATGAGAAGCAATGGGTGAAAGGACTGCAAAGCCATGACCACGACGCGCGCAAGGGGCCAATTGCTAGCCTATCGATCGACAGGCCATTCATTGACCACTGCCAGCGCAGCACCCGTGCCTTGCTTGCTGCGGCACGGCCACGATTGACGTTGACCAGGTCGCCCCCCCCTGACTATGATCAAGGCAGTTCCTGTTGTAGAGCTCAGATCGATGGATGGATCGAGCCGTCGTCCATTGTGAAACAAAAATCAATGGTCTTGGCAGGAATGGGCATGCTGACGCAAGTGACGCGACGCCTCTCCGCGGACCACCGAGTCCGACAACTTGACTCTTTTGTTGGCTACACGTGGCCTGGCCTCTTGGCTGCCCTGGGAGGATTAGTGCTGATTGGCCTGCTCAATTGCCCGGTGTGCACGATCGACCCGCGGCGCACCGAGCGACAAGTGCACGGGTTCCAGCTCTGCCCCCGTCCACGGTCCCAGTGCCGTCTACGCGCTCCATCGCCAGTCCGTTGGGCTCCGAATACCGCGCTTCCTCTGTTTTCTAATGCCTTCTACACGTACGCACGGATAGAAGGGTTGACGTTTTCACATGCGAGAAGGAAAAGCGCAGCGTACCTATGACAAATAAAGCTTCGTCGCACGCATGCACGTCGCTGACCAGAAAGCGTCGTCGTCCCTTGATAAGCGAAAAGCAGGTTGGGGGGGGGGGCTAGTGATTCATCCGAGCAGTTGTCGGTCTCACGCTGACGCCTGTCACAGGGTGTACAGGCTGATTAATGGCTGATGAGCAATCTCTCGCGGGCTCGGGCCTTGCTTTCAAATCCGAGAGGGGCGTGGGGGGCGACTGAGATACTAGAGGGACACCCTCTTTTAGAGTGCCGAATCCGGGTGCGTGCCTGTCCCACTCTGATCGTGAAGCGCGATCGTAGCGAGCGGGAATGTGATGAGAGCGCTAGGTGCACAGTCACGTCAAGTCAGAACGCATTGGACGGAATGGAGTAGGTGGGATTGAGAAGTAGTTATATGGATGAATTTTCTTCATTTTTTTAGGTGTCCATAGACAGGGGTATCGTGTGTGTCCTATCTACTCCTTCCTGTCAGATCTGTTCATTCATCCTCCCTTGTGTATGTATGCCATGAGTTGTGATGTGCCCGTGAATGCGTGTTAACGGTGAAAAGTATATGCCCATGCCGTGTTGTAAATGCCCGCCAGATTGTGGTATCCCAGATGCTGAAAAAGAAAAACGCCATGCTGAATGCCCAGAGTCGCTCGTAGAAAGAAGAATCATCAAATCGTTTTGAGGGTTTCGGTCGGAGTATTCGAATGCGAACTTAGTAGACCGAGACGGCCGACACGCCGCCAAGGGGTGTCCTCCCGGGCAGGTAATAGTTCTTGGCCTCCTGTTTCTGCTCATCCTCAAAGAGTGAATCTTCCGCCTTGCCAGCGGGCATGGGAAGCATGGCGTTGGGTGGTGAGGGGGGCATGCCCGCCTCGTCGTCGGACGAGTCCGACTCGTCCACCAGCTCGGGGGGCGGGCTGGTGTTGGAGTGTGACGATGTGCGCACGAGCTCGAGTTGCGCATAGTCCTCCTCGAGGTCATCCTCCTCCATGTCGTCACCACTGGGGACCTCCTCTGTGGTGACTGTGGGGGCCTTGCTGGCACTTGGGATCATGACAATGTCCCGCAGCTCCTCCTCAAAATCATCCTCGTCTTCGTCCGAAGACGACTCGTCGTAGATTTCGTCGCCGCTGTACTCTTCCTCCTCCTCGACTATCTGCGAGGCGGGGTGCTGGACGTGGCGGTCCTGCGCCTTGGGCGAGGCGCCGCGGACAGACTGGTTGAACCAGCGCTCCTGTTCCCGCTCGGCGTCGGCCAGCTCAACCATGAGGTTGTCGAGCAGGTTGGCGTGGCCGACGAGCAGGCGGAGGTTGTGGTCGGCGCGAGCAGCCTCGCGGCCCAGCTTGGAGCGGGCCTTGTGGGCGAGATAGTATGTCTGAGTGATGGCCATGTTCTTCTGGAGGGTGGATTGGCGAAGAGACTCGGCTGGGCTAGGTGCAAAGCTGATGTGTTGCGGTCGGTGAGCGGTGGTAGTGGCCATTGTGGTGTAAGACGGGACGTGGCCTGGGTGGGTGACAGTGTTATATGTATTAGATAACAACGGTGGATGTTTCCTTTTTTTTTTTTCTTCCCGGGTGGATGCTGCTGGCGTTGATGTGAGTCAAGGCCGGTTCCGGGGCGTGTGGCTGGTGGAGTCAGGGTGGTGGATGTAGTAGCCGGATCGATGCTGGCGAGGCTTGTCTGGGGACAGAGTGATGAAAGCTTGGTATCGGGATGGTTGATTGATCGTTGCTTGGTTGATCGATTACTGCAGATGTGTTCAAGGCTGAAGCTTCTGGTGATGATGGCTGAGGATCTGAGACTCGGGGCCAAGAGGTCGGGGGGCCGCGGATTCTTTTGTACAGGATGCGAGACGTGATGAGGCTCACGCAAGCACGCGCAATCCCAAGGCCCCGACGTGGTGGAGTCAGGGCCCCAACACACAAGGGCGGACTTTGGACACGGGCCCGGCTCGCTCTGCGTTGGGTTTGTCAGATTTGTGCAGAATGGCTCTGGTCACTAATGATTCAACTCCGTCCCGCTGACAAAAGCCGAAGCGAGGGGTACATCCTTTGTGGTGCAACGCATCCGCAAGACAGAGGTATCCCGGACTTACGGGCTGCTCGGGTTTCGAGCCAGCCTGCGTTATTGCTCATCCACCACCGGCGGCGGGCAATGACTCTTTTTTGCTTGCTCGCTCTCGCTCTCGGGCTCGCGCGTCCCCACGATGGAATGGATGCGGACCCTTCGCTCACCTTCCACCACAAGCTTTCAGCCCGTCAGCAGCTGCCCGCCGATTAGGAATGACCAGCGGGCGGCATGCGCTGTGATGCCTATCGCCGAATACGTCCGTTATGCTTCCTTCTGGGAGCTACCTAACATCTTTTGCCGTTATTGCATGTGCCTAGAACTGATTACCACAAGCAGTAACTAAATCCCTGCCGCGCGATGATCAGTGATCCCAGGCATCCTCAACTAATAACAGTAGGATTTGTCACGGCGATTTCTCTAGTGTGGTGAAGACTAAACAGAGTTTGAACTTTGAAGTCATCACAGTCTCCTCAATGGACATCACCGCCCACGATTACATTCATCTACGGATACCATCTGCTCGATCGCTAATAATGGCAGCAACTCGTAGTACCAGTCATCTACACAAATTCCAACGGTGATGCACTGTCTGGAGCTGTTGCACACGAGATACGACGCTGCATTAGACGGGGAATCCAGGCGCGGGGGGACGCATACGTGGCACGGTCCAACAACAAGGATCAACGCGCGGACGCCGGACGAGCACTGCCTGGCAATGTAGGGCTGAGCGCGCATTCACGCCTCGCTTCAGGCATCACATTTTTTATTAGAGTATCGTATGCCTGGGCGAATGAGGTGCCTGAATTGGCTGTTGATCTCTTTCATCTATTCCCCTGCTGCCTTTGGGCCCTGTCTATTGACTGTTCTATTCCAATTTCCACAGCAACAACCCTTGCCAATTCATTGAAACCCAAAGGCCTTGGGGTACGGTGCCCGTGCTTCATCACCGACAGTCTCAGCTCGGACATCCCCGCCTCGCACACCACAGAGCGTGTCAGCGTGACTGCAGGCCTGCAAGGACGCATTGAGAGAGTGAAGCAACTCACGATGGCTTGGCGGGATCATGACCACCATTCACCACTGCTGCCCGAAGCTCACACAAGCATTGACGTGCGGGTGGCTACACAAATTCAATTGTCTGATCCCGACAGTCTCACCAGTGATCTGTCAGCACAGGGACTGGAGCGCCCGCTGTGCTCACGTACCATCCACAAGTAAAAACAAACTGTCAACGCTTGTGCTCGTGCCATCCATCGGGTCTTTGCGAGGAAAGCGAATGCCGCGTTTGACAGCCTGCCGCCATCCTGAATCCCGTGGCGCTAGTCTAAAGAAGAATTAGTCTCTTAGGCATTATTAATTCTCTGTGCTTGGAGTCAGATGACTCGGATCTCCGACGCGCGAACACACGCCGCGAGGACGATTCTGCACTTGTCTGCCGTCTTTCCGCATCGGCGGTTCATTCTCTCGCATGCAGAATGGACGGTGACTTGCTTCTCCTATTGGAGAGCTTCTTCTGTCCGACCAGAGGTCCAGAGCCGCTTGTGCTCCCTGCGGTACGCAGATGCCGCAATATCCACCCCACAAACATGAGGCTCTTCACGATATCCGTAATGGAGCCCTCAATCCTTTTTTTTTTTCCTCTCTCGTCTCGTTCCTCTTGGCGGGGACTTGTCTGACGTCCTCGGCTTCCGCAGGATCCACCCGAGTCCGCAACGCCGGCTACCTTGCGGTCTTCTATGGTAATAATGGGCCCGCTGATCGAAAATTTCTTGCTCGCCGGGGGTCCGTGATCCATCTTCATGACGCCGGACTGGACCGGATCATCTATGTAATACAGTAGGCGTGAACGTCAAAACGTATCTTCACTGGCACACCTCCTACCGGGCGACTGCTAGCCCCCAACACCACCGAACTCGAAAGTCCGACACGGTTGTTTCTTGTCTGTGTCACCCGCCTTTATCAATCAACCTCGCCGTCCGATCGTTCCCACCACTTCGTCTCCGTGTCATCAACCGTCCATGACGTTCACTATCCATCGATACGTACACGCTGATCATGGCGCCTGACACTGACACCACACCCTCCCCACGCCTTCACTCACTACAAGGGTCTATCGATGGTGGTGCAACCCGCGCGCCCGTCGAGGATCGAACATGACAGGCGGCCAACGTAAGAGCTCGGCCCCGACTCGTTCTATCGGCATCTTGCCAGCCTGCCGAGTGCCCGACGGCGGGCGCGAGACCATCCATTGTGCATGCAGTTCGGCTTCGTGACTGGCATTCATGCTACAATACCCGGATAGCCTCCATCAAGCAAGCGCTGACTCATTCCCCGGATTTTTCGAGCTGAAGCGAGGCGTGCGAGGTCGGATCCTCCTTGTCGGAATTGTTGTAAAGCGCTCGTCTCGTCCACAGGTACTGCCCGAGGCGCCCTACTTGTGACAACCGCGGATATGCGTCGGGCGGGCGGAGTCCAATGGCGCGGTCTATCAGACAAGGTGCCTACTACATATCACAGACGACCCGTTATCGGGCGACTGCTTTCGTCCGTGCTTGGTCGATCCTGTAAGCCAGAGGCGTGCGCGCGTTTGTTTTGTCAGCCAATTCGGAGATAGGGTGCTTCCATACCCTAGGTATTCCAAATCAAATACTACCCAGCTCTCCCCAGGGTGCGTCTCCCAACATGGATCACGGTGAAGTCTCAATCGCATAACACATGAACACAGACAAGGCTCCGTCACCTCCGTGCAAGTTATGCATGTCACCAACGTGCACCAATGCCAGTCTCTTTGGGACGGACGGGGTATCTCGGCCATTGATCCTCTCGCTGCTTGCCTTCGCTACATGTATGTGCTTTTACTCGGCCCTGAACTTTTGCTTTGTGCGCTTCCGCTTGCCGCCCACTTCGCGCCCTTCCTCAATCTCCAGCAGCGCCTCGCGCTTCTTCTCGCTCACCGTCTTGAGCGCCTCCCGAAGCACCCGGGTCTCCAGGTTGACGCCCTCCTCCGCCCAGGCGTCCATTGCCCGGCCCACGCGCGCCTCAATGGCGTGCACGAGGTCGACGTCGCGCTGCCCGACAAACGTCACCGCCTCACCCTTGCGTCCCGCGCGCGCGGTACGTCCCACGCGGTGGATGTAGTCGTCGGGGTCCCGCGGGATGTCGTAGTTGATCACGAGGGACACCTCGGGGATATCGAGACCACGCGCCGCCACATCCGTGGCCACGAGGATCCGCGCGGCCGAGGCCCGGAATCGCCCGAGATTGTCGATGCGCTGCCGCTGCGGGAGCTTGGAGTGCAGCGACGTGACGCGGTGGTCCAGCAGGCGGAGCAGGTGGTGCAGGTAGTCCGCCGTCGAGGTGCGGTTGCAGAACAGGATGACCGTCTTCTGGGCATTGGCCTCCGTCTCGAGAAAGACGTGAAGGTAGTGCTCCTTGTGGGTCACGGGGATCTGCACGTGCATCTGGGTCAGTGTCGCGGGTATGGCCAGCATCTGCGTGTCCACCTCGCACACAAACACGGGCTTCTTGCCCGGTTTCTGCGGCATGTCCTTGAGCGCCCTCACCTCCGGGGTGATGGTCGCCGTGAACAGCAGCGTCTGTCTCTCACTCGCGGGGGGCAGAACGGAGAGACACTCCTCCACGTCCGGCAGCATACTGCCTGGACCCGTAGCATGCAGCAGCCTGTCCGCCTCGTCCAGAACCACATAGCGCACCCGTCTCAGTCCACAGATTGTGTCCTCCCCTGACGTACGGATGTGATCTGCCAGCCGGCCCGGCGTCGCGATGACAACGTGCGGCCTTTGCGCCAGGGCAATGGCCTGCGCCCTCATGTCGGCACCACCCGTGACTAGAACGGCCTTGAGGCTCTGCGGCGAGCTAATGGCCTTGAACTGCTCGTAGATCTGCAGCGCGAGCTCTCTCGTCGGCGTCAGAACGACGCCGAATATGGCGCTCGGGTCTTCCGCCCATTTCTGCAGGATGGGCACCGCAAACGCGACCGTTTTACCAGAACCCGTGCGTGATCCGCCGATGCAGTCGCGCCCCTGGAGGATCTCGGGGATGCAACCTTTCTGAATACCCGTGGGCCGTTTGATGGCCATGTTGGCGAGGGACTGGACGAGCCAGGGACGGACTTGCAGAGCGGCAAATGTGGTGTCGCTATCGACGGGGGCGAGGATGGGATTTTGGGGAGGGGCGGCTTGTGACGTCGCGGCGGCCGCTTGCGTTGCTGCCTTCTTTATACGAGAGGGCGCCTGGACACGCGAGGGTACTTGGATAGAGGCAATCGCTTTCTCGAGTTCCGCTTTATTGTCCTCATCGTCTTCGTCGTCGTCGTCAAAGAACCCTGGCGGTGGCTCCGGGACCGGTGATGTTCGACGTCGTTTTCGGGCGCCATTGTCGTCCAGATAGTCGGACTCGTTCGATGAGGATACGTCGCTGTCACTGGATGCGTCGTCCGAGATGACCACCAGGTCCTCCTTGGCTTTTGCTGAAGGCATCGTAACGGTTACGGGTTATCTTGTTGGTAGACAAGCACTGCCCTTCACACGCAGAAGAAAAAAAAAGTTCAAGTATCGACTGTCGCAGCAAGTGGCATGTGGGGCTTCCCGTCCACTACCCCATAATTGCCCGACCGCGCGCGTCTTTTAAGACAACCAGGCTACCCGGTAGCTGGATGGGAACTCAGAACATGAAGATGACTAGCTTTGATAGCAACATCAAAAGCCGCTCTTATGATGGACAAGAAAGTGTAGTTTCATCCAATCTATTTTATGAATGAAAGCTTTCCTATGCGATAGTTTTGTGTCAAGATATTTACTTTGGTTGTTTTGTCAAAGCACTCATCCTAATCCCCGGAAAAACACGTTCAAGACATATTTGCGTCACGGTACACTATACATCGAATGCTGGCGCCGTAAGTGTTTGATTAGCGTCTGAGTGGAGTCGCTGAGGCCAATTCAGCTTCCTATGGATTTTGATAGCCTGCTGTCTGAACCAAAGATCCAGGGGTTGCCGTGAACGAATCCGAAAGCATTCTGAAATCACGGCCACTGTGCACTGTAATTGCGCATTACAAGCTGTGTAAATCATGAGTAGCCTCCGAATTCAATACTGACCACCACGCCCGTACCGTTTGTGCCGTGATGAAGCATAGCTCAGTTGTCTGAATATATGTTGAGGCGCGACTACCCTAATGCAAGTCCAATACTCCGTCCACCGCTCTAACTTAGACGCGCGCTTGCGGCAACAGGGGTCGCCACCACAAAAACGAGCCGTCCATCTGCTGTGCAACGTAAGCTAATTGATCATCAGCGTCGGTGCTGCATCCTATGTTGTTCAACGGTTCAATCTCGTTCTGTAATTGCCTCGGCGAGGTGGCTCCGCGATACGTAGTACCAAGCACCCACGATGTCTGTTGTAACACCCCATCCTAAGCCATGTCGACCAAGCCATGCTGCGGAAGCCTGTAGGATAAGGCCCTGAGGCTTGGGAGCTCGGACGGAAGCCTCAAGAATGAGGGAGGGCGTTGAGACAAGTCGAATCGTGCACGGAGCACCTTGGGAGAGTCAGAGTGATGATGCCTGCGTGCATGCCGGGCCTTTGAGTGGCCTGCAGACCAGGTAGCACACCCTTGCGTCCTGACAAAGGCAATGCCAATTGGTTGACAGTGCCAAAGCCTTACCTGGGTGATGTGATGGATGAACGATGAATGGGATGATGGTGGAGGGGTTATTGCTGTGACAGTGGCACAGTGGGCCATGCACAAGTCGACGGGTTCCAGCTGTCCAGTTGGTTACCAGGTAAGGTAGGGCCTGTTAATGGGCTCGATAAGGCTGCATGATGGTCGGTATCTGACTGGTGGTATAAACGTGTGATACCCTTCATTGTTTTACACAACTACTAGATATGTAGCCCTATTCACATTCAAAGGAGAAAAAGGTTCGAAAGGCCGCTGTGTCCGAGTTGTATTCTACACCAAGCAGGGGTACTGTCGACGGCTTTAGCAGCCTGCATCTCATTCAACTTAGGCGCCGCCCCCCGCCGGCATCGTCCCGGTCCATTTGTTAGGCTTGGCTGCCCACCGCCAGGCTTGCGCGCCCACTGGAGGCCCGGGTCCCCTCATTTTCACGCTCGGGTTCCAGACAGACTGCCTGAGCCAGGTGCCAGTGGCACTTCCCTCCCCACACCAGACAGTCTGACGGAGGCCTTCAACTTCAACTGTAACCCAGCTAAATAGGCTCCTACACACTTCATCAACAACTCGCCCTCGCTATTTCCCGTCGCATAGTCGTTGGCGTGCCTTGTTCCATCAGTCAAGCTTCAGCCTACAAGCCTGACAGTATGTGCTCTTTGTAGCCTGTCCAAGCTTCTATGCATTATCAGGAAACTCAACTCTGCTTCTCTGAGACTAACTGTTGCTTTTCTCCGCAGAGCTCCGCGCCCGACGACACATTCGCTCTTCGTCCTACCGTCTACGTCCGCCCCGACCTTTGCCGCTCGCTGCCACCTGATCGATTTGCTGTCCTGCGAAAGCATTATCTGCTCTACCTCACGTATCACGATACTCGCCCTACGCAAATAGTCTTTGAGACTATCCTGTGGACCCAGCCATCGGACGAACTCTATCGGACGTACTACTCGGCCGCGAGATCTACAAGCCTCCGCGATCTGTCTGGCACAGCAATAGGCAGTCATTTCGTTACGGAAATCGCCTTCAGTCATAGCAAGGAGAACCGTTGTAGAGGCGCTTGTTCTGAGCGAGATTGAGGTCTCAAGACTGTCTACATTGCAGACTCTTCTCGTCTATCCATAGTCTGCAACTGTCCAAGGCAGCTCAGTCGCCGCCATGTCCGAGTCGAATCAGTCCAATGTGCCCCAGCTGAACCAGGTATGTCGTTCACCGCTCTATGCAAAGACCAGAGCGCTAATAACCTCCCCAGCCCCAGCAGGGCGCATCTCCGATACCTCAACTCCCAGCTGCTCCGCCTATGCTTCGACCAGCCGTTGGTGGCCGACCAGGCGGTGCTCGCACTCCCCGACTCGGCCTGGCGATTCCCCCATCCCCGAATGCGAAACCCGTAGGCAACCAGGCTGCCGGCGGGCCGGCGCCCACAAGACCACCATTGCCGACACTGCACCTTGCGACGCCCATGGGAAGCCAGGTCACCCCACAAGAACAGCCTCAAACCAGAGGCCTCAGTCTTCAAACGGGTCAGTCGGCGGGCGGCGGCAGCGAGAGCAGTGCCGATCACTCGCGCACAGGGAGCTTCGGTCCGCTGGACGGTCGTGCCAGTAACCCGACATCGGCAGGCTCGCAGTACTCTGCCTTGTCGTTTGCCTCCCAGTATGGCATTGGTGTATCGAGGACCCATGGCACACCTGATCCTGTATCTGCAGTCGGCTCAATGTACTCGGAGAGGAGCGAGGGTGGGGCTGCCATGGAGCGAGACGGTAGCCTCCCAGGACTTGAGAACTTTGACAAGCTGAGCTTGGAGAAGGCCAGGACTGGCGACGTTGAGGATCTCGATGACGAGGGATGGAGGATCGCGAGTATCGAGAAGCGTATCGAGGAGTTGGGCAGCTTGGGCGAGGGCGCAGGCGGTGCCGTGACACGAGCGAAGCTCAAGGGTGGGAAGACTGTGTTTGCTCTCAAGGTTGGTGGCTGAAGCACCTTTCTTTCACAGTCTGGGTTAGTCGCTGACGCATCACAGGTTATCACCACGAATCCAGATCCCGATATCAAGAGACAGATCATCCGAGAGCTCAACTTCAACAAGGACTGCGCTTCTGAGCACATCTGCCGGTACTATGGCGCCTTTGTGGACCCAGCGACAGCAACCATTTCTATCACCATGGAATTCTGTGAGGGAGGGTCGTTGGATAGCATCTACAAGGAAGTGAAACGCCTTGGTGGGCGTACCGGAGAGAAAGTTCTGGGCAAGATCGCCGAGGGCGTCTTGGGAGGATTGACCTACCTCCACACAAGGCGAATCATTCACCGAGACATCAAGCCATCCAACATCCTACTCTGCCGCGATGGCGCTGTCAAACTGTGCGACTTTGGCGTGTCGGGCGACTTTGGAACCAAGGGCGAGGCGAATACCTTTATCGGAACCAGCTACTACATGGCCCCCGAACGCATCACAGGTCAAGCCTACACTATCACTTCGGATGTCTGGTCGACAGGCGTGACACTGCTTGAAGTTGCCCAGCACCGCTTCCCGTTCCCTGCGGACGGAACCGAAGCGCAGCCCCGGGCGGGCCTGATTGATCTCTTGACCTACATTGTGCAGCAGCAGGTGCCCAAGCTCAAGGACGAGCCAGACATGGACGTGTATTGGAGCGACAACTTCAAATATTTCATCGAGTGCTGGTACGTTCATCTCACGCGCAACACCGGGGACCACAATCTAACAAGAATATCACAGTCTGGAGAAGCAACCTGCTCGCAGAGCGAGCCCATGGAAGATGCTCGAGCACCCCTGGATGGTGGAGATGAAGTCCAAGAGGGTCAACATGGTCAAATACCTCTCCTACGTCTGGGGATGGGACAACAACGCACCAGGCAACTGACCTGCATACTGTGACAGGAGGACGCGAGGTTTATACATATGTGGCGCGATGCAATGGATATCATGGCAATGGCGTTAGGCGATACTTTGGAAAGTTCGCGATCACTTGGTCGGGACGCAATGTAGGGGAGACTTCCATTTTTCGGAATTTTCGAGGAATGTGGGACAGTTTGGCGGACACATACCCTCGTCAGTCTATATGAGCTCTGTTCAAACTGTACACAATGTCAGACAGGCAGCCTAGGCCTCTGCTGTTGCCTCGGGCGGATCGCCCATGAGCTCCCTCAGCGTGACGGTCGCATATGCGCTGCTGCCAAGTTGGAACTTGACTACGGCCGCAATTTTCTTCCCTACCTCATCAACAACCTTCCCGGCGGTCTCGGCCTCCCCGTTTGCAGAATCTTCAGGCTTTGCAGCATCCCCATCCTCGCTCTGCTTGACCTTTTTCCTGGCCGGCTCGCTATCTTCGTCTTTCGCGGCCTTGAGCAGGTCCAGATCCGTGGGATGCATCTGTTCCATGTCGTCCGTGTACGTCTTAATCTCCACGCTCGCCGTGTCGTTGAGAAACTTATTCATGAACTTTCTGTAGCGACCGGGCAGACTGAACTCGCGGCGGATGCGTCTCATCTTTTGCGGATCGAGTGCCCCATTCTCGGGCGCGCTCATGAATTTGGTGTAGTACTCGCCGATCGCGTTGCTCGGGTAGATCATGTCGTATCCGGGCGAGGGGAGCACCACGTCGTGGATGCTGTAGTTGCCAGATGTCGCCTCCTCGGCGGTCAACGGGCGGGCATGCACTCGAGGCTCCGAGTCCTCCTCTACTGGATTGACCACGTCACCGCCGTCCTGGTCCTGCTCGGGGGCAGTGGCCACTGGGGTCTCGACCAGGATAAGATCACCTTCGACGACCTTGCTGCCATGCAGTTCCCAACGCTTGCTGGCAACATGATTCCAGACGTGGGACTGATACGCATGCAGATACATGGTCCTCAAGCCTCGGGTTATGTGAATCAGAGCCCCCACAAAGTCTCGCCTCGACTTGTCGCCGGCGCGATTGAGGTGACGCAGAAGAGAGCACTCGGCGCCAAACCGACGGGGCATGGTCTTCTCGGCGCGTGAGGGATCCTTGCCCGTCACAAAGAGCATACACGCCTGGTGACGCCGGTACTCCTCTCGATACGAGTTTTCCTCGGGGATATCACCAGCCTCCGCCTTGTTTGCAATCTCCTCATTGTACGAGAGCAGCATGTTGACGGCCTCCTCGTACTTCTCGCCCAGGATGAACTTGCCAATCTCGTGCGTGCCAATGGTGTGGGTGCCGAATCGCTGGTGGCCAAAGTAGTTGATCCACCCGTTCTTGGAGAGGTTCTGCACGGCCGACTGGCAGTTTGCGTTGAGGAACTCCACGCGTTCGGCGAGAGGCTTCGATTGGGCGTCTCCCAGCAATTGGCAGTTTTTGATTGTGATGACGAATTGGTTGCCCATGAGGCCACCAAGGTGAATCCTCTCATCCCTGTACTCATAGTCCCCTGTCACGACACCCCTGAGTCTGCCGTTGACTGCGCTCAGTGTCTTCGGCCGGATGTGTCGAAGCGAGCAACGCTGCACGGTAGATGCCCTCCGGTCTTTGGTGCCGGCATACCCAATGAATTGGGGCTTTACGTTTAGTAGCCTCCCGAGCTGGTTGATCGCATCCATGGTATCCCTGTTGTCCTTGTGGAGGTTGAAGTGAAGGTACTCCTTCGGGGGCTTGTCCTCCTTCTTCCTGCCATTCCTCGAGCGCTTAGTTCCCTTCTTGCTCGCCAGTGAAGCGACGATGGCACCGTCATGGCCGGTAGAGGTGTCAATGGTCGACTTGAAGATACGTCGCACTTGTTGATGGAGTTTCCCACGCTTCTCGCGGTCGTCTGTGCTCTCAGCGGTGGCCTTTTTGCTGGCGGCATCCGGCTCGTGGGCATTCTTCCAGATGAGAACAATGTCCTTCGCAAATTGCTCACCCCCGAGTTCGGCGAGTATTGCCGAGTCCTCTGGCGCAATGTCTGGGTTCTCGAGTGGTGGTTGCTCTGCAGCAGGCTCTTCCTTCACAGGTTGCGGAGGGGGTGCCTCTGCCTCTGCCTTTTGTGCCTGCTCGAGCTCTTCGCCTTGCCCAATGGTGCGCAGATGTGCGACCTTGCCGTCCAATGTGATTTCGTTGACCAGAAAGTCAGTGAATCTCACGCGCAAATCACCTGTCCAGGGCACGGCAAGTGGCGTCGCGCGTTGGGTAATGCCCAGCTTCCTCATGTGCGAAGCGCTCCCGCGGTCACCCATCTCGACGATTGCGTTCCTCTTGAACAGAAAATCCAAGGGGTCAGAGGGTAGCTTTGCGCGCGTGGCGGGTAGGGAAGTTGTTGCAGTAGAAAATTTACAGACGACGAGGGCGCTTCGAAGGTTGGTAGCGGATCCGGCGGTGGCAATACGCTTGAGAGCTCGCAGGGAAGCGAAGGCCACCATGAAGGTGACGAGTCTGCATTAAGAACTAGCAGGGTGATACAAGTACTCAGTTAGTGTCCCTCCATCAAAAGCTTAGGCGTTCAAGAGAACGCGAGATGAGATTCAGATAATTGAATGGTGAGTCCGACACGACACAACGATTGCCTAATTAGGCAGGCGGTGTGACTTACCAGGTACTCGAGGTGCCTGGCGCCCTGCATAAGGTACATTCAGTACAACCAACTTCTCGACACCCTCAACAGAAGTCGCTCACGTGTGCTCTATTCGTCTACTGATCAGACTAAAGGCGCGTCGCTCTTGATTCCTCAATTCTTTAGCGTCACAGCTTTGGTGCGATTCCTGGCCCCTTGGTCGTCATGATAATCTTCGTCTCCGTCAGCTCCTCCTTGGAGATCGCCTCAAGCAACTCGACAACTGGCTTGGTCTTCATATGCTTGTCCAGACCCTCTTTGTCTTTGTATCTGCGGTCTTCAGCTCGATTGTCATCTGTCTCAAAGACCAATTGCACTCACCCTTCGAGCACTACGTATTGCACGTTGCCATCCTTGTCCTTAATGCCCTTGTGCATCTCATAGCGATGGACATAGTCCTTCTCATTCGCCTCGACGTACTCGACGCATCTTTGGAATAGCTCAAGGAACTGAACCGTCAGTCCTGGCCTCGCCCTCAGCCGATGTACAAACTTACCCTCTGACCCTTCTCGGGGGACTTGGGTGTGACGATGGCAGTGAGCTCGATGGGCGGCATGGTGGTGGGATGTTCAACACTGGATGTTGATCCAGAGGTAAGAGTAGAAGATGTCACTGAGTTACTGTGCATTTGGCCAGGAACACATGAGAACCAAGACTCATTCGTTTCGGATGTCACTGACTACGTCCTCCGGTCCATCACCACTGCTAGTACAGCGGAGATGCGGAAAATGATTGCCAGGCATTGCCATGGTTGTGCCGACTGCCGACGTGGAGCGAGACGTGCGCCGAGGTCCAACTCGACCGGAATTGGGCTTGAGACCTCGAGCTTGTTCTTGTTCCGTCACCAAGAATTCAAGATACCGGCGGCATTGGCTGAATTGGTTTCCATCCAAAGATGGGACTATTAGGCGCCAGAATTCGAGCCTGGCTTTCACACTGGCCTCTGGTTGAAAGCAATCGTTCCTTTCGCACATGCATTCATCCACCCATCACTGCAGCACAGTCGCTCATCGACTGCCCCCGTCAGAGTTGGTGACCGGAGAATGACATGGAGAATCCTACTTTCGTGGCGCGCAAAGCCTTATCCCATTGTTTGCAAGAGCCTCATGTGACTTGGACCATGGAAGAAGTACTAAATGCGACGAACAGGCAGGCGCGACTGAACAGGATGACGGACAGGCTGCTTTATAGCAAAGTGCAGACTGAGGCGTCCCTTGCCTGACACATCATGCGCCAGCACCTCTACACTATCTTGAATTTATCTAGAACAATGCCGATTGAGAACGAGTCAGCATCTTGAGACGCTGGAAGTGATCGACTCGCCGAACCTCCTCATGCTTCCCAATCGCGACTCACGAGCCCTTCCCAAGAGAGATACCTTGACCTCGAGCGCCCTATACTCATCAGTACCTCCACGCCCTTCTGGTGAAGCCATTGGACACCCCCGAGATGGACACTTGATTTGGATTGACGAGCTTCTGCTGCTTTGTGACGAGGTTCGTCAGAGTTTACGGAAAAGCCATACTCTTGGGCCCAGAAGGGGCGCAATCATGGGCGTATTGGGCGAAGCGGTCCAGGGCGAGTGCAACATGAGACCAAGGATCGAGTTGAGGACCATCCAGGTCACCAGGCTGGACAAGCTACTCGAAGACATGGTGAACCCCGCCAACCACCCAGCCACAAAGCCAGCTCAATATCGTGCAGACGTGACGATAGCGGGAAGCTTGCAGCGCCAATGGAGGATACGGTTCGGTGAGCCTTACCGGAGCCTTGATGCTCATCGCTGTAAGCAACTTCGGAGACCGTCGCAAAGCTGCATGGCAGTTTGTTTCATCCACTCGATCCCTGAGGAGGCTCATGGTTCACATGTTGTGGGCAAATGGCAAGTTCTTTCCGAGAACGAGGGCAACGAGCGATTTCAAGTCGGCTAGTGAGTACTCTTCATGCTGATCATCTGAAAATGCTTAGGCATCCCGCAGCTGGTGGCCCAATCTAGCCTGTGCGCATCGTGACGGCCTACTATGCAGCCCACGAGACGTGCTGTCAGCAGGCCAATACAGTATCCCTACATTGCCTTTGCTATGGGGCAGTGAGACTACTGTTGAGGCTTCAAGTTACAGTGCAGAATGCATCAAGTTCGTCAGGTATAGGTCACCAAAGGATATGTGCGTGCCTCTGATCTCTCAGGTCGGAGGAAAGATACGCATACTTCGCGGCCATGGACTGGAAAGCCCCCTTGCCCCACCCGCGGGGATTCGATACGACGGCCAGTGCGTATATCTACAACTCCGTGCACGTCTTTGACTCATCGATGCACAGATACAAGATCCTTCAATACGGCCAGCGCCGGGAAGAAGAGCTTTATTGCTTGGAGCTGACACTCAAGCGCTGTGAGGGGCAAATCGACGTAGCTAAGCTCATGCGTATACCTCGACCTTCTCAACTCGACGACTAGCACTTGTTGAGCAGTTTGGACCCCATACTTGTGGGAGATGCAGAGAAGGTCTGATTCATGTTCTCGTCAAGGAAGCAACCGAACACCTCCACCTCTGTTTACAGGAATTATGGATTCTTCACCTTGGTATAGTCTTGTCGTTGATGAAGAAGAACTTATCACACCGTGACCTTAATGCAGTCGGGTAATGATCATAAGTGTGCAACCCATCATGGGCGGCTTCGAGATTGATAATTGCAAGTGAAACTGCCATGACAATACAAGGTGACCGAGCTGATAGACAGAATCTCTTGTGGAGACACTGCAGAATTTACCATGACTAGTGACTATTTTATTTAGTCTGGATAGCTGTCCAGCCCTTGCAAGCCCCTCCATCAACTGCGAGACTGGACATCCCTGACAACAATACAACCTCTCCCACTTCTGCAGGCCAATTGCGTACGAATAATATTGTCTTATTCAGGCGCGCGAGTTCATCATGGGAAAGAACAACAAAAGCTCGAAGGGCTCCGGCGACAAAGCTGAAGGCGGCAAGGCAAAGGCTGGAGCGCAGCTCATCAACGTTCGCCACATTTTGGTAAGAACCATCGCGCCCGAATCAAAATACTACCGATCTCACTAGTATGCAATAGTGTGAGAAGCACGCAAAGAAGGAAGAAGCACTGGGCAAGATCAACGATGGAGTGAAGTTCGACGAGGTTGCCCGCAACTATTCCGAGGACAAGGCCAGGGCTGGTGAGTTCACCTTTGTGTGCACGAAGAACAAATTTAACAAGATTAAAGGCGGTTCCCTGGGATGGAAAGCCAAGGGCGATCTCGACCCCAAGTTTGAGGAGGTCGCATTCGCTCTCGAACCCAGTTCGACCAGTAGCCCTAAGATCGCAGAGGTCAAAACTGAGTTCGGATACCACATCATCATGGTAAGGCCGCGCGGTGTAGCTGATCTGTAGCTCGCTGACGATAACTCAGGTGGAAGGGCGCAAGTAGACATGCATGGCACGAAGCAAATTTGAGAAGTTTTTTTTTCTTTCCATTCCCGTCCCGCATGTGAATGTTGGACAGGGGCCTCGACGGCCAAAAGGGCGTAGCAGCATGAAGAGATGCATGCCTTGGTTCATTATGCAAACCAAAACTCCCGCCTCTAATTTGTGATCCATCCCGTTTGTAACGCCGACCCCAAAGGAACAAGGAGTTTACTGCTCGGTCTGGAAGTAGTTGAGGAGCACAGAGCGCTCCTGCGACTCCTCGCCCCAGTCCTTAACGACGACGCAAGAGCAGTTGACGACCTTGCGCGCGTTGCCCTCACGGTCGAGAACGCCTATTCATTGTTAGTTTATGATCGGTTCCATGTAGAGTGCCGGCGGGGAAGACATACAGAGACCGGCCCACTCGCCGAGCTGCTTGCCGTCGGGGACCTTGATCAAGGGGATCTTGTGCTCCTGGCAGAGGGCAGTGACAAGCTTCTTGTAGGCCTCCTCCTCGCAATTCTCGTTGAGAACGCACATGTGCGCCTCGCGACGGTCGAGGGCCTTGGAAGCCTCACGCAGACCACGGGCAAGACCATCATGGATGAGGGCGAGTTTCAGGACACCCTTGAGAGCGTCGAGAACGGACATCTGACCCTTGGGGGCATCGCCGGAAACCTCGACCTCCTCAGAGACCTCGGGCTGGTTGTTGTCTTCTACGTCCGACTGCGATTGTTAGTGCTGCTGATGCTTTCGAAGTGGGGGTACATCATCGAGCCAGATTTGGCATTCGCACTCGTCGCCTCGAGCCGTCGGTCTGGGGGACTTGCTGATCGAGCACGCGACAACCAATGGATGCCCGGAGAGTGGTCGAACGTACCATTGTGAATATGTGAACGTCCTCGAAGCTCAAGTTGGAATGTTTGGTTGGGAAGGGGAAAAGGAGAGTAGGTGTGGTTCGCTTTGGGAAGTTAAACGTCAGGGTCAGGTCGCCAAACCTCGCCAGGCCCGTACAAGGTGCGTGCATGCGGTGCCCGCCAAAAGTGCGCGCAACCCCCCACATTAGGGCAATTTTTTTCGCGCACGAGCCACGAGGGCACAATGAGTTTTTGACGACCCACAGTTCCAATTGGAGTGCCTGGCGACTCGCTCTGCCATCTCGACTTGCATACAATTATCACGACTTTTCTCCCTCCCCACCCACGCTTCCGACCCGGACCATCAACGAGGTATGTGAACACACCGTAGTAGCTGACGGCGCAATACGTCTGTAGAGAGGATGATGCCTTTGATCGTGGCTGGGGAGAGCAATCTCGAGCATCGCCCGAGTTCGACCGAAACATGAACGAAAAGCTTCGATTCCCTCGATCGACATCGACGACGGCTCATGTCTCGAGATACGCTTCTCCCCTTCAGCATTGAGCGGCAGAACCCTCCTCGACTGATTTCGCCGAGGGCACTCTTCCTTGCTCAAAAGCCGTGAGGAGGCTAACATTGTTTCCCGCTGGCAGATACCTCATTTCCACCACCTCGACTTGAGAATCTCCGTCCTCACGACAACACTGCCAAAATGGTCCGCACCTCCGTCCTCCACGATGCCCTCAACAGCATCAACAACGCCGAGAAGGCCGGCAAGCGCCAGGTCCTGATCCGTCCTTCCTCCAAGGTCATTGTCAAGTTCCTCCAGGTCATGCAGAAGCACGGTACGTACTCTACGAGAGCGAAAGCATTCATCTTCATGAGTCCCCGTTTTCTATACTTCCCCTTCGGCATGATAACTAGGGCTATGGTCGATACCGCACCACGGTTGCAGCCCCTATAAGTTGCCGATAGATTGATACGCGAGGACTTACACGTTTTTCTGAGATTTCTTTTTTCCCATGACGATTAATGTTTAATCCATCGCGACAAACATGCTGATTTCTTTCTTTCTTTCTTTCAGGCTACATTGGCGAGTTCGAGGAGGTCGACGACCACCGTTCCGGCAAGATTGTCGTTCAGCTCAACGGCCGTCTCAACAAGACTGGTGTTATCTCCCCCCGCTACAACGTCCGTCTCGCCGACCTCGAGAAGTGGGTTGTCAAGCTGCTCCCTGCCCGTCAGTTCGGCTACGTTATCCTGACCACCTCTGCCGGCATCATGGACCACGAGGAGGCCCGTCGCAAGCACGTCGCTGGAAAGATTATTGGTTTCTTCTACTAGACGTTGTGTAGACGGCTTGGGCTAGGGAAGGATAAAAAATAATGACAAAAAGCTATTTCAGCGGGCAGTCTTTGGCGTTGAAGGAGATCACCGGCCGGTTGATCTGTCGAATGATACCACGGCAATTGAGTGTGACGGACGCGTATATTGAATGAGCAATGAACTCTCCTCAGATGCTCTCACGTGCTGCTCAAGCCCACTGCTATGACTTGTGATGTATGCGAATTGTGCTTGTCCTCGAATATTCACTGAACGATCAAGTCGTCGGTGTGCTGCTTCCTTATTACGAGCCTTGGAAGTTCAATCAATGCTCACCAAAAAGCAAATGTGAATACCAGAACAGTCCGTGAATGTTGAGATTTAAACTTTGGCTTGTTACCTGTGCAACCTCGATGAGCTTGTTCTAGGTGGTCTACTACGGTTCATGGTCGATGGAGCATCGGGAGTAAATTGTCGCGCCGCGCGCTGCGACTTTCTCTACTTTCGTTTAACCCAACTCTACTCCCCCCACCGGGGCGACAGAAGCAGCAATGATCCTGCGACGACGACTTGCCATCCCAACGGCGCTCGTCGTCCTGTTTTTGTTCTTCACTTTGCAGACTCGACGCTCGTCAAAGGACCCCCAGCCGGACCCAATAGCTGCCGAGAACGATCATTCGAGCGACCCTCTCAAGCCCCAAGCGACAGAATGGGTCAACCCGCCTACATACAATGCCGTGGGCTCAGATCAGCCCAGGCAACACAAGTCTATCTCATCGCATCCGATTCAGGATCTGGCGCAGGATGCGCGGCGCGAATTCGATGAAATACGGAAGCGCCAATCCGCCTCGCTGGACGAGGCCGTCAAGGAGTACAGGAGGAGGTACAACATGCCGCCGCCACCTCACTTTGACAAATGGTTCGCGTTTGCCAAAGAAAACAATGTACAACTGGTGGACGAGTTCGACACGGTGTATAACCTGATTATGCCCTTCTGGGGCCTCCAGCCAAAGACGATCAGAGAAAGGGCAAAGGAGGCGCTGGGCGCCGACAACTTTCTGATGGGCCTGGCGATTCGAGGTCATGAGGTTACGTACATTCAAGGCGCGCAAGAGTGGCAGCAAGAGGCGACGAAGGGTATGATGGAGAAATTTGTGCAGTATCTACCCAACATGGACCTGGCTTTCAACATTCACGACGAGCCGAGAGTGGTGGTTCCCCACGATGACATGTCACGTCTCGTGGCCAAGGCCAAGGACGTCAACATCCCAGCGGCGAATGCCATCAAGTCTCCGTCCAATGATTTCAGTCAGACTTCACCAGAGCTGAGTGATGGCCTGGGCTTTGACGAGACTAAAGTCACGAGGTTCAATGTCTTTGCGCATCAGCCGACGTGGACACATGCTCGCATGTCCTGTCCACCAACGAGCCCGTCCCGCGTGCTCGAAGAGAGCGAGAGGATGGACCATCGCAGTGAATACGGCTACAGCGACCTCGGGTTCATCTACAACGCCACGGCGTCAACCGATGTCTGTCTCTCACCATCGCTAAGCACATCGCATGGTTTCTTCAACGTACCAAACTCCTTCAATATTGTCCACGACCTCTTCCCTATTTTCTCTCAGTCAAAGATCTCCACCTTCAATGACTTGATCTACCCTTCTCCGTGGTACTGGTACGGCAAGGTCACCTACGATGGAGCTACGGACATGTCATGGGCGGACAAGAAGGACCAGCTGTACTGGCGCGGCTCCACGACAGGAGGCTTCAGCCGAAACGGCGGCTGGCGTCATCAACACCGGCAACGTTTTGTGCAGAAGATTAACGGTCCCGACGAAGCACAGATCATGGTGAACCAGGTCACCGACCCCTCCCCTGAGTGGCATGTTCAATTGTCTCCTAGAGGTGACCACCGCGCCCTTATCGATGTTAGGTTCTCACACATTGGCCAGTGTGATCCCGGCGACTGTGAGTCCGAGATCAACTTCTTCAATCCGGTCGTGAACGAGGATCTGTCAGCTGCTTGGGGATACAAGTACCTGTTGGACATGGATGGCAACGCGTTCTCGGGGCGGTTCTACGCTTTCCTCCAAAGCAAGAGTCTTGTATTCAAGATGGCCCTGTTCAGAGAATGGCACAACGAGTGGTTGAAGCCTTGGCTGCACTATGTACCTCTCAGTTTGCAGGGGGACGATTGGCTAGAGAGCGTGAGGTTCTTTGCAGGCTCCGCTGGTAAGCAGCAAGCCCAGAATATTGCGGAAGAGAGTCGTAGCTGGGCGAACAAGGTGGTTAGAAAGGAAGACATGGAAGCTTGGTTCTTCAGGCTTCTTCTAGAGTGAGTCCCCTGTGTGGGCCCCCAGTACGAGGCAGATGGCTAATGTTCCGCAGGTACGCCCGCGTGATCGACGAACAGCGCGAGGTTATTGGCTTTGATCCAGGGAGTGCGAAACAGAAACTGCCTCCACCACAGGCTCAAAGTAATGGTAAAGGGGGGCTAGAGATGGCCTAAATATTGTCTGGATTACACAGCCAGAAGCATGTGGGCACGGCGTATGGCGGTTTTATATTGGTCTAAGTGGAAGGAATACCAGAATTTTGTTTTCATTGCTAAACCCCAAGGATCTTAAACTATACACTGCCCATCTCATTTGCGCTGAAACGACGCCTCTAGCGCCCCAGTAGAAAGGTCAATATACAATTTACCAACGGCAGGCAGGCGGCGCTACTCCTCCTCAGAACCGTCATCATTTGCCGATTCGCGTCGAGGCGACTCGGAGGCGCGAGCCTGCCCTTCAGCGTCACCCTCGGCGTCCTCACTGGCCTGTCGTTGAACCGGTGCTTCCTCCACTTCAACTTGCTCTTCCTGGTCAGGGTCCTCCCAGCCAAAAGGATATTCCCTATAATTCCTCATGGCTGTGAGCATGTCCTCGTTAGGGTCCTGCACCGTGAGGTCCATGCGCTCCACAACCTTCTCGTCTTCGTCCCCGTTGTTGAGCATGGTGCGGGCAATGTTCTTGGTACGCTGCGAGCGGATGGTTGATTTCTGAAGCACGGGATAGTAGTACACGGCCTTTTGCCTGGATCCGCTTTCGTCATCTACAACAGAGAGGATAACTTCGTCAGAGTATTTGTCCGAGTGTTCGAGCTCGGTCTCATGAGAGGTCTCGTATGCGCGCAAACGATTGAACTGGAAGCATGGGCCTGACTCTGCTTGGTGGGTATACAGGTTTTCGTCCTTGTGGTCCGCGTCTGTCGGGTCGAACATGCGGCGGAAGTTGGTTGCAGCATTTTTGTTCTGCGGTAGGAAGAAATCGTAGTTCATGAGATTCTGTGGCTTTGGAACCGTGTCCGGATTGGCCCTGTGTAGGTCCATGGCGGCATCGAATGCAGCCTCCTCTTCCTGCGATCGATCTATGGGACGGAACATGGAGCTGAGGAGACGCTTGTCGTATTCTGAGGAAGCAGCGACAGGGTTCCTGTCGAACTTAATCGTAACAAAGGCGCCAGAGTCGGGGAATGCATCGAGATCCGGGATGAGAGGTGTCGCGTCTACTAGTTGGAGTTGCTTCCTTGTAGGGTGCTTGACTCGCTTGTGGTTCTTGAGCTCTTCGTCGGCCAGTGCAAAACTGCGCTCAATCTTTCGTTTGATAGCGACAGGAGAGTCGGCGGCAGCCTCGGGCGATCGCTGTATGCGTTTCTTCTGGGACGCACCGAGGAAAGCTCCTTTGCCAGCTTCCGGCTTCCTCGTGGCGAGGTTGGAGATGTATTCTGTGCGGCGAAGGAAGGAAACACCAGTATCGACAGCCTTGCGTTTCCCAAGACTAGCGAGGGGCCGTAGAAGTGCTAGATCGTGAGGATGGACATCTGGCTGCTGCGCAGGTGCTTGGATTGCTTCGTTGCGTTAGCTGAGGCCCATAGTATCGCTACCAACATCATTTTCCTTACATCGCTCGTCGCCATCAAAAACGCCCGGCATGCCCACGAGGTCTAGCGGCATGCCCAGTTCTGCGTCGGCCTCAATGTTGAGCGGCTGCTCTCTCGCCAAGCGCGAGGCGAACTTGGGATTGGTGTACTGCCCACTCGACAGGCCTGTGTTAGGGATATCGAGCAGCTTGGGCGGATTCGGCGGCGGAGGGAGCGCATTGCTGTATCGGACACGTGCGATATATTCTTGATGAACAACGCGCTCTCCGTTGCGTGAGGTGGCCATGATGGACGCGCTGGCGCCGCCCTAGAGGCAGGCAGCTGAGTGACCTGAAGTTGAATCGAACCGATTGTTGAAGCGCCTTGGAAGGTCTTTGATCCGATGGCGCTGGTGATCTTGGGTGTCGGGTGCGCAATTCGAGGCAGGTTGTGCTTGGTGAACAATGGCTGTGCTGGTAATTCGAAAAAGTCGGGTCTCGTCGCGCTTGAGGCCGGCGGGAGCTTCACCTCAAAGTCCCCACCGGCTTTGCACAGGCGACAGACTGAACGGACAATCTCACAGCCGCACAGGACATTCAGCAGAATCGTCGCAATCATAGACCAGTGTTTTCAATGCTCCAAATGTCATTTTGAGGCAATTCGTATTAATAAGTACTTCTTTTCCACAAGTCCTGTGGCTATAAGGCCACGATTCATCTGGTCATATTTGGGGGTTTGGCCTTCCAACCACTGTATTCCTGAAAACACAATGAATAACTCCACGCCCTTAGCGTCACATGCATGATAATGTAGAGTTAATGACCTTCTAGCAACGCCAAAACCCAGGAAATCATAGTACACATCGCCACCGCAGCCGATTTTCGCGCTTGCCATTCGTTGCGCCCGCCTCCTTAATTCCCGCTTTTGGCGTACTTCTTCTTTCCGAAAGTGAAGGGGACGTAGCGGTACTTGATCATGTGCTGAATTTGCTTGCGCACTGGTGGGGTTAGAGTTAGGTATCACAGAATTATCGAAGGACTCACTCGTCAGGAAGGCCAGCATGAACCAGTACATTAGGAGTACAGGCCAGAAGACCGGTACGTTGAAGATCTCGAACCAACTGCACACGAAGCCAATTGTGATGGCCCTGGTGGCCCAGTACCAGAACTTGAACTCGGGGAGACGGCGGATGAAGGGCCTGAATTCCTCGTCTGCGCGCGTGGGAAGCGCACCAACGGACCCGTCCTCCATTTCATTGTCCATGGCCTCATTGGAGGGGTCAAACTTGGGTGTAAGAAAGGCGAGGAAGAGATTGAGAAGGTAGATGGCGAGCGCATATGCGACTGGAGGCTCAATTAGCGCGTTGAATGACATGCTAGGCTCGCCGTGCTGCACGTACCGACATACCACCCTTGCGCGAGCAAAATGCGCAAGGCGAAGACGACGAAGAGGGCGACGGTACCAACCCATCGATAGGTAACGTAAGGTGTCGACTTGTCAAGAAGTGCTTGATATCTCTATTGGCACGCATTAGTTAGGCATTCGGCGTCACGATCGTGGGGTGATAGGAGTCGCACCATCTGCAGCCTCGACGTCTGCGCCGAGACGGCGGCGAAAGGGGTTTGATCTGGCTCGGGGGCATCCATGATGGCGAAAACCTGTGTCGACCGGCTCCGAAAACGCGAAGATGAAAAGGTTGAGGGAGTGACGCGAAGCGGCGAAGCGAACCGGGAAACCGTGTTGAGAAGATAGGGATGCGAACGGCGGGTAGTGGCTGAGCAATCCGTGTTCAGGAATTCAGGGTCGTCGTCGAGCAGTCGCCGCCAGCCCCAGTCCAACGTGGATTGGTGCTCTCGGGCCACGTAAAGCTTGAGAACGTGTCTGCCGTGCCAACTGCAGCCCCGGGGATTATCCGCGCTCGACCATTTGCACAAGAGGTAAAGAGGTACGGAGGATGCACAAGTTCCATGCATAAAGCGGCCTGCTACAAGCGTCCCCGCCGGCCGGCTGTTGGACGCCTTTATCCTCGGCTGCAAAGCCGACGCTTTCCACTTCGCCGTGGATGCGAGCTGCCACGGACCAAACAAAGGTAGACAAACCATCAACTTGTGTTTTTTGGATTCTCTTTCCCATTTGACACGCACTCTTATCAATCACTCAATTGCGCCAGGCTTGGATAAACTCGAATCTGACTGCGACTGCTCGCTACGACCCAGTACTTTGGTGACATCACTTCCCTCACCAGCCTCCAAGCTCCGGCCCACGACCAGTAAAGATGAATGCTCTTCGCTGTTTGCGTCCTGCGGCATCCCGCGTCAAGGCGGTGCCTTTCCCAAAGGCGACCCTGCCTGCCTTCGCACGCCCCTACAGCTCAAAGAACTACGAGTACATCCAGGTGTCGACACCGAAGCCAGGCGTTGGCCAAGGTCAGTGCCCAATCACGCCTCCAAGTAGCAGCACTAACAGCTGCGTAGTGACGCTCAACCGGCCCAAGGCTCTCAATGCACTTTGCACACCTCTTATCAACGAACTCAATGATGCCCTGGCTGAGCTCAATGGCTCCGATGAGGCCCATGTGATCGTGGTCACTGGCTCGCAGAAGGCTTTCGCCGCCGGAGCCGACATTAAGGAGATGGCCCCTCTTACCTTTTCCGAGGCGTATACAAAGTCCTTCATTGAGTCCTGGTCATCGCTCACTACGCAGGTGAAGAAGCCCATCATTGCTGCCGTGTCTGGCCACGCTTTGGGTGGAGGATGTGAGTTGGCGATGATGTGTGACCTCATCTACTGCACTGAAAACGCCAACTTTGGCCAGCCGGAAGTCAAATTGGGAACTATTCCTGGAGCTGGTGGCAGCCAGCGCTTGACTGCTGCCATTGGAAAGGCGAAGGCCATGGAGCTCATTCTCACCGGAAAGTCCTTCTCGGGCGTAGAGGCTGAGAAGTGGGGTATCGCCGCAAGGACGTTCCCTACGTACGAGGCTCTGATGGAGGAGACGCTCAAGACGGCAGAGACCATTGCTGGGTACTCCAAGGTTGCGGTGCAGGCCTGCAAGGAGGTGGTCAACAAGAGCCAGGATCTGCCTCTGCGCGACGGCGTCGAGTTTGAGCGCCGTGTGTTCCACAGTCTCTTCGGTAGCCAGGACCAAAAGATTGGCATGAAGGCCTTTGCTGAGAAGAAAAAGGCTGAGTGGACGCACTCATAGACGAGACAAGGCGTGTATGCTGTCAGCGGCTCCGTGCTACCAACGGGAAGCTGGACGTATGTATATAAGGCTACACGAACCATCTATGCGCTGAATCAAGTCGGTGACACAGTAGTCATCACAGAATATGCTTTTCTGTATGGGCCATACTTCGGTTATGCAACTCGTAAAATAAGACGCGCATGCGTCTGTCAGTAACCTGTTCGGTCTGTCTGCATGGCGCCCTTGGCGAACGTAGCCCCGCCGAGGTCGAATACGATCAGGCCCCTTCAGCCTAACCGCCTCTTTACGATGTCCACGTACTTTGAGCTCTGATCGCCTTCCTTGCTGCTGAAATTTGTTCCAGAGGCACATCACCAGGTAATGAACGGCTTGAATGGAGTCACCAAAAGGCGGTATTGAACTGGAGAAGGAGCTGACGTGCTCTGTGCGTACCTTCCTTCCCTCACCTCACCTACCCACCATACGCGATCAGGCACTGACATCACAAACGGCAGATATGCACTGAACTCCTCTACCAGCCGCTGACATTACTCGACTGCCTGCACACATTCTGCGGCTCTTGCATCAAAGAATGGTTCTCCTTCGAAGCAGCCAAGATCGAACGCGCGCCGACTCCCCCAACGCCCGACACTGTGCTATTCACCTGCCCGTCATGTCGCGACCCAGTGCGCGACACGCGGCACAATGCTACGGTGGTCACGCTTCTGGACATGATCATCACAGCGCACCCGGAGAAGGCCCGCTCGGAAGCTGACAGGGAAGACATGGGCAAGAAATATAAGCCCGGCGAACAGGTGCTGCCCAAGATCAATGTCAGAGAACGGACGGTGGACGAGAGGCGCGCGCAGGAAGACGATGAGCGTGTCCTAGCGGAAGTCAGGCAAATGAGCCTCAGGGAGGCCGGGGCCGCTCCCGCTCTGCCGCCAAGGCGGCGAAGAACGAGAGAAAGCCGGTCGAGATCTGTCAGTGAGGCTCGTACGGGCGGGCGACCGCAAGGGACACCCGACGGAGCGTCGAGATCGCGAAATGAGCAGCCTGCGAGAAGAAGTGCGGATCAGTTGACTCCAGAAGGAGAGACTCGGCGGGGAAGGCGGAGCGACTCGAGGCAACGGCAAGTGGAACATCAGTCGTCTCTGCGCTCACTCATCAGCTCTGCCGACATGAGCGAGAGGGATATCGAGAGAGAGATCGAGGAGTTTGCGCGTCAGATTCAGGAAGAGGGGCTTCTAGACGGTCTGGATCTCGACAACATTGATCTCACGCGAGATGACGAGCTTAGTCGCAGGATCACGGAGGCTTACAGGCGGAAACAGAACTCGAGGCCCAGAGATGACCGATCTAGAAGAAGAGGAACAAATGGGCAAGGTGGCTCACGCCGACCCAGCGAGCAGAGGGATCCAAGGCCTTCGACTACCGCTACAAGCAGTCATTCTAGCAGCCGACAGCAACGACAGGGTCGGTCTTCGAGCGAGTCTCGTTACAACAGTGATAGGAGCAGACCACCTCAATCATCTTCCGCCACTTTGGACGTCCGTGGTCAGGCGGTGCGTACGAGGAGGAGAACAGGCAGTAGCAGTCGAAGCACTACTACACCAGTACTGGCAACACCTCCTTCGGGTGATGCCCGTCCGGCTGCTAGGTCCCAAACCGACCTGACTCTTCGCAATAACTCAGCAGAGTTAGATGGGCTTCAGCCAGGTCTGGGCGATACCCGCAGCGTCAGCACCCCTAACGTGGGCGCCTGCCACCCGCCCGCTGCAGAACTGCCGGCCGATGGTGCCCATAACTTGCAGTCCTTTGCGGCTCGCGCGGCGAACCCAGCACTGAGTCCGGACGTATCACCTTCGCAACGATCAGCAACTCCGCCTGAGGTTCCTGTCCCCGACGCTGTCCGCGCGCATCGCCCGGCTGAGCTGGCGGTGGTACACTCGGCCATCAGTCACCCCCTTGTCAACCACGGCCAGGCCCCGGGGCATCAAAGAACACGGTCGCAACTCTATCCAGAGCCTTCCATATCATGTTCGAGATGTCGCAAGAAGCATATCGAGTACGAGCTACACTACAATTGTCACATCTGCTCGGGCGGCCAGTGGAACATCTGCCTCGACTGCTACCGCACCGGTCAAGGTTGCCTGTACTGGTTTGGCTTTGGTTACGGGGCTTGGTCAAAGTGGGAGAGGGCCAGGAAGCAGACAAAAGAAGATCTTCCCATGCCTCACATGCTTACAGCGAGTCGTTACACTCCGCCAGCCACTACTCCTGGTGGGGCGGAGGGCAGAAAGACTTTGACCACAGATGACCCAAAAAAACGGCTTGAGAGTGGTACGTTTTGCGCCAGGTGCTTCGTATGGACGAACCAATGCTATTGGCGCTGCGACGTGTGCAACGAGGGTGACTGGGGGTTCTGCAATAATTGTGTGAACCAAGGCAAGTCGTGCTCGCACATGCTCCTTCCACTCACGCATGAGACAACGCGATCGAGTGGTGACCGCCCAACGACACCTCGATCCCCCGGCAGGCCTCCCGCTGCAACTGTTCTCACAGGACCATCCACATCGAACATTGGCCCTTTCAAGCCTTTGACGTTTACGACAAGGTGTGATGTCTGCCAAGATCCCATATCGCCAATCCAGCCCAGGTATCATTGCTTCAGCTGCGTCAGCAATCTCATCGCTGATGCTATTGCTGGTGATTACGACATTTGCTTCTCTTGCTACAACAACCTGGTCGCGCATGGTGAGATCAGCTATGAGAACGGGCACTCTGGTTGGAGACGATGCCTCAATGGACATAGGATGGCCATTATAGGCTTTACAGAGGGAAACGTCGGCCTGTGGCGTTACGTCGACAGGGACATTGTGGGTGGTCGCGCCCTCCGCGCAGAGCCGTACGAAGGTGAAGAGCATCGGGGTAGGGGTCTTCAGAAATGGTCATGGTCAGAAGGGGAGCAGAAACTGGAGAGGCTCGTGACGCAGGACGTCAAGGCTATCGCGCCCACGGCAGACGGCGGCGTGGCCATGAGCCAAGCGTTTCCTCCGGATGGAGGTAATGGGCCGCGTGGGACTGCCAAATGGGCTTGGTATCCCAGGCCCGAGGTCGATGACGAACTACTGTTTCCACGAGGCGCTGAGGTCAGGGAGATTGAGTTTATGAATCACGAATGGTCACATGGGACTCACATGGGCGCCAAAGGCTTGTTCCCAGCCAAGTATGTTCAGCCAGAGCATTGAAGGAGTGGGAGAATGGTGGGAAATTATACGAAGACATGATATATCACACATAGCGAGCATTATCTCTGAAGCCGTCAGGACAGATTATGAAAAACAACAACCTTATTGCCTTGTTGGTAGTAATTCCTATCCAGAATGAGATCGTGAATCCGCCGAATGCCGGTCGACATTGACGTGATCTCCGGCGCTCGGCCCCACTGAAGATTACCCGCCACATCGCGACTTCACGTCGAAAGTGAATCTTGTCTCCAACGTGCGCCACTTGTTGAACATTCCACCACTCTTTAAGTGCTTCGGTATTTCGAGCATCATCGACATGTTTCGTCGCAGCGCGTACCGCCTTGCGGCCACAGCCAAAGCGGCTGCTGAACCAGCCGTCCACACCCTGAACGTATCCAAGGCGCAAGGCGTGGCCAAGGGCTTGACGGGAGGTATGTACTCGGAGACGCTACGAATTGGCTGGCACTGACAGGACGCAGCGATTGGAAACACTCCTCTGATACGGCTGAACCATATTTCCGATGCCACAGGCTGCGAAGTCCTCGGCAAGGCCGAATTCATGAACCCTGGTGGCTCTGTCAAGGACCGCGCAGCTCTCTACGTCGTCAAAGACGCCGAAGAACAAGGCCTTCTCCGACCGGGCGGCACCGTCGTCGAGGGCACCGCGGGAAACACCGGCATAGGTCTCGCGCACGTCTGTCGATCACGAGGGTACAAGCTGGTCATCTACATGCCCAACACGCAATCCCAGGGCAAGATTGACCTGCTGCGTCTCCTGGGTGCCGAGGTCTACCCCGTGCCGGCGGTGGCCTTTGACAACCCGGACAACTACAACCACCAGGCCAAGCGGCATGCGGAGAGGCTGGACAATGCGGTCTGGACGAACCAGTTTGACAACACGGCCAACCGACGGGCGCACATCGAGACGACAGGTCCTGAGATCTGGGCCCAGACGAACGGCAAGGTCGACGCCTTCACCTGTGCGACTGGTACCGCGGGCACGCTGGCTGGCGTCACGAGGTATCTCAAGGACATCTCGGGCGGCAAGGTGAAGGCGTTCCTCGCCGACCCGCCTGGCTCCGTGCTGCACTCGTACGTGCAGTCTGGAGGCAAGCTGGTTGAACGTACAGGTTCCAGCATCACGGAGGGCATTGGTCAAGGTCGCATCACTGATAACCTGGCTCCCGATCTGGAGCTGGTGGACGACTCGCTGCACATCGCAGACGAGAAGAGCATCGAGATGGTGTACCGCTGCCTGGACGAGGAGGGTCTCTACCTCGGCGCCAGCTCGTCATTGAACGTGGTGGCCGCCAAGGAGGTCGCCGAGAAGCTGGGCAAGGGACACACAGTTGTCACCATGCTGTGCGATGGCGCGTATCGATATGCCGACAGGCTCTTCTCGCGCAAGTGGCTGACCGATAAGAAGCTGCTGGGTGCGATTCCCAAACACCTAGAAAAGTACATTGTGCTGCCATAGATAGACTGGGGCCCCCGCGCTCTTGAATACATATTGTACAACATCCCATACCATCCCATGCTGTTCTATTTGTACAGTTGTGCCCCAATCATGAGGATGCCCTCAGACCCGACGCCTCCTCAAAGCACTTTGTCCATTGCTCCGCGCGAGCCTCGTTGCCCGCCTCGCTCTGGATGAACTCCCTAGCATATTGCTCCAGGCTGTCCACCAAGGGCAGCAGCGGCGCCGCCGCCTCTTCGGCGACCTGTTGAGACGTCCGGATGCCCCTTATCGACCAAGCAAGGGATTTGACGTACTCTGACCCGTTCAGTGAGAACAATGCCTGCTTCTGAGGCCTGGCCTGTGCCAATTCCGCGTTCTCGGCGAGCGCCTTGCCCTCCTTCAACTGGGGTGCCCAAAGCGTCTGCACGGTAGCCAGGTCGTCCTTGAGGGCAACCAGGTCGTCTTCCACAGACTCCTCCGCCTGGGTCTTGGCCTGAATCGCCACCGCCCGGGTCTGGAGCATGGCGGTGCGGCCAAGGACTGAGAAATGGGGGCTCATGCCCAACCCTGAATCGGCCAGTTGGCGCTTCTTGATAGCCTTGCTGACTTCCTCGGCATTTTCTGGCCTCTGGATAATGTCCACGAGCGTGCGGACCCAGCTGCTAGCCTGCTTGGCCTGCTCCAGCGAGCCGTCCCACCTGGCGTTGATGGCGTTGACGATGCGGATGACTTGCTCGCGCTCGGTAACCCACATGCCCGTCAGATGCGCCTGTTTGAGGCACCCGATCACCAGACCAACATTGCCAGAGTCGCATGCCAAGCGAATGATCTTGTCGTATGCCCTCTGGTTCAGCCTCACACCAGCTTTTCGGTATCCCCACAGAATCGTGCCAACGTTGGCCCAGTCCTCCTTGGACTCCATCGTGTCGATCGCATCATAAAGCTGCTTCCGAGCGTCGGGTATGTCTTTGTGGCTGTTGAGAGTCTGGAAGCGATGCTCATGGCCTTCGACTTCGATGTCGATGGGGTTCTGGGAGAGGTACCCCTTTTTCTTCGGGTTGAAGACGATGCGTCGCTGTTTCTGGGGAAGATAGGCGGGAAGAATAATCTTGTCCTGGATCACATTCAGAATCTCGTTGAGCTTGGCATTTTCGGTCGGTGTAGGCAGAGCCCTGAGGTCTGGAGTGTGTTAGAGCTGTGCGTGGGATACAACTGGGACTGAGCTTACTTTGCCTCGATGTTGTGCTGAATTGTTTGATGCACGAGTTGCGTACTGACGAGGCAGGGCCGTTGAGCCCACGCAGAGCGGACTTGGCCGTTCTTTGGTACATGCTGGCTCTGGTTCTGGTTTTGGTGAACGGAGAATGTCGTCGCATCGAAAAAAGTTGACACGCAAAGGTCGCGATGCGCGACCCTGGCCCGGCACAGAGAGAGCCCCGGTGAAAAGATGGACCGGACCAATCACACGTCGCGATCCCGTTGCAACCTCCAAACTCCCAAGAATTTCGCGGGCGAGGAGAGCTGGACCATCATCACAGTCAACTTGACACGACACAACAATCACACGATGAACGTCGCGAGCGTAGGGCGGCCTCTAGGCGCCCTCAAGTCTGCGCTGCGCCAAGCGAGGTTTCAAAAGGAGGCCCGGCGATCATTATCGACCACGTCAGGGACAACGCCATCGGTACCTACTCGGACTGCTTTCAGCGCGAGACAACGTACGTTTAACAGCACCGGATCGAAAAACGAATTCGCTCTAACACAACATAGGACAGGATTTGTCAAAGGTCAAGCGCTTCAAAGTGTGGCCACAGATCCCCACGATCCGCAATGACTACCCAAACCCGATGCCCGCCATCCACCAACACCAGATCAGCCAGCTCGACCCGACCGGCGCCCGAACACGCATGTTCTCCAAGAAGCACCTCGACAGCGCCAAGCCAGGCGACGTGCTCATGGTGACGACCAAGTCAGGCGAGCCCTTCTCCGGCGTGTTCATGCAGATCCGACGGCAGGGCGTGGACACGGCGATCCAGCTGCGTGGGCAGTTGATGAAGGTCAGCGTGGAGATGTGGTTCAAGATCTACGCACCGACGACGACAGCCATTGACATCATTTGGCGTAGGCCCAAGCGGGCCAGGAGGGCCAGGTTGACGTACCTACGCAAGGCGAAGCATGACATGGGCAACGTCGACAACCTGGTGTTCGCGTGGAGGAAGGAGAGATATGCGCTGCGCTCAAAGGCGAATCCCAAGGGGCCACAGGGGAAGAAATAAGGAGCTATGGCTGGCTCCGTGTCGGCTTGTATGATATGTGGTATATTTAGAATTGTACAATGGCATGTGCTGTTTTGTGCGAATGGTTCGGACCACGCTGAGCATTCTGGGCGTCCCACCGGTGTTCAAGTCTCGTCGCTTTACATTGAGATGGCTGCTCTCTCCATGGGAGAGGGGGGGTACGGGTGCGCCGGGGCAACGACGAAGAATGGCCTGCTTTCCCGAGTAGAGCGTCGTCAGACCCGGCAAACATAGGGCTCTGGTTAGAGAACACTCGTGCCTTAGGGGTGAGCATGTCATTGATGCCCCCTGAACCCAAGGCGGGAACGATACCTACCTACTCTTGCTATTTCAATGCTTATCGACAGCAGTATTATGTGACAGATGAACTGAGGTAACCACTCGAATCATAGGAAGCACACGGCGAGACCATTGTTGAAGAACCGAGGACAACGTTTATTATACCGTAACCCAACTGAGACAGGCCTGCCGTACCAACTCTCAAAGTTCGGCCTCATTTTCTTCACAACATGCGTTGGAGTTGGTCAGTGAATCTCCAGTCAGTCACTCAGGGGAACATCGATCCAGCGTTCGAGATTGTCAAATTTCTTATATAATCAGCTATTATTGCGCCTCTTCAAGTTGTCTCAATTGTCGACTTGATTTGACATGGATGTATCCCAGTTCATCCACTACAGCCCTGGCAAGCTATTTATGTCCACTGCAATAGCTGTCGGAGCCCGGCAACGACTGGGCATGTCCTCGTACGTACCCCGCCGAGCAGTTTCCGGAGTTTTGTTTACACCGGGATCAGGCCCTGCCGAACCCCGGGCCCCTCGAGGACTGGACTCACTGGACAGGAGGGCCTTCTCCAAATAGCTGCGTCTCGCCGCCCACGCGTTCTCCAGCACCCTCTTCCACAGCATCTATTGTATCGAGCGCCCCAGTCCATCAACTTCACTCTGCTCTTCTGTCGACTTTGACGGCAACCTAATTCCCCAAACCAAAGGTCGCACCCATCACAGAAGATCATCGACCTCCCGGAGCACGACCCCTGGAGCGTCGTCTCCGCATCCATCACGGCTGCATCGTCCCCCTCCCCTGCCCCACGCTCCAGGCGGAACCAGGCAGCTCTGCAGACTGCTCGGGCTCAGCGGTGAAGCAGCATTTGCAGCTCTCTAATAGTAATTATCGACGCATTTCCTACGCTTCTCGAGCGCCACCTCTGAACGACTCGTCACCCTCAAGAAGTTCTCTCCCCCGTCAAGCCAGCAGCACTGCTGACGCCCTTGCTGCCGTTGAGCCGCCGCATGATCAGGGTCTTGCGAGAATGGCGTATGCGGAGCAGCAGCGGTGGATCACTGTCCAGCAAAAGACATTCACAAAATGGCTTAACACAAAGGTTGAGGCGCGCAACATTGTGGTCAGAGACCTCATCGCAGACCTCAGCGATGGCGTATGTGGATTTGCTGTTTGTGCCTGGTCGGTAGACTGACATTGGCAGGTTGTGTTAATCCATCTTCTCGAATGTCTCTCCAACGAATCCCTCGGTCGATATGCGTCCAAGCCCAAGCTGCGTGTTCAACGATTCGAAAATGCGAACACGGCCTTGGACTTTGTCAAATCGAAAGGGATCCAGATGGTCAACGTGGGCGCCGAGGATGTTGTCAATGGGAACCAGAAGATAGTCCTTGGCTTGATATGGACGTTGATTCTGCGCTTCACCATCAGCGATATCAATGAAGAGGGCATGTCGGCCAAAGAAGGCCTTCTACTTTGGTGTCAGCGCAAAACAGCCTGCTACGATGACGTGGAGGTACGAGACTTTAGTGCCAGCTGGAACGACGGCCTGGCGTTTTGCGCTCTACTCGATATTCACCGTCCCGACCTCATAGATTTTGACACCCTGGATAAGTCCGATCATCGAGGCAACATGCAGCGAGCGTTTGACATTGCTCACGAGGAGATTGGCATCCCCAAGCTGCTAGATGTGGAGGACGTTTGCGATGTGCCCAAACCAGACGAGCGCAGTTTGATGACATATATCGCCTACTGGTTCCACGCATTTTCGCAGATGGAAAAGGTCGAAAACGCCGGCCGTCGCGTCGAGAAGTTTGTGAACAACATGCAAGGTGCCTGGGAAATGCAGAGCGCCTACGAGAAGCGAATGAGAGCGCTTCTCAAAGCAATCCAGGAGCAGGTCGATTCCTGGCAGAACGCGGAGTTTGAGGGGACCTACGCCGACGCCAAGCGGCAAGCGAGCGAATTCAACACATACAAAAGGGGCCAGAAGCGCAAGTGGGTGGCCGAGAAAAGCGACTTGGCGACATTGCTGGGGAACATCAAGACCAAATTAGGCACTTATCGTCTCCGACCTTGGGAGCCGCCAGCCGATCTCACACTGGAGACATCTGAGCAAGTATGGAGCAGTTTGTCGCAAACCGAGATGAACCGGGCGCAGCTCATCAACGAAACCATCCGAGAGTGAGTCCGATTTTAGCACGGTCATGTTGCAGCTCCTTTTTACTGACTGCTGTAGCATCAAAAATGCCCTGCGTAAGTCTTTCGCTGACAAGGCCAACGATTTCGCCATGGCCCTCAACACCATGCAGCTGGCGATATCGGGACTCGATGGCGATGTTGAGGACCAATTGCACCACGTGCGAAAGCTCAGCGACAATCTAGCACCCATGGACCGGTACCTAGAGACCATTGCAGCCGTGGATGAGAAATGCGAAGAGGCCAACATTGAAGAAAACGACTTCACCACCTACACATACGATGAGCTTTCCTACGAGCTCGGGTTGGTTAAATCCTCTGTTCAGAAGAAGCTGGCTTTCCTGGAAAATCAAATGGTGGCCAGGAGCATGACTAACCTCACGCCTATTCAGCTTGAGGAATTTGAGAGCGTCTTTCGCCACTTTGATAGGGACGAGACCAACTCGTTGCAGGAGCTCGAGTTCGGAGCTGCCCTGGCGTCCCTGGGACTTGTCTTCTCCGAGGAAGAGATGCACGATTATTTCATCGAAACGTCAGCAGGTCGGGATCACGTCACGTTTGAGCAGTTCATCCGGTTCATGGTGAACGTGACAGAGGATCAGAACACGGCCGAGCAGGTCTTTCAGTCCTTCCGCGAGGTCGCCGACGGCAAGCCATATGTCACCGAGATGGACCTGCGACATAGTCTTGTGCCTGACGAGGTCATCGACCACCTGGTGGGGATTATGCCTGAACACAAGGGTCCCAACACAGCAGAGGATCGCGGGCTGCCACAGTACGATTACATATCATTCATGGAGAAGATGATTGACGAGGAGCGAGGGCGGGACGGCGCTGCCCCGAAGGGCCTGCAGGACAGGACGGACCGCAGCATCAGTCCGCGAAAGGGAGGAGCCCTTAATGGTATTTGAGCACCTTGAGAGCAGACACAGCACCTGTCTGCAACTGCGTATCTTCGTTTCTGTCATTGCTGGCGTCGTAGAGCGGTCTATAGCCTTCGTACAGTCCTTATTCCTGGTATTTTTGTAATTGCATCTGCGGTGTTCGGGTTACACGGGTTGGGAGAGCCAGATGCCACAAGCTTTATCTATATACCAGTGCGAGCAAGTATAGCCTTTCAAAAAGACATGATCATTTCTGCAATTTGTCCTACTCAGTGCACACGTCAGCGACGAAAGAGTGAACGTTAGTGTGGCAAAAAGTGTTAGCGGCTTCTCGATGAACAATTGGTTTCCTAAACGATTCAGTAGCTCAGGAGTCATAAGGAGTTACATTCAATCAATAGCCTGATCATTGCGGACGCGAAGGCAGGCACCAGTGGCTTTCATAACAGATAGAAGAGCTGGTCTAGGGTGGCCGTAAACATTTTTGACAGCTGGGGCTCGGACCAGCGTCTCCGAAAACCGGCTCCGATTCAATTATTTGTTGCAGTTGGTCGCATCATTGCGACACAGTTCTTTTCCATCTTTGAGGAACTCACATCACCACACTCGTCATGATACCACGGACTCGTGTCGCCCAGGTTCTTCGACCGTTGGCGCGAGCCACGGCCTCCACGCCAACAGCCGCGTCGTCGCGTATGGCGATGCGATGCATTGCGACGTCTGCACCTAGACTGCTGAGCGCCTCTTCGCCACGACGGGCCACGAAACTCACCACCGAGATGTACCCCGGCATCAAGCGCGATGAGCGGTTCAAGCAACTGAGCAGCGACGACGTGACGTACTTTAAAGAATTGCTGGGCTCAGACTCGGCGCTCATTGACGGACTGCACCAAGATGCCGCTGCGGACATTGAGCCCTTCAACGAGGACTGGCTGCACAAGTACAAAGGACAGTGCCGTCTCGTCCTGAAGCCCGGGTCAACAGAGGACGTCAGTGCCATTCTGAAATATTGCAACGAGCAGAAGCTGGCTGTCGTACCTCAAGGCGGAAACACAGGTCTGGTCGGCGGATCCGTGCCCGTTTTCGACGAGATTGTCATCAACATGGCGCGCATGAACAAGATCCACTCGTTCGACGAGGTCAGCGGCTCTCTTGTAGCGGATGCGGGCTGCATCCTTGAGACGACGGACCAGTACCTCGCGGAAAGGGGCGCCATCTTCCCGCTCGACCTGGGCGCCAAGGGCTCGTGCCACATTGGTGGCAACATGGCTACAAACGCCGGCGGGCTGAGGCTTCTGCGCTACGGAAGTCTCCACGGAAGTGTACTTGGACTGGAGGTTGTGCTGCCCGACGGCACCATCATGAATGATCTCTGCACGTTGAGGAAGAACAACACGGGGTACGACCTGAAGCAACTGCACATTGGCGCGGAGGGCACCATTGGTATCATCACCAAGGTGTCGATTCAGTGTCCCCGGCGGTCATCGGCGATCAACGTTGCCTTTTTCGGACTCGAGTCGTTTGAAAAGGTGCAGCAAGCGTTCCGCGAAGCCAAGGGCCAGCTCTCGGAGATCCTGTCGGCTTTCGAGCTGATGGACGGCAAGAGCCAGAGCATGGTGCACAAGGTGCGCCCGGACAGCAAGAAGCCTCTCGAGGACGAGCATCCCTTCTACTGTCTCATCGAGACGAGCGGTTCCAACGGTGAGCACGACTACGCCAAGCTCGAATCGTTCCTCGAGGACGTGATGACCAAGGAGATCATCACGGACGGCGTTGTCGCGCAGGATGCGACGCAGCTCAAGTCGCTCTGGAGCTGGCGCGAGGGGATACCAGAGTGTCTCGGCCACTGGGGCGGCACCTACAAGTACGACGTGTCGATCCCCATCCAGGACATGTACGCCATTGTGGACGACATCTCGGCCAAGATGGAGGAGGCCGGCCTCGTCGGCGAGACGGACGAGTACCCCGTCGTGGGCGTCGTGGGCTATGGCCACATGGGCGACTCCAACCTGCACCTCAACATTGCGGTGCGCCGCTACGACGTGGAGGTCGAGAAGATCCTCGAGCCCTACGTCTACGAGTGGATTGCGGACAAAAAGGGCAGCATCAGCGCCGAGCATGGGCTGGGCATTGCCAAGAAGAACTATATCGGATACAGCCGAGACGAGACGACGATTGGCTTGATGAAGCAGATTAAGAATCTCTATGATCCGGTACGTAAGCACGCCACAATCCACTGGCCTTTTTCCACTTTGCATATTGCTGGGTCTCCCCTTTCTGTTGTCGTGCTGGGTGCAACCCCTGTCTATCATCGATCCAGCTAACAAAAATCCACAGAACGGCATCATGAACCCTTATAAATATGTTTGATCAATGTATATACCCAGAATATCAATCGCCCATGCAGCGACGTCGATTTAAAAAGAGTTTACTACGCATTATGGATGTTACACGTCTTCACTCACTGGGATCTCGTCGTCCTCACGAAGTCTGTGGGTGATATCGATCCTTCGTGCTATAAGAGCAGCCCTGATCTAAGCTGATGATGATGTTCTTCTGCTTGTTCCCCTTGAACAAGAGACCATTGGCGAAGGAGAAGCCCGGTTCCAAGGGTCATCTGCCGCCTTGACACACGCACACAGATGGCTGCTGGGCTCCTATTGGTGGCCAAGAAGGAGTCAGCATGCGCAGCTCCTATTAATGTCTCGAAGACTTTTTCTTCTTCTCCGCGACGTGGGTCACGGTGAAGCAGCGTCGGGGGGCCAGACCAGCCTCGATCACAGCTCTTCGTCAATGGGCGATGGCTAGCTACCTAGCTGTCCACGCTACCCACAAGCGAGCCAGGCACTGACTATCAAATCTATCTACCGAGAAGCCTTGATGAGCATTGGCGGGAGCGGGAGCGGACGCATGTCATCGTGGCGCATCCAGTAGGAGTCGCGAGATCCCCAATCGGCAAGCTTGCGCATGATTATGCATGCCGAGCTCGGGCATGCCGTGGCGGAGAGCAAGACGGACAGCATCATCAAAAGAATCGGCCACTTGTACTTCGTGGTGATGGCTAGGCGCAGCTTTAGGCTCTCACCCCAATTTTTCGTACTCCCAATGCGCAATCGTACTGAGTGTAGGGTCAATCGAACCGAGCGCGGGTTCCAAATGCAAGATGACGACCTGGGCTCGACGCAGCCAATTGCAGCTAGTCCTCGCAAAGATACCTCTGGTCAGCCCTAGATGGCCCTACCCACGTAATGAGTACCTCGTCAGTCTTGCCAGACCACCTGAACTCTATTATAGAATCATAGCGACAAGGATCCCACCTCTAATAAGCTTGTCCTCACAATCAACCGGCCATGGAATCGGGAGAGCTGTGGCAGGCAGTAGGCCACTCGTGGTGATCGTGAAGACAGACGAAACCCCCACTCATCTTCAGCGATGCCAGGAAGTCGGATTCTACTCTTGCCGTAGCCCGTCATGAAGACCAACTCTTCGTGGTACCGTACATTGAGATAGTATGAACTGTGCTGCTCAAAGTACAGTAAATTAGCGTTGCTAAAGCTCCTGATACTAATGTGGGCGGAGAGGCTCCCGCGAGAGATGTGTTCATTGGCGGCAGATCCTCCTACAAGCATTGCAATCCCGTTCCTCACCAGGTCAACCCCCCCTGCCAGTGTCAGCGTTGCTGTCGCGTGGCGTTCCTGGCTCCGCAGGGCTGAACATGACACTTGCTTGGGGACCTCTCTGAAGTATCCCATTCGCCTAACTGTCACCGTATGCCAAGCCCAGCGACCCAGGGACACAATTCTCTCCAACGCAATACAGACTTGACATGGAGATGAGTGCTGACGGAACAATCTCGAGAAACGAACCATTGAGCGCAGATTGGACGAGCACGTCTCACTCATGACGGAGTCTTGCCCCGTATCGCCTACCACCCAGCTGGCGCGCCATGGATCCGAGGTAGGGTGTATAGTATGTCGACGAACTAGACGTACTGAATGTTGAATATATTGAGAAAGTTTCAAGTGCTGTATGCCGTGATTCGTCATGACCTAGGTTCTGGGAGATTCCGCGTTGCTTATGCGCATACTCCCATTGGTTATGATTATGAAGCGTTGTCGACCTTACACCATAAATGACCACACATTCGCACTGCTTTGGACGACTGAGAGCAGAGCAGGTTACCCTTCTTGTCTGTATCATGGTCGGTGTTCCTGGCAAGTATCAGGGCTGCGAAACGTGCCGTGGACGGCGGGTGAAGGTGAGTTTGCGAAACCATGTCGGCCATCGTGACTTCAGGCGCACAAGCTAACAAGCTACCCCCAGTGTACCAACGAGAGACCGTTTTGCCAGAAGTGTGCCAACAGCGGAAGACAATGCGAAGGCTACGGGCGCGAGCGAGTCTTCATCACCGGAACTCCGGAGCATCGCGGACGAGTCGCATCCCATCCCAGGAAGCCTACATCATCGGCGTCGTCTTCAAGACGGAGACATCTGGATTCCGAAGCCAGGTCAACGCCAGAGATCACCCCTGAGCGAGACACGGAGCGCGGGCGCCAAGTTCCCGCTGAGCTGCGCTACGTCGATAGGCGTCCTCCAGTGACAGCAGCTGCCCCATTCACACCGGCGTGGGAGGACCGTATTGCACTCGATGTTCAAGGTGCGCTGGATTATGCCTTCCTCACGTCTCTGCACATAACGCCACAGAGCATCGTTTGTCAGGCGAGGCAGAACCAGGCCGAGCTGCAGAGCTGGAAGATCGTTCCAGTGCCATACATCCTCCCAGATGTGTTGTCCATGACCAAGGATGGCACGCTCCGGCTGAAAGGAAGATGTATGGCCCGCCTCTCCGACCTCGCCAGTGACAACGAGAAAGCACCGGCTTCAATAGCCTTCCTGCTAGAGGTAAGCATCCCGGTGGGACAGAACCAATTGCAATGCTGAAACAGGATGTGCAGGGCACACGAGCGACATCAACAGATACCGAATCTGGGCAGGTGACGATGCAAAGCCCTGTCCAGCAGCTGGGTCCGCACAGTTTTACATCGTTCCCGAACCACCACTTCTTCGCCCGAGTCTTTCGGCCTTTGATTGTAGGTTGACCATGGATTCTTACGGGTATCGAGCCAATACTTATAGCAATCAGCTTGGTTCCTCGCTGCTCAGTCGCAAAGAGACGTTTCTGAAAGACACAGAGTGGCTCACGGTGCCTTGGGACAGCCATCCGAAAACGCTCTTGGATCAGTTACTTGATCTCATATCCTTCATGCCTCCTCTTTTGAAGCAGCTCGACGCCATATCGGCAACAGTGGCTACGACTCCTCGCCGTCAACAAGCCCAGACGCTGCTCGGGAATTGCAAAGCTTTGGAAAGTCGTTTCGACCAGTGGCTGACATCGGCTCATGAGGAGACAGCCGAGCAGCAGCAGCAGTGCTACTGGGTAGAAGAGACGTCCAGCGCGCTGGAGGCGGCTCCTTTCGCCAGTCTGCTCACATTCAGAGACGGTGCTACCGCCCTCATGTTTCTGTATTTCTGGATGTCTCAGATCTCTGTCCATCGATGCATCGAACGTCTGTACACAATCATTTTCGAACCAGTCATTGATATGTTCCCGCACCCGTGGCCAGAACTGCCTCCCAATCTTGGGCTGGATGATCTTGGTCGCTATCAACAGACCCACGAACTCGCAACGAGCATTTGTCGCGGGCTCGACTCAGCCCTTGGATACGCTGCTCAGCCCGAGCTATTGCTAGCTCCAATGACAACTGCACTGAATTTGTTCAGAGACGACAACACCAATGTGCACGACGGCATCCTTGAAATATTCTGGTTGGAGGCTTTCAAGTCTCGCTTGGCGGATAAGGGACAGTATCTGGCTTCCATGTTGGAAAGAAGCAGTTGGGTAGAACTGGCCAGGTTTTGAGGGCAAAGGCGTCGCGGTGTGCTGCAGGCCAGCTGACACGAGTCGACCAAGTAGAGGAGCTGGTATCTCCAATGATGGCATTCCTATTTTAGTGTATTAAAGTCGCGATGTAATATCTTAGAATTGACCTCTGAACTTGCAGTTAAGGATGTCCACACAGCCACAGCCCGCAGCAGACATGCGCCGCCACATGTATTTTAGCGCCACAATTCGAGCTCCCGCCCGCATCATCGCAGGCAGGCGTTCTGACGAAGCTCCACTGCCTCAGCTCGTCCTCGCAGCAATCAACCTCCCGACATTCAACTTCTCCATTCATCGTCAATACTGCAGCACGACATCAGCGTGACGCAGGCCGAACTTGACATCACCGGTCGAATTCAACCAAACGACCACTAAAAGCGCCCATCATGGCCTCCGGATACGACAGAGCTCTGTCGGGTGAGTTGCTCCATCACGGTTGCTCTGGACAGCTTTTGCTAACATTGGACAGTCTTCAGGTTTGTCGACGTCGTAGCCGCGCTCCGGGATGGCCTCTAACAGTTTGCAGTCCCGACGGTCACGTCTTTCAAGTCGAGTATGCTGGCGAAGCCGTGAAGAGGGGTACGTCTGGCATGTGCTGCACATGCGGGATCGCCAACTAACTGGATGCCCAGGAACGTGCGCCGTCGGCGTCAAGGGAAAGGATGCCGTCGTCCTCGGCTGCGAGAAGCGCTCGGCCATGAAGCTCCAAGACACCCGCATCACACCTTCCAAGATCCAACTGCTCGACCACCACGTCGCGCTCGCCTTTGCGGGCCTGAACGCCGATGCCCGAATCCTCGTCGACAAGGCCCGCTTAGAGGCACAGTCACACCGTCTCTCGGTTGAAGACCCCGTTACGATTGACTACATCACAAAGTATGTTGCTGGAGTGCAGCAACGATATACGCAGGCTGGCGGTGTCCGGCCCTTCGGCATCAGCACACTAGTTGTTGGCTTCGACAAGAACAGCAAAATCCCCAGACTGTATCAGACGGAGCCATCGGGCATCTACTCGGCATGGTAAGTTGAGGACCCCGAGTCCTGGGGACGATGGTATCTGACCATGTGTAGGAAAGCCAACGCCATCGGCCGTTCCAGCAAAACTGTCCGCGAGTTTCTGGAGCGCAACTACAAGGACGACATGGAAACCGAGGCTACGATCCGTCTCGCCATCAAGTCGCTACTAGAGGTGGTCCAGACGGGCGCCAAGAACATTGAGATTGCGCTCATGCTGCCCGGGGAGGAGATTGAAATGTTGCCAACAGACGAAATCGAGGAGTACGTCAAGGAGATTGAGCAGGAGAAGCAGGAAGAGGCTGCCAAGAAGAAGACGGGCCGGACGGGAGCTGGCACCGCAGCGCTGCCCACGCGCGGGCAGGACGACGCGGCCGCGTAATAGGGCAGTAGACGAGAAGTCATGATAGATAAGGTGCTCTATCTTCACGCGCTATGCGCCATGCCAATGTATCAAGACGTTCATGACCATGTCATTGTCCCCTTGCTCAAGATTCCCAAACGCCACAAGCTACATCTCCCATGCTCTCGCCACACCGTACATAAACCAACTCAACCAAGCCTGTCTGCTTCTTCGGAAGGATCGAATATGGTAACCTTCTGCTTGCTGTCCTTGACACGCTCATCCTTCAGCATTTTATTGTCTATGCGGGTATCCTCGCTTTCTACCGACAAGGCCGCCTTGGGCGTCTTGGCATCGATGACAAAGTGGTTGTCGCAGTGTGGGCAGTACTCGTCGCTCTCCTCAAACTCCTGTGCGTCCTTGCGGAAGCACTTTCGGCACTTTTTGCATGCAAAGACCATCTCGAGCGTCTGCTGGAGCGGATGCGACTCCTGCTCGTGGTGGCAGTCGGCACAGTCGAACCACTTCTTGCCTGTTTGGTCTTGTGAGCTGGGCTGAGCGGACTCGCAGTCGATCGGTTGGGATCAGGGGCTTTGGCGGCTGGAGGAGGACGTACAGCATGGCGAGCGGATCGCGACCTGGGCGTTGAGAATGTGTTTGCTGAGAGTTGTTAGATCATCAGTCCGTGGCGATGCCTGGAAATAGGGAACTTGCCACATGGCGAAGGGCTAGCGGTTGTGATGTGCGAATTCGTGGATAAGCTTTGCCCGCGTAGAGTCAGTACACTCTTCTATTGACTTTCACCAGAGGATAGTCCGCCTAATATCAATGTCCCTGAACTAACTTTTGGCGGGGTGGCGCGCTTGCATGTGGGGTGGGTGATTTGTTAAGCCGATGGGTGTACTATGAATTCCACCATGTAATGCGCACAAAGTAGTCGATCAAGAAAGGTGTCTTTTGTGAAATGATAGCATTTCCCCACGTAAGGTCCTTTAATCAAGCCCTCGATTTGAGGCTGTTACGCAGTCCTTTTCGCAAGCACCCAAGGCACCGTGCGTACTGCAGCGGCGGTGTACGTATCTCAAGACCCGCATTTGTCAGCCGCCTATTTGCCATCGTCATCTTTATTCCGTGCACGGTCAGCCAACTCTCGTTCAACCTTCCTCGCCGGCACCTCACCTTCGAGAACCGCGCATCGTCACGGTCCTCTATCGAGATGCCTCCGAAAAGAAAGGCTGCGCCCAGCGCCGCCAAGGGCGAGGCGAAAGCTGGGAGAACATCACGCATGTCGACGCCCGGCGCTGCGACACCTCGTAGCCTCGACGACACGGGCGACGATGCTGAGGACGAGCCCGTCGTAGGCGATGAGGAGCTGCAGCGTGAGCTGGATAAGAACATAGATATCTTCTCGGTGGACAAATACAAGAAGAAACACACGGTCCGCGAGCCGATGCCACACATCTTTGGTAATAATGATTATTCGTACCTCGACCTCAAAAAGGACCACCAGAACCGCCCCCTCTGGATCGATCCCCAGAAAGGGAGGATCATCCTTGAGAGCTTCAACCCACTCGCCGAGCAAGCGCAAGACTTCCTGGTCACGATCGCGGAACCTCTGTCTCGACCGACGTTTATGCACGAATATGCCTTGACCACGCACAGCCTCTACGCTGCCGTGTCGGTGGGCTTGTCTCCGTCCGATATTATCAGCACCCTCGATCGATTCCTCAAGACCCCGCTGCCCGAGGAGATTCGAAACTTCATCACGAACTGCACGCAGAGTTACGGCAAGGTGAAGCTCGTGCTCAAGAACACAAAGTACTTCGTGGAGAGTCCTGACCCAGACGTGCTGCAACTCCTCCTCAAGGACCCGATCATCGGGCCGCTTCGTGTCCAGCACGGAGACCAGGAGCTCACCACAGAAGCAGCCCCCAAGATTGGGGCCTTGGTCATCCCAGGCACAGGTGCGGCAAAGGGCGTGACGCAGACCAGCGACCAGCAGCTCGGCGACCACGGCGAGGCTCCCAAGGAGAAGGATGTGTTCGCGACACTCAACGAGGATGACGACGACGAGCAAGATGTCACACATGCCTTTGAGATTGCCGACAAGGACGTCGAGACTGTGCAGAAGCAATGCCTGCTCCTCAACTATCCCGTCCTCGAGGAGTACGATTTCCGTCGGGACGAGGTCAATGCCAATCTGGAAATTGACCTTCGGCCCGGAACGCAAATCCGTCCGTATCAGGAGAAGAGTCTGAGCAAAATGTTTGGTAACGGCCGCGCGAAGAGCGGACTCATCGTCTTGCCCTGCGGCGCAGGAAAGACACTGGTTGGCATCACGGCGGCCTGCACCATCAAGAAGGGCGTCATTGTGCTCTGCACAAGTTCCATGTCTGTGGTGCAGTGGCGCCTCGAGTTCCTGAAATGGTCCAACATCAATCCAGAAGACATTGTTGCCTTTACTTCGGACAATAAAGGCAGCATGTTCACGGGTAGCACGGGCATTGTTGTCACCACATACTCCATGTTGACCCAGGCTGGCCAGCGCTCGTACGACGCCGACAAGATGATGAAGTTCTTGACGAACCGCGAATGGGGTCTGATGCTGCTCGACGAGGTGCACGTTGTGCCGGCCAACATTTTTAGAAGAGTCACGTCTTCGATCAAGTCACACTCGAAGCTCGGATTGACGGCCACGCTGCTGCGAGAAGACGACAAGATTTCGGATCTGAACTTCCTCATCGGGCCCAAGCTCTTTGAAGCGAACTGGATGGAGCTCTCTAAGCAAGGCCACATTGCCAGGGTTCAGTGTGCAGAGGTCTGGTGCCCTATGCCGACAGAATTCTACGATGAATACCTCAAGGCGCCCGCGCGTAAGAAGCAGCTTCTGTACATTATGAACCCGCGCAAATTCCAGGCGTGCCAGTACCTCATCAATTACCACGAGGCTCGCGGCGACAAGATCATTGTCTTCGCCGACAATGTGTATGCTCTGAAAAAGTACGCCTTCAAGCTGGGACGGGCGTTCATCTATGGTGGCACGCCCCAGGCCGAACGCCTCAAGGTGTTGGACAACTTCCAGAAGAACCCGGAGTTGAACACGTTGTTCCTGTCCAAGATTGGCGACACGTCGCTTGATCTACCGGAAGCCACGTGCCTCATCCAAATCTCTTCGCATTACGGTTCGCGGCGTCAAGAAGCGCAACGACTGGGACGCATTCTGAGGGCGAAGAGGAGGAATGACGAGGGGTTCAATGCCTTTTTCTATTCTCTTGTCTCCAAAGACACGCAAGAGGTGTACTTTTCGTCCAAGCGCCAGGCCTTCCTCGTCGACCAAGGATACGCCTTCAAGGTCATTACGCAGCTGGCCAACATGGAGAACACGCCGGACCTTGCGTTCAGCACGCCAGCCGAGCGCCGGGAACTTTTACAGACGGTGCTCGTCGACAATGAGACGGCCGAAGACGACGAGATTGACGACGATCTGTTCCACAGGGGCAAGAAGGGCAAGAAGAAGGGGACACGTCGCACGGCCGGCACCCTGGGCGAGCTTAGCGGTGGGCAAGACATGGCCTACATTGAACGCAACAAGAAGGTGAATCAGGCTCTGAAGAAGGGCAAGGGGAAGCAGGAAAGCCATTCCTTCTTCAAGAAAATCGGACGCGAAAACGCGAGGCGGGCCGTGCAATAATTAGCCAGAGGAGCCTGCAGCACCTGGACACACACACGCATACAAACATGAAGGACTCCAAGCGGAGAAGGGTCGGCGTTTCTTGCATTTAATTGAAGGAAAGGCCTGCAGGTAGCACGACCGGTTTTTGGGAGTTGGAATGTTGAGTACACTGGATAGCGCACCGCATGTTACTTGAGAGAGACTGTCCAAAAAGGCTCTTCGTTTATCAATATGATACATGTGACAGAGGTGAGCTTATCATGTCGTCGTCTCCATCCAAGGGAACCCAAGCGTTGGGAGGCCTGTAGAGGAGTGTCGTTGAGGAAGAGGATTGGTGCCCTCTGGCTCTGACGATGAGGTGCAGGATGCAGGCCGATGCAGCAGTGCAGCCATCAACGAACGGGTTGATCAACCTCGGATCTTGGGTTGCATGCGGGCGACTGTGCCCTGGCTGGCATCACAATCATGGCTGGACAGCAATGGATGAATGAGTGAATGCGGGCTGTTTAGACGCATGAGCAGGCACGATGCGGATCTACACGGGCTCGTGGTAGTGAGACACGCAGATGGTCAAGTCACCTGCTAGCGGGACTGTTAGCAGCGGTGACATCAGACGTTTCAGTTCGCATGCGGGTCCGAGCGTCTGTGCATGTTTGGCGCGTGCATCGAAATCTGGCCGGCATGCCCTCCTCCTCATTGGACCAGTGGTCAGCCAAGCACGCGAGCTCGAGGGCCCTTTCTGGGCGCGCACATCGCCGTCGGGGCGTGCCCAATGAGGGTTTGATGGCAAGGCGGCTGTGGCCATGTCGGGGGGCTGCGCCGCTGCGCTCGAGTCGGCATCAACGGCACATGCATGGATGGGTAATTGATTGATGGAGGAGGGCTGCGCGGCCTTGCGGACCTGTCTGGGTATTAGCGTGGCGGGGCGATGATTTTGATGATCGCAAGTTCATGTGGCGCTCACATGTCATAAACCCTTTCTCTCCTTTGAATAAGGGCAGCAGCAGCAGCAGCATCTCTGTCCCGTAACTCATTGCAGCAGGCGGACGATCGCCCCTTCTCGACCTCGAACACTGTAGCTGGCTTCAATAACCTGGGGTCGTCGAACGCGACTCGAACCCTCGTGGCTTGTTGCGGTCAGAGGAACCTTGAGACCCTTTGGAGGCCGCTCAACGACAGACGACAAACGCCAACGACGGACGGTCTCAGCAATCAAAGTTGGCGCACGCCCATCACCTCCACAGCGTCTTCCTAATACCGACACTGCAAGGGCATTTCTTCAGTCTCCTTTTTTTTTACGACTTCTTTCTGGCGCCGCTTTCTTTCTCTCTCCCTGTTCGCCCTCGCGCCCGCCTGCCAAGGGACTCCACTAGCAGTCGAGCCGACGAATTCGTCAGCCTTCAGCCAGGCATTCCGGGTCCCTAATATAATTATCGGGTGCACCGTCGATCCGAACAGAGAGCCCTTGCACTCACTAGGAGGGAGCAGAGACATCAGGCACCGACAACGTGCTGATATCGCTGGCTTCTGATTCGACCACGCTCCGTCGCAGGGTCTGCATTGCTGGACTGGCTTTTCACCTATCAGGCGCCCACAAGCTTGTCTTCGCTCTGGCTACGGGAGGTTTGCTTTTGCCTATTGCTGCAGGGACCCTTGAAATCACCTGGGTCTTCCCGTCCCGGAACGCACGAGCCGGAACAAACCGCCTCACCGAGTCGCTGACCGCTGATAACGTTAATTTTGGAACAACCACCACACGCGAGCAAACTTGCTTATCGCTCTTGTTTTGAATCTTCCAATACGTACTACTTTACGCAGCACCAGCTCAAGAGTCTCTGTTCTGTCCTGGTTCAAATAATGACCTTGGGGAGTCGCTTGCACCAAAGTTCACAGAGGAGAGCGCGTCCGACAACACACTCAGTATCCAGCTCAACACCATGAAACTTGCTCTTCATCATCACATCACGTCCATCTTCTGGACCCTTGGATGACAAGAGTCGAGACTTGTGAGAGCTATTACATACACCAGCTGAAGCCCCGGAAGACCGGAGTATCAAAAACGAAGATCGCAGGGCTCCCACCCCTGCACATTCCTCTCAGCAACCATGAAGGCCATGGCATCTCTGACAAGAATGTGGCAAGGCGCAGTGGCGCGATTGATCCAGAGGAAGCCGCACTTTGACTTTATCACAGCCCATTGTACGAACCTCCCAACCCCTCTGCGTCCGCGGATCGTGCTGACCAAAGTTAAATAGACATTGTTATCATCTGCGGTGTCATTCTGGGATCGATTCTGATGTACGCGTCCAGAGGAGGCGATATTGTGTACATCGATGCTCTCATGTTTGCCAGTGGTGCTAATACACAAGCTGGCCTCAACCCTGTGGACCTCAACAAGCTCAACACGTTTCAGCAGATCGTCATGTACATCATTCCCATGCTGACCAACCCCATTACACTCCACGGGTCGGTTGTGGTGCTTCGACTATATTGGTTTGAGAAGCGCTTCCGAACTGTGGTCAAGGATGCCATGAAGCGGAGGACCACTATAACCAAGTCACGGTCCAAGGCCCGTGGCGATGACGCACCCGATTTGGAGGAAGGGGTCAACGGAAGGGACATTACTGTTGTCCCTCGAGAAGGCGATAGGGCACCACGAGTGACGAATGACGGGGTCCTCCTCGAAGACGACCCTCACCTGCCCAAGGCGGTCGCAAGCTCGGACGGCAGCGACTCTACCAACGTGTCGGACGGCCACGGCCAGCATGTCGAAGGCCTGCCGGCGCCGGCCGTGGCCACAGAGCCGGAGACGACCAACGAAGGGACCGGTCTGCAACAGGCCGTCACCTTTGCCGACACCGTCAAGAGGAGTGACGGAGTCGAGGACGACCCCATCAACTACTTGCGAGCCCATCCGTTTGACAACGCGGAACACATCGCCATCCTGGAACGCCAGCGGGCTCAGGACAACGAGGTCCTGCGCATCCCCGGACCTCGCGACGCGGAGAGGGGCATCTGCCCCCGGAGACTCGACGACGGGGAGGACAATGAGGAGAGCAATCCTCTGAGCAACGTCCGGACGCGCGATTCCAGGATGCGGAGCTCGACTCTCAACTCGCGCCACATCCCCCGCAACCCCACCATCACCATTGAGGAGCCGCACCACCCCAAGCTCGAGCGCGCCGAGGAGAACGCGGCGGCCGCGACCGGCACAATGGACGCTCTGCGGATGCGCAAACCACGCGCCCTCAACAGCACGGGCCAGCACAAGACGCACGAGGATACCGACGAGCGTCGTGGCCGGTCGGCCACACGCGCCGTCCGGACCAGGACGTTGGACACCATCAGGTCCGCCCTGACCCGCGACAAGATGGACGACATGCCGTACCTCAGCTACACACCCACCATGGGCCGCAACTCCAACTTTGTCGGCCTGACGCTCGAGCAGCGCGAGGAGCTGGGCGGCATCGAGTACCGCTCCCTGCGGACGCTCATGTTCATCCTGCTCATCTACTTCTGGGGCTTCCAGGTCTTGGCCGTGACCTTTCTGCTGCCGTACATCCTCCACAAGCCAAAGTATGGCGACGTGGTGAGCGACGCCGGCGTCTCCCGCACCTGGTGGGGCTTCTTCACGGCCAGCGGCGCCTTTATGGACCTTGGCTTCGCCCTCACGCCCGACAGCATGGCCTCCTTTGCCACCTCGGACTACGTGCTCATGATCATGTGGTTCTTCATCATCATTGGCAACACGGGCTTCCCCGTCATGCTGCGCTTCCTCATCTGGGCCTCTGCCCAGATCGTGCCCAAGGGCTCCGGGCTGTGGGAGGAGTTGCGCTTCCTGCTGGACCACCCTCGTCGATGCTTCACCCTCCTCTTCCCCTCGGCCGCCAACTGGTGGCTTTTTTGGATCCTCGTCATCCTCAACGTCGTGGACTTGGTCTTCTTCATCATCCTCGATGTAAGTCATTTCTTTCCTCTGCTCCCCATTGTCTTTTACTGACCCGCGACCCAGCTCAACTCCGCCGTCGTCGAGGCTCTGCCGGTTCATACACGCGTCGTCAACGGCCTATTCCAGGCGGCGTCCACCCGTACCGCGGGCTACGCCTCCCTGTCTTTGTCAGCGCTCCACCCGGCCATGCCCGTCCTGTACATGCTCATGATGTACATTGGTGTCTTCCCCATTGCCATCTCCATCCGCAAGACCAACGTCTACGAGGAAAAGTCCCTCGGCGTGTACCACGACAAAAAGAATGACGACGAGACGGGCGCACCCAACGAGGAGCAGAACACCGTCTCGTACGTGAGCACCCATTTGCGCCGCCAGCTCTCCTTTGACTTGTGGTACGTCTTCCTGGGCTTCTTTCTCCTTGCTATCACCGAGGGCGGCAAGCTCAAGCGGAACGACTTCTCCATGTTTGACATTTTATTCGAGCTTGTCAGCGCCTACGGAACCGTCGGGCTCAGCATGGGCGCTAGAGGCGTCAACACCTCACTCTGCTCACAGTTCAGCACCCTCGGCAAGCTCATCATCATCGCCATGGAGATTCGCGGTCGCCATCGTGGCCTGCCATATGGCCTCGATCGTGCCGTCATCCTCCCGAGCGAGTCTCGCTTTAAGGATGCGGCCGACAGCGAGGTACAGTCGACGACAGAGTTCCCGCGGACCAACACCGGCGCCAGCCAGCCGGGCAGCGCCCACGGCCGGGGCAGGAGCATAAGTCGGGACAGGAACAGTCGCATCATCACCAAGATGCTGCACCCGGGCCCCGTGGTGCCCCCCAACGTGGTGCACTCGCAACATCGGCGGACCACGTCCAGCGGCTCCGAGGCCCTCTCGCACGCGTTCACAAACGTGTCTAGAAGACCACAGTCGTTCCATACCGCGGTGGATGAGGACACGGACGAGGAGCGCGATAATCTCGCGCCTCTGCGCAGCACAGAGTCGAACCGCGTGGCACCGCCCCGGCGCGCTGATACGCTGCCAGCGAACATGCCGAGCAATTCGGCCTGGTAGACCGCTTTTATCTAATTATTTTTTGGGGGTTTTCTGCTGAGAGCATACCGGGGGGGGGGGCGTTTCATATAGACGGACGGACATACATACATCTGGGCGGAACGTTCTGAGTTCACATCGATATGCGGCGTTATGGGCAGATCATGGAAAGGTAGCGGCATTGAGTGAGATCTAGTTACAGAGTCGCGATCTCTTGACAAAGGACGGAAGTCGTCGGCATGCACATAGTTGTTCTTTGCCATTGATATGGATCATGGCTACAATTCATGTATCCACCCATCGGGGTTGCTCTTGTCGTCCACTAGTCTATGTACGAGGTGATCTGTAAAAGCAGTATCATTTCTCTTCAAAGGCACCCATCTTATTGAGTGCACCGGCGAGACGACGATAGTCTCTCAACAGTTCTAGCACCTCGCCGATCTTGAGGTCCCCCGGATTCTGCAACTCCATAAATCGCTTGTTTGGCGGCGAGATCTTGGGCAAGGATGGTTTTGGCGGCAGAGCAGCTGCAATGTCAGGGAAAGCCTAGCAAGACAGGTTAGTGTTGGCAGCCAACGGGTTTCAACGCTTGACATACAGTCCCCAGATCACCCCCGTCAGCGACTTTGGTGGCCTCGTTCTGGCCCATCGCTGGGGGTGTCGATACATTTCTCCCAAATGAGCGTATCATGCCAATCTGATTCGAAAAGCGCGCCATGGGGTTGAACGAGTTGGAAATGTGATTTCGCATCTGGTCCAGCACGGGGGGCGGTTGGGCACCCTGTTGTGTCGACGGCTTGGATGAGCCGGCGCTGCGGCCGCTGACAACGCTGTCGGTGCTGCGATCTCGGCGTCCGCTCAGCATGCTCAGCACACGATCCTCGCGTGGCTGCTTGCGCTCTTCCGCATCGACAGCCGAGCTAGCGCCGCTGATGATGGGCTCGTCTTCGGGTGGAGGTGTACTGACAAGCTTCCGCGCATCGTCCAGGGTGCGAGGGACCACAATTGATTCGCGCGGGCTGTCTTGTTGCTCACGTATCTTGCCGAGCAGAAATTTGAAGCTGTTGTCGAGGCTGGAGGAGACGGTCTTGAGACTTTGATCTGCTGTGGCAAAGACTGCGTCGCTCGCTGCGCCAAAGGCTTGTGCCGGCGTGTTGACGAGGTCACTCAGCCGTCTGCTCCTGGGATCGCTTGCTGACTTGAGCCCGGCAGGGTTCTTGGATGGTATGGCATCATCCTTGGAAGACTCGACACCGGGCACTTGTCCTTGTTGGTACGCGGGTGGAAACGTCTCGGTTTTGGGTGTCCCTGGGTGCCCCTTGGGCGGTCCGGAGGGTAATTCGTCCGAGCGCAGCGTCGCTAGGTCGACGTTCTGCAAGAAACTTATCGCCGCCTCCAGGTTGGTGATGCAGTACGCATCCTCGCCAGCAAGTTTGGACTCCCAGCGGAAGTTTTGTACAAAGCGCGCATCGCTGATGACGTGCAGGTCCTCGGGGGCCATGGTGATCAGCGTGAAGATCAGCATCGGCATGATCTCGTCAGCCGACGCCGAAGGGTGAAAGTGGGCAATGGTATCGACGATGCTCCGGTGGGCTGCCTTGAGGCTGTTGAGCTTGCCCAGGGGGTACCGAGACTTGTGCATCCGCGCAATGTCTTTCCTCGCCTGCTCCAGCTTTGCGCGAATCTCGTCAGTCTGCTTCTCGGGTGCCTCAAGCGATTCAGCCTTGCGGTCCCCTAGGTCGATGCCCAGATCTGCTGGCCCTATTCCTACCAGCGACAACGCCGCTGTTTTTGACCGGAGTTTGTCGTCTTGCGCCTCGTCTTGCGTGCTTTTGTGTCGGTATATCCGGGCGTATATGCCTTCACACAGTCTCCTCTCCACAGCTTCCTCTAGCATGCGCCGTTTCACTTCCAGCGCTTTGCGGGCCTTCTTTTTGCTAGCCAGTTCTTCGGCCGTGATCATTTGCTGCTCTGCTTCGGACCGTGGCTTCTCTTTGACGTTCAACGCCGACGCTTTGCTCCGCAGTCGGCTAGCGGCGGATGATAGAGATGTGGCAGACGGCGATGGGGAGGCTTCGCGGCTGCGCATCGTCGCTAGGGTATTGATATGGGTATTGATGTGCGACGAAGCCTGCGCATAAAAGTCTTGAAATAGCTGCGAAAGCTTGTCGATGTTTGGCGGTTGCGAGTGGACCTTTGCGTTCAGCGACTCGATGAAGCTGCCTTGTCAACATTGGGCCATCGCGCAACATTCAAAGGACTCTATGTACCTGTCGGTCATGGAGACCAGTTCAATGGGGAGCACATCCAGCTCAATTGAAGCCCTCGTGATCTCTATGCCATCCTCGGGATCGCTGTCGTCGGCGCCCTCAAAGGCACTCGGACTCTGGTTGTCTGTCGGTGGTCTGTCTAGCGGGGAGCTCATTTGGCTGGTCTGGGCGCGCCTGGGAGGCTTCAATGTATCGCCGCCATCGTCGCGCCGATGACTCGGGAAGGATGATATTCGGGTGGCCGCAGGGCGAGGCTCGGCCTTCTCTGAGCTGGGCGAGGCCATGTGTCTGTGGGCGGGGTGGAAGACTTGCATGATGAGCGACGAGACCGGTTTTGATGAGGGGGAACGGGCTGTCAGAGAACAAGAGAGCGTACCTGTAAGTAAATTGGTTGTCGATTGTGTCTCGTATTCAGGAGCTTGCTCTGGGCTGGAGTCTAACCCTCGACTAGGACGGCGCGTCGTCGCGAAGACGTGGCATGCGTAACGTATGCGTAAGTACAAGTATTAGTTGAGACACGGGGACGCGGCTCTGCCGCAGCGCTAGTTAGACGTTGAGGTGATTTGGAAACGTCACAGAGATACAAGGTGATGTCTGCTGAGCGAGGGTCGAGCAAAATAACTTCGGCTGACGATAATAAATTAGGTTGAAGTGTGAGTTTGTCTCCCTGCGAGTGGGAGCAATCGGCGTCTACGTATGTCGCGTCTGCTGGTGGACGCAGAATAACGGAAAGTGGGTGGAGCTCTTGGCAGGGTCGAACCTTCCTCCTTCTCGACACGAGTTCGACCTCCTGTCCACAGTACAGGTAAGGTACTAAGGTACTTACCACCATAGGATAAGGTACTGAATGGGGAACTACGGGCGAGGCACGCATTGGAGGCACTCTTGACCTAGCAAGCTTCTACTTACCATTATCCACCGGCCATTGTGCGCCCCTGTCGACCGCGGTTCGAAGCCTCACTGTGGCTGGGAACATAGGCCCTCGCCGCCAGCAACAAACCACAGACTTGGTTAGGGGCACAAGGTAAAGTACTCGAGCTCCTGAACTCTTCCGACGCACTACTGGGTCAGTGGAGGTCGAAATGAGCGACTGCCATGGTGATAAGCAGCGCCAGTTGCAGGCACATCATAATGTCCTGTCAACTCCGTGCAGGGCGTAGTGCTGCCTTCTTCTTCGAGTGAATGCACACCATGAGGATCCTTCTGCACACAATTTGCGATGAAGCTTCTTAGGCAACTTGATGGGTAGCATCGGTGCTGCCTTCATGCCGGATCGGATCCGAAGCACAGGGCGACTGGAAACAGGCTTTCACATGCAACCTAGTCTGGCTCTTCACTTGGAAATGGTACTTGATGAAGCCGCCTAGTATAGTAAGGACACCACAATGCCAAGTGAAAGCCCCAATCGCCTCAAGTCGAACATGTCCACGTGCAAGCTGACATTTGCTCAGCATTCTGGACTTGACCACAAGCTCCCCAAGCTCCGCTCCCATCTTACGCCAAGACCCCAAGCCAATTCTTCGCGACAATCATTCCCCAGAATCGGCTCCCTGCGGGGTAAGGTACGTACTTCGTACTAGACTAGTACTCACACAGGTCGGGGTAACGGATCCGCGCCGGTTGTTGCTCGGGCTCCAGCTCTCCTCTCCTCCACACCCACACGCACGCACGCACGCTCACTCAACCGACCCCTGCTCATGACTCCATAAAACCCCAAGCACGCCCTGGCCGTCGTCATGTCTTGCTCTCGTTCGCCGAGGTACTCTTCCAGGCACGACTCATCGCCATAATGTCCGGCGCGCCCTCACGCCTCAAGTCCATCCTGGGCCATCTCACGAGTTCAAAGACAACGCCCTCCGATGCGCCTCACCTCCACCATCTGTCCCCCACATTTTTCCTGGAGCGCGCAGCAGCCATCGAGCCTGATGCTCAAGCCATCTATCATGTCACGGCCAATAACGTCCCGCTGAGCCGGACATATGCTGAATTCTCCGAGCGGACGCGAGGACTGGCGTACTACCTCCAGAGTCACGGCTACAGACGCGTGGGAGTGCTGGCACCCAACACGCCAGCGTTCCTCGAGGCCATCTATGGCATTGTTGCCGCGGGAGGTGCCATTGTCCCGGCCAACTATCGTCTGAAGGAGGAAGATATTGCATACATCTTTGAGTTTGCAGAGGTTGATTGCATCATTGTCGACCAGGAGTTTGTGCATCTCTTGGACTATCTTCGGAAAAGCAACCAAGAAGTGCCATTTTTGGTAGACACGGTGGGTGGCCTGTGGACATTACGCCAGGAAGATGAAACTGACCGTCTAGGATACGGATGCCGACACTGGACCATATGACCAGGCCATCCAACAGGGCCTGGAGCATGCTCGCACCGCAAATCTCCATGGCTGGACCGGCCTGCAATGCCACGCCACGGATGAGGACTCGATGCTCGCCATCCCCTTCACGTCCGGGACCACCAGCCGTCCCAAGGGAGTCATGTACACCCACCGCGGAGCCTACCTCGCTGCACTCGGGAACGTCATTGAGTCAAACCTCAGCGCCGGGCGCTGTCGATATCTATGGACGTTGCCCATGTTTCACGCCATAGGGTGGACGTTTCCCTGGGCGGTTGTCTCAGTGAGAGGACTCAACGTCTGCCTGAGGAAGATTGACTATCCACTCATTTGGAAGCTCTTGAAGGAGCAGAAAATTACGCACTTTAACGCCGCACCGACAGTCAACACTTTGCTTGTGGCCGCCAAGGAAGCCGAGAGGCTTGAGCAGGAAGTCAGGGTGACGGTAGCAGCAAGCCCCCCAAGCGGGCATCTATTTGAGCAAATGGTAGCCCCAGTCTCCCTCGGCTGCAACGACATATACTGACCAGCACAGTCAAATCTGAATCTGAAACCAGTACATGTGTACGGCTTGACGGGTACGACGAACAAGCTCCCCAGAGCAAGTCATTTTACTAACCGGACGTAGAAACCTACGGCCCCATCACAAAGTCGTACCCCATGCCTTCCTGGGACGACCTCTCAGCCCAGGAGAAATATGCTAAGATGGCTCGTCAGGGCCACGGCTTCATCGTCTCCCTGCCCATCCGCGTCATCAAGCCCGAGCAGCCACCAGGCGTGCTCATCGACGTCGCCAAGAACGGCGCTGAGGTGGGCGAGATTATCTTCTCCGGCAACATCTGTGCAAAGGGCTACTACAAGGACGAAGAGGCGACCAAGAAACTGTTTGACGGTGGCTGGCTTCATTCGGGGGATCTCGCCGTGTGGCATCCCGACGGCAGCGCCCAAATCTTTGACCGGGCCAAGGATATCATCATCTCAGGCGGGGAAAACATCTCGAGCGTGGCACTGGAGAGCATGCTCGTGGAGCACGAGGACGTTCTCGAGGCAGGCGTCGTCTCTGTCCCGGACGAGCAATGGGGCGAGCGGCCGAAAGCGTTCGTCACGGTCAAGGAGGGGAAGAGTGTCAGAGGCGAGGACATTATCGCGTGGGCCAAGAACTCTAGCCGGATCAGTCGCTTCATGGTGCCCAGGGAGGTTGTTGTTGTCAAGGAGCTTCCCAAGACGAGCACGGGCAAGATCAAGAAGAAGGACCTGCGTGAGTGGGCGTCGCAAGAGTAGGACAAGGAGCATTATCGGAGACTTTTGGTTCAGAGCAGAATTATTTTCTGAAGACCCTTGCGATTGTGTTCATGTGCTGTGTATGGCATCAAATACCCGTGTTCTGCGACCAAGCCACGTTTGTTCATGATCTCCAATTGCTCTTCAGCGTGGAAGATACGAAAAGATTTCGTGGAGCCTACCTACCCTCGAGGATCTGGCCATAGACGTATTCCTGGATCCATGAACAGCGCGAATCCAAGCCCAGCCACCAAGATGGCCTTTGTCACTCGTTCCACATCGTGTATGATACCTGCCACAACTGCTTTCTGAACCAAAAGTGGCAACATATCTTCGGCTTGTCTTTCTCCCTCGCTGTTTTCTTCTATATACTGGCCCAATCCGTGCGATACCGAAAATGGGACCGGCCGAGATGTACCCTTATGGTCTGGGAGAAACATGGGCGGCTCCAGATCCGGCCAAAAATCGAGCAGCTGTTCAACAGATCCACGTGTGCATCTCCCCAGCGTAAGAAAACCAAGTGAACAGAGGGCGTAACGTTCGAACGTGTCAGCGGAGACTTCTATGCCACGAAAGTGGAATAAGCTCGCCTTGAACTTTTGCAGCATCTCCTGTGCACCGTGAAGGTCACCTGCAAAGGTGGTCGCGTCATCCTCCTTGAGCGAGGAGATCTCAGTTCGGGGCATATTCCGGATGATCTCCTTGGGCCATTCCCATCCAGTGCGTGCTTCATTTACGGCCTGGGCAATGTCTGTAAAAAGCTCGGCGTGGGTGTAGTCGGATCTTCCATTTGAATCACGTGTACCTTCCAGGCGAGAGCTTAATTTGCCAATGAGCGTTTTCCAGCAGAGGGGAAGGCTTTTGGAAGTGTTGAGCGACTCGACAAGGGCAGCAATATCCGCAACCGGGACGTAATTCTGAGGAGTAGCTGGTGCACTAGCCACTGATACCGCATCGCTGGTACGGCTCATGTTGGAGCAAGGGGTGTAGATCGGATTCTGGCCGTCGGTGACTGTTTCCTCAGGCACAGGACCATCATTTCCATTGGCCCCAGCGAGATTTGACGCGCCATTGATGCCATAGCCATCGCCGCGGGTAACGGCGAAAATGGTGTGCTTTCCGGCAGGGAGGACAACGTCGTTGTCGAAATTGACACGCATGGGGGCGACCGAGACCACCCCGTCAAGAGGGGATACCGGAAAAACGCCATGTGCTTCGAATCGGTACCACGGACGCTCTTTGTCCGTAAGTGCTGACACAGGATCGGTTGGAAAGGCACATTGGTCAGCGATGGCAATGATGCTGTGCTTTCCAGCAGGAATGACGAAGTCTTCGTCCAAGTCGACAATTATCGTTCCGCTCACCGTGCCGTCACAATGCACAACCCGATGAACCCAAAGCGCACGAGTAAAAAGCTCATTTTGCCACCGATCATCCATGGACGGGGCATGCGCTGGGGAAGCCATGGCGATAGGTTGGCAGCTGACGCTTCAAGCTGTGAGCAGAGCAAAACAGACTTTAGCGTATGATCTGGCCACACACCAGTAGGATGGCCCTTCTCAAAGATCCAGTTGAGATTGGAGGCCAAGTCTTGTATCGTGACACAACGACACGAGTGCCAATAGTATAGAAGCCCCCAAATGAGCTCGAAGGTTGGCTCAAGACGGAGTTACACTCAGGAGAGACCTGGCAGGGCAGAATGTTGTGGTGAGGAGGAGGGAAGAAGAGGAAAGGGGAGAAGAAAGTGAGGAAGAGGTAGAAGAGGCGCACACGGATGAGAGGAAAACAAAGAGTGAGCGAGAGTGAGCGCGTCGTCCAGAGGTGACAACAATGTGAGCTCTGTGACCACGTCGAATGACACGCACACTCCAGCCTCGATCATGTCCCCACCGTATCACAAGTCGAGAGGATACCTCTCCCTGAGCGTCTTGCCGTACTTGAAAATGACCGTCGGGATCGGTATCATAGCCACGGCGATGAACCCCAGGAGCGAGGACCCCCACGCGACGCCCAGCTCCTCATACATGGCCGGGCCAGCCAAGGGCAGAAAGGCCGCGACGGTACAGCGCAGCACGGAGAAGGCGGCCAGCCCGCTGGCGGCAAACTGCGGATACGCATCGACAATGTAAGCCTGGATGGGCATCCACACACCGATGGAGCCTAGACCGAAGGGGATGATGCCCAGCGTCGGCACGATCCAGTGCGTCTTCTCGGCCGCGCTCCAGCCGTACCAGAAAAAGGTCACGGGCAGGATGAGGGCGAACCAGATGCAATCTCGCAGTCGGAACTCGGGCTGGTAGACCCCGTTGTTGGCGGCCGTCATGCGCACGACGGTCTTGTCGGAGAGGACGGAGAAGATGGAGAGGCTGATGGCGTAGCCGATGAGCAGGCTGAAGTAGACCAGACTGGTCACGCCTATGGACCACCCGTAGGCACCCTGAAAGACCATGGGGATGGTGTTGAAGAGGAGGTACAGACACCCGTACACAAAGGCAATGTACAAGCTCACGGCGAAGATGATGACGCTGGTGAAGAGCATCTTGATGGGCCGCACCAGGCCGTTCAGGAGGATGCGTCGATTGGTGATGACGGGCGCGTCTGGATTCACATAGCAGCTCCGCAGCTCAGGGCGACCCAGCTCTTTTCGCAGCTTCAGTGTCTTGCGCTTGATCAAGACCTGGTGATTCGTCTCGCTGTTGAAGATGGCCATGACGACGACCACAATCGTAGCCGGGATGAAGGTAATCCAGCTGCCCCAGCGCCAGCCTATGGTCTGGGCCGCGAATCCACCGATGACGGGCCCAACCGTCGGGCCAACCATGGGTCCCATCATCCAGATGGTCATGGCGCGGCCGCGCTGATGGACGGGGAAGACGTCTGCGATCACGGCGCCGCCAATGGTCTGGCATGCGGAGCCGCCGACACCACACATGAAGCGGAAGAAGATGAGCATGTCAATGCTCGGCGCGAGGGCGCAGCCAACAAGCCAGACACAAAAGTACGCACTCGCCGATGTGAGCACAATGTGGCGACCGTATATCTCGCAGAGAGGGGAGAGGAAGAGCGGTCCGACGGCGTATCCGAGCAGGAAGATACTGACGGGCATGGAAGCCTTGGTGAGGCTGGACACGTTGTAGTCCTCGGCGAGGAACTGAATCGCGGGCGCCAGGATGGACGAGGCGAAGGGGGTCATGAAGGTGATGCAGGCCAGCATGATGGTGACGGACCACTTGCGGCTCTGGGCCCAGTTGAGTGGCATGGCCGGGTCATCCTGCGACTCCCAGCCGACGATGCCCTTGTCCAGGTCCGTCAGGGGTAGGACGGTGGGAGCCACTGGAGTTCTTGGCGCACTCGTCGTGCGGGAGAGGCGCGAGAGGACGCTCCGATGTGTGTGGCTCTCGACACGTTCAACGTCAACATGGTCTTGTGCTTCCATGTCATGGCCATAGTGGCTGGGGTTCTCCACAGCTTCCTTGCCGTGGCCGTCGTCCATGGCGTCTGTAGATGTCGACGCTGAGCCCATGCCTCTGTCGTCGTAGGTGTCGTCGTGCTGCTGAGTGGCAGCGGCCGCGTCGACAGGCCTTTCGTCGGACTCACTGGACGTCATGATGAAGTCTAGGGCAGAATGGACACAAATAGAGCATGTAGCACCATGATGCCAAGAAGTCCAGGGCGACGATGGATGAAGTCCAGCAGCCGCTCAGCGTTGGGGGTCGTTTCCTGCGGGGAGAGGATCAGAGAGTGAGCATCGCTTGCTGGGCCGAGGCATTATGAATTGAGCAACAGCGAGGACCGGAGACGGCGTATTAATAATAAAGGGCGAGAATGAACTGTAGGTACCCAGCCTAGAGGATGGGAAATGGGGGATGGGGGGGAGGGGGGCTTGCAAGCGGCATTGCGGATAGGCAGCTGGTTGGGGATGGAGATGGAGATGGAGATGGAGATGGAGATTCGGATATCCGAAGCCGGTGATCTATCGGCCTCATGCATTGCAGGACATGCACGCCATCATCCACGGCCATTTCGCCTTTGCGCTTCGCCGGGATCCAGCAACATTGATGAATCCGCAATCAGAGGCCGTCGCACTCTGGTGAGGACAGACAGATCTGTCCCTTGAATAGAAGGTCAGACGCGCAGCAGTCGACGCCCAACGAGACGTCGTCCACATGCAGGCCGCCTCGCGTACACTGACTCGTCCGTTGGAACACTCGCGAGGGAACAACCGGAGATAATCAACAAGTGGACGTGCCCGTCTGTCTGTGTGGCAGCGCAGCATGGCCCAGTACAAGACATACATCACATACCCGAAAGCCGGTGAGGGTTGCGATCGGAGTCCGTCTTTGGCCAGACCGGACAGGACAGGACTGGAGCTAGAGCTGGAGCTGGACCCCTGAAACCTCCACCAGCCTTCACTGGCACTGGCGTCGGCACTTGAACTGCGAACACGTGCAGACGTGTCAACAACGTGTCGCCCAACTTCATCTTCACCACCACGCCCACCCACCCACATCGGCCAGCCTCCTCAGCTTCATCTCACATCACCTCGCGATTGCGCAGGTCGTGCCACCGCAGCCCCGCGACACGCAAACAGAGCTCGATTGCGCTGTGCGACCCTCCACAATCACCATGCGCTCAACCCGATAGACCCCCCGTCTCCATCGCCAAACTCTCATACCACGACCTCACTCGACCACCACCCCTCCTCTCGCGATTCACCCTCCTACCATTGCCAAAGCACCGCTATCACGATGGCTTCCTCCAGCCGCAACGAGCTCTCCCGCAACGAAACCCTCTCCCTCCTCGCCCTCTCCGGCGCATCCCTCCTCATCATCGCCAACACATTCCAAGGCGATGGCGAGCCCCTCATCGCCTCCCTCGCCCTCTCCCTCCTCGCCTTCGCCCTCGCCTACGCCATGATCCGCTGGCTCGGCCCCCGCTTCGTCCAGGCCGGCTTCAGCGGCCACGACATGGGCAAGACCAGCCGGCCCCTGCTGCCCGAGTGCATGGGCGCCATCTGCGCCGTCGTCTACCTGCTCGCCGTCATCGTCTTCATCCCCTTCCCCTTCTACAAGGACATTGTCGCCGCCACCAGCGGCGGCGGCAACAGGGACGTTGTCCTCCACCTCGAGTACGTCAACCAGGGCCGCTTCCTCCACCGCTTCCCGCACAACAAGCTCGCCTCCTACCTCGGCGCCATCATCTCCCTCCAGACCATCGCCCTCCTCGGCATTGGCGACGACCTCTTTGACATTCGCTGGCGACACAAGTGGTGGATTCCCGGCCTCGCCTCCATCCCCCTCCTCGTCGTCTACTTTGTCGACTTTGACGTCACCTCCATCGTCCTGCCCATCCAACTCCAGCCCTACCTCGGTGAGCTCTTCGACCTTGGGCCCCTCTACTATCTCTACATGGCCTGCGTCGCCATGTTCTGCCCCCAGAGCATCAACATGCTCGCCGGCATCAACGGCATCGAGGTCTCCCAGTGCCTCGTCATCGCCCTCCTCCTCGCCTTCAACGACGCCCTCTACCTGCTCACCCCCTACCCTCATCCCGCCACCGACTCTCACCTCTTCTCCCTCTACCTCCTCCTCCCCTGGATCGGCGTCTCCGCGGCGCTGCTCGTCCACAACTGGTATCCCGCCCGCGTCTTCGTCGGCGACACCTACTGCTACTTCTCCGGCATGGTCTTCGCCGTCGTCGGCATCCTCGGCCACTTCTCCAAGACCCTCGGCCTCCTCCTCGTCCCCCAGATCTTCAACTTCCTATACTCCTGCCCCCAGGTTTTCGGGCTCCTCCCTTGTCCCCGCCACCGCCTCCCCCGGTTCAATGCGCGGACCGGCCTGCTCGAGCCCTCGACCACGCCCTGGTCCCCGGACCGCCAGCCGCACCCCCTCGTCGCGCGGGGCCTGCGCCTCATGGCCGGGCTCAAGCTGGTCGCCGTCACCTACGATAAGGATGGTCTCTTCACCGAGACCTCCAACTTCACCATCCTCAACCTGTGGCTTGTCTGGAGGGGTCCGCTCAGGGAGGATCGCCTGGCCTGGGAGGTCACCCTGTTCCAGGCCGCAGTCGGCCTGTTCGGCCTGTTTGTGAGGCACAAGCTTGCCCTGCTCGTCTTTAAGGAAGACAACTGGGGCACCGCTGTCGACAAATAATGGCGCCACAGCACGCTGGAGCGACCAGGCACACACACGCTATGTATATACCCAGTATAGAGAATCTAGCGCGCAGACGGGCACGAAATAGAAATGAGCCACTTTGCGAAGAGTTGTACAATGTCTGATCATAACAGCATGTCTCCCCATAAAGACATGGGGATGACTTGGTGGCTACCTGCCCACGGAGCCCACTATATAAGTACATGAGAAGTTTCCATGAGTAAAGTAGTAGCAGTAGTAATCATCAGCAAGAGTACTGTCCCTCGCAACGCCAGGGGTATCGCCTCGCCCCGAGAACAAAAAAGGCAAAAAGCCCGACCTGGGCATCTCTCTTTCCCTTGCAACCAAAAAAAACATTAACAAAAGTTGGACTCCATGGCCGCCGCACAGCTCATGACCATTGAGCAAAACAGGAGGGGCCAGGCCAAGTTAATCTCGGTTCGTGCGGCAACACGTTTTCCAGCTTTTTGTATCGTACCAAACGCCAGGACACCCCTCGTGTCTTCGATGAAAAGAATCCCCGACGTGCCAGTCGTGACCGTGTAATTTCTGTCCTGTACGCCAACAACTCCGCCGTCCAAGATTTTCCATGTAAATCGACCAAACACATTCCTACACCAACAGGCCGTCGCACTATTCCTTCATGGGTCCTTGATCGGGACCAGAGTTGAGTCAGTGGTAGGCTTTGCCTCGCTCATCACATCGTCCATGACAATTTCCACCTTTGTCTCCGCCGGGCTCAACAACGTCGACCGGACAGTGATCGCGTCCCCCGTCACTTTGCTTGCCGCCTTTGACCTTCTCGTGTAGTCGCTCAGGCTTAGCTTCTTCTTGGCAGGCGACGGTTGGACGAAGCCATTCATACCACCTGTGAGGAAGGAAGTGGGAAGGCTAGAGGTGGAGAGGGGCGATTGAGCCGTGCTGGAGGCGGATGCAGGCGCCGTATCGCTGACGGGCCGGAGACCGGTGTTGTCGAAAGTTGGGACGGGTGGCATCTGCACGCGAAGATCTGGTGTCTTCTTCTTCGAACTGCCTTCGCTGGTTGGACTCGAATTGCCGTGGGCGTCGCTCATGTGCGTGTCCTCGAATTGTGACGTGGCTGGAGACGCGGTCTCCGCGCCCGTGGATGCTTTGATGCCGTTCGGTAGCTCAACCTCCATTGCAGAGCCTGACGACGTTCGGGGTGTCAATGGCTCCCGACGTCGTCTCTCGTCCTCGAGCTTGCACAATTTCCGATTCTGCAATAGTCGCTTTGCCAAAGAAATGACACGTTTGCGCGGCTGGGCGGGCGGTTTGCTGAACCAATCGTCTTCGACGGGGTCGGTCTGGGTTCCGGCACTGCAATAGACAGGTCTGGGCGCATCTGATGCTTGCCGAGAACGTTGGTGAGATGACGTCCGTCTTTTCGAGCCGTTGGGGAGCCGAGGCGAGTTGGCAGCGGCTGGTGAACCGTTCTTGCTACCTCCCGTCCCGGCATCTTTGTAGTTCGATGTCGAGCCGTTTCGATTCGACTTGGATGAGGTCGAAGTCCCATCAGAAACACGCTTCTTTTTCCGGGCGGGCTGCTGTTGCTCCATGCGGCGGAATGAATCTTCCACCATGGCCACCTTGCGCTTGTCTCGGTCGGTTGGCTCGGTGAGGATGCGATTTCGGTCGAGGGAACCTTGTCGGGCAGGAGTAGGGTCTCGGCTTGATGGTTTGCTGCGCGATATGTCGGTCTGGGACCGAGTGTCATCCTCGCCGTGGCCCTCGCTTGCGGCCCGGCTGACCTGACCAGTGCTCGTGGGGGAGATCGCTTGGGTCCGATGCTTCCGATGCTTCTTTTTGCCCATGGTCTTCGGTGGGTTCTTGCTGTAGAGATAGAGGCGATGAAATCTAGCAAAAGCACAATTGTTCTCCAGGTCGCAGGCACAACCGCCATATTCCGACAGGATGCGGTCGATCCAGTTTGATATCGCGTTGTACTCATTCTCGCTCATCTCAGGCTCGTCTGATCGGGACGCGTCGTCGTCGCTGAGCCCCAAGAGGTGCAGCCATCGCGAGCCTACACTCTTGTCCAGTCGGAAATCCCAGGGAAGAGTGATCTGCTCATTGGGTGCAATTGTCCGGTCGGCGATAAGCCAGAACTGGTATTCAGACCGGTCAATGAGAAGAGTGTCCAGCTGGGCATTCGGGCGACAGCTCCGCCGTACGAACCGAGCTTGCGATCCTTTGTGCCGGGTGTCAATGAACAAAGGCAAGACCGGATGAAAGAACACATAGGGAAGAGGCGATGAGAGATCACTCCACAAGTTCTCCGGATCCGAACAATAGTCCTTTTGGAATCCAATTTCGCCGTTGAGTTCGAAAATAGGATCCTCTTTTTGAATGGCCACTGGAGTGGTCATGTACTGCCAGCGCAACATGGTCGTTGCGTCAACATTCTGTTCTTTCGACGCGATTTGCATTATCCCTTGATTATCCATCATCTTCCGCTTCAACGCCTCAGACGATGCGTCTTGAAACACCTCAGCACGGCTGTGACCAACTTCGGATTGCATCAGTTGTTCATCGTGGAGCCATCTCGCTAACGCTCCGGGGACCGCAAGGCCTTGGAACGTGTTGTCGTGGACTGTTTCGAACTCTGTCTTCCACAGAGCTTGGAAAGCCAGCGAATAGTGATGTATTCTGAAGTCTTCCGGGAGATTGGGCGGGCTGTTGGCGGGGGATGGCGGTCGTCCGTGCGGCCCTCGCGCTTGTGATATTGATGGGCTTCGTTTAGCTGCTAGGGATCCAACGGACTGAGAGGAGCGATGTGCTGTCTTTGGCTTCTTCGGCGCGGGTTGCTGCTGATGATCGCTAATGCCGCCGTTTCGCTTGCTGTCACTCGACGAGCCATCCGCAGGTTTGATCTTCTTCTTCTGAGATTTGGGAGGAGGGCGTTTGGGCTTCTTCTCCGATTGAGTCGACGGAGCGACGCCATTTTTCAATTGGGTAGCACGCAGGACTGCCTTTTGGCGGTCCAACGGCCGAGGATGACAGTCTGCGCAGGCGTGGGCAAAATCCTCGCGGATCGCCTCGGCTCTGTTTTCGGGATAGAAGCACTCAATGTGCTGCCAAGTGTCGCACTTCTCACAATATATAGTATTTCCATCATCGCCAGAGAATTTGCAGATACACTTGATAGTGTACGGCTCTTCCTCAGCCACCTCTACTGGGGTGGTTTCGTCCTCTTCAACGACTGGCCTTGGAGGGAGGATGGGGACGACTTGGCTAGGAATCGAGACTGGCGGAGGGAGAGTGTCCGGTCTGTCAGTCATCATCTGGTGAATCGTCGCCACGATGTCGGGACGATTGTCGTTCAAATTGGGTGGCGGTGGCTTCTTATCGACGCGCTGTTGAGAGCATGACGACGCCTAGATTAGCGCGCCAGCTCGATTGAATGCACGACGAGCGAGCAGCGAGAAGCGCTCCAGGGAGACAGTCGGCAGAACTGTCGAGGCCAACGGGCAGTGTGACACGAAGAGACGCAAGCCCTGTCACCTAGGGACGAAGACCAGCTGTTCAGATTTGGAAGGGGGGCCAACGTGTAACGGGAGTCGATTGCTCGGACGTGGATCGCTTGAGCAATGGCGCGTCGAAACTTGCAAGCAGGCGCGCGTGTACGAGTTCGTTGCGCCGCGAGTTTCGTCGTGATCGAAGAGATTCGAGGTTGGCTCAGCGAGGGACGGAGGGGCCGGTGCGCGATGGATTCACGAGAGGCAGAGTATGGTGAGGCTTCGATGATGAAAGAGTTTGACTCGTTGAAGAGGAAGCGGCGCAGGAACTGAGTTCACGGCAGTACGTGTTAATCAGGGAAAAGGACGAGTAGTCGTAGTAAAGGCCGGGGGGAAGAGAGAGAATGGATGGGGGAAGGAAGGACTAGACTGGAGGAGGAGATTGGCAAAAGCAGCCTGCGCTGCTGCGTCCACGACCCGTCCGACACTCAGCTGGTGCTGCGACCAGAATGCCTGCGCTCTGGCTGGCTCGCACCGAAAATCGCACCAGACTTTTGCTGCTGTAGCGGCCTCGACCTGCTGGGCGCGCCGCCCTCCACTACTGGAAGCGGCTGGCACCTCTCGACCACAGCGCTCTCCCATTGCTGATGAGCATTTTCAGGCCCCGCTTCCAAGACGCATGCGCTAGTCCGGACAAGGACTGGCGGTGGCCGTGGGAAATCTTAGCGCAGTAGAGAAACATGACAAGTTTTGGCCTTAGCCTTTAGGCATTCCATCCTTGCTGATGGCCTTGCTCCAAGCAAGGCTGCAGGCCGTGCAGGTTGATGATGCATCATCGAGGTCGGATGGCAGTGTTCCGTCGTGGTGCGGTTGGCAACATGGCCACCATTGTGATCTACGTCAAACGTCCTTTCCAGCGGCGTAGGTTTTGTTAGCCAGCATACACGGTGGATGGGAAACCTCAAAGATCCCGGACTCGTGTTGCGAGATGCGGGTCGGCCTCTGCTACTGTGAATGATGGGCTTTCTGTACTGAATTGGGGTTTGCTAATACCATTGGAATCGAAGTCTAATGAAGACAGAACTTGCTGTCAGCACTGGGCTAGGGCGGAATCGGAGCAGAACAGAGTGTGAAGGGCGAACACCGTCGCGCCCTGGAAATATCCAGCTCGACGACGAGCGAGAACAGCTGATAAGGACCGGAGTTTCAGAGGTGTGCACGCGGGTACGAAATGTGGAGGGGTGCATGTGTCCTCCAGCCCAAGAAAGGCAGCCCAACCTTTTTGAGTTTCGGCAAAGCGAACAGATTCGTTTGGGAGTTGGGAGCCGTCAGTGCCGCTGATTGGGCCGTGAGTCACATTGCCAGCCAGTCCCAACATGAACTCTCGCGATGCCAGGCTTGCCAGCTCCTATCGAACTTGGAGTAGTACCCACGCTTGACGAGATATCGGTGACGTGCAGGATGCGTAAGAGGTAAAACGGTGTTCCTCGGGTGCATCGGTGATTACGATTAAACCGGAAACGGGCGATATCCCAGGTTCCCAAGGTAGATACGGCTGGAAGGCATCTGATTCGTTAGGCTGGATATTGTTAGACCCATCGAGCTTTCATTTTTTCATTGGTTTGGATCTCGATCGCTTGATTGGGCTGGTCGACAGTCATTATCATGGCACTGTTGTTACTGGGTCGAAACTAGATAATGATGCTAACGACGCGGTTCTTATGAGGGTAGTTGCACAACATCTGTGCGGTCTGAGATATCAACACGTTGGGTCAGCAGCTACGTATTACCGCGTCTGCGATTGCTCCAGATTCCAGTCCGCCCGCGCAGCGTGACCTAGCACCGGATAGGATCCATCTAGCTCTGTGCAACTGACAGACCCAGTGTCACTGGGATAGACAATATCACTCGTACAATGGCCCTTCTTCATGCCCCAGCTAAAGCCGGAATCACAATGAAAGACTTTCCAGTGACGCCATCAAAAATTGTACGCACTATGACCCCGAAGGGCAATAGAGTGAGGGTTGACTCCGCGATGTGCAATGCAGGCCACCCTCACTTTCCAAGGCAAATCTTGAGCTGCCTTGGAATGCGCAAGGTAAGTATAACGAGAGTTAAGAAATTGCGAAGGGAAGAGGCTTTATATACCCGTTCGGAGGAGGGTATGCCTGAGGCTTGACACAGACGTGGTCCACTTGGAGTTTGGCTAAGGTGGGTAATTGGACGCGGCTGGGAAATGAGCCTGCGACGGGGCGCGGACAGGTGCATGTGGTCCGGGTTGGAAGGAAAACCGCTGACAATGATGACAATACGTAGCTAGATACAATTATCAATAGTATCATGATACAACACTGCCAGCTTGAGTAAACCATGCTTGCCAGCAGCAGCTCCAACAGGCAGGCACGGAAGGCTGAAAAGTCGCTGCGCGGCCTGGCGCCTGGTTGACCAATTCTACCAATCAGCGTGCGCGCCTTCGTCTCATGACGCCTTTGCTCCCCCAGACCAGTCCTGGCCTGGGACCAGACCGACTCCGCCGCTGATAGACATCAACAACTTGACCGCCATCGCAAGCGTTCTGCAACCATCAACGACGCTCGACGCACTTCACTACAACCACTTCTCTCGCAACAATTTACGCGACGCCGATATGAGACTTACAGCCGTCGCTGCCTGCCTGTTGGCCCCGGCTGCGGCCTTGAGCGTCTTCAACGGCAACGCCCCCGACGCCATCGCCAATGGCGATAACAAGATACCTGGAGATTCTCCTCTCGAGTTCTGTCCCGGCGATCACTCCAAGGATCTTGTCACGATTGAGAGTGTGGACCTGTCGCCTAACCCGCCCAAGGCGTACGTCGCACCTTGCATCGATATACCGAGCTCAGAGAGACTAACATGCCTGCGATAGTGGCAATGAGCTGGTCATCAAGGCCAAGGGCACCATCAAGGAGACGATCGAAGAGGGTGCTTATGTCCTGCTGACCGTCAAGTACGGCCTCATCCGCTTGATCACCACCAAGGCGGACTTCTGCAAGGAGATTGGCAACGTGGATCTCGAGTGCCCGCTGGAGGCTGGTGATCTCGAGATCACCAAGAGCGTGGACCTGCCTGCCGAGATTCCTCCCGTATGTATTGCTCGATCTCTCATGCTTGCTATGCTAACACGACCCAGGGCAAGTACACTGTCTTGGCAGATGTCTACACCGCCAAGGATGTCCAGATCACATGCCTGACGGCGACTGTTGCCTTCAGCCGTGGCTCATTCTTCAACCAGGACTTGTAGAGTTTAGCACCTTGGAGGATCTTGGTGGTGGAGGTGATTCTTGGCATTGTCATTCTGCGTTTGTCTCGATGGTCTGCATTTCGGGTTTCTTCTACACTAAGCGAATACACAATTCACTGGCTGTTCTACTTTGATTTCATGTAGCAACTGCCACGACGCCATGATAGAAGCCGTTGCTACATTCTGTGCACATGATTGCAAACGACACTGGCTCGAGCACTGCGGCGTATATGTCGGTATGCCGTTGAACTATGCTCGCTCTAGAGAATAGGGTTGCCGCAGAACCCATGGACCCCGCCCCATCCTACGCGCCCAAATCTTACTCGCCAAATAGACGGCGTACGCGCCGCAATACACTGTCCTTCTCCGGATCGTAGGGATGGTCTTTGCTGGGGATTTCGAGGAGCGCAGGAAAGGCGGCAGTGTACGTATCGATGCGGTGTCGGATCTTGTCGGCAATCTAGAGCCATCAGTGACAAATTATGCCTATATGAGGGTGCTGCGACTGACGTGCTGGTTGATCAGGACGATGCCGATATCTTTCCTCTCTGCGGTGAAGCGATCGAAGGCCGCCTCGATGGCGGCAGTCTCCGTCTTGCTGTCCACTACGAGGAAGTTCTTCTCAGCTTCGCCGCCCGTGGTGACATGCTGGACTCTGCGTGAGCGTCTATACGACAAGTGAGCTGGTCAGCCTTACCCCGATACCAGCGAGCAACAATCCCGTCACCGAGTCCTTGGCTACGTCAGTGAATGTGTGAGGGCGGAGGCCGCTGTGCGCGTCGTCAAGAAGAATTTACCTCGTCGCCAATGACGGCAAGAAATTGGCGGTCTTTGTAGTCGGCGTTGGAGGCAGCCATGATCGTACGAGAAGGTTGTGGTATCAAAGGCTAAGGCACGGGAATCGCTCGTTCGTTCGTGTCGCAGCTCGATATGCTGGAGGTCCTGTGGCGCTACCTTACCCGGTACGTAAGGTACCTTGCCATGGGTGCATCCAATCCGCCCCGCAGAGTGGAGCCTTTGTGCTGAGCTCCAGGTCGAGCTGCGAAGTGCGAAGAAAGAGTCTGAATGACTATCACTCCCTTTCACAACAACCAGGTGTGCCATCTCGTACTCCACGCTGACGGTTCGACCACCGCCACCTGGCTTCATCGAGAGTGTACTGACCAGTTGCAACGCAACCAGGGGTCTTTTCTCATCGCTTACATGTGCCCGTAGCTTCACAACGCGCCATTCGACACGCGACGATGCCGCGCCTAATCCGACGCAAGCCGTTCGTCGAACGCATGAAGGGCTACCTCAACCCGATGGACTGGTGGCTTTGGGCATCTGAGGAGATGGAGACCAGCGACTGGGACTCCGACTCTTCGGGATACGGCATCGGTCTCACGCTCAACTTTATCTTCCTGCTTGCTCGCGCAAATTCCGGTCCTTCGACATCGAACGACGATATCTTTGGGGATGGCACTGGTCCAGGATGGTTTTCCTGGCTTGTAAGTGACTCAGCGACAAGCGTCCTGCATCAATTCTAATATGGGACTAGGTCCATCCTCTTGTATGGGTTCTAGTTGCGATCTCGCTCGCGAACGGCTTCGATACAATGGCCCGGACCCGCAAGTACCGACTTTTCTCCGCCAACGTCGAGGTCAAGCCTGCTACGTCCTCTGTCCAGCGCGTGAAGAGGGATTCGGCGCCTGCAGGCTCCTCGCCTCTCCGCTACCTCGGCCAAATGCTTGCGCCTGAATCGGCCGATGCCCGTGCACACCCAGACAAGAATGAGGATGTCTGGGAGCTATCGATATGGGACCCGCGTGCCTTCTCTCTGTGCATATTCTCGGTGTTCAGTCCTGGCCATGTGCTAGTCTACTGGCTGTTTCTTCCGATAGGATCGCTCGACACACAGCCTAGCGTGACCGTGTTCACGACTCTTCTGCTTCAGGCTGCACTCTCGGCGCAGATCGTGATTGGGAAATCGTTGTTCACACAGCAGGCTAAGGACCATGCTATCATTCAAAAAGAGGTGTTCCACGAATACGACTCACAATACGTGCACCCGCGCATGCACCCCGTCGTGAGAGATGTTGGCACACAAGTGTCAGAGCAACAGCCGCCCAACGCTCGAGAATTCGTCGAAGTCGGGACGCCGACCACATTCATCAACGCCGGCTTCTACAGCAGGAGCCAAACTCGCGCCACACCAGATCAGTTTACACCCAGTCGCACAAATGTCCTGGGCTCCCAGATGTTCACACCAAAGACCGTCGGCAGGCAATCCGACATGCCTCAGTCTGCTACGCAGTCCCGGCCTTCGCCGTCACGCCAGAGCATGCCTGCGAATTACTACAGCAGCTCTACCTCGGTACAACCACTTCCGCTTTCTTCGACCACGGCGAATCTCAGCAGCAAGGGTGGATACCTGGGCGCCTACTCTCACGAAAGGTCGCCTTTGAAGCACTCTGCTAGTCTGGGAAGGCTCAACAGCTCCCACAATGTCGAATCGCCCCGCAATTCACGCGAAATGACCGCATACGAGACAGAGAGGAGTGAGATGGGCAAGCAGAACGCGATTGTCAAGAACAGTCCGGGGCGGATGTCAAGCACTCCAGGCTACTCTAGGCCAAATCCTTTTGTTGGCCAGGCTCGGCCAGATGCGGCCCGTGCCACCGAAGCGAAGGAGAGGTTCCCAAAGATGCGAGGAGCATATTATTAATGGACCATTTTGCACGATTGAGATACACGGCGCTTTGGGGTTGTGTGTTCACATGGGTTGGAGTTGATAGGGACGCCCTTTGGTAAAGGCTTGGATTTTTCGTCACTGCATACGGTGGCATCAACACTGGACATAGCGTGGATAGAAAATCAGCCAGTGCGAAGCCATCATTGTCATTGTATCCAAGAACGCTATTCTTTGCATACACGGAATGAACATTATTGCGTTACCATTGGAACAAACGATTCATTCGTACATGCTGCCTGTGTGCTCACCAAAGCTGACCAGACCTTTCTCCTGCCATCAAATTCAGCTGTGTCGTCCGAGAGAGGAGCAGACCCAAGGCGCCTACCTGGCTCTGGGTTTGCTTTCATCATGGCACTTTCCATCCACTGCTCCGAATGGCTTGACCCTGGTGCTGAGAGCGATTTACATTTCCCTCGATGCTCACTCTTGCCACTGTTACTTCTGCATACAGGAACGTAGTCGTCTGTGACTGGAGGTAGGGCCAAGTACTGCATGGCAGCCTTCCAAGTCCGCTGCTCGGGACATATGAGCTTACCCGACCAGAACCATAACTGGAGTATGGTTCCCTTTGTCCTCCATCCCTCCAAGCCCTCATTGTTATCCTTCGTCCCATTGCCGCTCAGCAGGGGAAAGTGTTTGTGGCCCCCTGTCTAGTTGCGACAACAGTCAGGCATCATTTACGGTGACCATTCCTGGTACCCCCCGATAAACGCGTTTGCCGAAGCATAGTCATGGCGTTCTTTCTGCCTCCAACCTCGCAAGGTCCACCGAAGACTCCGGAGACACCACCCAAAACTAACATTCTCGATCTTAAGCCGCTGCCTCGACTCCCTTCAGCACACTCCAACCGCGCATTTGAAGCCGACGAGAGGAACGCAATCCACAGGTCATCTTCAATAGGAAAATGGTGGAAGAATCTACGGCCGAGCCGTAGACCAGAGAGAGGTAGTACCTTCAGAGAAGCCGGTTTACAGGACGACTCAGAGACTACGCAAGCACACCTTCTTCGCCAAGCTACTGAGGGTCATCGCACAAGAAGAGGTGGGACGACAGACTCAGGCCACATACTGGATTGGAATGTGCCAACTGTCATACATGATCCGCCCAAGGATACACCACCTCCAGCTCAGCGTGTAGTCTCAGCGCACACAGTGACTGATTCATCCGATATGGACGAGCGAAGGTTTAGCTTCGCACCCAAGGCTCAAGTGCCCGAGCAACTTTCACTTGGGAAGCAAATTTGCCCTGACAAGAAAGTGGCGTTTCAAGAGCCGTCCCATGAGAGCGAGCCCACCGACGAGAGCAAGATGCAAGCCACGTACCTCGCTGACCGTCGCCTTTCCCTGACCCGCCGCGCCATCGAAACCAAGAAGGAGCTGCGGCGCAAACGTCGAAACTTGAAGGAGAGTAGTGACTTTCTCGGTGTTCAAGGCTTCAACCCCAGGACGGGCACGGAGGACTCATTGACTTCTTCAAGCACTGCCAATAACGAAGGAAGCGGAGACGTCACCAGCGAGAAGGCAAATGCCCCCCGGCAGGCTAAGCGCGATATCCTGAACAGCCGCAAGGAAACAAAAGCTCAACAAAAGTTCACGCATGGCCCCTCGACTCCTTCCCGCCCAAACAAGGGCGTAACATGGCGGCGACACACAAACGAATGGTCATCCATACAGGATCCAGGCGTCAGCCCGGTGGCCCAGTCGCCTCGCAGTGACCCAAACAACTCTCGTAAGTGGACGAAAATCTTTCTCAAGGTCTGCTTGTGTACTGACTGGCTACAGGTAGCATGTCCCTTGCTATCGACAAGACGTACCAGATCTCGCCGCAACTTCCCATCATGGAACAACATGCATCAATTAATTTTCCTCCTCCGCTTCGTGATCTGGGGGCTCCTTCTTCAGCCACTGAAACGAGGATGATACCAGACACAATGGTGCCAGAGCCAACTTCTGAGGTCGGCTCTCATTCATCGAGCATTCTCATCCACAATAGACCACGTCAGAGCAGCGCACGTACCCTTGACGCGGGAGAGCACTACGAGAACAATATTCGCTTTGATCAATCTGAAGACTCGATACTTGATTCTGGCGTTCACAGAGGAGATCTGTCCGCCGATACGGTGAAGATGGCGAACCCCGCTGCGAGTGACTCTTTTTTAGGGATAAGGCCCGTGAGCAAACCGGAAACCCACCAAGGCAGCGACACGGGCTTCTCATCTCGATACCATCCGATGGCAGAGGTACTCCAGTTGACACATGGTACACCCAAACGCAGCCCCGGCCTCCTTCTAGCGGAGGTAGGCTCACGCCAGCTTCTCGAGGAGGGCACAATGCATGGCGATGCAGTGGGTTGGACGCGAGAGAAGGAGAAAATTCCGATACTCCAGTCGCACCACGGAATCATCAATGGTTCGATGAGAGACATCCAGTGTCTAGAGGAACGTGCTCTGCGAATGCCAGATTCCACACCCATCATCATCACTACTGGATCAGAACGGGAAATGAATGGGATCACTCAACGAAGCTCGCTGAAGAGTCCGACAGTTGGCCTGGAGGAAAAAGCCACGACTATCCCACTGACAAAGCTGGCGGCAAGCTATGCAGTAGCGCAGGCTTTGACTGTCCTCTCGAGCCGCAAACTGAACTCGCCGCTGAGCTCCACGCCGGGGAGACAAATGACTCGGAGCGATACCATGCCCACCTCAGGAAAGTGTTACCCAAGCAAGAGGTTTGTGAGGCGACGAAGTGTGGCGAATGTCCCCGACCTATGTCGTGTCGAAGGTTCGGTGCAGCGTCAGATGCATCGCCGATACAGTATGTCACCAACATCTATCCCTGCCTTGGGTGCTGCTCAACGGGCCTTCATTGCAAGAGATCCGAAGCTCATGTCGCCGGCCGTGCACGACTTCCATATCTCGCCGAAGCTTCCACCAGCCAACGCCAGGATACAAGTGCCAATAATCATCGCAAAAGCAGGCTTGGGAACTCTGGAAAGAAACGTGCCACAGCAAACAATGAGTCCCGGGAGCCACGACCAGATGCTTCGATCGGACAAGGGATTGACGAATTGCCAAAACCAAAGTATCCCCTGGACCCCAAAGAAAGCAGTGCCGGGGAGTTATCCGTGGGAACTGGACGACGCAGACGACGACATCGTAGGTCATTTTTCCACGATTCGGAATAAATTGTGGCCCATACAGCAGGAGGTCGCATGGAAGGTCTACTGTCATTTTCTGGGCTGTGTTCGTGTCTGGTGGAATCTGACAAGGCCGGTGTTCAATTCTTCTTCTGGTTATTGGGCGCGGAGCAGGAATGACGAGGCAACTCTGTTGGACTTCGTTGCTTTCCTCCTTTCTCTGCCTGGTCTGTTTATTGGCCTGACGGTCCTCGTCTAGGTGATGTGGCTATCGGCCATCGGCGGCACATATGTCATAGAATGCCTCGGACATTTGTGGGAGGAGCTGCTGTATCTTTAGGAGTCGACTTTCGGATTTGCGATACTCCTCTAAACGTGTGTGGACTTAGTGATTGGTGTCCTTCTTGACGGACCGCTTGTATACTTTAGCAAGGCTGTGTCGAGGGGATAGCTGCAGATGTTATGTGGTATGATACTCGTGATCGCTCTCGTCAGTGATGTGAAGGGCGATTCAATGCGCAGACTTTCCCTCAAGTTCTCAGTAGGCCGACATGTATAAGGAATCCATCGTCTGGCCGTAAGCCTTCCGGTGCCATGTCGTCCGGCAGTCTCCAGACTCGGAAGCGTCTGTGGAACTCGGTCAACCATGCCTGAAAAACGTCATCGCTTCGCATCTGCTGCGCGACTACACACAAGCAAGGCTCATCCCCGGATTCTCTTTTCAGAGCACATGCGTCGACTGAGGTCTGTACCAAAGGTGCCACCAACGATTCGTTGTAAATGCAATCGCAAGCGAGTACCATGTCAAACGTGCCCGTCGGACTGGTATCCTTTGCAACTTGATCGGTCTCCCAATCCAGCTCTCTAAATGTCACATGGGCCTGGTGGGCCTTTCTCTTGCGCGGGAGGTTCTCTGTCAAGTTCTTGGCGACTAGCTTCTGCACGTAGGCTTGGTCGGAGAGGACATATGAGCCTACCAACGGGGAGAGGGCCAGGGCGTTGAGAGGCGTGATACCGCAGCCGAGTTCGAGGACAGAGGAGGAGGTTGTGAGAAGAGAGGCTAGAGGGGATTCTGGGAGCCAATCCGCCAACAACGGTGTGATCTTCCACAACACTGGAACAAGGATGTTAGTTCGGGGCTCCATGGCAGGGGGGAAAGGTCGGGGAGCGTGCCTGCGCCTGTTGTTCCACCAACCCTACTTGATGAGAGGAGGCCTGGAGATTGATGGATAGTGTAATCTCTTTTGGAGATTGTGACGTCGATTGACGAAGCTTTTGGGTCGATGAAACCAAGATTATGTGAGGGAATGGGGCGAGAGAAGAGGAGAAACGTTTCTGGATCATCTCGGTCAGCAAGGGCACTTCAGCGGCCGTTGAGGGAAGTTGGGGGGAAATGAGATGTACCTTCTTCTGGATCTTCAATCTCGTCTTCAAGGCTTGAAATAAAATGTCGGAGTGCCATCATATATGTTTTTGTGAAGTTTTCAATATTGTCTCGGAGTCAAAGGGAAAATAAATTCAGACTGATAGGTGCGGCCCCACCATAAAATACTAACCAACGTCAATTAAAGTCGATAATACCACAACCTAATTAGATCAAACTCGAAGACAACTTAAATGGAATGAATTGACATTGGAGGTGGCGCTCTTACTTATCCTTCAGCAAGCTTGGCTGCGCATGGCGACATGATACAGGTTAACCGATATGCAGACTAGCTGAGCGGGCCGGCGAGATGATATTAACAGGCGGAGAATCGATTGTCACCTTCAATCTTTATATAAAGGCTTTGTAGTACCCTCCACGCTCTTCTCTACGTCTTCCTTCATCTACATACCTATGCCATGGGTCGTTATAATGAATATTTTCATTCCTCCGTATATTGTAACCGCAGTCTTTCTTTCTGTAGTAAAGCCACAAGTTGCCGCTCGTAAAAACAAGAAACACATCGCTCCCCTGCGCCGTAGTTTGCCAGAACCGGGTTTTTGGCATCAGACCAGCCCATCATAGAGAGATAGCGCGCAGACGATAGTCTCGTCGCGCTTACTGCCTTCTTTGAACTCCTCTATATCCAGACTGCCATTTTCGTCCTTGTCCATCATGGCGAATATCTTTTTCACACGCTTCTCAGGCGTGTCCTCGTCTTCGGGAAGCTTCACCATTGAGCCAACCTAGACCTCGCGTTAGTGTCTGCCGTCTTGGGAGAGCTCTCGAGCAAGACCCTCACCATCTTGTAGATCGCCTCCACAATCTGGAGCATCTCGTCGTAGCTGATTTTCCCATCGCCGTCTATGTCGTACAGTTGAAACGCCCAGTCGAGCTTGTCCTCTGTCTTGCCGCGACTGGTAACGCTCAAGGCGCAAATGAACTCTTTGAAGTCGATGCTGCCAGAGCGATCACTGTCGAATACGTTGAAGACATAGTCGGCAAATGAGCTCGGATCGCCGAATGGGAAAAATTGGCGATAGATTTTCTGAAACTCCTCCTTGCTCAGCATGCCGGACGGGCAGTCTTTGAGGAAGCCTATGGTTATGAGTGACTGTTGTTGTATACCAGGGTCGGTGGATATAGGTACCTTTATACCATTGCTGGAGCTCCTTCTTGTCGAAATGCGTCGATTTCTGTAGCTCAGCAAGCTGATCTGCTGAGAGCTTTGACTGTCTGGTAGGCGATATATAACATTAGCCGCGTGATCTGTCATGGAAAGTGTGATGCTAAGAAAGTTGATGGTGCTGCTAATGTGCCTATGACGTCGCCGGTGATCGTGGGTGGTGTCGATCCAGGGCAACTAGGGGACAAACCGCGCGACAAGACACCATTCGCCCCTGGCACCTAAACCGATACGTGCAAATTGTCACTTACGATTTGCCCATGTTCAATCACTTCTCTGTGTCCTTTGGGAAAAGGTATCGCCCGGTGCTCGTTCAAGTGCTGATAACGCGGGGTTTCGGACAGTCCTTCGGGATGTCGCGAGAAGCGCAGGGTCCGTGGGGCGAGGAGGATGATTAGGTAGGTTTCGGAGGGGAATGACGGCTCGCAGCGCAGACCTGTGGCTTGATGGTGATGGAATGATCGAGTCGATGAATTGGTCGCACTGGAAGAATATCCAACAAGTGAATGCCTTGAAAGCTTGGGACGTCTGTCGCTTCGTGAGCAAGAAGCTCGTGGATAGGTGTGGAACGTTGTTTGGCTGGAACACGACGTGTCTCTGGGTTCGTCAGGTTGCGATCGCTCGGGCCTTTTGGTGACGACAAAGGCGCTGCGTCGAGGTATTGAAGATCGAAACTCAAGTACAAGTTCCCTTTTCGTAGGACTGGGATGGGAAACAGCGACTCGTGGTGAAGAGGAGCGACGAATCGACTGTTGGCGGGAAGAATTGTTAGAACGGAGGGGAAGGGCACTGCACCTCCCCACTGGATGGAGTTAAAAAGGTCTCGTCAATGCGACCTTTGAAGGCTACTGCAGCCAGCAGAGCTCCAGTGCAGCCCTACAGAGAGACCGATTATTATGCACTTGTTGTATTTGGAATGGCCCAATGTGTGTTTCTCGAACTTTGATAGGGCCGTGACGGAAATCACTACATCTCATCGTGCATCAGTTCTCAGCGCATGAACCATGGTACCCTGCACCCCTCGGTACTTGGGCCCCTTTCCGCAGTGCTTTCGAGGCACAGCACAGGCGCAGACCTGCAGAGCTGGCACAATCGTCAAGCCTAGCTGATAGTTCGTCTTGAGTCATTCAAGGAATGCCGAACCTTGCGATAGTCTGTTCCCTGCGCATTCATGTATCAACGCCCTTCTTCACCAGTCCCGCCTGGAGGGTTGCCACCAGTCGTCTTTGCTTGGACGCTTAGAGAGGAGGTGCTGGCGACCAATGCAGAGCTGCGTGACGCTGACCGCCAACTATGAGCTGCTGCTGTTCGTGGATTCGGCCGTACGTTCGCTAAGAAATTCCCCTTAGCGAAGCAAAAGACAGCACCAAAGGCCAATGTTCGTTGCCGAGATATCGATCCTGCAACGCAGATTAAGCTACCTACTGTGGGGGGACAAGAAGACGAGCACTTTGCTCTAATTGGCAAAATACCTTACCTGGCACTGTGCACCGAGGTGTTTTTGAGGCCCGCGACGGGGACAAGCAAGCAACACACAGTGCATAACACGCTGTGGGACAAAGCAGGAAAAGCTGTGGCGGGACCAGCGGTCATTACTTGCACGCTTGGCGACACTGGGTGCCGGGGCCCCTCCCTCCAACGCATCATAAGTACTAGCTCTACTCCGTACTCAAGAGAGTTTCGGTCCCGAGTCTCCCAACCTGCCAACCAAGCTATCATCATCGCGACACTGGTGTTTGTTGTTGTCGTCTCTTTTTCTTGGTCGAGGACGGCTCTAGGTGCCAGCCGCCAGCGTGCGACCGCGCCCCGTGCTGCCAACAGCTCACGCCATTATACAATTACCAACCATCAGTAGTCCTCTGAGGATACTATTGTTTCAGTCTTGCGGCTTGAAAAATCGAGGTTACGGCCATTCACCTACATACGACCGTAACCGCTCACCAGCCCGGCAATAGCATATTGAGATATCCGTCCTGGATGTAGGCGATACAGCCACTATCAACCGCTCGCCTTACACGACGCCACTTACATCAGGCTCCCTTGGCGTGGGTGGTGTGTTGGTCTGTTGTGTTGGTCTAGCACGTTGAGTGTCAGCCCTACAGCTTTTCAGCCCCGACACAGCCCTGATACACCACGAGAGTAAGGATATTCGCCCATTGTTCTGCAAGCACACCGCCAATCCGGCATTCGCTCTAGAGCTGTTCAGGTAGCGCAACCTAGCCTTTGCGGCTGATACAGCCACGCTTAGTCCCCACACTCCCCCTTGACCTTTAGCCAAGCCGATGGTGCTGTCGTTCTGGTTGATCCGACTTGACTAACAGGTTCCTTAGATTGCCAATTGCAAACCATCCAAGCTCCTTGTAATGATGCCTGTACCCAGCATACCTCAAGGCGGGCCCGGGCCCATGGTGCCCCAAGGCTCGGCCCCAGAGCATCACCAGCAGCATCTACAGCAAAATCACCAGCAAATGCAGGCCCAGTATTCAAATTGCCCTCAGAACCAGCAAATCCAAAATCAGCAGCAGCCAAACCCACAGCAGCCCTTAGACCCAGCAGCCGTGAAACTGACCAGGGGCACTAGCTGTGTGCTGTGTCAACAACGCAAGGTGCGTTGTGATAAGAACAAGCCATGTGCGAATTGCGTCAAAGCACAAGTCGAATGTCGGGTGGTGCCTCCGCAGCAGCCTCGACGTCGAAAGAAACGGCTGCAGGAGAAGGACCTGATCGATAGGCTCAAGAAGTATGAGGGGATGTTAAGTGAGCATGGGGTGCGGTTCGAACCTATCGGCCAAGACCTGCGTTCCGACGGACCCCAAGGTGACGACGTAGAGGATCTGGAGAGCGAATTTCACGCGCTTAAGGCCTCTCCACACCCAAGCTTGTCACCATCAGCTGCGTCCACCGGAGAAAGGTGAGATCTATCCAGGAGACCTAGCGCTAGACGGCACAACTGACGCAGCCACACCCAGACCATCAAGTTCAATCTTCGCATTGCACAAAGAGGTACTGGCAATCCTCCGCGCCCGCCAAATATCCATGCTGACTAGTATCAAAAGTTCCGTGCCAGCGAGAAACTGATACAGGATTCGTCTGATGAGGAAGTCCAAGGTTCAACGATCCATCGAGCCTTTGACAAACTCTTTAGCAACGAAGACGGGTTCCCTTTTATTGTTGGCGGTTCTTTCATATCCGTCACAAAAGCTCACCCTAACCCTATCCAAATCTTCCAGCTGTGGCAAATCTACATTGATAATATCAATTCACTGCTCAAGATAACCCATGTACCGACAATACAACCACAGATACTCCAAGCGGTGTCGAATCTCGAGACTGCTCCCAAGAACATCGAGTCGTTGATGTTTGGAATCTACCTCATGGCGATCACTTCCATGGAGGAGCGGGAGGCTCAGAACATGTTCAACGAGCCAAAGCAGGACGTCCTCAAAAAGTACCTGACTACAGCACAACAAGCACTTGTAAACGCAAGCTTCATGCGCGTCGATGATTTGCTCTGTTTACAGGCCTTTGTGCTCTACTTGGTGTGTATCTCCCGTCATTGGCGTTGCAAGGTGCTAACGACGGATAGTTCACTGTCCGCTGGTTTGTCGACCCTCGGCAAATCTTTTGCATGAATGGAATGGCTGTCCGTATGGCACAACGCATGGGACTTCATCGTGACCCGGGAGGTTATAGACTTCCGCCCTTTGAGGTTGAGCAAAGGCGACGATTGTGGTGGACTATCGTTGGCTACGACCGACGCATTGGAGAGATGACTGGCTCGACAGTGACTGCCCTGTCAAGCGGTGGTGATTGCAAAATGCCACTGAACGTCAATGATAGCGATCTCCATGTCGATGGAAAAGATATGCCAAATCCGCACACAGGGCCAACCGAGATGATCTTTGCCTTGGCTCGCATCGAAATGTCCATGGCTGTGGCGAGCAACAGCAACCGCGACAGTCAGAAAATCAACAGTCCGGAGCCCAAGGCCAGCTCGGCCAAGGGAGACTCCAAGCCAAGTGGTGGCCCAACCATACGTCTTGCAGTTCCCGATTCGCCAACGTACACCCTGGATGGCTTTTGCGCACATATGGAGGGAACATATCTCTCGCAGTGCGACTCAAAGATACCGCTTCACTTCTTCACCATCACAATGACACGACAAGCTCTGTGCAAGATGCGCGTCGTCAATTTTCTGGTGCGTATGCATAACGCAGAAGCTATGCCTCTGAAGGGAGTCGAGAGGGAGGACCTCTTCCTGCAAGCTACGCAAATGATCGAGTATGATAATGTCGTACAGTCATCTGACAGCCTTATTCCCTTTAAGTGGTACTCGCGACATCACTTTCCATTCCCTGCGTACATGTTCCTTGTACAAGAGCTGCGCACTCGGGTCCTGGGTCCAATGGTAGAACGAGCATGGGATGCCATCACCGCCAACTACGACCTCAGGGGCCTTTTGAACAATTTCCACAACCCCATGCATATGGCATTCAAAAACACGTTCATTAAAGCGTGGGATGCCCATGCCGCAGCACTCAGCTCGCAAGGGAAGCACGCGCCTGTTCCTCGCTTCATTGTCGTCCTGCAAGAGCGCGCCGAGCAACGTCGTCGGGAGCGGGCTGACAAGCAGTCTCCCTTGGACCAGTCCCCTGGGAATAGTCTGGCCGGGATCGGACCAGTGTCGAATGCCGGCTCTGAGAAGATGACCATGACACCTCCAGGCATGCCCGGAGTTGGAGTACCTATGCCTCCTCTGGGCAGGCCCGGCCCTCCCGACGACGACCGTGACATGGATTGGTCACACATGGTGCAAGGCTTCCAAGATCCTCAGCCATCACAGTTCAACCAATTTGGTGGGTTTGGCGGTTTTGGTCCACCCCTAGGTGGTGGAGGCGGCCCCATGCCTAGCATGGGACCACCACACATGGGCGCATCCCAGGGTCCAGGTGGTCCTCGCATGTATTGATCGCAAGTGCGGAAAGCAGGAGTATTCCCTGACAACCCGCGAGGAAGACTTTCAATGTGTCGCAGCAGCGAGATTCTCGGAGCAAGTACACGTTGGATCTCGAGTTTCATGTTCTAAATATATACGAGGGAGTTGTTGCATATATACTTGTATATACTATCATGGTCCATTTCACCTTCAGGCTCTTGATTCTTCGCAGCGAGTATTCGAAAACCGCCTTGAAGAGAGCCAGTGGCAGAGAGCCAGTGGCAGACATGATTGTTGTGCTTCTAGTGCCTTTTAACGTGGGCGTCGATGGGTGATGAGCGCTGCTGGCACGTCCTTAAAATAATGCCTCTCTAGAGCTTGGAAGCGAAAAAGCCGCCTTGGAACAGCGATTGTGTATGGAAAATCTGTTTTCGGGACCGAAGAAGGGGTCATTGTGTGGCACCGCCCGATGTCGGTGCCCTGGATTGCAGATACTGCAGCAGGGCGTTGGTCATACCCTTGTAGCTGTATTCAAGGTGTGGCACACGACCATTCGGGGAGCCAGTTCGCCGGTTCACCGGCCTTTGTGAACGCAAGACTTGCGCTTCTGGCCCGAGGTCGTGGCTTCTCGGGCCCCATTGTTGGGCCAGTACGTGCATTTATCCGGGTGTACTGTGTCTGCACGCGTACTCGTTCGACATTTGTCATCTTGGTTAAGTTGACCGTCATGGCTCCCGGAATGGGGAGCCGACGTCGTCGATCGAGGTAGGCAGGCGGCTTGCATCTCAGCCAGGCTTCTGCGCCCATACACTGACGCCCCCAAGGAAGGCATGTATAGCTGGGTCATTGGCCGCATCTGACAAATCTTGGCCCAAGGCGGTGGCTTCCTCTTCAGATATGCTCAGCATGGCATGACGGTTGAGGAGTGTGACGGCCATGTCCTGGGCAATGACTTGGTTGAACATGCCCATCTCGCGTAATCGCTTATCGTTTGGCCAGCGCCCAAAGGGTACTTCCCTTTGGCGAAGTTGGATATTGACGAACCCTGCATCCTTAAGTAACTGGGGAATGTTGCGGCTCGTGTCGAGCTTCCATCCGAATTTATCTGCAAAAGGTCTCGCCAAAAGGGCGAAAAATCTGTTCATCGGATGGTCTGGCCCCACGGTACCATCCTTGGAGAAAGCTTCGGAGATCACTTCATGGCACTCAATCCATCCGCCTGGTCGCAAATTCCTGGTAAGTTTGTTAGATGACGAATTGACGATGGCATTGGGTAATGCGCGGAGAGAACCTACTGGAGTGCCCGGGCTACTATCAACTGGGGACACCGGACTGTCTGTAGTAGAGATCTGATGAAGAATAGGTCTGCGTTTCTGTGTATGTTCGCCCATGGTCGCTGCTCGTCTTCGAGGTCCTCAACGCAGAATTGGAGGTTTGGCGGCGTCCAAAGCGGCTGCGTGGGAGCCAGATCGACGCCTATTACATGGGCACTAGGGTACTTTTCGGCCACTGTATCACGTTCAGTCTGGGTTGGTAGGTGATGGCGCAGATGCGTCTGGTTGAGGGAATCATACCATCCAGAGCCCAGAAACCGGCGCCTGTGCCCAGGTCGACAATTTTCTGAGGGGGGTTCCCGAGGGGCGACGTATGGAGGTTGCCGTTCAGGATATAGTCGATGTGAAACTGGTGCTTGATGCCTTCGCGCATATGTTCTATGTCGTCATTTGGTAGTCCATAGCGATCATGCAGAAGCGCCTGGTATCGCCTCTTCCATGATTAGCCCCCGGAATAGTTCACAAGACCCGCCGTGTACTGACCTTCCTTGCTCAAACTTGAAGAACTGTCTTGTGGACGTGAGCGAGGTGAACTGGGAAAGCTCATTCTCCTCTTCGTAATCCGAGGTTGAAGTGTAAATGGGATCCGCCATATCTGCGTCCAACGAGCCCTGCGATGAGGCCATGGCTTTCAACAACGATGTTGACAAAAGGCCTATATGGAGACGCAGCTGGGCTGTAGTTGTGAATTTTGAGAAGGCAAGCAGTCACATTTTATGCTTCCTCACAGGGGATATGCCGAGACGCCAAAAGCATGGTAGTTGACTCGTACCCGTGTCTCGCGGGCGTATTTTAGCACAAGTGCAAGAATTCGACGTACAATCTGTGCCGGCAGACAGATGGATGTAGAATTAGAGTTTCCTGGTGGAGATATGTGATATGTCGGGGAAGAGGGAGGGATCCAGGCGACTGGGCGCATGGCCGCACATCACACTCAGCTTCGACTCTTCCACGTCTTCTGGTGTCCATCATTGGACTCGGGTACGGGTGTGATGGTGTCCAAGTGGGTCTTAGTGCGAGCTACGATGCAACCAACAACCAGAAGACTTCAGGCCGAGAAGCCAGCCACCGTCGGCTTGAGCAAGCTAAGCAGACAGCCAAAGAGGTGTAGCTAGTGATGAAAGTATTGCGATATGGCCATTGCCATACTGAATACTCAGGCTTGCATGTATCATGCCTTGCGTACCTTCTCAATCAGCGGCTGCGACGATAATGTAATTACTGTCTGCAGTGCATTCATGACTAGCCGCAATCGTCGAACAACAGCCTTTTTGTCCTCAAGTGGGGGTTGCCATCCGTACTCGCGTCGCTGCATCATGAAGCTCTCTGCTCAGGAAAGGCGATGTAGATCTTGATGCTCCTTGAGCAAAGCACATGCGTCACGCAGAGATAAATTTCGAATAGCAGAACTTGAAGTCTTTGGATTTTTCCAGTGCCCTGAAAGTTGAGTTACGCCAGTGCATGACGTTGTGAGGGCATTTAAATGTCCTTTCCCAATCGGGAAACTGTCTAGGGCAGGCGCGTCTCGCAAGAGCAACCCGCGGCGCGTCTCGACTCTCGAGACACTACCGGACCTAATTAGACAGGTCCTACCATATCAAGTCACATAAACTGCGTCCACGATCCGCCTTGTCATCGGCCTACTTCTTCAACACAGCCTGCTTCATCTTGCATCTTTTCGGACTGTATTTGCACTATAAATATTCCGCATATCTAAGCGTTGACGTTGGGATACGACTTTAGCTCCCGTCGATTTGCGACCCTGCGACGCGATCTAACGCGTCCCGCCCGCATCGCTTTCCAACAGCCTCCGAAACTGCACTCGTCCTCCGCTCATGCATCAGGTGCCTGGGCTCGAACCACGCGTAATCAGAGGCTTCTAGCCATGTATCTCCCACGTTCTCTCATATCCAAGCTCTACATCCACCTTCAGAAAACGCGCCATCCCCTCTCCCCACCGGTACTCATACTCGTCACGCTCGATCCCGACGCTCTCTGCGCTTGTCGAATTCTCACGAGACTCCTGAAACATGACTACATTCCGCACAAGATTCACCCGGTGGTGGGACTCAGCGGGTTGGCACAAGCTGGACAAGACTTGGTGGCCCCAATGATGGAGTCCCAGGGCGGCAGCGGCGGCCTTGTCGTCTGCCTGGGGGTGGGAGGAATGGTTGATCTCGGTGAGGTGCTTGGACTCGAAACTGAAGGCGATGATAGTCCGTACAGCGGGGTCGAGGTCTGGGTTATCGACGCACGAAGGCCTTGGAATCTGGGCAACGTCTTTGGTGGCTTCCCGCTAGAGGTCGCCGCCGAGCCGTCGAGTTCATATCAGTCTCGAATACCTGCTGGAGTAGATGGAGGTAAGATTGGAAGGTCTTATAAGCCCGGGAGAGGTGGGATAGTCGTCTTTGACGATGGCGACATTGAGGACGACCTCGAGGCCGAACGCAATGCGTATAAAGCACTATTGGACATGCCTGATATCGACGACGACGGCGACAGCCTTGACTCCGAAGATGACGCTGAAGACGGTGCCGGGGATGTCGACGATGAGGTGCAAGAAGCCACCCGGGCTGGGCAGAAGCGGAAGAGTTGGTCAGATAGTCACGACGATGGCTTGTCTGACGATGATGATGATAGACCGGCGCAAAGACGCAGGAGTAATATGGTATGTCAGCCATGCCGTAAACAATGATAAAACCTAACACCCACTAGTCAAGCCCCATCGCAGACTCACCGCGGCGTCCTCAGCACAGAGGGCTACTGTCATTGCGGGAGCCCAATGCTGGGCTCTCCAGCGATCCCGTCGAGCCACCATCAGGAGCGCAGTCTGGTCCTGCATCTTCAGCCGGGGCTCTGCGACGACGCTTGCTACGCATGCGCCGAGAAAATCAAGCAATTATCGCTCGATACTACTCGGCGGGTTCTTCATACTCGGAGCCGCTTTCGTCGATGCTGTATTCTCTCGCCTCAGAGCTTGGACGAGAGGACAACGATCTTTTATGGCTTGCCATTGTGGGCGTGACGTCCATGGAGCTCTATGGTCGATCTTCAGCCGGAGTGGCAGCACCTGTCCATGCCACGAACAAGAACAGGCCTAGTGGATGGATGGGTGTGCGCGGGGCTCGGATTCGCCAGCTTCTGCGCGATGAAGTGCGGCGACTCAACCCTCCAGAGATCACCAATGGACGTGTGGCTTCAGAGAACACTGGTGTCATTCCCACAACCGCCAAGAGCCCAGAAGACACGAGCATTAGGCTATCACCCGAGCCGCGGTTTCTCCTCATTCGCCATTGGAGCCTTTACGACAGCATGCTACACTCCCCGTATCTGTTCTCCAGACTAAAGACGTGGAGCGAAAAAGGCATCAAGCGCTTGCACAAGCTTCTAGCTAAGATGGGTGTCAGCCTTGCTCAGTGCAAGCAAAGCTACACCCACATGGACCTGGTGCTGAAGAAGGAGCTACGAGCCAAGTTGCTCGAATACGGCGTTCTATACAATCTCGATGAGATGGTACCCTCTGTTGGCACAGATGGTAGTGATCGAGGAGGCGCCAAGGATGGCTGGGGTTTTGTAAGAAGCTGGGGCTGGCGTGCGACCTTGAGTGCAGAGGATGTGGGCGTGGTAATCGGCGCATTACTTGAAGTCGGCAAACATGCTACTGGAGCAGAGGCTATCGTAACGTCCAGCCACAGGGATCGAGACAATGAGGAGGGCTTTGACTACACCTCGCAGGGTGACGAGTGGATCAGTCGCTTCTGGGAAGCGTACGATGCCTTGGAGGAGTGAGTCATCCCGCATCTCTGGATACTCAGACGCTAACGACCTCCAGCATTGATGCGCTCAAGGCTGGTCTACCCACTGCTCAACACCTCCACCGTGCAATCTACCGTACAGGCACGTCACTCATCAACAAAAAGCAGATCAAGCCCCTGAGAGCATTCCGAATGTGCGTGGTAAAAGATGGCCCGGACGTTTCCTTGTTCAACCACCCCGCAGCCTTGACCAAATTGTCGCTATGGATTGGCGAGGCATTGGCTGAGCAGGAACGAGAAATTCACGGGAAGCTATCGCACGGCGGTCGAGGAACGCCACTCGTTGTTGCGAGCTTGGATGAGAAGCGAGGGACGTATGTAGTCGTGGGAACGGGTGGTGGGGGCGGCCCTGATAACCTCTTCCTGGACCGAGAAGCGTCTAAGAAGCGCAAGGAAGCAAGGGATGCAAAGGCCAAGGTTAAGGAGGAAGCGCGACAAGCCAAGGAGAAAGTCAAGGCGGAAAAGCGTGCAGCTAAGAAACAAGCCGGGGACGATAACGACGATGAGGACTTGGAGACCGAATCGGAGGCTTCTGACACGGATTCAGAAGATGACTCGGACTTGGAGGAGGATGGCAACGAAATCAAGAAGGGATTTGGTCGCAACAACTTCGGGCGAGCATTCCAAGAGGTCGTCGCAGAGACGAGTGCCCGAGTACGCATCGACAGTTTTGACAATTGTGTCGTCGAAGTGAGGAAAGAGGATCTTGTGGGGTTTCTTGAATGCCTAAGCGGGAAGCCTGTCATTGAATGAGGGAGAGGGAACGGGAAAGGACAGACTTTCCACGGCGCAAGTGGCAAGCTTGCATGGTATCCAGGCGTCTATGTTGCAACACATGGGGCGGGCAGAGCGACGCGAGGCGTGAGACGATGCATTTTAACGAGATCATGTATAGAGACGACTGTTTCAACGTGGGCTAACAACGATGTGGTTCATCTGTGTTGATCACCCACCTTGCATCTCAGCCTCTTGGGCTTCTAACATGCTCGCCAAGATCCACAAAACCGTGGGCTCTTCATCAATCCAATCTCACGATACCTGTTTCCTGCGGCGCAGCATCGGCAATTACCTCATTTCTCACGTCAGCACCAATCAAGCAGTGACACGCGACAAGCCGCCGAAAGCAGAAACATGACCGGCATTCCTATACATCAGCAACGGAAACAGGATGGTGCAGGATGTTAGATTTTGAGGGCTGGCCATCTTGAGATATCAAGTTTGCACAAAAAGCCAGCCCGCCGGGACAAGATCACCTCAGTCTCCATCTTCTTTCGACTTCTCCTAGATCTAGCGACGACCATGGCAACCGAAGCCACACGCAAAGTCTGGGCTGACGGGCCGTACCAGCTCATCACTGCGGAAAAGAGTCGCCCAGAGGTAAGCTGACAAGGCCGGAGCGCATTCCTTCTCAGTGTACTGAAGCAACATGTAGCCCGATGGGACGCAGAGCGCCGCCAAATTTATGGCTGCCGAAATGACAATTGTCCACAATTGCATCCTGCGCGGTGTCAATGCTATCTACCACCAGGCCGTCAACGTGGCAGACAAAGGCACCAAAGAGGACAAACTTGATTTCGCGCACTTTACAGCACAATGGGGTGACATGATCCATGAGCACCACGGATTGGAGGAGTCCACGATTTTCCCCCAGATCGAACAGATGACAGGAGTTCCGGGTCTGATGGCCGCCAATGTCCGTGAACATGAGCAGTTCCACTCTGGCTTGTCTGCACTCAACGAGTACCTCGACAAGGTCAAACGCGAGGTGGAGGAACTGGACGGGGTCAAGTTGCGTAATCTCGTGGATGCCTTTATGCCCGTGCTCAGGGATCACCTCGACAACGAGATTGACACCCTTCTCGGATTGGCAGACTACGAAGACAAACATGACTGGAAGAAGTGGTTCGAGAACATCAGCTCTGGGATGATAAAGGCTATATTCTCCGATTCTACTCTCAGAGTGAATTGTCCCTTGCCGCCGCGGATGGACGAGCGAGCTGACGAGAACAAACAGAATGATATCTTCCCCCTGACCTTGGTGCTCCATGACAAGAAATTTGAGCAAGGTGTGTTCAAGACCTTTCCACCCATGCCTTGGGTCCTCCACGTGGCAGTGCGGTGGTTGTTTATGAACACGCGCAAGGATTGGTGGCGGTTCGCACCTTGCGACTTTTACTCCATGCCAAAGGAGTTGCCCTTTGTTTGAGCGCAGATGCTTGGTGCGGTACTTCCCGCCGTGATTGGAATTATATCGATGTTTTCAACTAGTTCTGATGAGCACATCGTCTTGAGCGTTCGTTGGGTTTGTTTAGGAGTTCCTTGTTTGATTTGTCCCCTGATACCGACAACGTTGAGTCAAAATACAAAGCAGGAGGGCTGATTCTCTTTGTGATACAGCGTAATCAAAGCTAAAATGTAAATCTTTTGGTCTGTTCTTCCAAGACGAGCTAATATCAGAATCTTCCGCCCGGAATCGACGTCTATCTATGCCCCAGAAAGATGTGTACAGGAGTCACGACTACGATGGCCTGTGGTCATGCCACTACATTTTATCGGACCTTATTCCTGCCAAACCTCAATGACTGCGACAAGCCAAAAATGGAGAAAAAGTTCATTGATGATACCTGCGCAGACTGCGACCCAGAAGCGCGCAGAAAGATCCTCAAGGAGGAGTACGAGGCGAAGCACGCCATCCTTATGCAACGCTATCGGCAGGCAAAGAAGGCCGGGGACGTGAATTTGATGCAAGACTTTGAAACTAGGATACAGACTCTCGTTATCGTTACGAGATCCCGCAACCTTGAAATCAGTTCAGCAAGAGGCAGCATGGATGTACTTTGGAATTGACGGAATGCGACCAGGTGTAAGGGGTGTCGCAGGATTGCTTCTCAGTGCAACGCAACGTAACTTGAGAGTAGTCAGCTCATAGGATTTTCAGACCCGTAGCAATATATCACAGATCATTCCTGAATATTTGATTGAGGCAGAAATACGTGTAGAACCTGGAAGCGGAGCCTATGGGGTTTTGGTGTTGAGCCTTGGCACGCCGGATGGCGAGTTGGCGGCCTAATTAGTTCACATACCTTTTAATTAGGTCATGATCGCTAACGAAGCTGCCCGCTGCGGCGCTGCCCCACTCGCTGTTGCCTAATTGACTGGAGGTGGATTCCCCCTTCTCCTGGACCACCGTCGTTCAGCTCAGACACATTCTACTACCATGGCAGCATTTGCGATCCCACTTTGAATACAATCTGTTAGAGCAGTGCCCTGTTTGTCCTCTTGTCGGAGTCACAATCGTCTGTGCTGCCTAGAGGCAGGCCTCCCTGTCCCAGCTCAGACGCATCCATTCCATTGCACTTATAAATGAACCCCCAGCACCCGGGTTTTAGGCACATTGAACCATGTCACACCATATGATAGCCCTCACGAGCTGGATGTCAAAGTTGGAGCAATCCTTCACACCAAACTTGGACCGCATGTCTACCTCTGATAACCACCTCAGGGTAAAGCACATCTTTCTCGACGCGTCTTTTCTATGCTGACTTCCTCACAGATCCCAGGCCTTGGTCTGCCGGTAAACTTCATGCCCGACTATGAGTTGAGGTTTCCCTTTCTGAGTGACGACCATGGCTATTCGTGGAAAGCAAGGACCCTACTTCATCGCGAGATCGCCATGCTGCAGGTCATGGAGGAGCTCACCAACAAGCCTGATTGGTGGCGCAAAGTCCGCGACTCTACCATTACAGACAAATGGAAGAAGGACGTCATTGCGCTGGGCCAGAGTGGCGACTGGGCTTCAAAGCTTGCTCCTGAAGGGTTCACGCGAAACATGGCGGATGCTGTCATTGTTGAGCTGCAGCGAAAGGCCGATTTTTATGAAGAAGCCGGCTTGGTCCCAGTCCTGGACTACTCTCTCTGCGTGATCAAATCGGACAAGATTCTCGAGGATGATCCGGACTTGGTAAAAGACCTCAAAACGGCTGTTTCACGACTGGAAAATGTCCCAGATGCCCAGAAGGACTGGCATCCCCGAAGCGGTAACAAGGTGCTCGACCTGGTACATCCATCGCTGTACCCCTTGGTCTACGGCAAAACAAGAGTTTTGAAAGACAAGCGCATCGATCTGGCGAACGCATTGGACTTCTGCGGCGCAGGCGAAGTCATTGCCGCTCAGCAGGATGGCAAGCTTGCGGAAAACCCTGCGGGCGACAATGAGCAGAATGTCCCGGCTTCTTGTTGGATCGGGGATCCATTCTTCTCATTCAAATACCAGTGGCTGCCATGTGATGTCAAGCTTGAGAACGGCAGGGCCGAAATCGTGAGCTACATCAACAACCTCCATCCTGTTGACCACGCGGAGATGTACCCGGTCATCGAAAAGTTTATCGAAAAGTCACTTCCAGCATGGGATCTATGTTACCGCTGGCCTGAAAACTACGAGCACAAGCGCATAGATTGCACACGTGTATTCCCAGAGTGTGCGACGGAAGAACTGTGCCCTGGAATATGCCAACCTTCCAATAGGCCGCTTGAAGAGGGGGAGAACCCCCGTACAGCCGAATATGAAGCTGAGGAAGTGTGGTATGAGGGTTCCGAACGTGAGAGGAAAGACACAATCTGGTACAATTCCACTCACTCGCTGGGGTTGCCGGAACCGGACCCGGAGAAAGTCTCTTTCGATCTCAAGGCTTCTGAGGATGTGAACAAGGATAAATTCTTTGAAGATCTTTTCCACGGTGATGTGGACAAAGACTTCCGAAACGGTACTTGGGAGAAGGGCGAGTCACGTATCCAAGTCATTGTCAAGCTCGCCAATATCCACTTGACTCCTGACTCGCCATCGTATCCGGGAGGTACGTGGCATACGGAGGGCCAGCTGAACGAGCACATTTGCGCGACAGCCCTCTTCTACTACGACAGCGACAACATTACCGACTGCCGCTTGGATTTCCGTACCATGGCCGATGAAGAAGGGCTCATGATGGAACTGGGCCACGAACAAGGTGATTACCACAACATCGAGCGCGCCTTTGCTATCGATGCTCGGGGCGACTTGCTCCAAAACATTGGCTCCGTGCTCACACGCCCGAACCGAGCACTATTCTTCCCCAACTTGTACCAGCATCACGTCTCTCCCTTTGAGCTTGTCGACAAGACCAGACCGGGCCACAGAAAGATCCTCGCCTTGTTCCTGGTCGACCCACAGATCCCCATCATCTCTACCGCCATTGTGCCGCCACAGCAACGAGATTGGTGGGCGCGCCAGGTTGAACTCAAGGACACGCAATTATCAAAGCTGCCTCAGGAGGTGCGCGATATGGTCTTTAGCCAAGATGTCATGCCAGTGGGCCTGGAGGAGGCCAAGGTCATTCGAGAAGAGTTGATGGATGAGAGAACAGTGCTGCAGGAAGGTGTCAACGGACAGCTGTCATATTCGTCGTGGAATTTCTGTGAGCACTAGAATGCTGTTCATTGCAGATGGACAATATTTCAGAGGATTGTACAATTCATATGGATGGAATTGCTACGCCAACCGAGATATTTCCTTTTCCCTCCCTTGAATTGTCCCTTTTCAACTTGACAACCTTGTAGATCAATCCAAGACGCCTAGTAGCCAAAATAGGGGCCGTAGCTTTTCTCCGAGTCATCAATTTGCATGGAAATTGATCGTGCAGCGGTACTTCCCGCCGTATGCGCGGGTGCATGGTTGCCATGCTCTCCCAGAAACGGCCATATGTATGAATGGTGGTGTTCATCGAGTCGGGGTGGTTGCGATAGGGGATATCTGGATCCAGCGTTCAGCGATCGAGAGAATATATATCAAGATGGGGACACTTACGCTTCGGACATGGAGTTGCATGGGAAATGCACGTATGGTAATGAGTGGTACATTGTTGGAATTGTCGTTGAAGACTTCCTGGGGTAGTCCACGGTCCGGATTTGCTCTGGCGTGATCATCTGGCGCGCCTCAGAGGAGGCTGTATCTGCAAATGAAGGATGGCCATGATGAAAGTATGAGGCTGGGTCAAAGGCGTCAGGCATCGGCGAATCAGATGCTGGCCCGTGTTGAAGGAAATCCGCACCTGTCGTTTGTTCATGGAACATCCGACAGAAATCCAGTTCCTCGGTGCCAGTCGCCAAAGGCAAAGGCAATAGCTTTGAGGGCGACACAGGCGGAGACATGATGCGCACTGCCGGGCGGTTCCAACCGATCTCGCGGAAGGCGATGCCCCCTGTGTGTTGTTGCCAGACTTGTTCATAGGGTCCTCCATTTTGATAGAACGAAGAGGAAACATAATCAGCTACTTCCTGGTCGGATGACATCTTGTGCTTCTTGGAGTTGTCAGGCTGGCTGGTGTCAGAGTCGGTGCTCATCTGCCGTTTACGTTCAGTACCCAGGCCAAAGGTAGTCATGACGTGAAAGAATGAGATATTTGCGAATGAATGGGTCTAGATGAGGATTTTCTGGTGCTTGGATTATCTTCCATGCAGAAGTGAGCGATTTGGGAAGTGGTAGGGATTTCTGACAAGATGAGCGAAGGGGGGACGACGGAACTTGCTTCATATTGGAAGGCAAATTGCGGCTTTGCGGATACGTAGACAACTACCACTAGCATATTTTAAGTAGAGACCCATCTCCCCTTATTTTCGTCTCTGTACCTGAAGCTCGCCTGAAGCTTCATGGTTCAAACAGAAGCGGACAAAGGCAGGCCTCATGTATGCGGCTCAACGAGTGGGGCTTGCATGTCTGCTTGAAAGGAACAAAGTGGCGGCATGCTTCCAGAGTGATGCAAGCACTACAGAAAGGGATCGTTTGCCAGAAGCGCTGTCCTCGACAGGCAACGAAACCATAATTGATTGGAGAAGAGTGCATTGACCGATGTTTTGGGGCCATCGACACCAATAAGATTTCATCTCTTCACCGCCCATGGTCCAAGTACGTCATTTACTGGGTGGTAATTAGATCACTGAAGAAAACGATTCATTGAGGCAGGTGACAAATGATGTGTCTAAATATTTTGATTTGATATGCCTAAAATTGAGCAAACGCCCGGAGAGAAAAAGGGGCGCCTCATTGTTGACTGATTAGTCATTTTCATGTGGTCCTAGCGTCTTCTTCTCCACTCTCTATCGTCACGGTCACTGTGTGCAGGCTCCACACGCGGGGCAGCCTGAGCTGAGCGCCCCCAAATGGTCATCATCCATCTCCAACGCACGAACAAATCGCCTTCCTCGACATAGCTGTCATCTTCATGTTTGATACAACGACACTCCACTTATGATATCTCACTAGAAAATTACGTCGGAGCAGCGAAGATGACGTCCCATGGCGCTGTGCCTCGCCAGGGAGCCAACCCCTTCGTCTCACAGGCCGGTAGCTCGGAGCTCCAGGTCATCCTCCACCCGCTCGTCCTCCTCACGATTTCCGACTACATATCGCGACACACACTACGGGGGAAGACACATCCCATAGTAGGTGGCGTTCTTGGCCAACAGAATGGCCGTGAAATCACCATTGAGCACGCCTTCGAGGTGAAGATGGAGGAGGGGAACAACACCGTAGCGGAAGGCTGGTTCGCAAAACGACTAGAGCAGAGTGAGACCTCAACTTCCCTGACATCTTGCCTTAGGCGCGCCGCTAACCGCTTACGATAGTGAAGCTCGTACACAAAGACCGGCAGCTCGACCTCGTGGGCTGGTTCACCTTACTACCCTCTTCTGGCCCCAACGAGTCCATACTCCCCGTCCACCGCTTCTTCCTCGCCAACTACAATGAATCCGCCATCCTTCTCGCCTTCCACCCTGATCAGGTTCTCAATCATTCCGCGGGCGGCAAGCTACCCCTCACAATCTACGAATCCAATCTCGAAGTCGAGGGCGGCAAGCCGACCAATGACGAGGACAAGCGCATGGATGACGGGGAATCGGGTCTGCAGTTGCGGTTCCGAGAACTGCCCTACTCAGTCGAGACGGAGGAGACGGAGATGATTGGGATGAATTACGTCGCGTCCGGGAGCGCAAATGCTTCTGCAGTAACAAGCAAAGAGAAAGAGCCCGCGCGGTCGGTGGAGAGCAACGGCAAAGGGAAACGTCGTCTCATAGAGAGTGAGGAACCCGAGATTCAGGCTGAGGAAGGGACACAGGCGTCAGAAGACACATTGAACAAGGAGGAAGAGGAGATGGTGGCAGCACTAACAACAAAGGCCAACGCGATCAAGATGCTGCAGTCGCGCATTGATCTCATGACGGCATACCTGGAGCGTCTGCCGCCCGCTTTCAAGAACGGCAATAGCAACCCAGGCGACGAGGACGCAGACATGGATTCAGACAACACAGTGCCCTCGCTCACAGTCCTGCGCCAGATCCAGGCATTGGTGTCGCGGCTCGACTTGATCATTCCCTCGGACAAGGAAGCCTTTGACAAGGAGATTTTACAAGAAACAAACGATGTGCAGCTGGTCCAACTGCTCAATACCATCATGCAGAGCACTGAAAAGGCGCGCGAGGTAGGCAAAACATTTGGTATCGTGCAGCAGGGCAAGATTCGGAGCCACCAGCATGGATATGACCCCTCGGCGGGGATGAGTTCCGTCATGGATATGTTGACATGAGAAAATCATGATGGGTACTTGTTTGAGTTGCAACATAAGCTGGGCGTTTGGGGGGGCACTTTTACGGACTCATATGAGGAGGCAATATCATCTCGGCATTATTATAACCACCGTCTTCTAGACCGTGTCCTCGCAACGGTGTGGAATCTACTACAATCATGAAGCCCAACCAGATCGTGACCCGAACGCCAAAAACACGCGCAGAACACCGCCGAGTCTACCCTTTTGACTTAACGGCTCTAGCCATTCATTATGTTATGCCTCGATGACAACCTTGAGCACCAAGTTTCCATCATCGTCCGACGTTCGGCTCGCGAGCTCAAAGGCACCTTGTGCCTTATCCAGCCCTTTGAAGCGATGGGTGACCATGTCATCGAGATTCGGAAACGACCCAGCAGCGCCTCTCTTCTGTGAGCAGAGCAGACGGATGCCAGTCGCGTACGTGTTGGCGTACCGGAAGATGCCAAGAATGTCAATTTCGCGGAGATGGGCCACCGAAAGGGGCAGCGTCTGGATTGGCGTCCCCATGCCGACCATAATCACCTTACCGCCCGGCTTCGTGGCATAGAGACTGGTGTGCATGGACACCTCCTTTCCGGTGCATTCGAATGTGACGTCGAACCCATCCTCATCCTCGTCGAGGATGAATTCATCCGGTGGATGCGAGACTGCAAAGATCTCGGCTGCGGCTGACTTTGCGCCATCGAACTGGCTCGCGGTTGAAAAGACGCTCGACGGGGTGAGTGAGCCTGACCCGGGCGTCGACGCGCCAGAGCCGAAACTCCTATTGATCACGTAGCCGTGGGTGGCAAAGCCCTTTGAGATGGCGTAGTTGACTCGTCCAGCGTCAATATCGGTAATGGTCACTGCTGTGCAGCCGGATTGACGGGCCATGGCTGCTGTAAGCAAGCCCACCGTGCCAGCGCCAATGACCAGCGCCGTCGAACCAGGGACGGGCTGCGCACGATTCATGGCGTGAATAGCTACCGAAAGAGGCTCCAGGAGGGCAGCGGCATCATACGAGATGTGGTCGGGTAGTCTGGACAGGTCAGTCCCAGGCCGATTCAAAGTGATTCAAAGCAACATGACTTACTTGTGACACCAGACGGCCGGGTGGTTGATTCTCTCTTGCAGAGTCCCCTGGTAATGGGGGTAGCTCTTGGCGCTGCTCCTGAACCGTAGCTTCTTGCACAGGTTGTAACGTCCCTTGCGGCAGATGCCGCATTGCCCACAAGCGACGCCGACCTCTAGTGCCACCCTATCTCCGACCCGAAAGCCATCGACTTGAGGCCCAATTGCGACGACTTCGCCGGCAGACTCATGCCCAAGAGACAGGGGATGGCAAGCACATAGGTCGCCGTTGGCGAACTTCTTATAGTAGGACACATCGGATCCGCAAATGCCGGTCTTTCTGACTGCAATCTGGAGCTCGCCAGATCCGGGGGCCTCGATGGTCTTCGTCTCCTAGGAGTTTATTAGCATGAAAGGATAGCGACCCGACGTGGGGGCTCGTCGTGTTGGGAGGCTAGCGTACGAGCCTAAGATCGCGCGGCCCGTGCAGTACGGATGCATAAATAGAAGAAGACTTCGCTGGAGTGGTATTATACGATGAGAGCCGCATTGGGGTGTTGTCTTCGCCAGTGGCTGCTGGGGCCATAATTGTTGGAGGATGACGCGCAGAGCGTGGGATGAGAGTGGGATGCTTGGCCAACTGCCTATTGGGGAGGACGTCGTGAGTGGGATTGGCCAAGGTGTGGTGCGCTTTCTGACTGACTGTGCGCGTACAGAAGCTTGGATTGGGGGCGTGAGTAAGTTTGCAATGTATCTATTTAGTCGTTCTGGATCTTGCTGGCCGACGTGAGGGTGTTTGGTCCATCCGTCTTCGGGATGTTGGCAAGAGGGCGAGTTATAGAAGACGCTCTCGCACGGCCCTATAAGTACGCGAGCCGGAGGTCCGTCTGCCTCGTCGGCTCTTGCTGAGCATAATGCCGTCATGGCACAAGGAGGGACGACAAAGGAGAAGACATCCGCTCCAAAGAAGGCAAAGACCGTCGCCGGGGTCTGCAAGCATCTCGCGAGAGGACCGAGGCCACAAACACAAGCATGGCCCAGTCACGAAACGCACGCTTATCGTGGCCAAGGCCACTGGCAGCATGTCTCTGCATTTCCATGACAAAACGCAATCTCGGGGACGGGCTACGACCAGCAGTTTCATCGATCCAGCGCACTGCGATAGACGTTGTCCGGGCATGCATTTACCCTGCCGACGGAGGATGTGGCCACGATTGACCGAATCGGAACCTGGTTCAGAGCACCTTTCCACCAGTATTGGCTGTGATCTGTTGGAGAAAGCACACCAGGGAACGAGGATGATGCAGCAGACCGCGCCGGCAAAATTGGGTGGGAGGCGGGCTACCTTGTGGACGCGAATTGTTGGTAGGGGTCCCGTCGAGAACGATATCGAGCCATGCGAAAACGTGCTCGGCCACTGGCACAATCCAAGATGTGCGTGCTGTCTCGACTAGGCAGGCCAGACCAAGGTCTCGCAAACCGGCCCGGCGCAGCAAGCATGGCGGTCTGCAGGAGCGAGGTCCATCCTTGCATGTATGTGAGATCTTTTCGCGAAGAGCACATGCGGCGAGATCAACAGCAACAACAGCAGCTGGGCAAGGGACATGATAGCGTGCTCTGTGCCGCCATCGCCGGCGCTCAACGGTTGAAAGTGCCACCTGACGCGGCCATACGAGACGTGTTGCACAGCTGTTGAAGCCTTCGCACGAAAGGCTCGTTGAATTAGCCCGTTGCCTATGTCACCAGTCTGTCGATGGTGACAGGGAGGAGAAAATGTGACGAGCATGATAGCGTCCCAAAGCAGGTGGTCCGCTTTTGGCGGGCACCAACTTGCGTCCGTCCGTCTGACGCGCGCTGTTTGCTTGATTATCGTTTCGTCCTCATTCATTGATGATATTCCTTCTCTGACCGCTCATTGTCGGTGGCAAGTGGTCGTCCACAGAGCCGGCACGGCTGTCCTTATCTCCAGAGTCTAATTCATGCTGCACTGCAATGCACTACATGTACGGTATGTATCCGTAGAGAGAGAGAGACGGTTGCAGCTCTGCGGCCGCGAAGGCGCGCATCTCGCACCCTGCTAGGCTACATATGTACGACAGGGGTACCCTTGTTGGTCCGGTCCAGGTTCCAGAATGCACGTCGTGGAGCACTGGAGGTGATGGGTGGCATGCGGGGGAACCACACCTGTTCTGCCCGGTTTGGGGATCGAATCCGGAGCCCCATCATGGCTTGCCTCTCGCGTTGCTCGGTGCTTGTACTACGGAGAAGTGGTGTAGTGGACTTGCGATAAGCTTCTCACATGCCAAGGAGGGAAACAACCGGAGGTGGTTGCCCCAGGCTTGATGGAGGCCTGAGGGTGTCCAGAGCCTGCCGTTGGTGGCACTAAACATTGACGGAGGGTGGTCCGGTATTGGAGGAAATGGAGAAGATGCAATGTACGATTGACATTTGTATGGACAGTAGGTACTGTTGCAGTTGATGTTCTTGGTCAGCCGACACGGCCAAGTTTCAATATCATACGTATCATCAACGTGGGTGCCTTGAATGTAGCTCGGGCATCGCAGTGTGGCTCAATGGAAGCTTCAGCCACTTGCTTGCGTTCGAGGCTTCGAGTGCGGACATATTCCCCCACAGAGGACAGCGAGGGACGATGGAGACGCGGGGCGCCATCAGAGGCATGGTTATCTATCTTGATAAACGATGTCCATCATGTTCCACAAGGCACTTCAAGCAGCGTATGCGTCATGGTAAAGACATACGTATCGGAAAGATCCTGGAGCTCCTGTATGACAAGGTCTTGGCCAGTACCCAGGAGTACGGACACGAACGGCGCTGATACCAGACCTCTGAATACCGAATGGGTACTCAATGTAGCACAAGAGTAAGTGAGTGCTTGGCGGCAACGGACACCTTCCGACCTCAGATAAAGACTACAGGTCCGTAAAGGCCACAACTGGTGCGAGATGAGTCAAGACAGGAATGTCGTGAATTGGTATAGCTATCATAGGAAATTCGGTACACGGGATCAACGTACTGAGCTACTCTTCCGCCCCAGAAAGCGGCACGCCTTGCATTCCTCAGAACGTGCTCGTGGCTAACCGACTAGCCGCGTTCCTGGCGTCCACGCGATCGTCGTCGTCTTCATCCTTGGGTCCCACAGGTCCACTGGAGCCCAGGCGGCTGGAGCTGACTTCGGCGCCTTCTTCGCCATCGCCTTCCTCAGGCAGCTGGCCCATGATGCTGCTGGAGACAGTGCGGCTGTTGGCATCAGAGCGTCGGGGAACGCCGCTCCAGGAGTCACCCTTTGGACCCTGGCTCGCAGCCAAGCTCGAGCGGCGTATTGCAGGGTGCGCCTCTCGCCCCAGACGGCTGAGGCCACCAGAGGCATCAATGCCGCGGATGTCGGGTCGAACGCTCTCGAGCAGAGCCAGCGTTCGGCGCTCAGCCTCAATCTCTCGGAGCACATACTCGCGAATGCTCATGCGCATGTCCGTGGCGGTGCGGCTGAACCACTTGCGGCGCTCTTGAACGAGGTTCTGTGTGACGTTGTGGGTCTTGTTGTACAGATAAGTCTCGTTGTTGCGAGCCTCATCCAGAGAAGCAATAGCCTCGTCGACCTTCTCCCGGCGTACACTGGACTGGGCTTTGAGTCGATCAGCAGCATTGAGTTTGCTGCGCGTGGCCTCCTGAGCTTGAATAAACTCCCGCATCAAGATTTGACGGTTGGTCAACGTCTCCTTCACAATAAACGCATCCTGGGAGTGGTACTGAAAGGGGTCTCCAATGGTCGTAGCTTCGGCCGTGGCCTGTGCAGCGTGGTAGTCGCCCATAGTCTGGACCACCTTGCCGAGTTTGCGGTACGCGTTCGCCAGTCCTGGGTGCGGCTCTTGGACATGCATGGTCCCGAGCTTGACACCATACTCCGATTCTGTAAGTCCGAGCCCTGCATTACATGTCAGTCTTTCGCTGGTCAGCCATTTGGCTAGTGCTGCTTACCGCGTCTCGCCTTGACCATCTTATCCACTTTGTGACCGGCGTCCATCGACCCCAAGTAGAACAACTTGACCGTCGGTCGGGCTTCGGCAAGTTCGGGGGTATCATCGGGAGGCGGCGCAAACTGCTTCAAAATCTTTCGACGCACGCCAGTCGCTGGCTGCTTCATTTTAACCAGAGGGCTGTAGCCAAAGTCGCTCTCCACGAAAAGGACCATCTCATCATCCTTCATCAGTATCTCGCTGCTGCAGACATAGTTGAACCATCTCTGCATCAGGGCTTTGACTCGCGTTTCGTCCTCATCGGTGCCTGCACCAGCTGACGTGACCGGTGGAGGTACAGCGGGCACGAGGGCTTCAGGATTGGCCCCAACAAGATGCTCCCCTAGCTTCACAAACTCGGAATGAAGTCGTCGTACATCGCGATACTGAGTCGTTCGGAATCGCGGCAAATTAGTCTGTATCAGCAATTAGCAGCGGACCAACGTCGGGGCACTTGGGTCCATACGTGTATGTCGAATCGCAGGATAGGGTCCTTCTTTCCGGTGCGCTCGAGACCCGTGACTTTGGCCTGTAGTTTGTACTGTGGCTTCGGAGGGCGTCGCGACTCCTCAGTCTGCCCATGTTGCTCTTGATATTGTCCCTGGCCTGCACCCTCCGGCGCACCAGCCCGCGAGGGCTGCTCAGACAGCGACCCGGTCGTCTCACCGCCCACTGCAACGCTCTGCGATTCCGACTCGTCGCGGTCACCATCAGTGCCGGTGGTGCTCGTTTCCGTGCCGGAGCGTTGAAACCCCTCGGTCAAGGACGGGTCCTGCGAAAACCCATTGGAGGTTTGTGTGTTGATGCGGAATGGCGGAGGTTCGACGCCGGTGGTGTCAATATTCCCGAACCCGGGTCGATTATTCTGGGGCGATGCGGTAGGCGAATTGCCCCAAGGCGAGGCTCCTGTCGGATCCTCGACTTCGTGGATAGATGCGCTGTAGTCCATGGTGCGAGCTGCGGAGGGTGAAGACGGATGTAGAGACCAATGTCGGGACGGTGCAAGAGGAAGGTCTCTGATGTATCTCAAGCGACATTCATGACTATAGCGATTCAGATCGTGTGGAGCGCTCGCCGGGGCGAATCTGATGTTGAGAGTCGTTGGCTAGCTCGCAGCAGGCACGGTCGTAATGGAAGGCCGCTGACGCAAGTCCCGTCGCTCTCGAGCAGCTCAGCCCAGCCCAGTCTCCGCATTCTACAGCTGCTCTGGATTGGTCAATCTTCCGTAGCCTTCCCGCGTGGATTAAGCGCTCCTTATCGGGCTTATCAGTCCCAAGGTGGTTAGCGAGGGGCATCAATTTTCTGGCCCCGAAGCTCGCAGGGCCATCTGTTGCATCACCGGCTGCTTCATCATCCCGATTTTCCTGCTGTGCTCCAATCTCCTTTGCTCTCAAGCAGTATAACCCCCAATCCATACACAATACACCATGGGTAAGAAGCGATCCAGAGAAGTCGACGGCAAGGACCCCGTCGAGGCGGATCCCAACGTCGACAAGATGGATGAGGATGACGAGGAGGTATGTTCATACACCATCCGGCCAACTAGCAAGACTAATAATGGCAGGACTTTGACGTAGTAAACGTGGACTTTGAGTGGTTCAACTTCGACAACGACATCGACTTCGAGGGTACCAAGGGCCTGTTGCGACAATTATTCGACGTGGACGCGAATCTCTTCAACATGTCTGCATTGACGGACCTCATCCTCTCGCAACCTACAATTGGCTCGACGGTCAAGGTCGATGGAAAGTCTACCGACGCATACGCACTTTGCACAGTCCTCAACCTAGCCGAGCATGCGCAAAAAGAGCCTATCGAGGCTATCTCCAAGTATCTTGTGCAAAAGGCTCGGACCAATGAGTCGCTCTCGGCGATTCCGCCTCTGATTGAGGGCAAGAATCAGGTCGGCCTTGTCTTCTCCGAACGTCTGATCAACGTCCCAGGTGAGATTGCGCCACCGCTGCACTCCATGCTCATCGACGAGGTGGAAGCTGCCGTCGAGGACAAGGAGCCCTACGAGTTTACACACTACCTCATCCTCTCCAAGACGTACCAAGAGGTCGAGTCAGTACTGGATGTGGAAGACCGCAAAAAGAAGAAGGCAAAGGAGCAAGCCTCAGTATATCCATTCCACCCAGAGGACGAGGTCTTCCAGAGATACGCCACTGCGTATGGCAGCTTCGAATACACCAAGCAAGACGATGCCGTGGCAGACAGCAAGCGCGCGTTCCAGGAGATGGGCATCAAAACGTTTGGGCACATGATGCTGATCGAGGCAAGCAAATATCCGGAGGCGGTTGAAGCTGTCAAGAAGTATCTAAGTCCGCCATCGTGATAGTAATGCAATGTACCCTTAGGCTTCCGGGATAAGTCTTTGCATCAAGTATTCCACCTCCACTTCCTTCGTCAATGGGATGACGAAGTCCTTGTACATTGACACCACTGCATCCACGTTGATCTTGGATACACCTTTTGAGCCTTGGGGGTTGCCCGGGTCCGTTCCGTAGGTCTGGGCCTTGAGTCGCAGGCGCTCAAGCACGGTCTTTTCCACAGCTGCATTCGTAATTGCCTCCCCGATCGCTTCGCGGTCCTCGGCCTTGATCAGGCGTGTGTACTTCTCTTCGTCCGAGCGGAACTTGGACTCGGCCACAAATTTCCCAAAGTGAATCCGGCGGGACAGAGCTTGTAGACAAGCAATGTCGCAAGTGGCCGTTGAGCCATAGTTCTCCTCTGACTCGCCCCGGTCTTGACGGCCAAAGTCTGGCGTGACAGCTGGCAGAAACTTCTCAATGTAGAAGGTCTTGATTTTGTCGTTGACGTTGACGCTGTTGGTGTACAGGATTTTGGGATAATTGAGAGGCTTGAGAATGGGCTTCTGAACGGCATCAGGGAAGAAAGGGTACTCGTCGGGTGACTCAAAACGCCGGATCAAGGACTGAAGCTTCTCCTGCTCGCTAAGGTACCAGTCCAAAAGGCTCAATTCGCTGTTTGGGATGCTGAGAGCACCTGGCGTGTAGATAGTCTCGTTCAACGCGAATTGCACGCGCTCAATGAGGTGGAATGTGATGGTATCCTCAAGACGACTGCAGAACATTAGACATGAGTAAGAACATTGATCTTTGTTGGCTTCAACGAGCCAGTAGTCCATACATGAGTTGGAATCGAATTCTCGACAGCTCGAGCGCCTTGGAGGCATCACCCATGTCCACGGCAGCGTCCATTGCTTGGGCCTGGAGAATGAATGCTTCAGTTGAGAGGAGCCCGGTGTAAAAATACAGGTGAAATAGTCTCCTGCGATGTTTTGGAGTCGGATTCGCGTGAGGAAAGCCAGCTATGGCGGTCGAAGCCAGACAAGCGCATTCTTTCTTCTGACCCGCCGGTCACCGGACTCTGAGGGTCCCGCTGGCTTAGACGTGAAACGAATATCGCAACGGGCGGTCACCTCACAACTTGAACCAGAACTACATGCAAAATCGGCCATCCTACGCGGGCTTGTAGTTCTCTGGAGTCTCTTTATCGAGAAGACAAGCCTATGTAAACAATCATATTTTGTTGGATTGCGAAATAAACCAGCAGTTGCCTAACGCATCCTTTGATCACACATAACTTCTCGCTTGCCAAGAGTATCTACCAAGATATATCGCCAATATTTTTTCCTTTACGATATTTACTGCCACTCGCTTATTGAGTTCTCCTTGGCTGCCGTTGTGTCTCATTACAATAGGGCTGCGTCTCTCGGGCGACCTAGACTGAACAAGCTGGATCTACCGTCTACCGGGTAAGCTTAGCTTCTACAAAAGTGGATACCTTATCTCGCAGCTCTCTGGACACGTCCATTCCCGTTCCAGCGCGTCATTCTTCTTCATAGCTCCAATCAAGCAATGTCGCATCATCTGTCTTGCGCCTCAACAACCGACGATAGAATGCTCAACCCGTGAGGCACGCCGCTATCAACACTACCACCACCGAATCAGCAACGTTCCCAGCTCCGGGTGCTGCCATGGCTGACCCTGAAGGCTATGGTTTTCCTGATGATGCTGGCGACGACGAGCGATCCATCATCTCGGTATGGCCACCGCGTGTTCTCGATAAAGCGCCTCTGTGGATCAAGGACTAACAAATCGCGACTGTGCAGAGCCGGGGACTGGAAGCTTTTGGGCGCAAGGTCACGACTACGGCAAACCATCTAATAGGCCCGAACGCTGAAGATGTCAGCGGCCACTACAAGACAGCCATGGCTGAGGTCAATAAGCAAATGCGCAGGCCTAACATCCAGCGCAGCATGTTTTCCATGGCAAAAACGACGCCTACAGACATGGTTCGCTCAAAGCTGTCGACCTCGGAGATTCAGCATCGCGCATTGACCCATCTATCCGACGAGCTCTTATCGAATATACCGGAACATGAAAACTCGTATTCTCTCTTCCAAGGCTTTCAAGCCAGTTTCCCGGAGCTTACAGATGATGGGAAGAAGCACCGCAGACGCGTTTCCAGAGGTCGAAAATTGATCGACGACGGCAAGGCTTCGCCAAGCGACCCGAAGCGACTCGGGCATCTCAAGAGGGAGAGGGCATCTATGATACACGAACTCAATCTCTTGGGGGTGCGAAAGAGTATGTCCAGCGCAGAAATCCGCGAAATCGATAACAAGATTGCGAATCTACACGGGATGCGGCGGATTATTCTGGAACGGCTGGCTGGGTTTGAGCAGGACGAAGCTGTCCTAGAGCATGACCGTAGGTGCCGCCCATCAAGAACCAGCACTTGAAAGCTAACGAGGCAGTGATTGACGTTGAGGGCCGTGTGGAAGAGGCTCAACTTCTGGTCGACGAAGCCGAAGAGATTGCAAAGAACACCGCCACCAAGGAAGAGGAGGACCTGGCTGGCGATGGCGAGATACACGAGTTCATGTCACAGTCCGTGTACGAGAAGATACCCGAATCGGCGCAAACAACTCCCTCGAGAAAATCGAAAAAAGTACACCGCAAGAAATCAATGCCCATTCTGCATGAACACTTTGAACCTGGGTCCAGCATTCGGGAGATCAGGGCGCACAAGGAAACCATTACTGCATTGGATTTTGATGCGCCATTCGGGACGTTGGTCACGGCAGCTCTAGATGATACCGTGCGCGTTTGGGATCTCAACGCTGGCCGTTGCATGGGGCACCTGGAGGGACACACAGCGTCTGTCAGGACACTCCAGGTCGAGGATAACATACTAGCAACCGGATCCATGGACGCAACCATCAAGCTCTGGGACCTCAGCAAAACTCGATATGATCCACACGGAGCGCAGTACGGCAAGGGCGAGGATGATGAGGATGCTATAGCCTGGGAAACGGCTGACGATCACCTTGAGCCTCCAGAGGGCAGCATGGATGAGTGTGAGCTTTACACACTGGAGGCCCACGTGGACGAGATTACGGCTTTGCATTTCCGAGGCGATGTGCTGGTCTCTGGCTCAGCAGACAAGACCATTCGTCATTGGGATCTCGAAAAAGGACGCGCCGTGCAGACTCTGGACGTGATGTGGGCGGCCGCGCAAGCATCAGCTACGATTGGCAGCGGTGACAACGGCTGGAGGCCAACGGGCCGAGCTTCTGGGAGGGATGCAGACTTTGTCGGTGCGTTGCAAGTTTTCGAATCTGCCTTGGCGTGCGGTACTGCCGATGGCATGGTTCGCTTGTGGGATCTCCGCAGTGGACAGGTGCACAGGAGTCTTGTCGGCCACACCGGCGCTGTGACTTGCTTGCAATTCGATGATGTGCATCTCATCACGGGCAGCGTGGACAGAAGCATCAGGGTGGGTGTCTGAATGAACTATTTCTCAAAGAAACTTAACTGACAAGCCAGATTTGGGACCTCCGCACAGGCTCGATATACGATGCCTACGCTTACGACAACCCCATCACCGACATGGAGTTTGACGCCCGCCGCATCGTCAGTGCGGCAGGCGAAGACGTTGTCAAAGTGTACGATAAGGTTGAAGGGAGACAGTGGGACTGCGGCGCCGGCGTGACTGCAGCGGATGAGGGTAAGAGCCCGGCTGTCATTGAGCGCGTTGGCGTCACAGACGGATACCTCGTTGAGGGTAGAAGAGACGGCATTGTCGGAGTCTGGACGTGTTAGATATGCAATATGTGACAATTACAAGCTTACAAATTTCGATTTCAACTATACGCCATAAATGCCTTACTCTATATGCTTCGGCTGTGGTCATCAGATTGTAGTGAATAGTGGCTAACATGAAAGTATTGGCCATTCAAGCTGCTCCCATCCATATCCCTCCACGTAAGTAGTCAATCTAGGCTATCCAACTGTCAACACACTCGTGTCATGCATGCTACAGAGCCTAACATAGCGTCAACCTAGACTTGAACAATCAATGGATGAGGGCAGTCTGGGCGTAGGGTAGGTGGGATAGGATTCTAACTTTCAACTAAGTTAAAGCCCATATGTGGAAGCTCAGCTATCAACCTCTTTCCATCCACGTTATCAAATGTACTCGTGACATGCGGGCTTAGCTCCTGCAACTGCCTCAAGTTTAATTTCGATGTGCGATCCAGTCAATATGCAGGACCCTAAGCTAGCGCATCTTGAACGCTACGTCGATGCAGCCTCAGCTGTGAGGAATGAAGCCTCACCATCAGGCACGATAACTCTCCTCCGAGATGAGATTGCAAAACCTACACAACCGTACGAGCAGCTGCTATCGAGACAAGCAGAGATCCTGCAAGAATGGCATGAGAAAGGAGCGCGAGGGATCAACACAAAGCTCCTCCACAAGCGACTCGATGATGTAGCCTCAATCGCCATGTCCAAGTTTTACTCCTACCGGTACGATCGAGTGCCGGATTGTTGGAGGTATCTCTATACTAATACAATGATTCTCATGAGCTTTTTTCATCTGTTGCAAGTGGACACACGGCAAGAGGGGAGCGATGTGTGGGACGTCGTCGTCGAGAAGCTGGACAGAGCTCTCATTACGACCGGCGGCCAGAGCAATTGCATACCACGCAGCTGGTTTGACGGGACAATGGAGAGCCTATCGAGTTTACTGTCAAAGCCTTCCGAAGAGCCGCAGCTCAAGCGTCGCAAAATTCAAGCGTCGCAATTCTCAAAAGAGGAACCCCACGGGCGCCCGGTGCTGATAGCAGAGCGCACTATTTCCCGGCACGCAGACTGGACTCTTGAGGATTTCGAAGACTTCATAAACTCTACCAAAGAACCACCAAATCCGATCATATTTAGCGATCTGATCGACTCTTGGCCTGCTTTGACAGACCGCCCCTGGGCAAGTGTCGACCATCTCCTCGATGCCGCCTTGGGCGGCAGACGACTCGTACCGATTGAAGTCGGCAGGTCTTATGTGGATGAAGGCTGGGGACAAGAGCTCATTAACTTCAAAACATTCCTCTCCAAGTATATCCTCACGTCAAAGGGACAGGTAGGGTACCTCGCCCAGCATGATCTCTTCACACAAATTCCTTCCTTGAGGAATGACGTCCAGATCCCGGACTTTTGCTGGGCAGATGTTCCGGGACATCCTACCGATGCGTCGAAGAACCAGGAGAAACTCGACATACCGTCAATGAATGCATGGTTCGGACCGGCCAAGACGATCACGCCTCTGCATACCGACGGTTATCACAACTTGCTCTGTCAGGTTGTGGGGACCAAGTATGTCAGGCTGTATCCGCCTTCCTCTACAGAAAAGATGAGGCCGAGAAAAGCAGAGGAGGGCGTCGACATGAGCAACACGAGTGAGGTGGATGTTGGGATACTGGAAGGCTGGGACCCATACGATGGCAGCCCAGATGAGCTGGGGTTGCTGAAAGAGGAACTCTCCGGTGTTGACTATTGGGAAGGGATACTGGGCCCGGGGGATACTCTGCTCATACCGATGGGCTGGTGGCACTATGTAAGGAGTCTGAGCATCAGCTTCAGCGTGAGTTTCTGGTGGAATTGAATCGTGGATCCATTGTTGGTCACCAACGCGACTGTCACCCCTCCGTGCTGCTATCAAGGAAAATCTTATCCAACGACTCTCCTTGTTACTTTGCAGGCTAAATAGTATCTGGCCGGGGAGAGCTAGATGTTCCTTGCATCTTCGATACTATCACCACCACTTTGAGCCTCCCTCCGCGCCTTAGCGCCTGCTTTGAGTGTCTCCCACTTCTGTCGATACTTCTCCAGTGTCTTCTGCATCTTTATGTTGTCTTTCTCCAACTTCTCGGCATGTTGTCTCATTGCATGCATCTCCTGTTCCAACTCCACCTGCTTCTTGCCAATAGCTTCAACTGGAGCCTTGCTCGTGGTGGAGAGGGGCGAACCGGGACGCATTGGTCGATAGCTCATCGCCATATTCTGGGCGCTGGCTTCGAAGGCGTGGAGACGCTTGGTGAGCTTGTCGAGCATGTCCTTCAATGACTTATTCTGCGTGGAGAGCTCCTCGATTGTATTCAAATACTGTTTGTCTGCCTGATTGCGACTGATGTTGCGTTGCGCATCAGGAGAACGTGGCACGGGAGTCTCACTTGCATCTACAAAATCGTCGTCCTCGTCTTCCCGGGAGAAGCTGTGCTGGGAAGCATCATTGCGACGCTTCTCTCGCTGCTCATGTCGGACGATATTTGCATAGGACATTGTCCCCCCACTCATAGGGACAACGTAGAATGATTCTGTTGGGCCATGCCCTGCGTTCTTGATAGTGTGCATTGTCGCTTGGGAGTAGATTTTGGAAAGATCAGGATCCTCGTTCGCACGCGCGGACTTGACCGTTCGTCGCTTGTTGACGGTCACCTCAGGCGCTGCAGACTCTGGCTCGTCGGGCTCCTCTTGGACAAGCGGCAAACCAGCAAAGGCCAGAGGCGCTGATATTCTGCTGAGAAGGCCTCCAAAAGCATTGTAAAATCGGCCATACCCACCGTCGTCCATGTTATCGCTCGGACTGGGTGGAGTTGCATGCATTTTTTGCTTGGCCATCGAATCAGTCGATGGGTGAGGCGGTACCCAGGTTGGCTTGCCGGGCTTGCTCTCGATTATGTTTTGCATCTTTGTCTGGGAGCCATCTCGCCGCGGGTGGGCGTCGACGTTGCCGGGTGCCTGATCCTTTGATATGCTAGGTGACAAAGGCTGCCCTTGATGCTTGGAGCGGATTCCTCGTGCCGAAGCAAGGTTGCTGGCGATGGAAGACGACATTTCGCGGGGTGGTTTCTTTCTATCCTGTGGCGCACTTGGCTTCTGCGTAGACGTGACCGTCCTGGCCTCGGTCACGGTCACGGTCCCGCTGTTGCTTTTGGCTCGCCTGTCGTGGCCCTTTTCGCAAATATCATCCGCGTCGTGTGCTGGCTGCGCAGGCTGTTGGGCCGGCAGATCGAGGAGGGTCGCCAGTTTCCGATGGTGGTCTTCTAGAAGCTTCAACATGCGCAGCGCCTCGACGCTGGAGGTTGAGGTGGCTGTGGTTGCGAATTCGCCAGCAGCCTGAGTATGTTCGTTGATTGCAACTGTTGTGTCCGCGGAGTTGGAGCGCGTAGCCACAGCGGCAGCACGAGCATGGTCGTGCGCCCGTGTGAGAGACGACATGTCCATGTTATTGAAGGTTGTTTCAGCAGCGTCGTGATAACATGCTGGGGGAAGTATGAAGTCAGGTTGGCAATCGATAAGGTGGACGGGCGCCGACAGCGGAACGTTAAATCACGAATGGGACGCTCGTGACATGGCGGGGCATGGCCGGGGATTTTAGCCAATCACAGATCGGCAAGTCACTTGTTAGTCCTTGTACCTGCTGTCATCTGTGTACCTACAAGAACACGTGTAGACAACTCCTTTTCATCAATCTCTCCTAGCTGTGCGCATCTCCAAGTTGCGCCAAGAACCAAAGCTACCTTTGTGACAAGTCCAAAGTTGCTGTGATTATTGTTTGTGATGTACTAGTAATGACTAAAGTCATCTTAGCCGTCCACGCTCAAGGTGGATAAGTCGACAACCCGCGTGGGTCGTTGGAGATACTCTTTCCACTTTTCGCCGCGCCTCACCTTCACAATTCAAAAGACACTCGTGATGCATAAGTATTGTTATGGTTAGGAACTGGTAGGAAACATCAGACTGACTGGAGTGGGCCGAAAGCTAGAGGTTCAATGCCAGGGCAGTGCCAGGAGTTCAGAGTCCAGCTTGAGCCTGACTGGGACTGAGAAAGGCCCGGTGGGGCACGATGATGATCAGAATGTGGGGGACGCTTCGAGCGTGCAGTGGACACTGGGAATCAATGATCGGCACAACTGCTGGAGTTCAAATGCTGGTTATGAAATCAACTGGACCTACCTAACTTACTCATTCATACAGGATCGGTCTACTGCAAGCGACAGCGTCGACGACGACGACGACGATGATGATGATGATGATGATGACGATCCTTGGTATGACCCAGAAACCTGATGGATGGATCGGGCCTGGAGTTCTGGACAGAAATGTGGGAGGCAGCTGGGTATGATGGCAATCGGCGATGGGCCTCTGATTGGCCACGAGGCGGCACAGATACCAGCTTTCGTGAAGTTGCATCGCGCAGCACTCACACTGCCTAACGTTAATACTCACACAAAGAGATGCAAATCGCCTCACTCATACTCCCGCGCTCTGCTATTCGGGCCCCGTCTGCTCAAACGAGTGTTGCCGTAGCTCCCAAGCCGAAAATTGTGTGAAGCGCGGTGCACAGACGAGTGCCCTGATATCATCATCAGCAAGTATCGCGTGGGCACTGGGACGTGGAGGACAGCAGTATCGCTCACATATTCGCTCCTGCCCAGCCCCGTCTTCGATGTTTGTCCCTAACTCATATGCCTGAGACTATAAAAGCCAGGCTGGGGAAACGTATCAACGACCGTTACTGGTGAACTGAAAGCGCCCAGCTGGCCTTGGTTTGAACCACACGACACCTGACAAACACCTTCTACGCCGACATGGACAATGCCCAGGACGACAAGCTCGGCAAACTACTGCCCAAGTCCATTGCAGAAAAACGGCGCCAGCGCAAGCAGAAACGCACAGCAGCAACGGGAAGCCTCCGCACATCGAAGACGTCCTCGAGCTTTGGTGGCGATAGTGACGGCACCGGCTCAGCATCTGCCTCTATCCTGGCGGATGAAGAAGATGAACGAAGCCCCAGAGACGACCGCAGCTTCGGCTCCTTTGAGTCAGGGCCTGAGCCAGAGAACGCGACGGCAACAGGCCGAGCACCATTCAAGAGTTCAAAAAACTCAAGGAGCCCCTCGAGGGCGCCGTCTCAGTAAGTACCTGAGTGTATCTTCTTACCTTCATGTTGCCTTCCCACGCACTTCCCTAAAACATTCTTCTGGTGAACAAGGCACAAAAGCAGCATTCCAAGTCCCCGTCTGCCCATCGGCGTCTCGAAACCAATGATTGAGGCCAATTCGACCAGACTCGACCTGGACGCTCGGACTCTTCTCTCGCTCTCGCTCAAGCGTCGTATTATACCCCAGCTACGCGAGGTTCCCTGGTGGGCCCACCATCATTCAAGTCGGAACCTGCTTCCCAGAGACCAGACTCACGAACATTCTCCTTTCTCCAACACATCCTACTTTCAGCAACTGTCTTGTCGAACGTTATTGCACCCGGACGTCATTCACTCTTGCGAGTTTTCCTACCTTGTCTCCAATTCTGCTTTGCCTCCAGTGCCTATTTGTTCCAGTCTGACAGGGCCCCTCTTCAACTACAGGTCCCCAACGCGACCAGGGGCAGTTTCGCAGCATCCTTCGCTGATCGGCTATCTCACGACCGCGTCTCCCGTTGTCCAGGCGGCGCACATTGATCCTCAATCGCAACCCGCATCGCCTCAGCAACAAGCGGTTAGGCCAACATCCATCGATTCTGGCCTCGGCCCACAGCTGCCCACGACAGCTACCGCAGCTGAAACCCCTGCGGATCTACCAAAACTCAAACTGGCTTTCCCCAGCAGTTCATCCCAAAGCGGCCGCGACATCGACCAGGACGTTGCACCGCCTCTGACACCGACTTACCTCAACAAAAGCCGCGACGCGCCGTCGATCGTCAACACCCCTCCAAGTCCAGTGCAGCCGTTGCCCGAAACCGAATCGCTGGAGAAAAGGGCTGCTGCGTGGAAGCTCCCGAGTTTCTCAGCTGCAGCTGGATCACCGACAGGTCGAATCTCGAACCAACATAAAAAAAGCTCGTCGACTTCTGCTACGATCGGGCCCAGCAAACTTTCGTCCAGCGTCACGGCGCTGACGCCCCCTCCAGAGGGGCTCGAGGCCACGTTGGGTCACCCGAATTCCGGCTTCTTCTCGTCCATGATATCCGCTGCGCAGTCCGCCGCCAACAATATCAGCTCCAACATTCAGAACTCGGGTCTTGCCCTTGGAACGGCGAATAAAGGCCGATCTCCGCCCACGAAACCTCGAGACCAAGAAGCAAGCCCGGCCGACAATACAGAGACAGACCCGAGCCAGCCACCGACGCAGGCACAGGTAACGGCACAAGCGCATGCGCAACAGAACAACCCCATGGACCAGAAAGACAGAGACTCTGCTGTGCGGACACTTGGCGCAGGTGGTCTCAGCCTCGACCATTTCGGTATTGAAGAGCCTGTGAGCTCCACTACATCGCCTTCTGCCAATCGCTTCATGGACATTGATAGCACGAGAGCTCGCTCGGAGTCAGCGCCTGCCGATTCCCAAAATGGCGTCGAATTTCTGCCAGAAGAGGCCGCGAGCCGCCCGAGGTCGCTCAACGAGGGCCAGGAGGGTGAGACAACGCCACCTCAGTCACAGATCGATCTAGATGATAAAATGGGCATGAGCAGGGCGGGAAGCTTGCGGCGAGCTCACAGGAAAAGGGGTAGCTCTGTCACCACAGCGCACACTGGTATGAACATGGGTGCTCCATTGGGCAATCTTGTCAGCCCTGTTTCTCAGCCAGCCGCGAATCTCAGCACACCCAAGCTGACAGGTTTTGCTATTGCGAGCAAGAAGAGGAACCGGGACTTTCACTCCATCTTCAAAAGCGTTCCCGACGACGACTACCTGATTGAGGATTACAGCTGTGCGCTACAGCGAGAAATCCTAGCTCATGGGCGCCTCTACGTCTCAGAAGGTCACTTGTGTTTCAGCAGCAACATCCTAGGTTGGACGACCACCTTGGTTATCAGTTTCGACGAAATCGTCTCGGTTGAGAAGAGAAGCACTGCCCTCGTCTTTAAAAACGGTCTCATGATCTCCACACTGCACGCCAAGCATGTGTTCGCAAGCTTCACGAGCCGTGATGCTACGTACGACCTTATCATTAATATCTGGAAATTAGGCCATCCAACGCTCACGAGCACATTAAACGGTGTGCGACTTGAGGGCACTGGAGGCGACAGGACAGAGAAGCTTGATGGTACTCAGTCCATCGCAGGCACGGAGACAGTCGCATGCTCAGACGACAGCGATGAAGAATCGGATGACGATGGTGATGAGTTCTACGACGAGGAGGACAGTGAGGATGGTGTAGATGGTGATGATGGAATGCCCGTGGCAGAAGGAGAGGCCGAGAAAATTGCGAACAGAAAGGCCTCGGGCGTCACGACGAGCAATGGCGTGTCTGCTTCGGCAAATAAGGACGGACCAGTGCCGAACGGAACAGTCGAATTTCCCGGGCCAGCTACCCATGCTCCCACCGACTGCGGTGATGCTGCAAGTCACTACGACAGGGTGGTTGGCGACGATGTTATCGCCGCTCCTCTAGGCCGGATATATGACCTCATGTTTGGTCAACACTCTGCGGCTTTCATGACAAAGTTCCTGGCGATTGATCAAAAATGTCTCGAGGTCCAGATGGAGGACAAACGTGGCATGGGACCGGATAACAAAACACGCACGTACACCTACATCAAGCCCCTGAATGGGCCCATCGGCCCCAGGCAAACAAAGTGTGTCATCTCAGAGTCCCTGGATAGCCTCGACTTTGAGAAATCCGCCAACGTTACCATTCAAACACAGACACCAGATGTGCCCAATGGCAACATGTTTGTAATCAAAACCAAATACTGCTTGTCGTGGGCGGAGAACAACTCGACTCGTGTGTTTGTCAACTGTGGCATCGAGTGGTCAGGGAAGAGTTGGATCAAGGGTCAGTAGCCAAACCCCGGGGCGATATCGTAGGCTAACCGTACCTAGGACCGATTGAGAAGGGCGCAAATGACGGCCAGACCGATCACTGCAAGGCGATTTTTGCATCCCTCCGAGCCGCCATCTCCACCAGGCCCAGGGCTGGTACAGGTTTAGGCGCAGGCGCTAATGGCGCCAAATTCAAGAGGAAAGGGAAGAAGGGCAAGCAATCTCAGCCCTCGAACGTAGAGAAGACGTCCACAAAGACTGTAGTGAAGCCTGATTGGGGCTTGCTGGAACCTATACGACCTCTGTTGGAACCAGTCACCGACTTTTTCAAGCCTTTACTGGGTGGCAATCTCGTTTATGGCTTGTTTTTGGGGTTACTGCTGGCATCGTGGCTCGGACTCGGGTTGAGCCCCCGAAAGGACGCATCCCAATACGGTGGTCTCTCCGGGGCGTATGCACCAGATCGTATCGCTGCCTACGAGGAAATCTGGCAGAGGGAAGATAGTGAACTGTGGGACTGGCTGGAAGAAAGGACAGGACTGCATCGTCTCAACTCAGACGGACCCAGCACACGAAAGAAGGCCATGTCGCCCCGTACGGCTGAGGAGAGGTTACGGGCAGAGCGCAGCAACGCGCGGAATGTGGAAGAGGCCATACGTGTCACGGAGGAGAAGCTCAAGGTGATGCAGGAAGCCATGGAGAAGTTTAGTCGGGCGCGCGAAGGACAGGGCAGTCCATCTGCGGGGACCGCAGTATGATTGAGCGGAGGGCGCGTTGCAATCATTGCAATAACAGAGAAGGAGTGAGGAGGTTAACAGCACATCCAGGAACAGCGCAGCACAGCCAGGCGGCACATATTTTCATTTCCTCATCATTCAATCACATACAAGGCGTCCATTTGTCATGGTCTCGGCCTCGCCGGCGCATGGTTTCTGTCTACACTTTGTGCTGTCTGACCGGAGCACAGCGCATTTTACATGGAAACACATGGGTCACTGTGGCAGTACTGACGTGTGAGCACTGAGCTGTAGCATTCGGCCAGCCCTACAGACCATTCTCCTACGTACCATCAGTTAAACCCCACACTAGGAGGATATGCTGGATTTAAAGTTTTAGACCCTTAATTAGGGGACAAACAGTGGGCCCACCAACTACACTGTGGCAGCAGATTTGCAATTTGCGTAGTATACCACTCATGGTTCCCAAACATGTCTATTCTGGCCTAGACTAACAAGTAACTTTGTAAGCTTCCACTGACTTTCTCACATATGATAGTTGCAACAGCCCTCTGAGATCAGTTGAGTCAGTGCGCATATCATCAAGTACCAAATGCTTGCGTCCAATTGGCGCAGGGTAGCTCTCAGCCTCCAGTCCTCGAGGCAGTGCGCCTTGTGACCAGACCTTTGTCACAGGCCGGCTGGTGCGCCTCAGCCACAAACGACCAAACAAACGCCCGGCCAGTTTTGCATGATGTCGATCATAGGGTGCCTGGTGCCTGTATGTGGCCCTAAGAAAGAATCAGCAACCCGTCTTCCCTTTGTTCACAATTTCAGCTGGAGTCAAAACCATGCCTGTTGTCCCATTGGACCCAGTCACAGATCCGGCTGTTGGTGCTGCAAGGCAGAAAGAAGCCCGCAGCGCCAAGCGTTCACCCGCCCGACTGTCGTCTGAGCCTCTCAGGTACCTCTACGAGTTCCTCAAGTCCTTCAGTCCTACACCCCTCATACTTGGGTCCACTCTCACTGTCACTGGCACCCACTCGCCTTGGACTGTTTAACGTTAGGACAATGAGACGACACGGCCGCCGCTCGGTCTTGCAGTGAATTGAACTGTCTACGCCATATTCGCACCCTCTTCGCTCTCGAGGCATACTATACCACTTCCCCTATGGATTGTGGTAAATGAGCTGTCGACAGCTAATCTAGCCGGACTGGTGACTGAGATAGTGCAACCGCCTCGGCAAACAACTGGTCCGTCATACCTACAGGTAATTAGCATCGCCTCCAACCAACACTTTTCGTGATGGAAAACCGAAGGCGACCGTCGTTGGACGAGACGGCTTCGGCGCTCCGTCGTTTGACCCATACGCCACGCCTCGCTCTACGAAGACCTTCCTCGACTTCAGAATCAAGTCTCAGCTCTAGTTCCAGCTCAATCTTATCACTCAGGTCTCACGATCACCGCGAGGACCATAGTTGCGTGTACGTTCGCCCTCCCGGCTCTCGCCCTTCCCAATGTCAAAGCTAATGTGTGTGCTTCGGCAGAATTCGAGAGACTCGGCATGACGACTGCACTCTGAATCGGTTCCTCGTGTGGGCGGCGTTCAAGCGGAATGCCTCGCCAAACATGACCGCTCAGGATCGACTGCAATGTCCACTTTCCCGCTGTCGGAAACGCTTCGCTTCCCACGAGGACATGTTACGGCATCTCTACTTGTGTGACAAGCTCTCTTCCGGCGAGTACTGGTGCTACGACCACGAGCGGGTCGAGCATTTCCAACACGCCGGAAGTGCCAGGTGCAAGAGATGCCCAGTCAGCAAGAGAAAGAGGATTATGGGCTTGGCTAAAGTCTTCTTCAGCTCGCTGGGGAGCCGCAGGCCAGGTGCTGGTCTTAAGGACTACGATCTTGAAAGCTGCTGTGACAGCGAAGCGAGCCCTCCTACTATCAGTGATGACTTGTTCGAGGCTGAGCCAGAAGATGATATCGGCGTCGATGATGCGTGGGGTGCTTCGTTTCGCCACAAAGTCGAGCTCCAAGCAAACGAAATCCACGAAATCGATTCGAACGAGGTCATGCTGCCGACAATACTGGAGGATGTGGAGGACGACATAACGCAGACAGCAAAAACGACGAAGCATGTGTCACACCCCACATCCTTGCCCGAAATGTACCAGCCCGAGACAGTCCACCTCGCCGAGCTAGAGTCCCGAAATTCGGAATGGGCATGCCAGCAGGAGACTATCCCTCCGATGGACTTCAATCCAATCTACTCAAATGCAAGAACAGGCCCTGAAAGACCTCTGCTGGAGATTCAGACAAACAACCTAGCGCAGTATAGACGAGAGGCCAAACGCCGTAGCACAATGCTCGCACCCAGCTCATCCGTTCGCTCGACAGCATCAACAGCCAGCACGAACAGCACGTGCAGTACGTCCAGCCAGTGTATATCACCAATGTCGAACTGGTCCCACGGCTGGGCTCACCAGCAAGATTCCACAATGACGACCCCTGCTGACGAGTGCAATCCAAACCCCTTCACATTGATGGGCCTGTCCACACAAGTCGACCCCCAGTGCACACGAGCGCCGGAGCCCACATTCTTCCCCCAGGACCAGCTGTTCAATGGAATGGCAAACACCTTTCTGACCGAACTACCTGCGGACGTGCCCATGGTTGCAGCAGACATACCCGTGGTCGACGTGACTCCACCAGATAACAGCGCCATGCCACTTTGTACGTTTCAACCAGACTTGCAGTTTGACGCTCCAGACCCAACCACCTTCGTTGTGCCCCCGAGCGAGCAGGTGTTACAGCTGTGTCCCAACGACCCGCCAGCAACTCTTCAAGATACCCAGCAAACATTGGGACCTCAAGCTGAGACCACTCGGAAATCCGGTCTATCACCGAGGACTCCAGACCGTGTTGGAGCAACATCCATAATCAAAGATCTATGGGAGGCGTTGCAGCTTCATGTAGAAAACACCAAGAAACGCCTTGTGGTCCTGCAGGATAACCATTTGGTGAATCACCTGTTCAGCATGTCCGCTACAGATGTTGCTAGCTGCGGCCTACAGACGTTACACAATGGTCTAGGGCATTCAAACGAACAGTCCGCCATCGACCTTCTATGCTTTACACACCTCATCTACTCCATGTCTCTCCTTGTGCACAAGGAAGACGCGCAGGCAAGAGGCGACAGGCTCTTCCATCAGGTGGTTTCGTACGCATCAAAGTTTTCGAAAGAGGACAGGCAGGCCTATTTCCCGATTGTCGACATTCTTTGGAAGCCAAATGGAATGAGCGAAGATGACGTTGTCGGCTTGATGCGGAAAACATCCTCAGCATCGCGTAGGAAAGGCAAGCAGAAGGAGCAGAATCCCACGGAGCCTCAATTGGATATCCTTGTTACCCTCGCGCAGACTTTTCTAGATGAGATCGAGTATGCGGCGGTGCAGGAACTTGACAAGCCGCAGCTTCGGGCTTCAGACCTTTGCAGACAGCATACCAGCAGTGGAATCTTGACCTTTGGCCCAGAACTATCGTTGGGCATTCCCCTAGATTACATGGTCAATAAGCTTGTTGTTGCTTATGGGGACGTGCCACCTTTCCTGGCCAAAATGCACGAACTGCGCCGCGGGGTCATGTCAGGGAATAGCATAACCGCGAGGAGGCTGGAGCTTGAACTTATACACGTCGGGCGAGTAAGTAAAATCGGTTTATGGTGATAGAAGGGCTTCTGCTAACAGATGCTAGACATGCCTGCCCCCCGAGTTGTTTCTGGACCGCTACATCGCTACCGTCCGAGATTGCATCGACTACCTCTGTGCTCTGCTGTGTCCTGATACACATTCGAGAACCACGTATCAGCACTGCGGCATTCGTCTGGTTGACACAATGATCCGAGGATCACTACCACTTGAGCAACCCTCGACTGATCCAGCTGCTCAGATAGCCGATGCCGACTTTAGTGATCACCTTGCGACAATCACAAACATCCAAGATTGCCAACTGAGTGGGAAGCCAAGCAATACGAATGCTCCACATTTAGCCCCCGGGAACAACACTGGTATTGCAAGCACTCCCTTCGACAACACATGGACAGATGTTTCGGCTTCTGCTACACCTGTAGATTCCGGGCCCGAGCTTTCGACTGCTGCCACGTCTCCGCCTTCACAGCAGCCCACACCGGCCACCGGCAGCAAGTCAGAGTCCAACAGCATCTGCGAAGAGTGTGGATATCGGCCGGAAGGGAACCCAAAGTGGTTCCAGGGCAGCATGGCCAAACACAAAAAGTTGATGCACGGGAAGAGTGAGCCTGTTGTGTACCAGTGCCCCTTTCCAGGCTGCACGAGCCGGTATACCAACCGCCCAGACAACTTGCGGCAGCACCAAATCAAGAAGCAGCACTTTGTCGGTGGCGAGGGCGACATACAGAGACGTCCGAGCAAGAGGAAGAAGATGGATTCCTGAATCTTGGAGATACGAACCACCACACCGTCCTTAACAGCGAGCGCGCGCGCATAGACTTTGATATTTGGGCTCATGGCGTTCTGGATTTGGCAAATGCTTTCGACGATACCACAAATACATGACGGATAAATAATCTTGTGAATGAGAGATGTTTCCCTTCTTGAGAAACTAGGAAACGTATATTCCCACCGAGTTGTCCGATTGCATCTGGGCTCATTTTGTTTGAGGCCACCTGGAGTGTCTTCGTGTTCGTGTTCGTGAATAACACAACTAATCGTCTTATTGATAGCCACAGTGATTTTCATCCATTACTGCGTTTACTGGAAGCTGTTCAATAATTATATGTGCTGATCACAATAATTGTTCTGCTCAATCAGCTGGTCTATCTACAGTTAATATTTCTGAGGCCTGGTGGGGTATTATGTCGACTAGCGCATTTTCAGACTTGAGTCATGTCTGGGCTCGACTCCAGTTGCAGATCACTTACGGATACCCGGGACATCATGCATCCATGCAGGGTGCCTCGATACAAATAAGCTTTGGGCACTTTTAGTCGGTCGACAGTTGGTGTAGTATTCTAACTATACCATGTGGCATAATACGTAGCAAGACACGTGGGGGCACGATTCAACAACCCCGAGCTTCTGCTAAGTGTACTTGGCGGTGTCTGCACGTAGTGTAATACCGCTGTCCACCCTCCTGCATTTTGACCGCATCGGCGTTGAACGATTGCCCGCGTGCCACGTAAATTAGGTTGGCATTGCATTCCAGCGCCAAGCCGCCTGTAAGTCGAGGCACCACTTCACCAGGCACGCAGGCTCTGTTGTTAGGCGGCCTTGGGCCCGATGAGATCAACATGGTCATTTGGCGATGCTCAGAAGCGTACACCGTGGTGACGAGTTCAAGATCATGCTCGCCAAGGCCACGAGATGATCTTCATCTCGAATGGTAGTCTAGATTGACGACCCCCAATAAAGATACGTACATGTACGGATGTACTCGGTGCGGGATATGCAAGTAGTAATCAATGAGTGGGTGGAGGGGAAAGTCAGAATGATGTCTGGATGTCTGGATGTCTGGATGCCGCCCTTCACACCCATTTGTGTCTTTTGGGCTTGGGATCCCCCTGTATCGGCATGCGACCGCCGCTGAGAAGCCTTGGACCGGAGCTGCGGGGGACTGGACTGGACGCTCCAAGTCGTGTACGGGCCTGGCAGGTGAAGGGACGCGACCCGCTGGCTGGCCTGCCGCTCCAAACCTTCTTCCAGTCCGGCTGTGGTTTTTTTCTTTCCCTCTTCAATCCACGCCTCCCCCTCCCCTCAATAGCCCTGCCCCGTCCTGGTCTTCTCACTCCTCTCGTCCTTGCCCACCTCATTAATCACACCCCCGACAACGAGTGTCAGCCGTTCAACACCAGGGTGTTTGCTCGTTACCAAGCACACTCCCATCGATTGCATCTTCACGAGCCTCAGGTTTTCATCGTTACAATCCTCTCACACTACATACGGTGTCTTTTCTCGCTTGGCGACGCGCCTTGGGCCACAGGCCCGTCACCGCCAGCCCGCCACCGTCGTCCACGCCGCTCCTTCGACAGATAACCTTCCACTAGATCATCAACGGCAGTCAATCTCCCTGGCCCTCCCAAGTAGGCACTCGTGGCACGCGTGTGAGCGAGCAACGCATGCATTTGCCATTTCGAACGATTCCACGCACCGGCGGTACCTGCACGAAAAGACTGGTCGACATTGGCGGCTGAGACGAAGACGCGGTTGGGTTGAACTCGGGCCACGACAACCGCGCACCCAACACCACAGGACGGATCCTGGCGGCGAAGATACTAGACGCGATCAGAACACAATACCCGCAGCTTCTCCAAGGTATCATGTCTTCGCTTGGGCCTCCCGGACCCAACCATGGGTTCACTTTAAACCAGGCGGGCCTAAACAGGCGTAATCCTGCTTATCCTCCACCACACCCGACGCAGCCAGGTAAACAGTCGCCCGCAGGTCATAGCGCGTCACCGTACCAAACTCAATATCCTTCGCAACCACCGCCGCAATACCCACAGCACATGTTTCCGTCACCCCAACTGAACGGAAATGTGCCAAACGGAAACACGAGAGGATCAGGTGCTCATGGCCAGCAACTCCCTCTGGGAGGCATCCAAAGACAACAGCAAAGGGCCGCACCATCAAGGCAACAGATGCCGCCTCAGCAACCACAAGCTCAAACGAATCCATCGTCGGCGATGATGTTTCCGGGATCCATGAGCCAATCGGTGCAGCATGAATCGATCATGGCTCACCAGCACTCTGGACATCCCTCACATCCCGGACACCCAGGACATCAAGCGCACCCAGGTCATCAGCAGCAGCAGCAGCACCAACAGCAGCAACATCACAGCTTGCAGACAGGGCAGCATCACCAGCAGCAGGCACAACAACATGGACAGACGCCAACGCAGCAGCAAGCTCAGCAGAGGCAGCAACAAGCTCAACATCACCAAATGCAGCAGCAGCAGCATCACTCTCAACAGCCGCAGCAGCAGCAGCAAACACCGCCGCAAGCTATGTCACACCAGCCACAGTCACAGCACGCACAGCAACAGCAACAGCAACAGCAACAGCAGCTCCCACATCAACAGCCCCTGTCTCAACACCAGCACCGCCAGCAGCAGCAGCAGCAGCCGCCGCAGATGCCTCTACCTCAGCAACACCAGCCGAAACACAATATCCACCAGCAGTTGCCTCCCCCGCAACAGCAGCCCTTGCCGCAACAGCATCCTCAACACCAGAAACAGCAGCAGCAGCAGCAACAGCAACAGCAGCAGCAGCAGCAGCAGCAACAGCAACAGCAGCAACAGCTACCTCAACCGCCGCAAATGCAATCGCAGCCTCAGCAACCACCTAAGCCAAGTAGGGGTCGCCAGACACCGCAACAAAAGCCACAGCAACAGGCAGCTGTGCCTCCACCCCAGCAGCAGGCAGCACCTGGTTCCATGCAGCAACACCCACAGCAACATCCGCAACAACACCCACAACCACACCCGCAACAGCAGGCGGAGCCAGCGTCGCAGCAAGCCCCCCAGCACAATGATTCGATGGACATTGATGGATCTATGGAGCAGGATGGAAACGGAAACCCGACAGACGCCGCCAAGATGATGCAGGAAACTTCAGTTGTCCCAACGCAACCGCTGGGCGAGCTGATGTCGCCGCCGCCCGAGGGTGGTAGTTACCCAACCTTGGAGGCTGTCCAAAAACATGTGCTTCGCTACTGTACTTCGGTTGGGTATGCCATTGTTATTGGCCGATCAAAGAAAACGGTGCCTGGATTGAAGAAAGTGTTGTTTGTCTGCGATCGTGCGGGAAAGCCCCCGAACAGAGTGAGCCCCGAGTTCAGGAAGCGAAAGACCTCTTCGAGAAAGTGCGACTGTCCATTTGGATTCTTCGCCATCGAGCAACGTCATCAATGGACAATTCGATACCGACCCGATGCTCAGCACCTGACGCACAATCACGGCCCTAGTGAGGGACCTTCGAATCATCCTGCGGCAAGGAAGCTGGATGCCAAAATGGTAGCCGCCGTGAAAGAGCTCAAAGAAAGTGGTAGGTATCCTCAGGAATCTCCAAAAGACTTGTGCTTATCGTCGTCAGGCGCCGGTGTCTCCGAAACGTTGCAAATACTGCAAAACGATAATCCGGATTGTCACCTCCTCCCGCGAGATATCTATAACGCACGCGCCGCCATCAACCGTAATCCTACAAAGGCAGACACAGAGCCTCAAGAAAGAATGTCTATATACTCAAAGCAGCCGCAGAATCCAGAAGATAGGATACGTGCTGAACTACGCCGAGAGCTCGCGCAAGCTAAGGATGAGATGACGAAGATGGAAAAGGAGAAGCAAGCCGAGATTGACGCTCTGAAGGCGCAGATTCAGGAGAAGGACGAGCAGATCACGCGATTTGAGATGTTTATTGATATTTGCAACCAGCGCGTCATGGTACAACGAGAGCGTTTGTCTACGGGACCAAATCAGGCGAATGGAGGCAACCAGGTCATCTAAGCAATCTTGGATTCGAGTTGGCATCTGGACCTGATCTTGTCATTATGTACTCTGGCGGGGTTTTCGTTTTCGGCGCTTTTGTATCATGGCTGTCCGCCGGGTTTTGGATATTCGGGCGTCCGGTTGGGGATGGTGTACAAGAATTCGCGTGATGAGGCTCGGCTACGGAATTGCATAGCCATGCATTTGAATACAAGAAGCACTACCGCAACCATTCTCCCAGAATGATCCCGATGTCACTTTTGCTAATCAATTCAGGTCACCACATTTTGAAGACATGTGTACCTGGAATGTTCTCATTGCCTCAAAAGTGAAGTCTGTTGGCTTGAGAAGATTTGATTACTCACCTGCAAGATAATGGATCATTCGCATGAGCCAGCTGGCACGCCCCGCAAAGCGGATATCATGTCCAGCTGTTAGCCAACCAGGGACCTGACAGCTTCCAGAAGCCACACCTCCTGGCGAACGCCGCAGTGACCTGTGCTGTTGTCTAATTTTGGCGGACCGCAATGTACATTGCAGTCGCGCCCAGGGTCGCGTCCTCGACAGCACATGCATGAACCTCTTGTCTTCCTGCGCCTTCACCACGGCCCATCTCTTTGTTCCAACACACAAATTCCGACCTCGAGTTGACGGCGAACCACCCAAAACCGTCTCAACCCGTGCCCATCAGGTCGAGGATCTTTCTTCTTGCTTGATTCCGGCCGTATTCGTTCCTTTGCCCCTGCTTTGACGATACCCCTTTCAACACTGATCATTCGCGTCAACTTTTTGCCTGTCGAGCGTTCCAGCAGGACCAAACAAGAGCAACCTTTTAATCTGAGATGATCGAACTCTCATAATTACCTTACGCTTCTTCTCGGTCCAAGGCCGCCACCATCATGGAGGTGTCAACCCCCGTTGCGACGCCGTCGACAAATGGTGTACCAGCTGCTCCATTCCCTACAATCGAACCCGAACGCGTGGTTGAATACTTGGCCAGCGTATGCACAATCGCTCTGGGCGCTACACAGGACGAGCTTGAGCAGCCAGGGAACCTGCTGCATAAGAGCCGCTATGGCGACACGGTGTCGAGGTGCACGCGATTCGCGACGGATACACAGAGCGTTTTGTATATCCAAAAGGACATCGCTGCCTCGTCAGCTGTCGAGAACGGCACGGAAAATGCCAGTCAGTGTCATGACTTCATTCGGTTCGAACAGCAGCTAACATTCCCAGCACCCCCATCGTTTAGCTACACCATTTCGAACGAACTTACATCATCCCTGAATACGGTCGCCTCCCTCGTCCTAATCAAAACTCCTCAGCCTATCGATCCGATCCGGCCTCTTCATTCACAGATATTCATTACTAATTTACCTGGGCCTGCGTCGCTTGCCGCTGCGGCAGCCGACCAGGGTCCTGTACTTTCCCCATGGGAGGTTCTTCATTCTCAGGTCCACCACGCGATCGTGCCATACTTTGACGCAAACACCAAATCTCAACAGGCGACGAATGGGCCACGTGGTAGGCAAGACGTGGACGCGAAGACTGGTATCCCCGTGACGAAGAAGAGGTTAAACGATCTGGAGTTGAGCTTGCTGCACCTGCAACAAAATGTTGACATTCCAGAGATTTCTCTGAGCTTTCATCCGGGAGTTCAACAGGCCCTCGAACAAGCCGAATCTGCCCACACGAAGCCTACGGTCGACTCTATGCCGAACGACTTGTTGCAAGACAGCTCGTTCCTCAACAGACTACAGGCAACGGTCAATGCATGGGTCAAGTCTATCTCAGGGGTGACGAGGATGACTAGAGATGATACTACTTCGAATTCCAACCAGCAATTCAACACTGCGAGCCAGGAGGTCAATTTCTGGCTTTCGATGGAATCTGCCCTGGAAGGCATTGAAGCGCAACTGAGGAGCGACGGTGTGGTCCTCACACTTGATATATTGAAGCACGCCAAGCGTTTCCAGGCGACCGTCAGCTTCAAGACTGACACGGGTCTGACCGAGGCGATGGACAAGGTGCAGAAATATAACCAGCTCATGCGAGATTTCCCACTCGACGAGCTGCTGTCGGCAACATCTCTGGTCAAAGCTCAAGACGCTATCCGCGAGATCTTCACCCATCTCAACAAGAAACTTCGCATCTGCCCGTACCCGATCCGCCGCGCACTTCCACTCGTCGAGGCTATCTCAGCCGATCTGAACGATGTGCTTCATCGCTTGCTCCCTGGCACTGAGCTGGTCAATCTCGACTATGAGCAATTTCGGACAATCATGCGATCATGCGAGGACATTTTCCGCGTTTGGGAAGAATCTGTCAAAGAGTTCACCAACGTAGCACGTGAGGTTACCCGGCGACGCAACGAGCGGTTCATTCCCATCAAGATCAACAAGAAGCATTCCGAGCTCGAGTCTAGGATTCGCTATGTGGCTAAATTCCGTGACAACCATGAGCAGCTGCAGCGTACGATTGTCGACGTGCTAGGACCTCAAGCGACTATCACCGGCGTGACCGAGACGACTGGAGCGGATGGCGTGGTCGTTGAGGAAATGGGTGACGTGGACGCTGTGGAAGAGGTGAACCAGGCATGGGAAGCACTGCAAAATGTCGATCTGCTTGATGTGACGCAGCAGGGCAGAGATCGCTTCTCCTTGGCCGAGAACCTCTACAACGAGCGTACCACACGCGTGGAGAACTCCATCATCACAAGACTGCGGGATCGCCTGGGCACCACCAAGTCAGCCAACGAAATGTTCCGGGTCTTCTCCAAGTTCAACGCTCTCTTTGTGCGACCCAAGATCCGTGGTGCTATCCAAGAGTACCAGAATCAGTTGATGGACCACGTGAAACAGGCTATAAACTCTCTTCATGAGCGATTCAAGCAGCAGTATGGTCGATCAGAAGCTCACGTCATGTCTCAACTTCGCGACATTCCTCCCGTATCTGGCGCTATCATCTGGGCACGACAGATCGAGTTGCAGCTCGATGGGTATATGAAGAAGGTTGAGGCGGTTCTCGGCCCTGGTTGGGATATGCATGCCGAAGGCAAGAAGTTGCTGGATGAAAGTGAGCTTTTCCGGGACAAGCTCAAGACCGACAAGATCTTTGATGCCTGGGTAGGCGAGGTCACCCGCAAGAAGATTTCAATTGCTGGCCAGTTGTTTGAGATTGCTCGCGTCAGGTCGGCCGGCGGCACCCTGGAGCTCACAGTCAACTTCGATTCGCAGATCATCACTCTGTTTAAGGAGACGCGTAACTTGACGTGGCAGAGCTACGCTGTTCCCCACGCCATCACCACGGTATCTAAGGATGCGAAGCGCGTCTATCCCTATGCAGTCAGTTTGATGGAGAGCGTCCGGACATTGTCCCAGACGCTTCGCCAGCTTTCGGACATGGGTAATGAGGCAGTCCTGCTCAACGGCTACCGCAATGACGTTTATAAGCTCATCAGCGAGGGTGTTCCCCTGCGCTGGGAATCGTTTGTCAACTCCCACGAGCTCTGGCAGAGTGAACAACAGCGCCAGACGCGCATGCTCCTGCCTGGAGGTGCAGACTTTGGGACATCCAAAAGCAACGAGAGTAAGCATGGAATGTTCATCCGTGGTTTCGCTTCCGCGGTATCCACGCTGCAGAGCAAGACCGTCTCCTTGAGCCACATCTACGCCAGTGTCGAACAAGCTCTCAAGAATCTCAGCACATGCCCGTACGATGCCGCCTCCTTCCAGTCACACCTGGACTCAGTCCAAAGCGCCGTGGATCAGCTGAATCTGGAGCGTTACGTGAACCTCGATTTCTGGGTCGGTGGACTCAACGAGCGGATCCAAGTTCTTCTGTTGGTCCGTCTGCAAACCGCCATTTCTGCTTGGATCGCAGCTTTTGAAGACAGTACGACAGCGACAGAGGATGGCAAGCCGACGGGTCCAACCATGCGTCACTTGATCCTGGAGCTCGCCATGCGTAACCAGGTCATCTATCTCGACCCGCCGCTTGAATTCGCCCGCGCAAACTGGTTCGAGCATCTTCATAACTGGCTCGGTATTGTTTGCAGTCTTCGCATGATCAAGGCCTCGCGTTATCAGATGACGCTGGCTACGTCTGCCGAGCCGGAGCGGCGCTTCACACAGCTACCGAGCGAATGCGCCAGCATGCTCCAGCGTGTCTACATCGCTGTGGAGAAGAAGATTACTGAAGTCAGTAAGTACGTGGACGAGTGGTTGCAGTTTCAGTCTTTGTGGGACCTGCAGTCAGAGCAAGTCTACGATGCGCTTGGCGAGCAGCTGCCTAGATGGCTAGAGCTGTTGCAGGATATTCGCAAAACCCGCTCTACGTTCGACACGCAGGATGATAGTCGATCCTTCGGCCATGTCACCATTGACTACGGTCAAGTTCAGTCAAAGGTCAACGATAAGTACGACCAATGGCAGAAGGAGATTCTGATGAAATTCGCGGTTCGTCTCGGCAATCGCATGCGAGACGTTCACGCCGAAATCGAGCGAGCTCGCAAAAATCTCGAGACCCAAAGCTCCGACGCGTCATCTACCGAGCAGGCTGTCCAATTCATCACAGTCGTCCAGAGTTGCAAGCGCAATGTCAAGTTGTGGGCGCCCGAGATAGACATGTTTCGCCAGGGACAGTCGACTCTTGTGAGACAGCGATATCAGTTCGCCAACGACTGGCTTCACATTGAGCAGATTGACAGTCAATGGGAAGCCCTCAAAGAGATTCTTGAGAAGAAGTCAAGGATCGTCGAGGACCAGTCCGATGCGCTTCGTGCCAAGATCACCACTGAAGATAAGCTCATCGGTGATCGAATCAGTGAGGTCGTTGCCCAGTGGAACGATGAAAAGCCTGTGTCGGGCACTATCCCACCTGATGAGGCTTCTGCTACCCTCACTGCTTTTGAGAGTAAGATCTCCAAGCTTCAAGCAGACTTTGATGCTGTTTCCAAAGCCAAGGAGGCATTGGACATCCCGATCAGCTCCGAGACGTCATTGACCGCTACTCTCGAGGAAGTTCGCGATTTCCAGTCTGTGTGGTCGAACCTCTCTACAATCTGGACGAGCCTGAATGAGACCCGGGATGTGCTCTGGACGGCTGTGCAGCCAAGAAAGATTAGGGGCAAGATCGACGAGCTTATCAAGAGCACCAAAGACATGCCGAGTCGAATGAGACAATACGCAGCCTTCGAGCATGTGCAGGGGATTTTGCGTAGTCTTTTGAAGGTCAACACTATTCTGACTGACCTCAAGTCCGATGCCATCCGCGAGCGCCATTGGCAGAAGATCTACAAACAAATCAAGCCTCAGAAGCGCTTCTCGCCCAGCTCCATGACCCTGGGTGACGTTTGGGACCTCAATCTTGTGGCCACTGAGGCCATCGTCAAGGACATTATTGCACAAGCACAAGGCGAGATGGCCCTCGAAGAGTTCCTGAAGCAAGTGCGCGAGACTTGGCAAAACTACGCCTTGGAAATGGTCAACTACCAGAACAAACTCAAGCTCATCCGCGGCTGGGACGATCTTTTTGCCAAGTGCAGTGAGAACCTGAACTCTCTCCAGGCCATGAAGCACTCCCCGTACTACAAGGAGTTCGAAGAAGAAGCCGTGTCTTGGGAGGACAAGCTGAACCGCGTTCACGTCCTTTTTGACGTATGGATCGATGTGCAACGTCAATGGGTCTATCTCGAGGGTGTCTTCACCGGAAATGCCGACATCAAGCATCTCCTACCCATTGAGTCTGGTCGCTTCGCGAACATCAACAGCGAATTCATGGCGGTGATGAAGAAGGCTGCCAAGTCTCCCTATGTGCTTGATGTGCTGAACATCCCGAACGCACAAAAGTCCTTGGAGCGTTTGGCCGAAATGCTGAACAAAATCCAGAAAGCACTTGGAGAATACCTAGAGAAGGAACGTGTCTCATTCCCTCGGTTCTACTTCGTTGGTGATGAGGACTTGCTGGAGATGATCGGCAACAGCAACGACACGCTACGCATTGCCAAGCACTTTAAAAAGATGTTTGCTGGTCTGTCTGGCCTCATCATGGACGAAGAGACGGTCATTTCAGGGTTTACCTCCAAGGAGGGCGAGAAGGTCAGGTTGAAGAAGGAAATCTCACTGGCCAAGACTCCGCGCATCAATGACTGGCTGGCTCTACTGGAAGGTGGCATGAAGTCTACTTTGGCGGAGCTGTTTGCCGAAGCCGTGGAGCAATACATGCCTATCTTTGAGTCTTCGACCATCGATCGTGCCATGCTCACCACATTCATGGATGCATTCCCCAGTCAGATCGTCGTGCTAGCCACTCAGGCTGTCTGGTCCACGGCAGTCGAGAGCTCTCTTGCGGCTGGCGGCAAAGATCTGCAAACACTCTTCGAGCGCGAGGTGCAGGTCCTCCGTGTCCTTGCCGACACGGTCCTGGGCGATCTGGAGGTCCTCCAACGGAAAACTGCCGAGCAGATGATCACTGAATGCGTTCACCAGCGGGACACAATCGAGAAGCTTATTCAGGCTCAAGCCGACACCACCAGCCACCATCTCTGGCAGCTTCAGATGCGATACATCTACAGTCCAGAGGGCGACTACCCCAACCGCTTGCACGTCAAGATGGCCAATGCCAGACTTAACTACGGCTTCGAGTATCTGGGAGTGCCTGACCGCCTAGTCCGAACGCCATTGACAGACCGATGTTTCCTTACGCTTACTCAAGCTTTGGAACAACGCCTTGGCGGCTCGCCCTATGGACCTGCCGGCACAGGTAAAACCGAGTCAGTTAAAGCTCTTGGTACACAGCTGGGTCGGTTCACCCTGGTCTTCTGCTGTGACGACACATTCGACTTCCAGGCAATGGGCCGCATCTTCTTGGGTATCTGTCAAGTCGGTGCCTGGGGCTGCTTCGATGAGTTCAACCGTTTGGAAGAGAGGATTCTGTCCGCCGTCTCGCAGCAGATTCAAAACATCCAGTTGGGTCTGAAGCAAGGTATCGAGGACGATAAGTCTGAAATCGAGCTCATCGGACGCCAACTGCACGTCAACGAGAATACGGGTATCTTCATCACCATGAACCCTGGCTACGCTGGACGTTCCAACTTGCCTGACAATTTGAAGAAGCTTTTCCGCAGTGTGGCCATGTCTAAGCCTGACAAGGAGCTCATTGCCGAGGTCATGCTGTACTCTCAGGGTTTCAACCAAGCCAAGGTCTTGTCTAAGCAGACAGTACCGTTCTTTGACCACTGTGCCATGCAGCTGTCCAAGCAAGCGCATTACGACTTCGGCTTACGTGCCCTCAAGAGTGTCCTTGTCAGCTCCGGTGGACTCAAGCGTGCGCGGCTCGGCGAGGGCAGCCTTGGTGTCGAAGAGGATGTAGAGCCTGAAATCATTGTTCAGAGTATTCGCGAGACCATTGCACCCAAGCTTATCAAGTCTGATGTCGACATCATGATAAATATTGAGAAGGACTGCTTCCCAGGTGTCAACTATGTCCCTGCCAACCTGCACGCACTGGAGGATGCTATCCGCACCCTAGCTGCAGAACGCAACTTAGTTGTCACCGACATCTGGATGACCAAGGTTCTACAGTTGTACCAGATCCAGAACATTCACCATGGTGTGATGATGGTTGGCAATTCGGGTTCTGGCAAGTCTGCTGCTTGGCGACTCCTGCTCGACGCCTTGCAGAAGGTTGAGAATGTTGAAGGCGTCTCTCATGTCATTGATTCCAAGGTCATGTCCAAGGAGGCCCTGTACGGTAACCTCGACTCCACCACCCGTGAGTGGACCGATGGTCTGTTCACGAGTATCTTGCGAAAGATCGTCGACAACCTCCGTGGCGAAGATTCGAAACGGCACTGGATTGTATTCGATGGCGACGTCGATCCCGAGTGGGTTGAGAACTTGAACAGTGTGCTCGACGACAACAAACTACTCACGCTTCCCAACGGAGAGCGTCTCAACTTGCCGTCAAATGTTCGTATCATGTTTGAAGTCGAGACTCTCAAATACGCCACTCTGGCTACGGTGTCTCGTTGCGGTATGGTCTGGTTCAGCGAGGAAACAGTCACCATAGAGATGATGATCGACAATTACCTGCAAACGTTACGCAACGTTCCGTTTGAAGATATCGACGAGGACAGTGTCGGTTCAGGATCGAACTCAGCAAAGAACCTGGCTTTGCAAGGACAGGTGGCCGATGTCCTCACCGTTGCCCTGAAAGACGAGAACTTCGCCGAAGAAGCACTGAAGAAAGCTCACGATTACAACCACATCATGGAGTTCACATCTGCACGAGTACTTACGACGCTCTTCTCGCTGCTGAACAAGGCCGTGAGAGACATGGTTGAGTACAACGGTCAGCACACAGACTTCCCATTGGATATTGACCAGATCGAGGCATTTGTTAGCAAAAGGGTTCTGCTCGCCTTGGTTTGGGCGTTTACTGGTGATTGCCCCCTCGGCGACCGCAAATCATTCGGCGACGTTATCTGCGGACTGGCCAACTTCGGGTCGCCTCCACTGGACGGCAGCAGCTCGCTCATTGACTTCGACGTGAAACTACCCCGAGCTGAATGGTCGCCATGGCAGAACGAAGTGCCTTCTACTGAGGTCAACACTCATGCCATTATTCAAACCGATATGGTTATCCCGACGCTCGACACCGTCCGCCACGAGGATGTTCTATACTCTTGGTTGGCCGAGCATAAGCCTCTTCTGCTCTGTGGTCCTCCTGGCTCTGGTAAAACAATGACGCTGTTCAGTGCTCTCCGCAAGCTGCCCAACATGGAAACCGTGGGTCTCAACTTTTCGAGTGCCACGACGCCTGATCTATTGATCAAGACCTTTGAGCAATACTGCGAGTACAAGAAGACACTGAATGGCGTGATGCTCTCCCCAACGCAGATTGGACGCTGGCTCGTCATCTTCTGCGACGAAATCAACTTGCCGGCCCCAGACAAGTATGGTACGCAACGGGCGATTTCATTCCTTCGCCAGCTCGTAGAGCACAACGGTTTCTGGAGAACCTCTGATAAGTCCTGGGTGACTTTGGATCGCATCCAATTCGTCGGAGCTTGCAATCCCCCAACAGACGCCGGCCGTACTCCCCTGGGGGCTCGTTTCATGCGTCACGCGCCACTCATCATGGTCGACTACCCTGGCGAGACATCTCTCAATCAAATTTACGGCACTTTCAACTCGGCTGTACTCAAGATTGTTCCTTCTCTGCGTGGCTATGCCGACAATCTCACACAAGCAATGGTCAAGTTCTATCTCGAATCGCAAAAGCGCTTCACGCCCAAGATTCAACCGCACTACGTCTACAGTCCTCGTGAGTTGACTCGCTGGGTTCGCGGTATCTATGAGGCCATCAAACCACTCGAAACCTTGTCGATTGAGGGCTTGATCCGAATCTGGGCTCACGAAGCCTTGCGCCTCTTCCAGGACCGTCTCATAGCTGAAGATGAGCGCAAGTGGACTGACGACGCTGTTCATCGCATTGCTCTTCAACACTTCCCTACTATTGACGAAGAGAAGGCATTGTCAGGCCCTATTCTATTCTCCAATTGGCTTTCGAAGAACTACGTGCCTGTGGATCGCGAGCAGCTGAGAGACTTCGTTAAAGCTCGTTTGAGGACCTTCTGTGAGGAAGAAGTTGACGTTCCTCTCATCTTGTTTGACGATGTCTTGGAGCATGTCCTACGCATTGACCGTGTCTTCAGACAACCACAGGGTCATTTGATCTTGATCGGTGTGAGTGGTAGTGGCAAGACGACACTGTCACGCTTTGTTGCTTGGATGAACGGACTTCGCGTCTTCCAGATCAAAGTTCACGGTAAGTATACCGCCGAGGACTTTGATGACGACCTTCGAGACGTTCTGCGCCGCTGTGGCTGCAAGGGTGAAAAGATCTGCTTCATCATGGACGAGGCCAATGTCCTCGACTCTGGGTTCTTGGAGAGGATGAATACCCTCCTGGCAAACGCTGAAGTTCCAGGTCTGTTCGAAGGCGATGACCATGCGGCGCTTATGACTGCCTGCAAGGAGGGGGCCCAACGCCAGAACTTGCACCTGGACTCCCAAGAGGAGTTGTACAAGTGGTTCACTCAGCAAATTGTCAAGAACTTGCACGTCGTTTTCACGATGAATCCTCCTCAAGATGGCTTGTCTTCCAAGGCCGCGACGTCGCCTGCCTTGTTCAATAGGTGTGTCCTCAACTGGTTTGGAGACTGGTCGGACCAAGCCCTGTTCCAGGTTGGTCATGAGCTCACGCACTCTATCGACTTGGATCGCCCCAACTACCAAGCTCCCGATACAATTCCTGTCGCCTACCGTGGTCTGCAATTACCTCCGTCGCATCGCGAGGCTATTGTCAACTCGATGGTTCACATCCATTACTCGCTTCACCACTACAACCAAAAGCTGTTCAAGCAGCAAGGCAAGGTCACGTTCCTTACGCCTCGCCACTTCTTGGATTTCGTCGGCCAATATGTCAGACTGTATAATGAGAAGCGCGAGGACCTGGAAGAGCAACAGCGTCACTTGAACATTGGTCTGGAAAAGCTCCGGGATACCTTCGACAAGGTGCGAGATCTGCGAGAGAGTCTGGCAGTGAAGAAGACACAACTAGAAACCAAGGAAGCCGAGGCGAACGAGAAGTTGCAGAAGATGGTGGCAGATCAGCGCGAGGCCGAATCGAGGAAGAAGGCATCGGAGGAGATCCAGGTACACTTGGAGAAACAGGAAACAGAGGTTGCTTCGCGCAGGAAAGTTGTGCTCGAGGACTTGGCCAAGGCTGAGCCTGCTGTCGAAGAAGCAAAGGCCAGTGTGCAAAACATCAAGCGTCAACACTTGACCGAAGTCAGAGCGATGGGCAATCCACCTGCTGGTGTCAAGCTGGCCATGGAGGGTGTCATCACCCTGCTAACGAACAAGAGCGTGCAAGACTGGAAAACTGTGCAGGGAGAGATCCGCAAGGACAACTTCATTGCCAACATCCTGAACTACAACAGCGACAAGATGGCCAAGTCCTTCCGCGAAAGAATGCGTAGAGACTTCCTGAACAACCCGGAGTTCACCTTCGAAAAGGTGAACCGTGCGTCGAGAGCCTGCGGTCCTCTCGTACAATGGGTCACTGCGCAGGTCGAGTATTCGGATATCTTGGATCGCGTCGGTCCACTCAGGGAGGAAGTCGATAAGCTCGAGGAGGAGGCCCTGAAGACCAAAGCAGAGGCCAAGGCTGTGGAGAACAACATTATCGAACTCGAAGCGAGCATCAACACGTACAAAGAGGAGTATGCTGCACTTATCAGCCAGACGCAGGCGATCAAGTCTGAAATGTCCAAGGTGCAGTTTAAGGTTGACCGCAGTGTCAGGCTGCTCGACAGCCTGTCTTCAGAAAGGACGCGGTGGGAGGATGGCAGCAAGTCTTTCGAGACGCAGATCAGCACCTTGGTTGGCGATGTCCTGATCGCCGCTGCATTCCTGGCCTACAGTGGTCTCTACGACCAAACGCTTCGAAAGTCCATGGTCGAAGATTGGTTCCATCAACTTCACCTTTCTGGCATCCAATACAAGTCTCACAACCCTGTTACCGAGTATTTGTCAACAGCCGATGAGCGTCTTGGATGGCAAGCAAACGGACTGCCAGTGGACGACCTGTGCACGGAGAATGCGATCATGCTCAAGCGCTTCGAGCGATACCCGCTCATCATTGATCCGCCGGGTCGCACTCTGGAGTTCTTGCAAAAGGAATGCCAGGACCGTCGCTTGACAGTCACAAGCTTTTTGGACGATACTTTCACCAAGCAATTGGAGAGTTCGCTTCGTTTTGGCAACCCCATCCTCATCCAAGATGCCGAGCATCTCGATCCCATCCTGAACCATGTGCTCAACAAGGAGTATCAGCGCACTGGTGGCCGTGTGCTCATCCAGCTCGGCAAGCAGGAGATTGATTTCTCGCCATCGTTCAAGTTGTACCTATCCACACGCGATCCCTCTGCAACCTTCCCTCCGGACATTTGCAGTCGTACTACCTTGGTCAACTTTTCAGTCACGCAGAGCAGTCTCCAAACTCAGTCTCTGAATGATGTGCTGAAGTCGGAGCGCCCTGACGTGGACAAGCGTCGCTCCGACTTGATCAAAGTGCAGGGCGAGTTCAAGGTTCATCTCCGACAGCTTGAGAAGCGTCTTCTTCAAGCTCTCAACGAGTCTCAGGGCAACATCCTCGACGATGACAACGTTATCGAAACACTCGAGAAGCTCAAGAACGAAGCGGCTGAGATTTCAGACAAGATGAGCAAGACGGAGGGTGTCATGGGCGAGGTCGACGAGATCACGCAGCAATACAGTGTCATTGCCAAGTCTTGCAGTGCTGTGTTTGCTGTTCTCGAGCAGTTGCACTTCCTCAACCACTTCTATCAGTTCTCATTGCAGTACTTTATCGACATCTTCCAGTCCGTTCTGCACAACAACAAGAACCTCGACGCCGAGACGGACCATGACCGGCGCAGAGACGTCATTGTCAAGGATCTCTTCGTCAAGACTTTCAAGAGGACAGCCCTCAGCTTGCTGCAAAAGGACCGCGTCACTCTCGGCATGCTTCTTGCCCAAGCCTCGCCGTACAAGATGGATAAGACACTGATTGACGCCATTCTCGACAGCCGCGTCGAGGGCAAGGATCTCTCCACTGATCCTGAGTTCAAAGACGAGGCCTTCACCGCTGCTAGGAAACTGCCCGCCCTCAAGGAACGGCTTGACAGTGTAGCTGCCGACAAATGGACGCAGTTCTTTGAAGAGGAGCTTGCCGAGAACTTTGTTCCCGAGATCTGGGACCTTAAAACCGAGGAGGCAGACCAGGCCCTGATTTCGCTGCTCCTCGTCAAGATGTTCCGAATGGACCGGTTCGTCCCTGCGGCCGAACGATTCGTTGCCCGGGTCTTGGGCGCCGACATCTTTGACCTTGTGGAGGATCTCAACCACACAGTGTCCGGGGTCTCGGCGACTCTGCCAATCTCGCTCGTGTCAAGCCCCGGTTTCGATGCAAGCTACAAGGTCGACAGTCTGGTCGAGAAGATGCGCATCAGCTGTACGAACATTGCCATGGGCTCCAATGAAGGTGTCACGAGTGCCGACAAGGCCATTACAAATGCTGCTCAGAATGGCTCATGGGTTCTAGTCAAGAATGTGCACCTTGCCCCTACTTGGCTGCAGAGCTTGGAGAAGCGCATGGAAGCTCTGAACCCGCACTCTGACTTTAGGCTCTTCCTGTCTATGGAGTCTAGTCTCAAAATCCCGGTCAACCTGCTGCGTGCCTCGCGAATCCTCATGTATGAGCAGCCGGCTGGTGTCAGGGCCAACATGAAGGACTCCTTGTCGTCCCTCTCGACGCGCAGCTCGAAGAGCCCTGTTGAAAGAACGAGGTTGTACCTGCTCATCTCCTTCCTGCATGCTGTTGTCCAGGAGAGGCTGCGATACGCGCCGAACCTTGGTTGGAAGGGATTCTGGGAGTTCAACGATAGCGACGTAAGTTTTTTTTTTTTTTTTTTTTTTCTTCTTCTTTTTTTTTCCCTTTTTTTTTCTTTTCTCCAGTGTTTGGTAGTAGATCGCTAACGGATCTCTAGTACGAATGCTCGGCATTCATTGTTGATGTCTGGCTGGACAGCGTGGCTGGCAACAGGAGCAACATTGCTCCTCAGAACATTCCCTGGGAGATGATCCGCTATCTAGTGACAGAGACATACGGTGGCAAGATTGACGACGAGCATGACTTCAAGCTACTCAATCAGCTCGTCGTCCAATTCCTGACACCTGAAGCTTACGACGTCGATCACAAGCTAGTGGATAGTCCCGAAGGTGGTCTTCTGGTGCCATCAGGCACGAACCTACAAGACTTTATGCAGTGGGTTCAGAAGCTACCCGAGCGCGAGCCCCCGACATACCTGGGCCTACCTGCCAATGCAGAGAAGTTGTTGCTAGTCGGATTGGGCCGCAGCCTGATAGGCAACCTGCGCAAGGTCACAGAGCTGCTTGATGAGGGAGAGCAGCTCGTGACCGATGCGTGATCGGATGGGCGTTGAGGAGGGAACAGGCGAGATGTACGATGGTAGTGGGATTGGTATGAGTGCTATGCATATTCTGCCATGCTTTTCTTTTGCTCTGTTAGGTCGGACACTGGGGCATGATGCGCGAAGGTTGACATTCTGGAGGGAACTCGGAAGATGGTGCGTTATGTTGCTACCTACACAGATACCCCCAAGATCGCATTTTTGTTGTATTATTAGTCGCTTCAATGTAAGAGCTTTGCGATAATATTTAGAGACAATGCCAAGATTAGGCGTCTATTTATTAGTACTCGATGTCGTGTGACTCTGTGTCGAATCCGGTTCCAGGATCTTCGCAGGCGGGTCTTGCACGTCACAGGTCGTTGCTCAGGCGCCATGATCTCCCCCGGGCAGCTGAAGTGGGTACCTGGCTGAAGGCGCGCGCAGTTCCCAGTTTCCACCTGCAACGTCCAGTCAGTTCATCATCCCACAGTCCGACCTCGCGTCCCAGTCTGCGTCTTCTTTTCTAGACTGGAACCTGCTTCAATCATTAGTACTTATTGTCGTGTGCAGTACACAGCTTGCCAAATGCGCCGGGTATCATTGCAGCCTTGAATGCAAACGGCCCTCCTATCACTGCTCCCTGACCTGAGCTCAGGTTGCGATTCCCGACTGCATCAGCGACATTCTCGAAGCAGTCAGTATGCGACCTTTATCGAGATAGGACGAAATTCTCAGCAGATGTGCGGTCGCCCGGCTTGTGTGACTAGACAACGTGACTTCCTCGGTATTCTGAACACTCACACTCGCCGTGGCCGCTTTGCCTTTCGCATTCCTCCCTGAGACAAGATGGCGTCCTCAAATCTATCCCCTCGAGCCGGGGAATCCTCTCACTCGTCCGACGCGTTCGAGTCGACCGATACGCACAACATCATGGTGGCAGACTTTAGCTCGCCTCGACTTCGAAAACCGCGAACATTGCCACGTGTGTTGCACCTGGCTGACGGTAGTGAACAAGCAGCTGACAAGACACAGCTTGGATCGATTCTTACGAGGAGCGCTATGGACCAGGCACGCCGGATCAGTTCAATCTACTGCGACCACCAAATGCAGTACCGGCTCGACACAACGCAGCGCCCGACCACACGCAGCGACGGGTATCAAAAGACGGCTACATAGACTATGACGACCCGAAACTCGGTCCGGCGCAGGATGCGCGCCACAAGATTCCACACTTCCTTCGCTATGGTCGGGCTTCGATGCGAGGGCGAAAATGGGATCATTTGCGCTCTGCTGAGCCCGTCGTCGTGCCGCGCTACCACAGCACCTCTGTCATGACTACAGATCCTGGCTTTCGACAGTTTGTGCATTCTTCAGCATACGGGCCCATGGAAGGCGAGGTGTCCGAAAGGGTCGACCCGGACTACCTGGAAAAGCTGCAGCCGACGTTCAACCTCCCTGCACGGGGCGCGTACAATGCACTGGCCGCAGGGCGCAAGTCGAAGAGGACGCGGACGGTTGCTTTCAACCAGCGCGTGTGGAACCTCGTGATGCGCCATTCCCTATCACCGGCGATATGTCGATTGACCGTCATGGTCACGTCCATCGTCGCGCTAGGCGTGGCCAGCAGGATATTCGTGCTGGAGGATAACTTCCGTCCGTATAGCGCGGAGCGGACGCAGTCTATTGTCGCCATTGTCGTGGACTGCGTCGCTATCCCCTACATCGGCTACATGATCTACGACGAATACACGGGGCAGCCGCTGGGGCTGCGGTCGGCCAGAAACAAGGTTTCACTTGTACTGCTAGATCTGGTTTTCATCATTTTTAAATCAGCAAGCACGGCGTTGGCGTTTGAGAGTCTGGTTTACCATAACGTGGCCGACCCCGTGATCAGAAAACTCGCCAAAGCGCTGGCCGCCTTTATGTTGCTCGCGCTTACCGTGTGGACGATCAATTTCACCATCAACATCTTCCGCATCGTGGAGAGACTCGGTGGCGGAGAGGACGAGCACCATCGCAGGTCATAGGAGAGCATGCGCAGGCGGATGCTCGTCACGTAGCAGGTTTCGGCGGACACCGCCCTTGGAAAGTCAAAGAAGGACATGGCTGCTGGACAAGGCGATGATGGTCTGTCTGTCTGGCAGGGTTTATGTCCCTGACGTTCAAAAGTGAGCAGAGACTCAATATGTGAACACTCACGGTCTTTTAAAGATTTCATTTTGTCTGCATGGTATACTGCGCGCGGCGTTGGGGTACAAGGGACTCATCAAGAGGCGTCCCCTATCAATCATTCCGAGTTGGGCTCTACTGGATGGATGCACGAGGAATACAGAGTCATCAGGCCATTGTTATTAGCGGGCGCGTATATGTGATAATCACTTAGATTTCAATCATTGGAACTGACCCATCGTCTGGGATCACAGGCTTGTCATGGAGAGGCTTTCAGTTCACCAGTGTCCAGGCCGTCAGTGTCGTGGAAAAGTGTGAGACTCATTATCACCTGTACGCGGGGACGCCCGGGGCCCAGTACGGTGCTGCGCCACAGTGGCTCGCTCTTCCTTGGCTCAAAGGCTCAAGGCCACCCCTGCGGCGTGCAATGCTGACTGCCGTCACTAACCCAGAACCCAGCTTACCTTACGGGTAAGGCAAGTGGGATTAGAGAGTCGGAGTTGACTCTTTCACGCGACTGACCTCACTTGACTTCCTCCTCCCAAATTATCCTTTCAGCCCGCACACGCAAGTGTACCAGTGAACCAGATTTGATTTGCTCCTTTCCTCGATCATTTAACCCAGCCCATCTGGCTTCCCCAGACACTCTTTCTCCTCCAAGACGGGCCACTATCCGATAACTCGCCCCCCTCCGCTTCCGTTCTTCTTACTCCAGCGACATCTGAAGCACCATACAACAACCTTCTTAACCCTGACAACGAGGCTGCTCGCAGCACGCCTGTACACGCGATCGACTTTCGCCAGACTTGTAGAGCGCCTCGTCTCTGCCTAGGTCTGTGCCACTTGGCAACCGACGCAAGAGGCGATTCCGAAACAAAAACGAAGCCACAAAGGCCGCCCACGAGAACCCTTGACGACGCGCACCGCCGAGTGATTCCCCACCGCACCGCCGCTTGCTGCTTCGCTCGAGCTCCCACGATTCTGCAGCAGTCAGCACACTGAGACTAGTCGATATGGCCTCAAGGGTAGCTCCGGCGCGCGCCGCGCCTTCGCAGATGCCTCCGATGCCGAATAGAGAAGACATCGGATCCACGTGAGTCTTACGCTCAGACCGACTCTACCTATGCTGGGCTGTGCTCGGGACTTTGACGCTGATCATTTTAGCTGGGGATACTTGCAGGCCGGTATCACGCGAATTATGATGGACCTGGAGCAAGGTATCGATATGCAGATGTACATGGGAGTCTACACGTGTGTTACCTTGCAAACCACAGCCTCTGCCGTTGCATGCTAACCGGCCTCACAGGGCTATCCATAACTTTTGCACCTCGCAGAAAGCTGTCAGCCTGAGTGGTCCCTCCATGCATGGAGGTGCTCACAGAGGCGGTAAGTCTGCGCCATCACCTTGTCCTCTCAGTACGGAGACTTACAATAAAGCAGCCCATCTTCTCGGCGAGGAGCTGTATAGAAAACTCATCCACTACCTGGACGAGCACCTCACATCGTTGCTGGAAACCAGCAAATCCCATACCGACGAGGCGCTACTGTCCTTCTATATCAAAGAATGGTCTCGGTACACAACCGCCGCGAAATACACACACCACTTGTTTCGGTACCTCAACCGCCACTGGGTAAAGCGAGAGATCGACGAGGGGAAGAAGCATATTTATGATGTGTACACTCTGCACCTGGTGCAGTGGCGAAAGGTGCTATTCGAGCGGCTGTCGACAAAGGTCATGGACGCCGTCTTGAAGCTCGTGGAGAAACAGCGCCACGGAGAGACCATCGAGCACAGCCAGATCAAGCAGGTTGTGGATTCGTTCGTTTCACTAGGTCTCGACGAGACGGATCCCTCGAAATCGACACTCGACGTGTACCGATTCCACTTCGAGAAGCCCTTCCTCGAAGCCACCAAGGCCTTCTACCAAGCCGAGTCGAAACAATTCGTTGCCGAAAACAGCGTGGTGGAGTACCTTAAAAAGGCTGAGGCTCGACTGGCCGAGGAGGAGGACAGGGTTGGCATGTACCTGCATCAGGACATTGCCGTCCACTTGAAGAAGACGTGCAACCAGGCTCTCATTGCCGATCATCAAGTCCTTATGAGAGACGAGTTCCAGATGCTTCTGGACAATGAGCGGGAGGATGACATGGCACGCATGTATAATCTACTTGCCCGAATTCCCGATGGTCTGGACCCTCTAAGGTCCCGGTTCGAGACACACGTCCGCAAAGCTGGTCTCAACGCTGTGCACAAGATACAAGCAGCCGAGGGAGACAAGTTGGAACCCAAGGTCTATGTCGACGCCCTATTGGAGGTCCACACACAATACCAAGGGCTTGTCAAGCGCGCATTCAACGACGAACCCGAATTCACTCGATCGCTCGATAGCGCATGTAAGGAGTTCGTCAATCGCAACGAAATCTGCAGGGCGTCATCCAACAAGTCGCCAGATCTTCTCGCCAAGTATGCCGACGTGCTGCTTCGAAAGAGCAGCACCAGCATCGAGGAGGCAGATTTGGAGGCTACCCTGACCAACATTATGACCGTCTTCAAGTACATTGAGGACAAGGATGTGTTCCAGAAGATCTACTCTCGCCTTCTGGCACGTCGTTTGGTGCACGCCAACTCGTCTTCGGATGACGCCGAGATGAGCATGATTGGCAAGTTAAAGGAGGCGTGTGGCTTCGAGTACACGAACAAGCTTCAACGCATGTTTCAGGATATGCAAACCAGCAAGGACCTCAATCGCGACTTCAAGGACCATCTTGACAATGGCGAGAGAACTAAGACGGTGGACTCGAACTTTTCAATCCTCGGCACTGGCTTTTGGCCGCTGCAGGCACCGACGACAGCATTCAACCCCCCATCAGAGATTGCGTCCGAAGCTGAACGTTTCAGCACCTTCTACAAGCACAAGCACGACGGTCGCAAGCTGACGTGGTTATGGAATCTCTGCAAGGGCGAGCTGAAGGCCAGCTACTTCAAAAACAGCAAAACGGGCTACACTTTCCAAGTGTCGCTTTATCAGATGGCCATCTTGCTTCTCTTCAACGAAAAGGACGAGACCTCATACGAGGATTTCGTGAGCGCAACCCAGCTGTCCCCTGATGTGATCAACCAGACATTGGTGTACATTCTGAAGGCAAAGGTGCTCCTTATGCAAGGCGGACCTGGCGAGAAGCCCGGGCCCGGCAAGGTGTTCAAGCTGAACTATGACTTCAAGAACAAAAAGATCCGTGTGAACCTGAATCTGGGCGGCGGTGTCAAGGAGGCCAAGCAAGAAGAGATTGAGACCAACAAGACCATTGAGGAAGACCGCAAGTTGGTACTACAGGTAAGCCAATATGATGCGCAAACATTGGTTCCTGAAACTAATCATCCACAGTCCGCAATTGTGCGCATCATGAAGGCGCGAAAGAAGATGAAGCACATGCAGCTCGTCAGCGAGTGCATCAACCAGATCAAGTCCCGCTTTGTACCGCAGGTATCCGACATCAAAAAGTGCATCGAGATCCTTCTCGACAAGGAGTACCTGGAGCGTCTAGAGGACGACGAGCTTGGGTACCTCGCGTGAGCGACAGAAGGCGGCAGACAGACAGGCTCGTTGCGAGCGATCAATGATGGTATATAAGAGTGCATTCTTTCACCAAGCATCAACCTACGGCGGCCTTTTCCACAAATGGTACACTCACCTAGAAGGGAAGACATGTCCAGAACCTGCGCAGTGCGGAAGAGGCATGGTCACGTCCGAAAGGTCGGCGGTCATGGCGATACACAATCAGAAGCTTGGGGGACCCGGGCGGGTAGGTTTACGAGAGCAATCCAGTGGAATCGGACTTCTCTCACGGTCCAACTCGAGTGGACGATTGAACTCAGGGAGCAGCTTGCAAGCTTTCGAATGGAAAAAAGAACGCCTTTCAACAAATATTGCCTTCTTCCGTATTATCAATGTGCAGCCGTCATAAGTCGTTTGTTAAACAAGGTGCTATACAATGCAGAATGCGCCGAGCCGGGGGGGGGGGGGGGGGGGGGGGGGGGGGGGGGGGGGGGGGGGGGGGGGGGGGGGGGGGGGGGGGGGGGGGGGG